AATCAGTTGATTGTAAATCTCTTGCTGATTAAAAATGTTGGAATCTAAATTGTCACCGTAATCTAATTGTTTAGGTTTAACTATATCATGATTAGAATGATATTTATTTTATTAATCATTAATTTGATTGTTCCAGGGTCAATTGGATTTGATTTTGATAAACAATCATCAACAAGGCGATAAGGATTAACAATCATCAACACGAATTAAATTAACTTGACAATTAATCTGATCTGATTATGTCAATAATTATATTAACTTTGTTAAGATTGACAATTAGTTGTGATCAATAATAATCAATTAAAATGATTAATTGGTTTCATTTTCATCGAGTTGGAAGAAGATGAAGGAAGAGAGGGGAAAAAATTTTCCAACTCAAAAAAAGTTCTGATGATCATGTTTATCATGGATTAGATAATGAAATTGATATGATGATGAGTGAATAATTAATGGTGATTAGGATTGGATATAAGTTACAGCTGATGACTTATAAATGACCAGCAAGATGATATTCACTGACCAGGATGATTATCATCTTGGTCATCACCAGTGATCAGCTCACAATTTAATTTAACTAAAGATATTGATCAACCTTAATCATCTTGTGAATGATTAACAGTAAGAAAGACAAAAATTACTATTTCAATTGGTTAATTATTGACCTGTGGTCAGTTTCAGGTTAAGCATGATAACTTCAATTGGAAATGAATGTTTCTATTAATATAATCTAACTCATCATGATCATCAACATGGAAACTCAGATCTTGATCTGAACACGGAAATTATAACATGGGAATTTGATTTTCCTCCATTAATTATCACACCAACAATATATAATTAACAAATTATTAACAATTAATTATATAATTACAATTGGTGAAATTTAATCACCACAATTAATTGTATAAACACCAAAAGTTATTGATTTTCATTGAAAACTTTATTAAGATTTGAAACTTTTTTTTTGTTTTATTTCAATTCATTTGTTAATTGTCACGATTGGTAAACGTGATCAAGGTAAAAGTGATCAAATTGTCATTTAAATAATATTGATAATAATGAAAAAAATTAGATTGAATAATCAATTGTAACAATTAACCAATAAAACCCTCATTTTTTTCATAATATTATCAACAATTTGACTATTGATAAACCTGCATTGGTAAAGACCCTTAGACTAATCTAATTGTTTTGTGATGATTAATTATTATCATCTTTGTATTTAATAGCTTTCATATCATGTTGATGATTAACAATCAGCTTTTAACAATATCATTGTTAATCAAAGTTAAATTGTTGAGAAAAGTGTATTATTATTGATACAGTTTAAATCAATGATGATCAACAAGCAATCAACTAACTGTTGTCATCTGGAGGAGATTGAGGTTTTTTCAATTGGAAACTAATAATAAACTATCATGGTGATTCAGTTTATTGATTGAATATTAGATAACCACTGAGAGAGAGAGAGAGAGAGAGAGAGAGAGAGAGAGAGAGAGAGAGAGAGAGAGAGATGGGGAAGGGAGAGATAGGAAGATAGAAACTGAGATTTGGAAGAGAAAATGAAAACATTGAGATGATGATAAGAAGGAAGATGAAAAATTTTGAGGCCATTTCCACGTGAGTTTGATATAAACTCATAGGAATAGATTAAGTGATGAGAATCAGGTATTTCCAATTTTATCATCAACTCCCTCAAGGTTACGTCATGATAATAATTATTAACTTGTGATAAATTTTTGAGATTCTGGTTAAGAAATGAAATTAGGTTAAAATCACTGGAAGATGATGACAAGGGGAAGAGTCGATCAACTAAAAATAGATTAAGATATAAGAGAGAGAGAGAGAAATAAAGATAAATTTCACAAGAATATCGACCTTTTTTGTTCCGCATCAACTTCATCATTTCCGTTTCCGTTTCATCAATTTCATCTTTCATTTTCAAAACTTTTCTTTTTTTCTTTGATAAACTCTTATTATAGTAATTGATTGATTAATTGTCAAATTAATTAAATTTTGATAAATTTCATTACCATTTACATTAATTTCTTTTCATAATTAGCAAATTATTTCCAAGCATAATTACTGCTGATGAAATTTTTTTTCGAAAAAAAAGTTAACTAAGTTTGTAGAGAATTTTTTTCCCTTCTTTATGATCATTAATTATTCTTTTTTATATCTTGAACTTTTTCGAGCATTCGACCAAATGTTCAGCTTATTGTTTACATCGAATTGAAAACTATGTTACCAAATCGTATCCATGAAAGAAAAACTGAGCTCCAGTCTCAAGTTGCTAACAAGAAGACAAAAGACTAACAATTTTCCAGTTCGAATGTACCAGTAGAAGAAAATCTATTGAGAATAGAACAAAATGTTCGAACTTATTTTCTCTCTCTTCTTCGAAAAAAAGAGAAAAAAATTACTCGAAACCATAAGTTTAGAACCGGAACAACTTAAAGTGAATATATAAAAGTGACATTATCATCATGAGCTAATGATGATGAGTAAATATCATGACTAATTCTGAGAAATTCAGAAAAGAGAAGCAGAGAATTTGAAATTATCTTTTTTTTTATCTCAAAAGAATAAAAATTCAAAAAAGTTCTAAGTGCTAAAAATGTAATAAACTTTTTCCACAGATATTATTCTGTATGAGTCGCACAATTTGATAACAATGAACTTGTCAATCGAATATAAAATATTCATCTCGAAGAAAAAAAAGTTCTGAGTGTTTATTATGATCAGAAACACGTTCAAATTAATTGGAGCTTTTTTCTTGCTTTCAAATTGTTGGAAAGTTTTCCTTGGCAATTTAAATTGCTTTCTCATGATGGACACTTGATAAGGTCAACAAGTGACCAGCAATTTATCAATTAATAGGATTGACCAATGAAGGTCAGTGTTTATTATTAGTTTCCATTCAATTCAGTTATTATTAGTTTCACTTCCCTGTTGGTAAACCTTTCATGTTATCATGAAATTTTCATTTTCTCTTCTTCTGTCATCATCATCATCATCATCTTCTTCATCATTCTCGTGCATATTAGTGAGCAAATGATGGACAGGGAGGAAAAATTTCTCTCTATTAATTTTTCTTTTTCGAACTTATTTTTCAAGAGAATTGAACTCAAATCCTAATCCCCTTGAGGTCATCTTTAGATTTTGGGGTTTTTGTCTGTTTTTTAAAAGGTCAATGTTATAAATGAAATTATCGAAATGGTTACAAATAAGTTCAGCTCATGATAATCTCATGAAGTAATCATGTTCAACTGTGATTAGGAAAGTTCAATAAAATTCTGAGTAAAACTCAGAATGACTGAAAAAAGTAAGATGATCAAATTTTCAACAATGAGAATCATCATTTTTCATCATCATGAAATCCAAACTATTATCATGGTGAAGATAAAAAAAAACAAAGTTACTCAGTCATCCAAGTGATTTGATTGAATCGTAATCATGGATTTAGATTACAATCAAATTGTAAATTTCAATTGATATTGAGAATACGATTCTTGTATTATTATCACCATGAAACCATGATGATAATAATGTTATCATCATCATTATTATTACACTGACACCAGAATAAAATAATAATACCTGAGATGATTAACTTTGATTCATGTTGGTAATACTTAAAATCATTAACAATTGATTGATTGTTAATCAAATTGTCTTTTTGTATGTTAAACTAATCATCATTTGATCAACAATTAATCTTGTTAACAATTGATTTAACCATTAATCACCAAGTTGTTTATATAAATTTTGACATTGATCACCAATACAAAGTCAATTGTAATCATCAAATTGAAACTTATTGGATTGTAAAATCAAATCAACTGATTAGTTGAAACTTATTGTTAATCTATTTCCTCTTAAACAAATCAACAAGAAAATCAAAGTTAATTGTCCAAGTATCAAGCCAACAGGATAATCTTTAAAGTATTATAACCAAAAATCAGTTAATTTCCTGTAAATAAATAAATTTAAAACCAAATTAACTAATCAATCAATCAAGAAAAAAAAACCCAAAAAATTAAACAATCAATTTGATGAGGAGTCGGAAAAGTAACAATTAACAATTTAATCATACTCATTATCACATATCATCGGATCATTAAAATTCAAGAAATTACTAACTGAGCAATTAACTAATAATAAGAATACAATTTTTACCAAATGGAAACAAAATCAAATCAATTGAATTAAATCATGAGAGGAAAATATAAATTTAAGGCTAAGGTGAAATTGTTACTTTGATTGTTGAGTTTGTGTTGAAATTGTTGATTTAATTGAGTAACAAACAAAATCAATATATCAGTATGTGTTTTTATATGATAACATGCTGGGAGGGAGTGGGAGTGGGAGTGGGAATTGGGGTGTGGTGGTGGGAGATGGAGGAGGAAACAAGCATTGTAACTTGTTGGACACACAATATATTGGATTGGGTTGATTTAATTGTGAAGCCAATAAGGAAACCTTAATATGATCAACCACTTCCCCCACAATTTCATGATATTAATCATATTCAGCTTGATTCAGTTCATTTTTGTTTCTTCTCATTAATAATTTATATCATATTAGTTTAGTTGATTGTTGTTGTTGATAATTTTGTTGCTTTTCATTTGGATTTTGTTTTGTTTTTAACCATATGGATTGAAGTTAAATTGTTTATTCTGGTTAAATTGTTGTTGATCATTTGGTTATAATCATTAATTGATTTGTCTCATTCTTTAATTTAACTTACTCTGGTTTCTCATTTACAACATGTTTACCTGATCCCAAGTTAATTATAAGTAATTAAATCATGTAATCAATTTGATTTAACCAAGTAATTGTTATAATCACCAATAGTTATTACACAGAATCGCAATTTAGTTAGATGAGTTAATCTTACCTTATTGGTTAAATTGTTGATTACCTGTAGTGTGATCCGATTCAATTGATTGTTGGTTTGGTTTGGTTTTTTTTTCTGTTTTCACTTTGATTAGTGAAAATTTGTCTCAAGTTTTTTTTAATTGTTTTAAAGATGATCAAAGTTGTATAAGAGATTTTGTTTTACAATGTAATCGTTTGATTGAAAAAAGGATAAAGAGAGGGAGAGCAAGAGAGATGATGATGAGGATGAGGATGAGGGAGCATGTGTAAAGTTATCATATTGAACAATTTAACAGTCAATTATTAAAAATAATTATTTTAAGTGATTATGATTGATTTAAAGTAAGGATGATTTAGTGTAAAAGGTGTAAAGTGATGATGATTTATATTGAGCGATGATTTGGTTGATCAGGTTTACTGTTAATTTATTGTTCATTTATTCAATAAGGATTAAGATTTACTATTCATGATTAAGTTTTCACCTTATGGATCAATGGAAACTCATCATGAACATAAACTTTTCTCATCCTTTTTGAATAATTCTCACTAATTAATTACTACTACTTAATGCAACTCATATCGAACGATTATCGAATGCTGCCTCTCAATGGATTATTACCAAGTTTCTCCTTGTACGCTCTGAGTTCTGCCTTTTTCTTTTTTTCAGTGTCCGTTTGGAAACATTCCCAGAACCTCAATGTTTCATCAGCGCTCAATGAGACAACTGTCGATCCATCGGGGCTCATGGAGAGTCCTAATAGCCTTTGAGTGTGACCTCGAAGTTCAGAGATTTTAGTGACTCCAGGATATTTCCAGATGATCAATTCATTATTAGCATAACCATGAGCCGAAATAAGCTCTTGATACTCTTTTGACCAAAGAATAGCGCAAACCTAAAGATAGAAAAGAAATATAAATAGAAATTAGATTCATCCAATTTGAAGAAGAAGAAAAAACTTTGCATAGTCTTAATAATAGAAAAGTTCACATGTTAGAGTAGAAAATTACCTGAGACTTAGTATCAACAGAGTAAAGGTTTGTTCCATTATTTATATTCCAAATTCGTATGTGTCGATCAGCAGTACCTCCTCCAGTAGCCAACAAATTGGGTTTCCATGGATTCCATGCAATGGCCTAGAATAGAAATTAACAAGAAATGATTAAAAATAAAATCGTATTAAAGTTTAAATGACAACTCACCTTGACTGCAGCTTGATGATCAGTGAAAGTGTAAATGGGTCGATCACAACCAGGATCTTTAGACCAAATATTAACTGTATTATCATTACCACCCGAGGCTAAATAGTTACCACCAATGGCCCATTTAAGGCCACAAACTTCTTGGTCGTGTCCATTAAGAGTTCCAATATGATGGTTAGCGATACGAACATCATGATGGAAAATTTGACCACTTCTTGCTCCACTACTAAGAATGTGACTATTCCAGGATAAGGTTGAAACACGGGCAGAGTGACCTGGCATAACTCGAAGACGTTTCTGTTTCTCAGCGTCCCAAAGTTGAACTTCACGGTTACTTGTTCCAACGGCAATACTATGACTACCATCAAACCATGAGACTGATGATATATATTCACCCTCTGGTAGTTCAACAAGTCGGTTAATTGTACCATTTGATGCGTTCCAAAGATAAAGATCTTTATCTAAAGCAACAGCTAATAAATTATTACTATTCCAGTCCAATAGTTGTAAATAGTAATCGTTTTTAATTTCAGGAGCATCCAAGATTCTTTCGGGTTGGGTGGGAATATGTCGAGAGGATTTTTTACAGGAACTGGACACTTTCGAAGAGCTATATAAGACTTTTAGGTTATTCGCATGACCTTCTGGAGCTACGGGAGCCTTGTCATTAAAACAGAGGATTCTATGGTTACTTATGTCACAATTAAGCGCGTCACTAATTGCTTTTTGGTTGGAAGATTGAGATAATGTGGTGTCTTTAGCGGGTTCACCATCATTTTCTTTAGTCGATTTATCTCCATGGGTCAACTAAAATTGGAGAAAGAAAAAGAATAGCAATGAGTTAAAGACAAAATCATAAATGTCAATTAGAGGACAAAAGGTTGAAGAGAAAATTGTTGATTCTTCTTACCAGGTAATGATTAATTTCAGGATTCATGGCATTTCTATTAGGAATATACCTATCTGGCCCATTGCTTGGACTTTTACTAGGAGTCTTAAGGTTTTTCATCGCAGATCCGGGTGTCCTTTCAAGTTTCAAATTTCCTTTTTTACCTGGTGTTTTACACGGAGTTTTAGCAGGAGGAGCGGACATGGACGTGGTCACAGATTTATTACATAATGAATCATTACCAATGTTTAGAGAGGCAAATGAGTTAAGAAGTGATCCGTTAAAGCTTGTCGTCAAGGTATCAATGGCCGTGGACTTGCCAGACCTTGTGGTTGAGATCGTTGGTTTCCGAGAAACTCCTGTAACTCTTGAAGAGGAAGGAGCGGCTAGTGAGTTTTTACTAAAATTCGAATCATTGTGAATTAAGTCTTTAGTTAAGTCAAGATCAGACATTATCCAATGAGTATTTCTTTAAAATAGAAAAAAAAGATGGAGAATAGAAAATAAAAACTTAAAGAAAATTAATAAAAACTATTAACACAAAGCGATGTGGAAAGTTTAAGGAAAACTTTAAAGATGAAACAAAGAAATGCGGCTCAATAAAATTGATCAGAATATTATTATACTTTAAGAATTAGGACTCTTTGATTAGCACGTTTTAATTAGAAAATGATTATTGTTGATTTAATTATTAGAAATAATGAAAAAAGACAAATGTAATCACAGAAAGTTGAACAAGCATCAACAAATGAAATAAATAAACTGACAAAACAAAAAGAGAAATTTTTAAATCTTCTTCAAGCTCGATCCTGATTGGCTCTTTTACTTTCGTAACCATGGTAACCCTGGTGGACTTTAAATTCAATTCAAACAACTTACCGGCTACTCAGCGAGTGGATTTAATTGTTAATTGAAAATCTAAATTGTAACAATTTAATTTCCATTTTTTTTATTGTTTTACGTGTTTTGTGTCTTGTGTTTTTTTTAATTTCGCTAATTTGATTGTTTTCATTTTGATACTCTGAGTAAAGGTTAGGTTAAATTAAATGTTTTGATTTATTTGAATTTATCTGATTGATTTGTGATTCGCTTTAATGTTATTTAAATTAGTCTTAAATTTGTGGGTGACTATTTTTTTTTCTTGGACTTCCAAAAGCCTTTAAACATTTGAGCAATTAGTTTACTCAATCTATTGTTTGGTTGTGATTTGGTTATTGTAAAATTGTCAATTCTCTTGGTTCCATTGGGTTGATGTCCATTTAAATGTCTTGTTACACTATTGTATTTGTAGTCACTTTCTAATCAGATTTTGTTTTCACTGTTTGAATCCTTGGTTGTTAATTGCTGATCGACGTTTCAAATGGAAAGAATTAGATTTATACAGTTAAATTACTGAAATATTTGGCAAATTGCAAAAAAAAAGAAATAATTTTGTAACAAATTTGGTAGGAAAAATGAAATTAAGGAAAGATGAAAACAAAACAAAAAGATAAATTAACTAAAGGTAACAATAAATGAGACCAAAAAGATAAAATTGATGAGAGGTTGATGACTAGAAGTCAAAATGATGGATGATGAGGGTTTACTTCATGTATTCCTAATTTATGATAGTCCATCAATCGTTTTGATAGAGAAGAAAATGTATTTATGGATTGTGTTGATAAGATCTAATTGTTTCATAAATTAGTTGCTGATTCTCTTCGACTAGAATTGATTGCATTCGTTGCCAAAATGTTAAGTGAACCACTCGGCACAATTTTTTTCCTGGCCACTGGCCGATTTTCGAGAATTTTTTCCATCTCTTCCAAAATGGTTGGTGTCAGTTTGTTTGATAATTTAATTGTGCTTAGTTGTAGGTAGAGTTGGTCAAGAGATCGAGGTGCAATTAGAACACAGTTGACATTTTCATTCCGTAAAGACCAAGCTAAGATTGAAAAACGAAAAGAAAAAGGAAAATCAGTTAATTTGGTTAGACCATCAAATAATACGTTTAGTTAACTTTAAAATTTCTTACCAGTGGCTAATTGTGAAAGGTCACACGAGAGTTTACTGGTAATTGTATTGAGCTCAGTTAATTTTCCTTGAGCAATATTCGTTTTAAGATCAGTTTTCAGGGATCTTTTCGAAATGAATGAAATGCCTTCATCGTTATTCAATGAAAACGGCGACCAAATAATCGAACCAACACCAAGTTTGTGATATAATTCGGGCATGTAAAGCTCCATCTTCTCACGGGTAAACATATGATATTCCATTTGTTCACAAGTTGGTGGTGGACAATTAAATTGTCGAGCAACTGAAAAAGCTTCCATAATATGGACCGGTGACCATCTAGAAGTTCCCCAATAAAAACAGAGACCTCGATCGATTAGATTGCTCATGGTTCGAACAATTTCCTCCATAGGACACATTCCATCTAATTTGTTAATTATCACGATATCGACATAACGTAATTGTAATCTTCGTAATGAGGCTTCCAAAGCTTCGGTTAACATTTTCCTTGATAGTCCTGAACCACCAGTGGTTGATGAAGGTCCATTGTTCCAGAATAACTTAGTTGATACCATATAAGTGTTACGCTTCCATCCTCGTTTTCTCAATATGTTTCCTAACATGACCTCACATCGACCATTAACAAAAGCATCACCAGTGTCGAAATAGTTGACACCATTCTCATAAGCAACTGAGATCAACTCTTCTGCAGCTTGGTCACTTAGACGAGTACCAAATGCACTCCAAAGACCGAATCCAACAACGGGAATTTGTAAACCGCTTTTACCTAAATTCCTAAGAGTTAGACAAAATTAATTAAAAGATAATTCGAATTGAAAGTCATTTAAAAGATCACCTGAACAAAAAATCGAAATTCAAAAAGCAGATTATCTTCTAAGAGATGACATGGTAATCTTTTCTTAATCTTAAATTGGTTTTCTAAGTAATCCCGAATTTATTTGATCGAAACCACCGAGGTTGAATTAACTTACTTGTACTTCATGGTGCTAACTGATGGCGAAGTAAAATTGGCAAATATTTCGTATCGTGGAGTAGATGGAGTTGCACTAAAAGCAGAAGTTGTGTCACCAATGAAAGGTAATTCACTAGAACTTATATCATTCCGATAATCATGAGATTGTAGATGAGATGGTTGTTGACTTTGTAGGGATTGTGGTTGTTGTTGTTGTTGTTGTTGTTGAGGTAAAGCCTGAGGTAAAGGTTGACTGTTTTGTTGAAGTGAATGGTGATCATAAAGACCATTAGCATTTGGTGGTGCAAATCCAGGAGATGTAACAGACCCATGAGGACCACTTGAACTTGCTTGACCTCCAACATTTTCCCCACCAGATACAGTACCTGGTCCTCGGTTCATATTCATCTAAGAGACAACAAAAAGGGTAACACAATAACAAAGATACAAACCAAACATTAGAATTAAACTATTGAACAAAAACGTCTACCCAGTAAATTGGAAAATGGATTCAATTCAAACAATCAGAATAACAACTTACCTTGAGATAAACACCAAAAAGAATGAAGAAATGAAAATTATTCCAAGGGAAAAGGTAAATAAACAAATACCTTCGAGGATAAGATAGAGCAAAAAGAAAACCCAAAAATCGAGGTTACCAAGCAATAGAGAAACAAACAAATAGGGAACCAAGAAAATCCAATAAAAGGTTCAAACAACAATCGAAAATTAAAAATGAACCATAATAATGACAGAGAAAAATAATCAAATCAATTGAAAAGAATTAAATTCAATACAATTAAAGGTGTAAAAGAAAAGACAATTAATGAAAAAGAGAAAAAATTTTATTCTATTCTCTTTTCAATTAAATTCTCTTTCTTTTCTCTCTGTCGCTTTTCCCTTTCGACTTTTTCGATCTTCTTTCCCACAAAATTTTCTTTTCCAATCAGATGTTTTCACTTTCTATTTCTAATTGTCAGTGTTAATTAATTTTCTATTAATTTAATTTAATTAACTTTTCGATTGATTGTAATTAGATTAACAATCGGTTAAGTAATTAGAGTTAATCACAATTATGATTCTTTTCTGTCTCCAGTTTTCCTCTAATGTGATAGTAGCCATTTTGTTTTTCTCTTTTGTGTCATTTTTTATTCTTTCTTATAAATATCAATGTGTCAACGTTTATACTTATGATGTCAATTTCATTAAATTGCTTGATTATGTCTATGGGAAGAGATATAAATTATTAATCAAGGTGGTTAATCAACAATTAAAAAGAGTTTGACTGTTCAACTTGTACTACATTATGATGATGGCGGTTGATCAATAAAAATGAAACCAGAACAATCAACAACAAGACAATAATCAATTTAATGATATAATTGTTAATATAATACCTGTTTATTATAGTTAATTAGTTGATCATCCTGCATGTTTGTTAATTGTGATCGATGTTACAATCAACTACAATTAACAATCCAATTGTTCAATTAACTTTGTTATATATATTCAAGTGAAAAGATGAATATTTTTTTACTCAAACAATTAGTTTCTATTGAACCGTTTTCTCAACCACTATCATGATCATCTAATATCATCAAGGTGATTAATTCAAATGAAACAGTAATTGAATACTTACAATTATAGAAACGACAACGTCAATATAAATGATGAAAATGATTACATTTATTCAATTAAAGTGAATTAAGTTATAATCATTAACCAATCATCATCATGACAATCAACCAAAAAAAAATTGAAACAGTGAACAATTAACTAAAAAAAAGGTAAATAATATTAATGTTAAGGATAATCATCATCATTAACATTATCCATTATGATTAAACAACAACAAAATATGAAGCGATTTATACAAATCACTTAAATAACTAATCTAACCTAAGGCAATTTAATGTCATGTCAACTTAATGATAATAGTAAATTAATTTGTCTGATATTACCAGTTGATGACATTAAAAATTAAAATTAACTTTCATCATAAACAACTAAACCACAATATCGTTACGATTGATTTAAAGTTAATCTTTACGATTTTGACCTAATCGTTTATTAACCTTAAATCATAAACAATCAAGACAATTAACAATAATCAGTGAATATATTATAATCCAAATGACGGACATTGACCTTAAAAAAGTCCTATTGACCTACTAATTGATTGACTTCCGAGTGATAATTAAAACCAATTTGGTTGATTGAAGAAAAATATTAATTGTTACCGTTGGTAAACAATTAATTGATCAAAACTTTTATCACTTTCAATCTCATTGAAGGTTAATTGTTTACCAACTCAATTGGATGAATTAACATTTTTAATTAACTTAATTGTTGGTTGGATGTTAATTGTTATCGTTGATCAAATCAATTAGAGAAAATTTAATTTCTTTTTTTAACTCGTTTAAAGCAATTTAATCAAGCAGAATTTACTTAATTATTGTTGATTAATTTTCATTCATTTTGTTTGAACTTTGATTTATCTTGAAAATCGTTAATTGTAAGCAACAAGTTGATCATTTAACATTTGCCTTGAGGGTTAATTGTGTTTTAATCACTTGCAACTATTACTTTTTGATTGATTGGTATGATCATGAACAACCACTTTGCTTACAACAATTAATTTACTTTTAATCAAAAAGATGGACCAAATTGTTACCATTAATTGTATCAATTACCACTTAAATCTTAAATTGTTATTTAATATAAAAAGGATTGAATGAGTAAAAAAAAATCAATCCAACAATTAAGTGGACCAACAATAAGTAATCATGATTTGAATCAATTCAATCAGTGGAAAAGTTTCCAACCAAAAAAAAATCTCCTGTTGTTGATCAACTGATTGTATTAATCAAAGATTATGATTTAATTTTTTTTCTCAACAATTAGGTCACCTCATCTTAGATTATCATGAGAGGGCAAGATGATTTAGTTAATCACAATCTTGACCTAATCATTTAGGAAAATTGTTTCAACTCAACCAACCACAATTAGAAAATCAAATTAATATTATTGATTGTGTTCAGTTAAATATAATTTCCTGATTGTGGTTAACGCCTTTGTCCAAATTTAAAGATCAACATTCAGATAACAGTTAAAATTAATCAGTAGTTTTCTGATTAACAAATTGTTGTTGTTGTTTTTACATCACAATTAAGGTTAAAGTTGTTAAAGAGCAACTCTAATTACAATTAAATCTGATTACTTTTTTTTAAAGTCTTGTTTTTATTTGTTTATTATTGAACATAATTAGTCAGTATAAGAAAAAAGAAATTAAGAAAATTGTTTAAGGACACAAAAAGGTGATGATGGGTTATTAGTGGTTCATTTGATTTCATCAGCAACATGAGAGGATCATCATCATCATCATGATGATAGAGGAGGAGGAGGGTGGTGGTAGTGTAAAAGATTGAGGTGGAAGAAGAGAAAGAAAAAAGAAAGAGGAATTTTTTTTTTCTTCGTTACAATAAATCAGGTAAAAGGTGTTGACAGTTCGTGCTTGATAGTGGCAATCAAAAAGTTATCACAACAATTAACAAAACTTGACTGTGAGATTTTGTTTCTTGTTTTGCAGTTTTCATTAGTTAACTGCGACTTTAAATTTCGTTAGTACTTTTTTTTAGTTATATTATTATCGTAACGATGCCCAGACAACGTTAACTTGATTATAATTATTACGCTTTTTTTTTGTTCTCTTTTTTTTATACCATCCAATATATAATATATATTAAATATATAGCATTTGCAGATAATTTTTGTTTCCTTTATAATTTTAGTGTATAAATAAAATGACGATGATGATGATGATGATGATGATGATGAGTGTGTGTGGTTTGTGTTATCCTTTTTGTTTGGGTGGTGGACTGGTCAAGTTATCAGCTGATTTGCGTTTTCTTGAGATTCTCGTGATACTTTGGGATGAGTTGAACTTTTAACAAAGTATTAACATTTTCACTCTGTTATATTTGATTGTTTGCTTGATTAGTATCTCGCTTGGTATTATAAATATAATAATTTTCCTTGATCATGGTGATGATGAATGCAATTTGAAAAGGGCTTGAAAGGTAATTGAATTGATTATCCTTTTTTAGTTGTTGTTGTTGTTGTTGTTGAAATTTCGTAAACATGAAAGAGATTGGTTGTTGTTGATTAAATCCAATAACTTTGTAATTGTTGTTGATTTTTAGGTGTGCCTATTGAGTTTTGTTGGTGAATGTGAATGGTGATTACGATGAGAAAAGGATAATGATTATTAATCCCAAAAGAGAGTAAAATGATTAAAATATCATCACTAAATTGCTCAATTAAGTGTCAAATGAGCAGTTTTTTTGTTGTTGGTTAATCTTTTTTTGCCTGATCCTCGAGGTCACTTAATTGTTTACTAAAGTGCCAATTGTTTGATTAATCAATTTCCATTTTCCAATTTGATTGATATTGTTAATAGTCTTTGAGTGTTTCCTTACATAACTTTGAATATTATCCTTTGATGATGTTGATTAATCTTTCATATATAATGTACATTAAATGACAATCAATGTTGGAGGTTTGGAGGAAGAGTTGAGTTAGAGCTGAAAATTAAGAGAGAAAAGGTTAAAAAAATAAGAAAAGAATTGAGAGAGATTAGAAAATCAATCATGGATGATAATGATTTTAGGTGAGAGGCGGAGAGGATGATGAAGGAGGAGGAGGATGGAAGATTATTACGAACCGTAAAAAAAAGGATGAATTGCAATTTACAATAAGATGAACAAATAAGGAGAGAAAAGGAGAAATAAAAAAAAAGGTAAGTATGAAAATGAATCTGAAGAAAACAAAAAGTGATCAGAATTGAATTACCATTTATTTGATTATCCGTTTGCTCATTAACTCTTCCTCGGCCAATTGTCCTCTAAAATTGCCCACCCTTTCCTTAAATCGTGTTAAAACTTCAATATGATCTTCCAACGAATCCTCTAATTGGGCAACATAAGAATCAACATCGTAATCAACTTCAGCGGTCATTTTTAAAAGTTGAGCATGAGATGATGTCCATTGGGGTAAAGTCTGAAATGAACAAAAAGATTATTTAAAAATGGAACAAGGTGAGAATGGTTAATGGAAATAGATTTGATTGTCATCCCATCAATCAGTTAGAGTTTGTTGATGACAACAATTTAATCAATAATAATCACACACACACACACAGAGAGGAGCCTTTACTTTAGGAGATTATCCTTGAGGGATGAAAACGGTTGGATTAAAGCTTTCAAAAGCATCAATAAGAAATTACTGAATATAAAGATTAACATGAAATTGTATTCATCTTGCTGAAGGGGATTAAATGTATATTTGTCTGTATGTCAATGAAAGGGGAGACAGAAATTAAGATTAACAGATAAAAAAAGGCAACAACTCAAGAGCAATTTAGCTTAACCGTGTTGATGTAATAATGTAACTTAAACACGTTCAAGACTTTAATTGCTTACGTTTTTTTTTCAAACAAAATCTCATTCAATGTTTGTACAAACAAACAACAAAAACAAGAAGCGTGGTAAACAGTAATGTCAATTGGAATTGTTGATTAATGACAATAGTAATTGAGTAGATGGGAAAAAAAGATGATGAGACAATCAACATATCAACTTGATGATTGGAGATTTAATTGGATAAAATTGATTGAAAATGAAATAATTAACTTTACCTCAACAAATGTCTTGTGAATATCGAGTATTTCATCTTCCATCTCTTGAAGGTGGGATAAAGTTTCATGGAAATTATATAAATCATCTGGTAAATCATCAGCCTGTCAACATGATTAATCCATTAACCATCAAGTAAGAATTGGAGTAGAAAAAGATAATAAAAATTCAATTAGTTGAATATGATACTTTTTTTAGAAATGATTAATTCTTACATTTGAATTGTGTAGTAATGCTAAATCATCACCATTCTTGGTTAACATGTCATCATCTTCATATTCAATATTTCTCGGTCCGGGATTATCAGCTCCAAGCTCTTTTACTCTGTCAGCATATCGAAGGGTATTCAATGAATGCTCACACGATTGCATACCAGGTGAAATCATGGAAATCTAATTATTAGATTAAAGACAAGATGAGACAAACAAAATAGTCAATTGTTATTATGATGAATAAGGTAAACATTAATTGTGTAACGACTTATGGGAAATCGATAACATAATAACATATTAACGATATAAAATATTATCTTCACGTAAAACTTGAGGAAACTAATAATCGTCGTAATGATAAACAGAGAGACAATTAATGAGGAAAATGAATTACTGAGAATAAGGAGAAACAATTGTTTTCGAAAAACGCAACCCATCGGAATGAAATATAATCAAGGACTTAATTGCAAATTCTATTAAAGAAAACTAATCTATCGATATTGGTTCATGATAGATTTAAGTATTTGAAATAGATTGGTAGATTTTGGATGAATGGAATTGTTGATTAAAGGTAACTTACCATACAAGTTCTTGAATTTTCACCAATAAATGAGTCTCGAAGTACTTGTGTCAATTTACTTGCTCGAAAAGGTAAATGAGCTCCTTTTCTGCCAAGAGCTCTGATACATTCTTTTAATGCTAAAAGTGATTTATTAATTTCTGCTCCTTCCATACGAGTTTGTCGATTAGCTGATGATGTATCTGCTCCTCTCTCATTTCCAGCTAAATCAATTAGTGAGAATTTACCTCGAAGTCGATTGTTATTTTTTCGTTTCAATATTATCTGGAAAACTGCATGAGATCGAGAGGAATGATTATTGGCCGATGTAACACCCGAAGTACGAATATTATTTCCCATTTGAATCAATTTCAAAACATCATCAACAGTTTCCACTGATCTCTCTTGTAGACCAACAACTTGAACCTGATTTTTGGCATCTTCCAACACTCTCAGCTTTGCTTTGTTATTTAGAAGATCAAAAACCTAAACAATAACAACAATTAACAAAAGTAATTAATGTAACAAATATACAATAAAGAAGGATGAAAGTGAGAGGGAGAATGAAACTGATGAAAACTCACCTTTCCACTGTAAATTTCAAAGAAACTAGCATAGACTACAAAATCTTCATTCCGATATTTAGGAGATTTAACAAGTTTAAATACATCTCGTGCTGCCAAATAGTAAATACCTCGGGATGAGTCTTGAGATTTACCATTGAAATCACCTCCCATTGTATGAGTTTTACCACTTCCAGTTTGACCATAGGCGAAACAAGTAGCCATTCCGCCTTCAAATATTGTCTGTACAAGAGGCTTGGCGGTATATCTATAAATCAGCTCATTATCAGCGGTTTCATCAAATGCATAATCAAATCTAAACATATGATTCTCCAAGTAACGTGTTAAATCAACTTTATGTTTAGGCTCATGAACAACAATTAAATCTTTTGAGGGCACAGTTATCACATCGATATCTTTCTTTCCAACTTCTTTCTTATTCATTGGCCTTTTTCTTACAGCGACACAAATTTGTTGATATGCAACCGGATCTCCCATACTTAATGGTTTATATTCAATTTGTGATCGATATTCACGAATCATTCCTAAAAATTCCCAATTTGGATTCCCTTGATCAACAGCTGACATTAAATCTTGTTTCTCTTGTTTCTGTTCTGCTTGACGGTTTCTCCTTTCTTCTCGTTGTTTCTTAATTCTGTCAACCTCTTTCACTACATTTGATCGTCGCCTTGACTGCGCATCTTTAGCTCCAACTGGAATACCTATCGCAGATTTTTGGGCTATAGTTTGATTAAGTGTCGACTGGTTGATTAAACCACAAGGAGCTGATGTTAGAACTGTCGGCAAGGCTTCCGGTATACTCATTCCATTGCCATTGCTGATTGTTTGACGTGATTGTTGTTGTCTCATTCTAAGCGATCCTTTAGTTGAATTAAGAGCAGCAACTGATGGTCGAGGTGGTAGAACCTAAAAACATTCAACACATTTGAGGGGAAAAAACCATAAAACAAAACAAAGAGAATACATAATTAGATATTCATAAATGAAAACAAGATTTTCTTACAAAGAAACATTAACTATACCTCTTCACTATTATACTTATCATTGGTAAGCAAGTATGAAGATAACAAGAGAGAATGTTATTGTTAGTATAGAGTTAGTTAATAGAAGAAAATTTAAGAAAAAAAACAAGATGGAAAGACGGACACACACACCCAAAGGTGAGATTTTGGAAAAGTGTAAGGAAACAAATTTGACAAGAACATGTAATGATCGGAGAGAAAACAGAAAAGAATAAAACAAAAAGGAAATACCTTATTCAGCGTTGATGGGAATAGGATACCTACCCTTCTTGGAGCAACAGTTTTACTCTGATTTGAAGATTCATCACAAAGATTAGGGTTAAGTAAGTAAACAGATTCAAAATCAATCTCTTTTCCTTTAATTTCTTCCGATTCCGACCATTCAACTGTAACACTCCTATTCACATAATCAACATTACTTATAACAGCAGAATGAATTCGACCATTTGTACGTTGAATATCGACATCTAAACCAATTCGAAGTTTCTCCATAATTAATTATTCCGAATGATAGAAAATAAAAAAATTAAAATAGAAAAAAAAAACCAAATAGACACATAAAATATTCTAAAACCAAACTAACAACTGAAACAGAATTGAAACAACTTCAGAAGAAATGATGCGATTTTCAATCGATCATTTGGATCTTTTCAAAAAACGATTAATCGTTTTAATGATCGATCTTTTTTCTTTCTTTTTCTTTGTTTGTTTCATTTTTTTCTCGATTTATTAATCGATCCGAATATCATTTGATAGATTTGATGAAGATCAATAGTTGATCACTTTTTCTAAAAAGAATCAATTAAAACTTAATAATTGCAAGTAAATTACGAAAAAAATGAATAAAATGTTAATCAGAAAATCAGTTAAATCTATTGATAGAAAAACTCGATTCAATCTTCACCAAGTAGAATCGAGTCAAGATGTCAGCTGAAAGTGTGAAAGTTGAGCTGAAGAACAGTCGTTGAGTCTTACTGAACAATTAAAAATCAAATTCATCTAAAATCAAATCTCTGGTGTTAACTAATCTCTCAACTATTGAATTGAGAAACAAAAATATAAAATCTGATTTAATTGCGAAATTTTATTATCGTCGTAATTGACAAATGCATTAGGCATTTAACCATGTACATGGTACCGAACTAGACGTTCAGTTTACAAGTTTCGTGTTAGTTTTCATCTGTTTTTCTTTTAGTATCTCATGAATTTTTATTAGGTGTAAGAAGGTTCATTTAAATCAGTGATTGAATAATTCGGTGTCTTCATTGGCTTGGCTTGTCCTTCATTTTGTTGGATGCATCTAATGGTGACAATCCTTTTGTTTGTTTGTTTCCTTTTTTTGTGTTCTTTCATAGATTTGCCGGGTCCTTGAAGTGATGTCCAATTTTCGAAAGCATATATTTTATATGTTAAAATTTTAATTTTTTTTTCTTTTACGATCACTTTTCACATTTTGGGTTAGGTGATAAGGGAGACATTTTGATGTAAATTGTTATATATATCACTCGATGCACAGGAAAAAGTTGTACTTGAAATTAAACTGATGCATATTGACTGCTTTTCTCTTAATTAGTTGTAATTAAATTAATTAATCACAGAGTTAAGAAGGTAGATGTTAACCAAAAAAAACGAAAAGAATTATTTCAATTAACAGATAATAGATGTCACTCAAATCGAGTGTTGATTAGCAAATGTTGTGATCAACATTTGGAAATTTAAAATTTTTAAATGCTTTTCATTGTTATTGTTACAATTAATCACATTTCTAAAGTTAATTTTAAATTTTAATCGAATGAAAGTGATCTCATCTATGAACCAACTTCCTTCATGAGTGTTGTACCATTCAGAATATCGCCAATTTAAAAATGTTCCCTTCTTTTCTAGATCCCGATGGTTTATTTCGTGTTAAAAGGTTATATTCCGAAATCATCAACGGAGATCATAGTGCCGAAGCGGGAATTATCTTCAAAAGTTGGTACTATTCTCTGGCCACTGGTGCAATCATCGGATCAACCGTAGGAGTAAAACCTATTTACGATGGTTAGAAAATGACCGAATACTATTAGCTTTTAATCGATACATGTAAATATTTATTCTATTCTTTTTTACTTTTTTTTCTCTCGCTCTCTCTCTCAACAGATTTTAAAGTTCGTTTCAATGAAATGCAATTTCAGGGTAAATCTGCTTATGCCAGGAAACTACTCGATTGTACTGTCGTTAGTTGTGGACGAAATGGTATTCGCATGGCTTGGAGGGCTAGTCTACTAGTGACCTTATTTACTGCATCAGCCTGTACATTAGCTGTTTATCACAACGATGTTAGATTTAGTGATTTAATTTTCGCTTCTTCCATTTCCGGTGCTTTCTATTTTTTTCATCGAGGACCTAAGGCCATGTTTGCTGGTTCTATTTTATCTGGATTAGCGGGAATACCTATCGCTGGTTTGGGAAAATTAACTTTATGGACTTCGGGTTTTTCTTATTCCGAGTTCAGTGATCGAGCTCGAGATTATTTTGATGCCCCTGCGATTGCAAGAAAGAAATCTCAACAAAAGAAAGAAGAACATTTTAAAAATCTTTCAACAATGCTTAGAGATGATTTTAAGAATTACATTTATCATCAAAGGCGAGTTGATAGGTTGGAAAAAATGGGAATTGTTGATGATTCTTTTAAACAATTGAAACCGGCCAAAGGAATCAACCCAAAAGAATTTGAGAAAGGCAACAATTAATTACCATTAGACAAAATAATTTGTTTTAGTTGAAACTTGATTGAATAAAATTGTATTTATCAAAGTGTAAAATCTAATTGAATCAAGTCTTTTATTAATCCAATCCAAGAGATTTTAAGTTTCCATGAATCGATCTGGATCTAATTGTCTTTCAATGGTCTCTTCTTCTTCATATTTAACATTACTTTCAAGAAGAGGAGTAGTTCCGATAGCAAATCTATAAACACCTTGTTTTTTAGCAGCAATTGCCGATTTCGGAATATCATAGCCACGAATATGCTCAATTTTACCTTTAGTAACAATACAAATATCAATAGAGTTACCAGAGGCAAGATCATTTTCGATACCAGCAAGAATAGCATTTCGTACCAAAAGTTTAGCTTCTTCGAGTGGCATTTTTTGTCGATAATTTAATTCAAGGTGCGACATTGCAGCTAAAGATCCAGACCCCATAGAGGCAAACATTAGCTTGGTGATAGATCCATGAGGATAAATGTGACACAAGTGGGAACCAAATTTGTCCACTCCACCAAGAACTAAAGCACATCCAAGATGACCTTGGTATCTGAAAAAAAAATCAGAATTTCAACAGAAATAAAATAAAAAGAGAAATAAATATCATTCTCATGTTTCAACAAAAAGAAATGAAACTTATACATACCGGAAAAGATGTTGAGAAATTTTTGTGGTAGCTACACAAATAGGAACTTCTTTTCCAGAATTTAATCTATGCAGTTCAATGTGACCTTTAATCATATTTTCTAAAGCAGAAAGATCACCTGAAGTTCCGGCTCCACAAAAAACCAGATTAGAAGCGAGTCTATGAATTTTATCAGCCTTTTTGTCAGCAACAATGGAACCACCAGTAGCTCTTGTATCAGCTCCGAAAACTACTCCACCATCGAAAATGGCACCACAAATTGTTGTACCAGTTGAAAATGTTCTGGGTGGTTTAAAACCTTTCTCTACAAGATGCTCATTCCTGAAACGAATATAATTAATTTAAGTGAACAAAATAAAAAAAAACCATAAGAAAAGGTTAAGTCAATGGATACAAAAAACTGACCAGACAAATCAAAAGACTTTACAAACCTTTCAAAATTTCCAAATGAAAATCCAGGAGCCGGAATTTCTGGTAACAATGCAGAGGTCATTGTCGAGTAACAGGTGATAATTAAGTGACAATTAGTGGTAAAAAAAATTAACTGACAGAAAAACAATTAACCAAAATATTAAATTGGGAAAAAACAACAAGATGATTAAGCAAAAACCTTTCAAATCAAATTCACATGCAGATGAGAAGCGCCACCTCGTTTATCATTTAAGAATTAAAGAAAATTCTGATTGAATTGAACTGAACCAAATCTTAGAGGGATAATCAAGGATTTAGTTTAACACCCAATTGTAATCTGATTAGTTGATTTGGTTAAGTATGATGGGAGATAAGATGATGATGCTCAGCGACATCAGTATCGCAAGGGGATGAAGACGAAGTGAAGGACACCGAGATCTTGGATCGAAAGGGTTTTGAAGGTTCGAAAGCAAACAAGTTCGATTCAGTTCTAATCGATTATTGGTCTCACCTTATAACTAATAACCCTCGAATATACAGAAAATAATGACAAGTACATTCTCATTGATTTTCTTTAATTTTTTGGTAAAAAATGAGCGTTAAATGTTTGCGAGCATCGATGTACCCAATGGATCGTAGTTCTCATTTCAAGAGGGTGATGATGAACCCGAAAGTTTTTTTCAAAGTCTTTGAATTCTAATAAATTGTAACTTTGAATCAAATTTGATAATAATTGAGCGAAAAAAAATCTAAACAATTAAAGAAAATTTAAAAAAAGAGCTTCGATTACGATGTTTCGACTCGATTCCATTAGATGGCATTTGAAAATCTCAAATGTTTTTGAACCAAATCGGTTGAACCAATGATCGTTTTTGAAAAAGTTGAGCAATTTTTCAATTTTTATGTTCAATTAGTTTATTTGTTTACTTTTAATTATGGATGAAGCAAGTTACCGGGTTGATCTTATTCAATCTCGATTTCAAAGTAAACTTCGTGGTCTTAATCAAAGTGCTAAATGGGCTTCAGAGTTGGTGAATTCTTTGTCATCTCCGATCTCATCAAATGATCTGTGTTTCAACAATGAAGTTTTATCTCATTCTGATTATGTTATGGCGAAAGATTGTTTTGATTTAGGTGAATTTGATAGATGTGCTTTCTTTTGTCGTAATTCAACATCTCGGGAAGGAAGATTTTTACACTATTATTCCCGTTACATGGCCGCTGAAAAGAAGCGTTTGGATATGATGGTTGACACTAATCCACATGCAACCAGCGCTCCTCATGATAACATTACGTCGGTAAGTTTATTTTCATCTGAGTCTTTTATAAATCATCAATTAATTGAGTCTTTTGTTCATGTGACAGCTTTACAGTGAAATTAGATCCGAGCTAAATAATAGTCTTATCAATGGGCAACTGACGGATGGATATTTACTTTACGTTTATGGAATTACACTTCTCAAACTTGATCTAACTAAAGATGCGATTGAAGCTCTAGCTCGTAGTGTTCACTTCGAGCCCTTGAACTGGGCTTCTTGGCAACAATTAGCAGTGATCATTGATGATAAATCGAAATTAGAGCGACTCGATATTCCAACCCACTGGTTTAAAAAGTTTTTCCTCGGAGCCGTTTACTTGGAATTACAATTAAACGAGGAAGCTATTGATCTCTACTCTTCTCTTCTGGAGACTTTTAAAGGATCGAGTTATATAAGAAGTCAAATGGCTAATGCTAAGCACAACTTGAGAAATGTTGATCAAGCTATTGATCTTTTCGATGCCATAAGAGAATCTGATCCATATCGACTTGATGCTTGGGATATTTACAGTAATTTGCTTTACGTTAAAGACCTCAGACCAAAGCTCAGTTCATTAGCTCAGGCTGCTAATAACATCGATCCATTCAGAGTGGAAACTTGTTTTTGTATCGCCAACTTTTTCAGTCTTCGTGGACAACATAATAAAGCGGCCGTTTATTTTTCTCGTGCCTTACAATTGAATCCTCGTCACATCTCAGCCTGGACATTAATGGGCCATGAGTATATGGAAATTAAGAATACAGGAGGAGCCATAATGTCTTATCGATCAGCAATCGAATGTAACAAGAAAGATTATCGAGCTTGGTATGGACTTGGTCAAACTTACGAAATTCTTAAAATGCCAGCTTATTGTCTCTATTATTATTCGATTGCTCGCTCATTACGACCAGATGATTCTCGTATGCTCATAGCAATGGGAGAAACTTTGGAAAAATTGGAAAGACATTCAGAAGCAATTAAATGTTATTGGAAAGCGGGAGGAATCGCCTTAGTTAAACTTGCAGCTCTTTATGAGAAACTCAGTGAAAAGGATAAAGCGGCCGCCGCTTACAGTGATTTCATCGCTCAAACCGCCAACATGCCAAATCCAGAGGGTAATCCTGATCTTCCAAATGCTTACAAATTCTTAGCAAATTATTATCTATCGAAAAAAGATTTCAAAATGGCTCATAATGCTGCTCAACAGTGTCAACAATATTCTGAAACTCGAGATGAAGGTAAACGAATCCTAAAGGAAATCGCAAGTCTCGTTAAAAGTGGTTCGATTAAAGATGTTTCATTTCCTTTGTAATTTTCCATCAACAATTTAATCAAATTAAAAGTATTTTTAAAAGAAGCGCTTCAGTCAACAGATTTTCGATTCAATTCCAATAGATGGCATTTGGAAATGTCGATCATTTGATCGGATCAATGATCATCTGCCAAGCAATTTCTGTTCAAAACAAACGTCAGTCAATTAGCTAATTGTTTTCTGTGATTTTCTTTGGTTTTTTTTTTGATAAAAATGGACGTTAAACGTTTGCGGGTATCGACATGCCCGACGGATCGGCATTCTCATCTCAATAGGGTGATCATAAATCCGAAAGTGTTTCCAAATGCAAGGTGATTGTTTTTTTTTCATTTCTCATTTCACTTTTTGTTATTAATTTTTTTTACTGTTATTCTCTTTCAGGCATTTGGAGATTACGAATCAATACTCAAAGAAATTCATTTTCACCATCACGCCTGTTGATGGTTATAATCCAGAAGAGATTGGATTCAATGCTCCAATGAGAAAATGGGCGGAATTGATGAGAGACTCCTATGTGGAAGTGAGACCCTTTAATTTTGATATGCGATCTCAATGCATCTCACTCATCACCCTGGAGATCGATATTTTGATGAAAAATGCAGTTTCTTCCGATGTTTATGACACTGACGATATGGCAATCTCATTTTCGCAGCAATTTGCTGACCAGTCTTTCACTGTCGGTCAACAGTTGGCGTTTAAATATGCTGATAAAAAGCTCCTACAAGTAGTGGTCAAAGAGATCCAAGTTTTAGACGTTGCCTCTATCGCGGGTGGTTCTGAGAAATCAGTACAAAAAGTTAAAATCGGAGTTCTTTCAGCTAATTCGACCATCATTTTTGTTGAAGGTCCTGATTCAGGTATCAAATTAAAAGGCAAATCAAAAGCGGGCTCATCTCAACAATCCCTTATCAGTCCAAATTGGGATTTTGAAACTTTAGGAATCGGTGGTTTGGACAAGGAATTTAATGATATCTTCCGAAGAGCTTTCGCCTCTAAAGTTATTCCATTGGAATTAGTTGAACAACTTGGATTAACTCATGTGAAAGGTATTCTACTTTATGGTCCCCCAGGTACTGGTAAAACATTGATCGCTCGTCAGATTGGATCGATGTTGAATGCGCGACCACCTAAGGTTGTTAATGGTCCTTCGATCCTTGATAAATATGTTGGTGAATCAGAATCAAATATTCGTAAATTATTTGCTGAAGCTGAAGCTGAATACGCTAAGGTTGGAAATCGATCAGGTCTTCATATCATAATTTTCGATGAGATCGATGCCATTTGCAAACAAAGAGGATCGGTAGCTGGTGGGGCAGGAGTACATGACAGTGTTGTTAACCAATTGTTGACAAAAATAGATGGTGTTGACAGTTTGAATAATATTCTAGTCATCGGAATGACCAATCGAAAGGATCTCATTGATGAAGCTCTTTTACGTCCTGGAAGATTTGAGGTGCAAATAGAAATCAGTTTACCTGATGAAAAAGGTCGTGAGCAAATTTTGAAAATCCACACAAAGAAAATGAAAGAAAATGGTAGACTAGCTGATGATGTCGACATTCAGGAGCTCGCAGCTAAAACTAAAAATTTCTCTGGTGCTGAATTGGAAGGATTGGTTCGCGCGGCTCAATCAGCTGCTATGACAAGAATAATAAGACCAAAGAGTAAGGTTGAAATCGACTCTGAAGCATTAAATAAACTGATTGTATGTCGAAGTGATTTCCTCCATGCCCTGGAACATGATGTGAAACCTGCGTTCGGTGCAAGTTCTGAAGAAATTGAAGGTTTCTTCGAAAGAGGAATAATCAATTGGTGTCCACAGATCGAAGCTCTTTTGGAGGAAGGAGATTTGGTCATTGGAATGGCCAGTAATCCACGAACACGTCGAGTTGTTCCCATTTTCCTTGAAGGCTCATCAGGTGCTGGTAAATCGGCTTTGGCTGCAACCATCGCGAAAATGTCAAACTTCCCCTTCATGAAATTATGTTCACCTGAGCAAATGATCGGCTGTTCAGAATCGGCTAAATGTTCCATGATTCGTAAAATTTTCGATGATGCATATAAATCTCATTTGAGTTGTGTTATTGTCGATCAAATTGAAGAGCTGATTGATTTCACACCGATTGGTCCACGTTTTTCCAACTTAGTTCTCAGAGCTCTCAAAGTATTGATTAATAAACAACCACCTAAAGGTCGTTTCATGCTGGTTCTATGTACAACCAGTATGATTGGTGTTCTAAAAGAACTCAATCTAACTACAGATTCATCGATAATCAATGTACCCGAAATGACTGAAGTTGAACATCTTTTATTTGTTATACAAAAACTTTCGGAGGCAAGTGGAATTCAGATCTTCAACAAACAAGACTATCACTACCTTGAGAAAAAATTGCGACAATGTCGAATTAAAGTCGGAATCAAAAGATTTATCCAAATCTACGACAGTTATGACAATGAAAAAGATGTAAGAAAATGGTTGATGAAGATTATTTTAAATTTTATAACTAAAATTGTTTTCTTTAAATTTTCTATTCTTTTTTTCAGTATGATCCAGGTGATCGAGCTCACCGATTTTTCCAATCACTTCAGTCTAAAGGATGTGTCATTCCGATGTAGAATCCAGAGTTTAAATTATATTATTAATTATGTTTCGATTGGAATCCAATCATCAATTCCACTTGCACTTTTTTGGGTTGTTACTTTTTTTCGTTATGTGTGTATATCAATGAATATGCGACAAAGGCCCGAGCTTTTTAGTTGCACAACCATTTGATTTTAATCAAAAAATTACTCTTAATTGCGCTTAATCTGCAAAGCAATTAGTGTGTGTTGTTAAAAAAAATAGATGAACTAAACTAAATAATCATTAATCCAATTTTAACGATCATTCCAAAATGTAATAACAATCAAATCAAATTTAAGTAATAATTTATTCAATCAATTGATTACTGCCAACGGATACTTGTTGATTGTTTTATTCTAATCATGTTTGTTGCAGATTTTGGTGTTGGAATGGAATCAAAAAGCTCGATAATCATCAATTTTGCTTTTTTTCTCTCCCTCAATTGGTGAAGAATTAAAATGAAGGTGGCAAATGGATGAGGATGGAGATGGAGATGGAGACCAAAAGAAGGAGGAAAAATAAAACTCAAGGAAAATTAGGAAAATAAGATGAGTGGCATGTGAGATGATGAATAGTGAGTTCTTTATGAGTATAAAGTAGCCTAGAATTGGGTTGAATATTATGATAAAAATTGTGAGATATCTCAAGAATTTGTCCAATATAAACTTATTTTCTTTTGGAACCTTTGCTTTTGTTAATTGACAAAAGGAATCACACAAAACATTATCATTATTAACGATAACTTATCTTCTTTATCTCTTTTATCTGCTTCTTCTTCCTTATCCTTCATCTTTTTTGCTTCTTCTTCTCTTCTTCCTTCTCGATTCGCATCCTCATCATCATCATCATCATCACACCTTATTATCGATATGAGATAATAATAATGCTCCGCCTTCAATTCAATTCCTCAATTTAATCAACTCAAGAATCAACACTCATCCCAGTTTCTTACTCCCAGGGCAACTTTTTTTTCCTCAACATTTTCATTCAGATTAAAATTGTTCTTTTCTTTTAACCTTCAATCTGATCATTTTCATCTCATTTCTTCAACTTTTCCTTTTCTCTACTTCCCAAACTAATCATTTCCAACTTATTAGAACTTATTTCCCGTCCATTGAGTTTTTTATTTCAGTTAATTATCAATAATGAATATTAATCAGTTCAATTTATCGTTCATCTTATACTTTAAGTATCTCAATCCTTTTTTGTGCCTAAAATTGTCGCAGCCTTTTGATTCCTCTTTTAATTACTGTTAATTGTTGTTGTTGTTGTTTTTTGCTCTCACCGTGTAAATAATAACAAAATAATAAACAAACACAAAAAGTATTATCAGTAATTAAATCGTGTAAATTTAGTGCTCAATGGATAAATCAACAGAGCCAATTATAATTGCTAATCACAAACAAGAACCCATCAAATCTCATGCTAATCCAGTTAGTCCAACTTTAAATGTCCACAACAAGAACCATCAGTTTATTGATCTGGGTAAGTTAATCGTTAGTTAATCTAATAACAATTTGAGTAATTTAACTGGAAAATTGTAATTCCCATGCACAATTTGATTATGATTAGCGTTTCAAGAATCAGTCCAACAATTGAAAAGTAATGAAAAAAAAATGAACAAGAAATGAAGTTGAATGTTAAGTATTATGATGGGAGTGGAGATGATGATGCTCATCATCATCATCACTATCGATAGGGATGAAGATGAAGATGAGGATGATTATTAAAGTAAGTGACATTGAGATAATGGATCGAAAGGTAAAGAATTTCAATTCATGTCTAATCGAATATAGGTTTCACCATATAATGAATACCCTCGAATATACTTGTCATTATCTAATAAAATGAATGCTTCCATTTCAAAAGATAACATGACTTTGAGTAATTATTGATAACGAATGACTTTAATTTGGACTATTTAATTTGCTAGTTTGAAATGAGAACGAGCCAATTTTTAAACATTGAGAAAAGTTGGATTATATTGTTGGTTTCGATTACTATTAATATTAATTGTAATAAAATTAGGAAGAACTTGTATTCATTTAATGATTGAGTTTCGCTGTGTTGTTATTTGCTATTCTTTGTCCAGTTCATCCTGGAATCCAAATGAGGAAGAAAAAAGTAAAGTTCTTTGTGAGGTTTTCTCATTATCGGTAAGAATTTTCGCTCTTCGATGAACTTTTCTTCATTCTTTATATTAGATCTTTTGTTCGAGAATGTAAAAAGTGTCGATATTTTGTTTCCATCATTTTCGGTTCATTGGTCATTTACAAATAGATTTTGAAAAAATATTTTCTTTCCAAAAACTATCTCAGAATCTCATGAGTTATCACCATGAGAAATGGTGGAAATCTCAATTTCGAGTTTTCAAATTGTGGTTAAAATTATTGATCTTCAATCTTTTCTGAGTCTCGTCCAATGGATTCAACTACCTGTTGATTTGTTGTTCATCATGTAAACAAAATGCTAATGCAAATGATTAATTTCCAATTGAATTACAGGGTATGACTCTTTACATTCAACTCCAAGACAACAACCTGTTGGACCAATGGATGAAATGAGAGAATTCCATGAATCTGAAATGGGTGAAATAATGGACGATAATTTGAGTGGTAAAAGTACCTCAAGTGAACCACAATTAGCATTTAATTTGAAAAGAGCGACGAAAAAGTTTTTTCATATTTCAAAAGTTTCGAGTAAAAAAAAATGCACCAAGAAATATTTTGATCAAGATGATATTGATAATCCAAAAAGGAGCAATAAACTTGAACCAATCGGTGAAAAAGTTATCGTCAGGGAAGAATGGGATAAGAAGATTGATTTCCTATTCTCGATAATTGGATTTGCAGTTGATTTGGCAAATGTTTGGCGATTCCCTTACCTGTGCTATAAAAATGGTGGTGGTAAGTATCATATGTAATATATTCATAATATTAATCATCTCTCGAGAATTAATCTAATAGAAAAATTCTCACGAGAAGAAAAAATATCAACAAAATATCATAACAACTCTTTTCTTTTACAACAAAATTGGTTCAAAAAAATTCAATTTTCAGGAGTGTTTTTGATTCCGTACACTTTGATGTTACTTTTCGGAGCTTTACCCCTTTTCTTCCTGGAATTAGCATTGGGACAATTTGCTAAATCAGGACCAATTAACGTTTGGGACAAAATGTACCCCGCGGCAAAAGGTGTCGGCTACTGTGCTGTCCTAATTTCTTGGTACGTTTCATTTTATTATAATGTTATCATCGGTTGGACCATTTATTATATAATAACAACAATTACTTCAGGTAAAAACTTTTCCTCTCACAATTTTTGGAGTAATTAAAAATTTCACATAATTAGTTGTATATTAATGATGATATTTTGTTAATTCTTAATCAGGGGATCTACTTCCTTGGCAGCATTGTGATAATGAATGGAATACCAAGGAATGTTTCGCCGTTAATAGGATAATTAATTGTCCTAATTGCACAGATATGATTCCATCGCATAATTTATCAACTGCAGCTCAAGAATTTTTCGAGTGAGATTTTATTAATTAATTTCTAATAATCAGTATTCATTTGATTGATTGATTTATCGGATATTCAATTGATTTTTAAGAATAATTAAAATCTTATTTGTTTACAGATTGAAACAAAAAGAAAGAGAGAAAAATTAAACACAATTGATTGATCATTAAAGTGATTAAATTGTTCACTCAATTAATTGGATTAAACTGTTAACCGCTCCATCTGTTGATCGTTTTTACAGAATCACGAATAACTTTTTCCTTCTTTCGATTTTTTTTCTCTTTCGTTCAATCAAAGGCGAAAGTTATTACAGATCGATTCGTCGAAAGGGTTAAGTGAACTGGGAAGCTTAAGGCCAGAAATGGTTGGATGCGTTGCGATCACTTTTATTTTACTTTATTTCTCACTTTTCAAAGGAGTCAAATCATCAGGAAAGGTAATTAGAATCAGTTTATTTGAGAAAATAATTGAAACAATTCAATTTAATCTCGAATCGTAACTTTAATCAACAGGTAGTTTGGGTCACTGCCACTGCTCCTTATGTTATACTGACCATCCTGTTGATACGAGGAGTCTTTTTACCAGGAGCAGGTAAGAATTTAAAATCTGATCATCTTAACCATTTAATATCTAATTATTGTAATCAATTGGTTTACAATTAAACGAAAAGGTATGGGAATTACTTATTATTTAAGTCCACGGTTAGAGAAACTTCAACAACCCGGTGTTTGGACTGATGCTGCAATTCAAGTATTTTATTCAATCGGAGTTGGATTTGGAGTCCATCTTACCTATGCATCATTCAATAAATTCAACAACAATTGTTACAGGTAAATCATAGGCAAGATTAACAGTTAGATTAATCAAAGTTTTAATCACAATTCTTAATCCAATCTAATTTTCAGAGACGCTCTTCTAACCGCTTGTGTAAACTCTTGTACCTCATTTTATTCTGGATTCGTTATATTCATTTACCTTGGTTATATGGCTCAAAGTTTGAAGACTGATATTTCAACTGTGGCCAAGGAGGGATATGGTTTGGTCTTTCAAGTTTACCCTGAGGCCATTTCCACTTTACCATTAGCCAAATTATGGTCAATATTGTTTTTTGTCATGTTGGTCACTCTTGGTTTAGATTCAGCTGTAAGAATTTTGATTTGATCATTTTCTCTCGTATTATATTGTATTATAAATGATTATTGAATAATCTAATATTTAGATGGGAGGATTAGAAGCGGTGATTACTGGTATCATGGACGAATGGCAGATTAAGCGGATTAGCCGAGAATCTTTAACAGCTATTGTTTTATCTGCTTCTTTTCTTGTCTCTTTAATAAATTGTACTCAGGTAAGTTAATCATTGTCACGATAATCTGATTGTTCATTCTAATCAGTTAATTGTTATACTCACAGGAGGGGTTATACTATGGTTTGGTTTGACAGCTATGCAGCCGCCGTTTCATTATTATGCTCAGCTCTGTTTGAGGCTTTAGCAATAGCTTATGGATATGGTAAGATAATTAGTTAATTGTGATTGATTATCAGTTCTATTAATGTTAATGTTTCCTTTCAGGTATCGATCGTTTTTGTCTTGATGTTGAATCAATGCTCGGCTTTAAACCAGTTATATTTTGGCGAATCTGTTGGAAATATATTTCTCCATTGTTTCTTATAGTAATTAAATAACATTATAATCAATTAGTTAATTGTTATGTAACTAATCAGATATTTGTTTCTAATTTACAGAGCATCATTTTACTTTCTATTACTCGACCTGAGCCAATTATATTCATGAATTATGAATTCCCGTTTGAAGCTAATTTCCTCGGATGGATTTTTGGACTTTCATCAGTGTTTCCAGTTCCGGTTATCGCGATCTATTACCTCTTGAGACATCATTTATTCAAAAGAAATGATCTGGGTAAGGTCAAAGTTGAAAGGAAAAAAAAAGATTATCGTACTAAATCAATTCTAAATTTGTTTACATTTCTAATTATTAAACAGGTCGAACGGTAGTTTGTGATCGAGATGCAATTTCATTACCTTTCCAATCAGCAGTTTATATTTAGGAGAAGATGATTTTCTTGTGATGAGTTAATTTGCCGATGGAATCAATGGATTAATAAACTAATAGGATTGTTGATAGAAATAAGAAGAAGAAGCAAAATCATTTGATGTAAATATGATATTTCAATGGAAGAGTAAGAAAATTATTGGAAAGTAGATTATTGGAAAAGCGATAATATAATCTAATTAGTTAGTTAATTGATAAAATGATGTTTATTTTTATTTCTCTTCTTAACAATAATAATAAGCTGAATATTTGATCAGCTTGACAATTAAAGTGTTGACACCAAATTATTATAAATATAAATTCCAATAAAATTATGAATAAAACATTGAACTGAATTTAAGAGGACGAAAATTTTGATCTATTAACCAGCCAGAACAAGATGCTGTATATTGGAGTAAAGAGCGATACCCACCCGGAGACCTTGAAGTATTCATCCGATGAACAGTAAATCATGGCTGAAGAATCAATCACATGGTAGATACTTTGATAAGTTAATGGTCCTTGAAGGACCACTCGAATGACAATTGTTGTTAGAATGATGAGAATCGGCTTGACGGGTGAAAATTTCATATTCGATGGGCTTATAACTAACATTTGTCGAATCTCAATGATCATTCTTATTCCAAGATAAATCTCGGTGGAAACTGGAATGATAAACATGATCAATCCATTCCAAACCACCATGAATATGTAATAGTTAACCATTTGGATCGATCCGGAGGATGGACAAACCTCGAAGGGAATTGCTGCTGGAATGGCAAAGATAATCGATACGATTAAATTGATCGCGAATATTTTGACCAATGGTTGTTCAGTTATTCTGTTTGATTCCAATGGATAGACGATTGAATAATATTTATCCAGGGAAGTTACTAGGAAATAACATTCAACCATGTAACGAGTTACTCCAAGGATGAATGGGAAAAAAGATCCACATAAATATTTCTGGTACGATTTCATGATGGAAACTGAGGTGTTGATGCAAAACGAGTAATCGTTGAAAATAGAAACCCCTAAGGCGATAAACTCAACGATATTCATTTGAACAAGAATTTGATCAATTTTCTGAAGACCATGAGTTCGCCATTTGTAATACCAGAGACAGATAATCATGGTGTTGATTGTGGAGTTCAAAACGAAAGGAATTAGGAAATTAGCCACTAAAACTGGTGATCGATCCATCGTTAATCACAATAGTGAAAGTGATCCATTCAAGTTATTGAAATCATCTAGAATGTATCAAGTCTAAGTTTCGATAATCAATTAAATCTCATTTACAGGAAAATATCAATGATCAATCACTTTGAATTTGGTAAACAAAATAATCCAATTAACTTATCAAAACGATAAGTTAATGTGACAAATTAGCTTTTTTTATGTATTATCAAAGGAAAAAGTTTATTGCTTTTCAGATTATATTTCAATTAGTTGATTGGAAAAGGTGATTTCGATTAAGTTAATAAAGTGATTAATCAAATACACTCTCAGCTAAATGATGATCGTTTTCCTCGTTCATATCAATATCTCGTTTATCTCGAGTCATTTGATAATCTTCTTGACTTGTTGCTTCGATGCAAAGTACAATCAACTGATTTGAACATTGGACCTTTTCTTGGTCCAATAGTTTTCCATGTAATAAGGAGCTCGCGAATCCAAACTTTTGTTGACTATTTGAGTGCCAAGCGTCACAATAAGAGTCCACGTCTCGAGCACCTCGTTTATCAGCTCCGTGCCAAATGAGCTTTTGTGGCCTGTGGTTGAATTGAAAGGGTCAACTTTAAGTTCAATTTAAGTTCAATAATAATAAGTAAACTTTACTGACCATATACTATCGGCGAGAACGTTTCGACCATCAAACGAATAGATTCTCGGAGGAAATAGGAAAGGTCCACCTGATCCGATGAACAAGTCACGCCACGAATTGAAAAGAACCTCACCCTGTACACAAATTAGTTGAAAATATTATTATTTTGTTATTTCACGAACTCAACTCACTTTTAAATTTACGATCGGTAGTTTTGCATCTTGTATACGAACGATACTGTCGAGGTTTTGTAATCGAGAAGCTAAAAATGCCCTGAAGGTGCCTTTTATATTATATCGGCGAGATTGTCGATAGCATTCATAGTCAACACCACGAATTCCGTGCATATCCCCCGAATAAGGTTGATTTAAAGCTGCCATTCGAAGTTTCTTTTGGGTCTAAATTCAAAGTGGACAAATATTGTAATTAGAATAGTTTATAATTCAAATTAATTCGAGACAAAGTAACCTTTTCAATCCTATCGTCTAATGTCTGATCAAATTTCGGCTTATAAGTGACCAAAGGAGTAGTGACCTGAGAGAAGGAATAAAATTAGGTTAGATAAGCTCTTTTTTTCTCTTCTGATTTACCGTTACCTGGACATTTTCAGTTTCTGCTTCGACCATCGATCCAAGCTGAAAATTAATCGAGAAAAAATTTAATTGAAATGTTTAATTCTCTTTCCAATGTCAACTAACCGAAACGTATTGCCATCCACCATTGACTCGGACTAAAAGCGCTTGTTCGTCTATGATGAAACAGAGTGTTCCAAGAGAATTGATCGAAGTCATTCGTCGCAAAGAGGCCATGTCTTTTACGATAACCGCCTGATCTCATTTAGATACAATAGATTAGAAATCGTTTGGTAAAGGTCACATTAACTACTCACTCCTGGAATGACATTTGGTTTATCGTCTTGTGATTCGTATTGTCCAGTTTGACCTGGGGGACCCGGAGGACCAGGAGGACCTGGTGGGCCTCTGATCGATTCTTAAAATGGAATGAAGGGAATGTTCGATGAATTTAGATTTTCGATCCATTTTCGCATCGAGAGCTTTTTACTTACCTGATGCTTGTTTGATGGAAGATTTTAGATCTTTTAAATCTCGATTCATTTCTGATAAAAGTGAGAGGAAAAATGAACTTTCAATTGATTGTTAACAACAATTAGTATCTAACCTTTTGGGCCACTTAGAGTATTTTCCAGCCACGATAAATCAAATTCACTTGGTGGACCCGGAGGACCAGGCGGGCCAGGTAATCCCTGAAATCCTCTCGGCCCTGGTGGCCCTGTTGGCCCAGGATGACCAGTGCCAGGGGGTCCTGGAGGACCAGGAAGACCAGGGGGGCCTGAATTAGATGCTGGTTAATAAAAATTGATGTTTTAAAATCTTAATCAACAGAAAAACACGCAAACCAGCTGAATTACCTGATTGTATAACCTGATTTATATTCATCGATTTCAAAACAGATTCCAAGTTTTCTATACTTCCGGGTGGGCCTATGGGACCTTGTTCACCCTGTGAGAGTAAGGTAGACATTAATACTAAATAAACTTGCCCTTAGAAAATAAATTAATGGATTAACATGATACTTGAATATGTGAATACACTGATTACCTTGTCCCCTTTTTGACCATCAATACCCTGAATACCTCGTTCACCAGGTTCGCCTGGAAAGCCGTCCATTCCAGGCTTACCTGGTGGGCCGATTTCTCCTTTTTCTCCTTTAAGTCCATGGACAATTTGATCAATATTTATTTGTTTCTGATCAATTTTTTGCTAGAAATTCAAATGAAATCTTAAATTTCAAGTCACACAACAAATTAAAAACGAACCTCTATTTGACTCTAGAAAGAAAAGAAAATTAAATAATTATTGCTTAATTTTTACTCAATTAATCAATTGAATTGAACATAAACTTACCCAAATTTGTGTTAAATTAACCAAACCAGGTAATCCAGGAGCTCCCGATGTCCCTGGTAGTCCTTTTTTACCTGAAATAAGAACATGGATAATAAATTAAATGAACACAACTTAAAGTGTTGAAATTTGCTCACCTCTTCGACCTCTTTCACCTTTGCTCCCTCTTTCGCCCTGTTAAAAATACTTTTAATCGGTTAATCTTAAGATAATTTGATTAGATAATAGATAAGAGAATCAAGTTTCTACCTTAATCAATATTCCCTTTCCATCAACAACTATTCCAGGAGGGCCAATCGGACCTCTTTCTCCTTGATCCCCTTTAGGTCCCTTAGGACCAATTGGACCTTCGATACCTTGATCACCCTTTTCACCGCGAGGGCCTGGAGGGCCGATAATTCCTGGTTCACCTGATGAAATTGTTAAAATTTTATTGAAATTGACCACTAAAACCAAAACCGACTTAGTTAAAACTGACCAATGTCCCCTTTTGGTCCAACTACTGAATATGAATACTCTTCAATATCCTGAGGATCATCAATCTCAAATCTATGAGGATGTCGAAGTGCAACCGCTTGTTGACATTCCCCTGGTTCTCCCTGTGATTATAAAAGTTTGTCGTTAATTATTAATAATTGGACTAATTATCCTCTAAAGTTTACCTTCTCTCCTTTAGCTCCATCTAAGCCAATCGGTCCTTGAGGCCCCGAATCTCCAATATCACCTTTGGATCCTTTACCTCCCCGATGACCATCATCTCCCTTTTCCCCTGAATCACCTTTATCTCCTCTTTCACCCTTTTGACCACTTCGACCCATCGGACCTGGAGGGCCCACGACTCCCGATCCCTACACAGAAAAAATATCTTGATAACACTGGAACTAGAATTTCAGTCAATTCTTACACTTTGATAAATCGAATCGCTCAAAGTCCACTCATCGAACCTCGATAATGATCCTGGAGGCCCTGGTGGCCCTGGTGGTCCGTCTAAACCTGGTCTACCATCTTTGCCCTGAAAATTCAATCTCATGTATTATAGAATTTTTCAAATTCTTTCAATCAGTTAATAATCTTTTACCCTTAATCCAGGAGGGCCAGGAAGTCCTTGTGGACCTTGGTCACCTTTCTCACCTTTTTCCCCTTCAGTCAAATGTATCTAGAATCCAACAATCAAGAATAGGCTATTAGAACTTTTCTATTATTACTATCGTAATGATTTCCATTAAGTTATTTTCAACAATTAATGAATAGAAACAATTAACCAAAATAATTTAAGGTGAAAATACATTAACGAATCTAGTAAATGCAAGAAAAGAGATACAAACTGTAATTATAAATCATTGTTCAATTAAACTTTTATCGAGGAAAATTTAAATTGTTATTCTATTTCAGTCAAGGTTAATTCAATTGAATCAATTAAATTCTGATTTGCTTGATTACTTATTACTTATCATGAACTTAATCAACGACAAGTTTAGATTATAGATGATTATCTTGTATCTCGAATCATTATTGGATTTATTTCGAACTCAGTTTAGAAAAATCTAATTTGGTCATTGAATTGATTTTATGGATGTTCGAAAATATTAAAAGTTCGAATGGAACAATCAATTCTTCTCGTTACTTTCGATAATCATGATAATAGAAATTGAAATAACAGTAACTTACCATTAGATGAATTAATCCAATTAGAAAGTGTGAAGAGTTCATTTTGTGTAGTAAAATTTACTGAAAAAGTTGTAAGAAAGTTTAGAAAAATATTTAAATGCGAAAAGTTGAATGAATTTTATTCGAGGTCATTTACTATAAATTTCCAGGGTAAGTTCTAGTTGTCGAGTTGCAACAATGTTCATGTTTAGGAAATAACTTGAGTCGAAAGATAATAAGATATAAATAAGATACATGATAGAATTGAAGAGATTGCGTATTCGATTGCTCTCTTTTCTATAAGGATTAACAACCCATCGATAAATCATCAAGATTTATACAGTTACTAATTTGTTCATTTAATATTCACAATCAAAGGGAAAAGGATTAACAAGATTATCAAGTTTTCTTTCATGATCAATATGTTTTTTTTACATTTGAATATGAAATAGTCACAAAGTATTAATAATAACAAAGAATCGTTCAGGTCCATATCTAGGTCCAGGTCCTAGGTTCAGGTGAATATGATAAATTGATTCTCTATGATGATTCTGGACACTAAAAGTGATCAGTAATTAGATGAAGCTGATGTTTATCATGAGGGAAAGAATTGAAAATTGATGTTTGGTGAAAATAAGATTACTGAAAACAGCGAGAAAAGGATAATTACTTTATATTCAATTGCAAGTTCGAACCTTCAATCGATGGTCATTTCTTTCATTTCTGGTCTATAACTTAAATAGACAAATAAGTTAATGGTCAGTGGAAAAGGTAAATTAACTTGTAATCAGTCTCATGGGTCAGTTAATTTGCTCAGAAATCGAGTGATCAATTCAATTTAAAGTGGTCAAAGTTTATTAATCATTAGCATGGACTAGAAATGTAATATTTTGATTACTAAATAGAAGCAGATTATTATCATCATGTATCGTTGAGATTACAATTGAGATTCATGAACACTAAGAAATTACTGTTCATCTAACAAGTTTGATTAAGCAATTAAGAAGCAGAATTAATCATGTTCGGGTCTTTTGGAAGACGAGTAATACAATATCAGTGAGAATGAAAGTTTATCAAGAAAGGATGATTAGGTAAATAGGAAACGGAAGAGAAGCAAATCCTTTGAGGGTTTTAACAAGAGAGAAAAGAGAGAAAGAGGAAGATGAAGATGAAAGATGATGAAAAGAAGAAGAAAAAGTTTATGAATCAGCTTGTTACTCGATTTTTGTTCAGATGATAAATTGTGACTTTTTTCTTCTTCTTCACTTAACATCAACTTCATTAGAAACAAACAATGAAACGTGATTAGAATTGTCGATTGTTGCTCTTCCTCATAGATTCAGTTTTCGAAAAGTTCTAACATGAAACTTATCACAATTATTATGCAAACGCAATCAATTTATCGGCTATTTGGCCAATTAGACAGAGTCGAGATAATGAGAAAATATGAAAATCTCATTAATTATCATGGTTATTACAATTTCATTTTCTCCATGATCAAAGTTAATCAACATTGATTGTTGGAAAGAATAAAGAAAAAAAACTTTGAATAATGTTGAAAGTATTGATTGGGTTCGATTGTTAATATTTGCTCGAAAGTTTTTTCTTATTCTTTTTCTGCTTTGTTTCATTTTTTCTTTTAGATTCTTTTTCCTCTTCAATGATGAACTTACTTCATCTTCGAATGTGTATCAATGTGAATGGAAGATAATAGAATTACTGATAAATTCTAATCACGAATTCGATTTGATATCATTTCATAATCAAAACCAAATGAAAGAAAAACAATTTCATCTTGATTCTCTTGGTGAGAAGATGAGTGACACGCTAATATTAAAATATAACATTTAAAGGTAATTTGAGCTTCGAGTTATGTCCAAGAAAAAAAAAAGGATGAACAGTTCAACCGAATATCAATGTTCACCATTCATGATAAACGAATAAAATCAATAATAATAATATAGAGTTTCCAATGGAAAGAAACAATTTATTCCCATAGGCATTTGTGTGAATTTAGAAACTTCAACTTGGAGATAAGTGTTTTCCATTAAAATAGTTGGGTAAGTACATGTTAGAACTTTTTGTTTTTCATCGATTATGAATATCGAGGAAAATATTATATTTTTTTCAATTCGAAATCATTCAAATCGTCTTATTATTGTCTATTAATATTCCCAATCAGTTGACAACAATTCATTTTGTTCCTTGAATTAGTTTATCGGCAATTCAAATAATCGAGTGCGATATCAACCGTATCGGTGATTTCAACCTCTTTTCTTCAATAATTAACAATTGATTGATTGTTTATCTGATATGAAATTTAATTTGATTCAATTTATCATCATACTTATTGATAGTAATTAAAAGATTAATTTGATTATTACATAATCTTGATAATAGGACTGGATTGGAATAAGATTAACACGTTGATTAAAGTTAAATTAAGATTGAAATTTTTGAAGAAAACAAAAGACAAAGAAATTAACAATTAACAATTGAAAAGGTTTAATTGTTGGTTAACCTTGATGATAATTACATTTGCAATTATTTTTCTTAATTCAGTGAAAGATTTAATTATCTATAATAATAATAGATCAATAATTTCAATGTTAATTGTCAAGATATAAAAGCTCAATCAGATATGAATTTAATTTCAATCTCGAATTCAATTCTAATCAGTTAACATCTCTATCTTTGCTTTCTTTGCAATTAAATTGTTTTTAAAATGAAATCAATTGTAAGTAATATAAGAAATTGATATGATGGTGATTAAAGTTGATCAATTAACTGATTGTTGAAACTTTTTTTTTCTTATTTCAGATCATTTTTGCTGTACTTTTGGTCGTCATCATGGTGATCATACCTGAAGCTCAGTCAACCTATGGATGGGGATACGGAGGGTATGGTGGGTATGGCGGATATGGAGGGTATGGAGTCTACAAATATTGGCCTTCTTACTATCATGGTTGGGGCAATGGTTGGGATCACGGTTGGGGAAACGGTTGGGGCCACGGTTATCACCGTTATAAGTATGGACACTATTACCCTTACTCATCATGGAAATACTATGATTGGGATGGTCTTTGGGACGGTTATTACCTTAAATAGAATAAGAATCATAATTAATACAATTAAGGTGACATGATCTTGATCTGTAATAAATTTTATCTATTTTTGAACAAAATCAAATTGTTTACAATTAATTAATCGAACTCGAAAAGTGAACAAAAGAGAATTGAAAAAACCGCTTCAATTTTATTTCTCTTTTTTTTCTCAACCTTTTTTTTTTGTTTTCCTTTTCATTTACATTCGGGAACATGCTCTTGGTTTAATCAACTTAATTTAGTTTAATTGTAGTGTCTTTTGTTTTAATTGCTAATTTCTTATTAACATGGCTGATGATAAAGGTAAAACCAAAGCAAAATCTTTAACTAATGAGCAAATATTAGCTGGTTTCAATCAACTAAGACAAGCCCAAAGGAGTATCAATAATAAAATTATTGAGCTTGAAAATGATTTAAATGAACATGTGTAAGTATTTTTAATAGTAAATTGTTTCATCTTTTTTGTTCAGTTTCAATTAGTTTAATTGGTTCGTTTGGTTGTTCTAATTTACAGATTGGTTATTGATGCTTTAAAAGCAGTTGATCCAAGTCGTAAATGTTTCCGTTCCATTGGTGGTGTTTTGGTTGAAAGAAATGTCAAAGAGGTTCTCCCATCGGTTATTGAAAACAAAGAAATGGTAAATTGATTAAACTAAATTCTATTGGAATTTCCAGTTTTTCTTTACAATTTCAACTTATCTGATGTTCTCTTTCCTCTCTTCAGATTGGTAAAACCATTGAAGCTCTCAAGTCAAAGTGTGTTGAAAAAGGCCAAGAAATCAATGACTACATGGATAAGCACAACATCAAAATAAGACAAGAACCTTATGATAAAAGTGAACCTCAAGATAACAAAAGTGTAAACGAAGCATCTTCATCGGGTATTTTAGTCGCAGATTCCAGTGCGAAAGTGGAATCTCAATGAAGTGTCAATAAAATCGAAAGTTTTCTCTACTCATTTTCATCTCTTCTTTAATGATAACCGGAATTCAACGGAAATGAACACTTATTGTTATCAAACATTTTGAAGAAAAAAAAAGTTATTCACTAAGAAAGATCAACCTTTAGTTCAATTTTCTCACCCTCGAAGATGAACTTTTTCCCTTAAATCGAAAACATTAACTTTCAACAATTCGACCATCGATGTACAGCCAAAGACTTTGAGTTTGCAACCACTTTCTAAATCATTCACGCAGTTGAATATAATCAATGAGAGATGCAGTTAACCCAAAGATATGATGATAAGTTTGTCCACTAATTTAAGTGGTGTAGTCTTAAAATGGTCAACTGATTAGATATCAAAAGTTATCTTAATTTGATTATCATTGACTGCGTGAATGATTTAAAAAGTGGTTGCAAACTCAAAGTCTTTGGCTGTATTTTGCTATTCTGAAGGGATAAGAACATGAAAATTAAAAGTTCAAGATCCAATTCAAATTGATATTAATTTGGATTCGCGAGTTGCTATCAATCGATTAATTTTCGAAAAATCTAAAACACAATCGATCTTTTCATGAGTTGTTCTTCTCTTTCCTCTCTTACTTTTTTCTAATCGATTTTTTAACTTTTCAAATATCGATGAAAATTGTTTGAATCGAATGGAAAATCACAACAACATTAATCATAAACACGATTTTGTTTATTTGATTTTCAAATTTTTTACTATTTTTGACTTGTTTAATTAGATATTTTTCTCGTCACTATTGAATGACATGTTCATCTTATCATTAAGAACTAATTTTTTAAAATTTTCACAACAACAAGTTCGTTCTTTTCATACCAATCGTGATACTGTTCCTGTTATTAGTGTTCCAAAATATTTAGAATCACATGTTAAGCAACATGAGAAAAAGAAGAGAAAAATTTTGGAAAACAGAGCGAGCTATTTGGCGAGCAGGGGAAATAGAGCTCAGCCCATTATTACCTGTAAACATTCATCCAGATTGAATCACTACAAGAACCAAAGATATCCCAGTGATAAACCGCTTCGTTTGGCATGTGAAGGCTGGAAAAGGGTAAATATAAAGGCGATTTGATTACAATTCATCCTCATGGTCCTGATCCTCATTTTGAAGAAACAGATCGCTTCGGTCACACATTCAAAGCAACGGGACTTAGTGACAATATAATAGAGACGATAAATAGCTTAGGTTATTTTAAACCTACTCAATGTCAACTGAGAACAATTCCAGAGATTTTGAAAGGAGTGAATGTTATCTGTTCTGCTGAAACTGGTTCAGGGAAAACACTTTCATATCTGAGTCCAATCATGGAGAAAATTGTTTCTGCCAAAATTAAAGGATTTTCCGGTGATCGGCAACCTATGGCTTTGATTGTTCTTCCCACCAAAGAATTAGTTCATCAAATTGGACTTGTAGCCCGACAATTTGGTTCTTTGTTGGGAGTCGGAGTAGCACCAATAGTCGGTGGTACACCGATAGCTTTGTCTCATTCTGGTTATGATATCGTGGTGACAACTTTAGGACTGATTGGTGATCATACTGAAAGAAGTAAATTCAATCTCATAATGAAACCAATTCATCTTTCTAATAATGTTATTTGTTTACAGAAATTTATTCTTTGAATCAAGTTAGGACATTGGTTATTGACGAAGCCGATACTTTATTGGATGATACATTTAGCTATGGAATTTACGATCTCATGAATGATTTAAAGGTGAAAAATCGTTACTCCTTTTGTATTCTTTGTTCTAATTAACTTTCTTCTCTATTCATGTAGTTCAAATCGTCGGTAAATCGATTTGGAACTCAACTTTGCCTTGTAAGTGCGACTATTCCTCAGAATCTTGAGAGAACAATCGGTGATTTTATAGATTTTCAATCGTTCTCACAAATAGAAACGGAAAATCTTCACCGTTTGATGCCTCATGTCAAGCACATTTTCCATCGGATGCACAAGTACGATCGTCCAAATAGACTATTAGAACTGATCGATTACAAGTTACGCCAAAATCGTCGAATGATAATTTTCCTTAGAAAAAGGTCTAGTTGTGAATGGATGTACCATCATCTAATCGACAGTGGCCTTGATGTATCACATCTCCATAAAAAGATGGAAGAATCCGCAAGAATCACAGAACTGGCCAAGTTCAATGACGGAAAGTGTAACATACTCGTTGCCACCGATCTTGGTTCAAGAGGAATCGATTTTAAAAGAGTAAGTCAATTAATACTATCATTTCTAAAATTTAAGTTCCTTCACTAATTAACAATTTCATGAACTCTTTTTAAATCTTCAGGTGACCGATGTAATCAACTACGATTCCCCTCATCATGTGTCCGATTATATTCACCGATCAGGTAGAACGGGTCGAGTAGGTTGTGATTCGCAATGTACAGTAACAACTTTCGTTTGTTTCACTCCTGATGTTGATATGTTGATGAAATTAGAAGAATCAGTGAGAAAAAACACTCATATCGAAAATGTCGATGGTAATATAAGAAGTATTCTAAAAAAGTTATCACACGAAAAGTTATCTAAATATCGATAATATAAAACTTTTAAAAGATAAAATAAAGATAAACTTTATATACAAAATTCATTGAGAAAAATCTGTAAACACTTATTAAAATAAGAAAATAAATCATCTCCTATTTTTATCTTCAAGTTAAATTGAACAAATTAGAATAAAATAATCAAAACCTGCTCATTATTGCACAGCATTAATTCAACAATCAAGTTTCTCGAAAAAATTAAATCTCCAATTAAATGGAATTTCGGCCAATAGAGGCGCTCGTGTTTCCATTGTTTGTCAAAGAAAATTGTTCATGTGTTGTGATCATTTAATTGTTTCATCTTTTAGTAATTATCAAAATTGGTTTATCTTTAATTGGATTATTAGTGTGATTTAATTTAATCGAAAGTGACTGAGGTGTGACATCTTACCTGATCTATTGAAAGAGATACTAATCTACATGGAAATGGTTTAAAATGAGGATTGAAGTTGGGCCCTGAACATTAGTGCAGCTCTTACATTCTGATGGTGTTTATATTATTATTATTGGTAAGAAAATGATTATTTTGATCATTAATTGGATTAATTGTAGTTAATTGTTTACTTGATAAGATGTACCAACTTCTGATTGGGTAAGTGAATAATTTAATCGAGTGAAATTTAAGTTGAATCAGAGATTTGAAAGGAAACAGAAAAACCAATGACATCAAATGAGTGATGTTGATGGAGGAGATTAATCAAAACAAAGGTAAATTCTGTGTCTTTATGATGATGTTTACACTTGACTCAATTGATTATTTTTCAGTTGAAAGTTATCATGGTGAATGATGCCAATGACCATGATGAAATATCTAATATTGTTAACAATAATTGATAAGATATGGAGGGTGAAAGGTGAGAATTGGATGAATACAAATGGCCATTAAATTGGTTCCAATAGGAAACATTATTTGAGTTATTTTTTTTTATTACAATGATGTAATTATCAACAATATGAAGATGAAGATCAAGAGGGCAATCAAGATTACGAAAAGATTTATTTAATCTAGGCTAGATTATCTAGCAAATATGTGAGTATTTAGTGAACATCTATTGTGAGTAAAGTAAAAATCAAAATGAAGGACTTCAAGTTCAATGTCATTGTTTTTGTTTCTCAACATTTACCATTGATTTGGGTTAATTGTTTTCAACTTAAGTGATTTAACTTACATTTTAATTGATTTAATTGTTCACACATCTAACAAAAAATTGATTCAGTGATTTTACGTCAAAAAAGGAATCATTTATCTCTTTAATACATATGCTTTCTATCACCACGATTCGATAATATAATAATTGTTGTTTCTTTCTTGTTCTTCTATATTTACCATTCAATCTGCGACATAATAGTTTATTTAACCTGTGATTTACTATTTGAAAGATGGAGGATCAAAATCAAAGTGAATCAGATCAATACATAAAACCGAGGATGGAAATACCTTCATACGAAAAACCTTTGACCCGGAATCCAAGTCTAAGCCGTTCGATGCCGGACATAACTCGAGATACTCCTGATGATATTCGTATTGATACATTAAAAGATGTGAAAAGAATGCCAATGGTATTTGAACGCCTTAACGTGAATGCACCTACTTTCAACGATATGATCAGTAAAGGACAGCCCGTTATTGGTCAACAATTACCTGAATTGAACTTTTGCAATTCACCGGGAACAAGTGCTGGTTTTACTAAACCTTTACGATGGATTAATGGTGTTCTGGGTTGTCTAATAAGTGCCATTGGCAAGGGAAATAATAAAGATAAAAAGGCCGATGATTGGGAGATTCTTGTTGAAAGAATTCAAGATCTTCAATTGATTGGAAGTGGAGCACAAGGAGCTGTATTTTTTGGAAGACTCGATAATCAACCAGTTGCCGTTAAAAAAGTTCGTGAAAAAGTTGACACCGATATTAAGCATCTTCGAAAACTTGACCATCCCAACATAGTTGCCTTTAAAGGAGTTTGTACTCAACCTGGATGCTATTGTATTATAATGGAATATTGTCCGAATGGTCAACTATATGATATACTTAAAGTTCGTAAAGTCCCTCCAAATACAGTAGTCGACTGGAGTCGGCAAATAGCTTCTGGAATGAATTATCTTCATCAGCGTAAAATTATCCATCGAGATTTGAAATCACCGAATGTCCTTATGAGCAGTAACAATGTCCTAAAAATATCAGACTTTGGTAATAGTCGCCTTTGGGACGATAAAAGTATGAAAATGTCATTCGCTGGTACAGTTTCTTGGATGGCACCAGAAGTGATCAGAAATGAGCGTTGCTCAGAAAAGGTTGACGTTTGGTCATATGGTGTTGTAATTTGGGAAATACTGACCAGAGAGATCCCATATAAAGATGTTGACTCGTCAGCTATCATGTGGGGAGTTGGTAATACAAGCCTTCACTTACCAGTGCCAACAACATGTCCCGATGGTTTGAAACTTTTACTGAACCAATGCTGGAAACAAAAACCAGCTAATCGGCCAACTTTTGCTCAGATCTTAGATCACTTGGATATTGCTGCAAATGAGATAATCAGCATTGGAAATGATAAATTTTATCAACTACAAGCAACATGGAAAGAGGAAATTGACCTTTATTTTTCACATATGAAGAGAGTCTCTGGACAAATCAGCCCATTCTCAAGTGACGATGAATTAGATCTTACCCGGAAAAGAGAAGAGGAAACTCAAGCCGTTCTAGAGGAAAAACGTATCTACGAAAAGAAGCTCGAAAATGTTAATAATCTATACCTTGAACTTCAAGCTGTTTACCTGCAGTTAGAGCAAAGAGAGAAGCAAATTAAACAGAAAGAAACCTTAATCAAGAAGAGAAAAACTCATTACGACCAATGTATCACCGAAAAGGTAGATCGTATTCTTCAGATTTTGGACAATGAAACTCACGAGAACCTCGAAGATGTTAATAAAATCGTCAAAATGGAAGTGATCAGTTTAAAGACTTGTTTAAAATGGTTCAAAGACAATAACGAGATGAATGATACATTCAAATCAAAACACAGCCAAGAAAATAGCCCAGAAGACTGATAAATCCAATTAGCATCCCCAAACTCAAATATTGCATCTTTTTCACCTTTAATCTTACAATTTAAAGAGCAATTTAATTTGAATTGTGATCTTTTTTCATCCAATGTGATGTATCTTATTCGCCTTTTTAACCGGTAAATCTGGATGAATATCAACACAATTGGATTCATTTGATTATCACCAATGCCAAAAGATCTCTCATTTATCTCACTCATTTCCAAAGCTTCTCTATTTCTCTCTCTCTCTCCCTCACATATACTCACCACTCAAATTTTATCACAATTTAATTGATAATTAGAAAATGCAGCTCATCTTGCAATATTTTTCTTCTCATCAGCACCAACTCAAAATCCATTGGAAATCATTTTTATCTCACTTCAAACAAAATCAATCGTCTCACTTTGCCAGTATTGAAAGTGAAGCATTTCTAAGCTCATTCACAAAAATAAGAGTTCTAAACATTTACCAGATGATCATTTTGATCTTATATTTTTCTTCACTCGAATTTTAAACAAAAGGAGTAACTTTCGTGATCTTCGAACCTTCAAATCAATTGTTTTTACTTTTCTTCTCTTAAACTCTCTTCATCAATTCTTTTTCTCTCTTCTATTTTGGATACCCTCTTTATCCATCACCTTTATACTCATGAAAACTTACCAACATTCCTCATATCTCCATGTCTGGTTAATTCACTCTGATTATGCTTCTCATTAATCACCACAATTAAAAATAAAAATTATTCTTTTCTAGTTTAGCAACAAAGAGATTTTACTTATAATGACTAAAGATAAATAATTAACGTGAGATATGAGACAAGAATGTATAATGAAGATGAAATAAACACGAATTACCTTGAATACGAAAACATTGGAATATTATTATTTACAGATGATCGGGTTAACGGTAATTCTGTCATTTTTAATTTAACATCAACAAATTTATCGTTGTAAGAATTACATTTGTTTTCTTTTTCGTGTTTGAAAAAAACAGCAAAAATTCATGGATAATAAAAGATAAACAATATCGTAAGATTAATTTAGAAGAACAAATTATTTGTCAATAAAATTAACTATGGAAAATTTTATGAGATGATAAGTTAATTGCTAGTTTTGTTTTGTTTATGGCAAAAGTGAATGAAAGATCTGGTTGGTTAAGAGCTGAAATCTATTAAATTGGTTATCACATTTATCGGAATAATAAAGGAAAATGTCCGAAAAGGAAAGGAGAAATTGAACGATTTTCGGTCGATTTCCAACAAAATTTTGAGGCTTTTCGTTTTCGTTATTTGGTTTCAAGAAAAATATTCCATGAAAAAGTCCATGACTTTAGTCAACTAATTTGTTCGGCGGAAGTTTGGCATAAAAAGCAAGTGACGAAAAGTTTGATGAATGGTAGCCCATCACATCTCGAAGTGTTGTTCGAGCGTTTTCATTTATTTCCGTTTTTACCAATGGTTTAGGAGGTTGACCAAGTAAAACGGACACACATTCGATTGCAGAGTTTGTTATAGCAGCGATATTGTAACCACCCTGTGGAAAAGGAGCAAAAGTTTTACTAATCAAATTGATTTAAGATTTTAATCATTTTCTACAAACCTCTAAAGCAAGAATTAATTTTCCTCGGGCAAGTCCACTCAGTAAATGAGTAAAGTGACCAAACACTTCGGGGTCAAGTTTGTACTCTCCAAGTGGATCATTTTTAGCAGCATCAAATCCTGCAGAAACAAAAACAACCTCCGGATTATATTCATATGCTACGGGCAGAATTATATTTGCGAATGCTGAAATGTAATCAGAATTTGACATTGGTCCACCATTCCAAGGAATGTTGATAATATTTGATTTGGTTTTAAAGCCTGATTTGATTGTACTTGGATAGAATGAAGCAAAATCGTAACGATGAAGAGAAATAAAAAGGACATTCGGATGATCTTCGAAAATAGATTGAGTTCCATCTCCATGGTGAACATCCCAATCAACGATCAAAACCTTTTTCAGGCCATACTTGTGTATAGCATATTCGGCAGCAACGGCCACATTATTGAAAATACAAAAACCAGCAGCAGCACTTTTGGCAGCATGATGTCCAGGGGGCCTAATGATTGCGAATCCATTTCGTGCCTTATTAGTCAAAACTTGATCAGTTACTTGAAGTAAAGCTCCAGCTGATAGTCGAGCTGCTTCATTTGTGTTTTTACACATATAAATTGAATCGTAGGTATGAGCAATTGAGTTTACTTGATCTTGATTCATGTGTTTTAAAAGTTTTAACCCGGAAATATAATCATCAGTATGAACCAATTTAAGCTCATCATCAGTTACAACTCTTTTTGTATCAATGAGGAGACATTTATCCAAAAGACCTTCTTTCTTTAGTCCATTGTAAATTGAAACGATTCTATCTGGACATTCTGGATGCTCTGATTTTTGACGACGATGTGAATTCATATCAGCATCAAACTTTATACAAGTTCTAATTGGTGGAACAGTTAAATCAGCTAATTCCTTTTCACGTTTAATTATTGCTTCAAATTTTTCAAAAGTTTCCTTGTCATGGGCAAGATAACAATCTCTTGTCTCATATTTACTTGGTGGATCTTCTAATGATGATTTACCGTGATACTCAATCATCGGAGTATATTTTCTAACCATAGGATTGGTGTTTTCGTCGTTGGATTTTCCTGAATAACTAAATTCTTCCTGGATTCTTAAAGATTTCCATTGAGGTTTAAGAGCCCAAATAACATCAAGAATCGAGTCCACCATAGCTTTGTGAAGTTTAATTGGCTCCTTTGAATTTAAAGGTGGACAAGGGTCACCAAGAAGAGCACGAAGTGTGAGAGAAGCTCCTTCAGCGAGAGATGAAAGACAATAACCACCTTCCAAAATGACACAAACTTTTCCATCGGCAAAAGTCATCAATTGATTAGTTAAATGTGCATATAACGAGGGAGATAATGACATATTTCCTTCTGGACATCCAATTGCAGCATCATATCCGGCGGAAATTAAGATCAACTGAGGATTATACTCGTAGGCAAGAGGAAGTAAAATATTATGGAAATGGCGAGATAATCGTGATCAGTTAAACCCTCTTCGTTCAAAGGTACGTTTATATTGTAACCTTTACCAGGACCTCGACCGGTTGATGTATAATTTGATTCAATAAGTTCAGGCCAAAATGAACCATGAAGATATTTGTGAATTGAAAAGTACATAACTTCATCTTGCTCTTCGAATGCAAATTGAGTTGCTTGTCCATGGTGAACATCCCAATCAACGATAAGAACCCGTTTTAATCCGTGTTTTTTAACCGCATGAGCAGCTCCGATGGCGATGTTATTGAAGAAACAATAGCCACAGGGTTTATCGGCAAGAGCATGATGGCCTGGAGGTCGAACTAGGGCAAAACCATTACGAACTTCATCATTTAAAACCGCATCGACCAATTCAATTGTCGAGCCAGCAGCCGATAAAGCAAGTTCGTTAGTCTTTGGGTGGAAATAAACTGCGTCATATTTTGATGACAATTCTTCCAATTCTATTGGGTCATTAATGGATTCGGTTACTTTCATTTTCTCAAAATGATCTTCAGTGTGGATGTAAAGTATTTCCTTTTTGGTGGCTAAACGAGGCTGAAAGATGAAAAGATGAAAATCTCAAGTTGAAGGAAGAAAAAGAAAACAAATCATCTCAATGCAAATTAATTAGAATTCACCTTAAGAAGTTGACATCGATCAACTAGACCGAGTTGCTTCATTCTATTCAAAATACGATTAAATCTTTCAGGACTTTCAGGGTATTTTGGATCCCATAGGCATTTATGGTCAACCATGGAAGGATCTAAGATGAGTCCAGTCTGAGTGCTGTAGAAAGAAAAAACGTTAAATGAAATAAGAGATACGAAGATACCAAAAGAGAATATCGAAAATTAAATTAGCCATTGCCATTGATTCCTCCATGTAAACAAACCTTTTTCGTCTTTCATTTCTAATGTCATCTGAGTCTCTGAGTTTCTGAAAAAGAGACCAATAACCATTAGCACCAATTAACGAATTCCACCCACCAGAAATCTTTGTAGCAGAGGATAACAAGCGAGGAGCCCAAGATCGGGAGGTAATAATATAAAACATAAGTGATTCAGATGGAAGGTGGAATTTGTTTACCGAATCAAGAATGAGGAAAGTAAATTATGTAGAATTACAGATTGTATTGTTTTTCCTTAATTGAAGAAGATCATTAAATCTTAATCCTAAAAAAATTATGGTCGAAAATCAGAATGAAAATAGAAAAAGAACATTTTTGATTTTCTATTCTCCTAAAAACTAAAAGAGAGTCGCAACAAAAACAAAGCGGTTAACAAGCTAAGGAGAATAGAAAAACATTATTATTATAACAAATTTGGACTTGATTAACACATAGAGAATTATAAATATCTACAAGGTCAACAATACAATAAATATATTCACAGTAATTAAGAAAAATGTTAGTTGATTAAGCAAAAAAATAGCTTTTGGATGTTATATAAGAAAAGGGAAATGAGAGGAGAAAAATATTGAGTGGAAAACATTTTCTTACGAGTTGATCTAATGCTTTAGACAATGAATCGCTATTAGATTTGCTTGATTCATTCTGTATTGACACTTTAGTATCCATTTGAATTGTCAAATAAAAAAACGATCAATCAATCAATGAAACAATTTGAACACAATGAAAGATAAAATAATTTGTCAAAGAAACAAAAACAAACAAATTCAATGACAATCAGTTAACATTAGAAAAACTCCATAGACAACTAGTGACATCTGTCGGTTTTCAATTCTTTTCTTTACCCATGTGACTTTCACATGTTTTGATTGGGAAAAAGTAAATTGATTTTGATACAATTAAGTTAATTGTATTATAAGATCATGAGAAATGGTTTATTTAAAAGGTATTATAGTACGAAAAATTCATCCAAGAGATGGTCACAAACTGTAACTATACCTAAAAGTGACCTTCCAAACCGACGGACACCAAAATCTGAGACTGATTTTCTTGAGGTTTGTTTTCAAATGGTTTCTCAATTAGAAGAGTTAATTGTTGATGATCAAATTAACTATTTTCTTTTATTTGCATTTTTTTTTCTTCTAGAAATCTTGTTTTAAAAATGTTTATTCACAACAATTGAATCGAAATTGTGATAAAAAATTCATCCTTCATGATGGACCACCTTATGCAAATGGATCGATCCATTTTGGTCATGTTATCAACAAGGTTTGTCTAAATTAACATTTTCCTAATCCAATTCATTCAATTTGTATATTCAATTAATTGTTGCCTTCTATAAATCTATCTAGACTCTTAAAGATATTATCTGTCGGTATAAAATGCGACAAGGTTATCAGGTCAATTTCATTCCAGGTTGGGATTGTCATGGATTACCAATTGAATTGAAGGTGTTCAAAGATTCTGACAAATTAACCGGACAATTAGAACCATTAGAAATCCGTTCTAAAGGTATTTCTTCAATCAGTGCTGAGTTTTCTTGCTATTTATCTACCTGAGTTTATGAATTTAAAGTTAACAGTTTTTTCCTTCATGTTCCAGCCAAACAAATCGCTCAAAATGCAATCGCTGATCAGGTAAAGGTTTTCAAACGAATGGGAATCGCTGCTGATTGGGACTCTCATTACACTACATTTTCAAATCACCATGTAGTTAATCAACTTGATTCATTCAAGAATTTGTATCAAAAGAAGTTAATTCATCGGAGTTTTCTCCCTATTTATTTTTCACCATCTAACAAGACAACTTTAGCCGAATCCGAACTTGAATATAATCAAGAACATGTTAGTCCGTCAATTTTTTTCCAATTCAAAGTGAATCATCAAATTACTCGTAAATTTGATTATGATATTTACGCTTTAATTTGGACAACCACTCCATGGACTTTACCTGCTAATCAAGCGATCGCTTTTTCTCCAGATATAAAATATGCTCTGACCTTAGCGAGTGGACTATCTCGTTATTTTATCATCGCTCAAGAGACAATACCAATGCTTGAATCTAAGATTGGGTCATCGTTAATTGTTGAATCAATATTGACCAATGAAGATCTTGAAAATTTTTCATACTCTCACCCAATGAAGCCTAATTCAAGTCAACCTTTTCTCCGTGCCGATTATGTTACAATCTCTAAAGGTACTGGTCTAGTACATTGTGCACCAAACCATGGACGGGAAGATTTTGATCTTGCTAGAAAACATGGATTGCAAATAAATTGCTGTCTTGTTGATGATAATGGTAATTTTATTACCGGAATTGATTCTCGATTAGATGGTAAATCAGTTATTGATCATGGATCGGAAATTGTCATGGACCTTTTAAAAAGGGACATTGTCCATCGAGAGAAAATTGTTCACAGTTATCCATATGATTGGCGAAGTGGAAAACCGGTCATAATTAAGACGAGTCTCCAATGGTTTATCAATGTAACTCGAATTCGTGAAAAGTGTTTAACAGAATTGGACCAAGTACAATTTTTCCCTCCAGGGATAAAGAATAAAATTTCCGATGAAATAAGTAAAAGACCAGATTGGTGCATCTCAAGGCAAAGAATCTGGGGTGTCCCAATTCCCGTATTCTATCATAGAACTGACCTTGAACGAATTAATCCAATCATATCTTCAGAATCCATTGATTATCTTGTAAACCATGTAAAGGAAAAAGGAATCGATACCTGGTGGGAATCGCCTGTTAATCAATTGATTCCTGAAAATATTTGTCAATCTCTCAAAGTCAACAGCAATGATCTAGTCACTGGTCGGGATATTTTCGATGTTTGGTTCGACAGTGGAATGACCTGGAATTCAGTTCTAAAAGGCAATAAAATGGCCGATCTTTACCTCGAAGGAGTTGATCAGTGTCATGGTTGGTTCCAAACTTCACTCCTACTAAGTGTTGCTCTTCGTGATAAAGCTCCTTATAAATCAGTTTATGTTCATGGATTTGCTGTTGATTCGAATGGTCATAAAATGTCCAAATCGATTGGTAATGTTATTGATCCTTTACCTCTCATTGAATCAAAATACGGTTGTGATGTAATCAGATTATTTATTGCACGCTATGGATCACATCATGGTAACGTCAAGGTAGATGATGATAAATTGAAATCGATTAATGAATTACTTTTAAAGGTAAATTAATTTCACGGCAAATTATTATTACAATTATTGATTGTATTCATTTTTTTTAAATTCTCATTAATTCATTCATATTTTCACTTGTATTAGTTTCGTAATGTACTCAAGTTTTGCCTTGGATCATTGGCCGATTTTGATTGTTCAAAAAATTATAACCAATCAAATTTAATCAATCGATATATGGCCAATCAAATTTGGCATTTCAACCAATTGTGCCAAGAGAAGTATTCAAATAACGATTTTCGTTCAATCGTCACCGAAGTAACAACTTTTTTGGAAGATTTTTCTTCCTTTTATTTAAAAATCGTCAAAGACAGGTAACAATATTGTTCAATTTTCTCTCTGTAGCTAAATTAACTTTTAATTGTTCTCTTTTAGTTTATATTGTGATTCTTTGGATTCAATTGATCGTCGTTCTACTCAAACTGTAATCAATTATTTGCTCGAAACTTTAAACAATTTCCTAAGTCCAATAATTCCCTTTCTTTTCGAGGAAATTAATTTGATTCGACAAAAAGACGATAATGGTAACTATTGAGAAAGATAAATAATCAAATACAACAATTGATTCATTCTAATCTATTCTAATATTCTCACAATTTAGCATCGAGCTGTTTATTACAAGGATGGTTTGAATGTCCAGTTACATGTAAAAATGACCAAGTCTTATTGGCCATGGGCATTATAAGAAGGCTAAAGGAAACTATTGATAATGAGACTGAGGATGTTAAACATTTTGGAAAACCATTTACAATTACAATTGTTTGCCATCGAGAATCTGATTATCAAATTTTAAAGGTGAAAAATTAATCCATCATTTGAATTGTTAATTTATTCAATTTTTCTGTCCATCAATTTAGGCCATCGGATCTTTATCTCATCATTCATTGGAACACGATATGGCCAAGATTTTGCAGGTATCCAGTGTCCAGTTAATTGAATCAATTAATTTAGAGGAATCAGCTGATTGTGACAAAAAGATTGAGTGTCAAGAGGATTTCCCATTCACCTTATTACTGAACAAATCTAAACACTTACCTTGTCCTCGTTGTCGTCGTTATTTATCAAACCAATTAGATCATCTTTGTGATCGTTGTAATTTAGTCATTAACAACAATTTAATATAATTTAATATTCTAAAGGTTTTATTATCATTTTTTTTTGGTAACAATTTAGTTCTTAATAGTTTATTGTATCAATAATATAATACATATGATCTCAGTGATGATAACTTAGCCTGACCTTTTGATTATTCAAGTTAATTACTGAATTAAAGCGAAATGATCAATAAATTGTAAGCAAAAATCATCAATTGATGTTTCACTTTTTATTAGTTGAAAAGTTTTGTGAGATTAAAATTTCCACTATTAACTAATTGTAACATAAAAACTGAAACAAACGCAATTAAAGGGTCAGAATCTAAATTGATTGACTAAACATGCAAATAGATTGCTAATCAACAAAAAAATTATTCCTAGAATATGAAAATAATACTGAATTAACCATAGAATTGTTAATTATTAGCAATGATTAACCAAGAATCGTTCGTGCATAAACTAGAGATTTAACTTGATGGTTGACTGATTATAACGGTCATTCATATATACCTGAGCAGTTAATTGTCATAATTTTGGTTAAATTGTCCAAGAATGAAAATAAAAACACTCACTGATCATAATCTCTTGCAATTAACTATCATCGAAACATTTGATTACAATCAAATGATCAACTGAAAAGATGATCACAAGAAGATGAATATAATCTGTTATTGTTTCCATTTAAGTTTAATTTTATTAATTTGTGTTGATTACTTTTCATCGATAGAAGGTAATATCAACCTAATCAAACTCTAACCTCGATATTGATTGTTGATTTTCACCCGTTATTAATTAGGTGCTGTTCCAGGTACTAAAGATGCCAAGAAAAAACCGAAGCCCAAGAAAAAGAAACCCGATTATAAAAACAAGTACCATTGTTTAGTTTGTTTAGCCGATTATTCAAATAAGAGGATTAACTTTCGTGATACTTGTATTAATCCGGCCGTTAATGTTTCCGATGCCGAAGCTAAATACCTGACCGTTTGTCCATCCGATACAACTTTGTGTGCGTTTGAATTGGTAACAATTAACGATGTTTTCACTGCGATTGAAAGACGATGTGCAACTTCATGTACTCCAAGTTGCTTCCAATCGGGATATGGAACTGAGAAAACCATTTGTACTTATTGTTGTAATAAGAGTATTAAACCAGAGGAATTTAATGATGATACTGTTTACGAATACATTTGCGCTGGGTAAGTGTTAATTGTATCACTAATCAAGTTAATTGTCTAACCCTTTTCCTCTCTTAATTGTTATATTACCTTCAAGAGGACTGAACGGATCCATGTTACCTAATTTTGGAATCACTTTATTACAACTCGTCATAATCTTACCTTCAATTCAAAAAGTAATCAACCATTGGTTGCGAATCACAATTTGATTAGTTATTAGATTCTCATTTTGATCCGATTCTTATATATTCAGTTTACCATGTGATTTACTTGTATTTTGTTTTGTTTTGTAGTTACAATTGTGAAGCTGATTAAATTGTTAAGATGCTTGTTGATTGAGAAATTAAATTTTTCGTATTTTTGGTTTTATTTTTCGTCGTTTATGTTTCATTCGGGTTTTGACATAACAAGTTAATCGATATAATAAAATGACATTTTTCTTGATTTGGTCATAAAATGTTAGAACTGTGATTCCCAACCAGAATCCGAGTAGAGAACAAAAGTTGGAAAAATATTGTTCGAATTCAAGTTGATATTTTTGCTTATAAATAACATCGGGTTTCAATTTACGAGTCACCAGAATTTCAATCAGATCAGATTGATTGATGGAATTTCCAATCTTCATGATCTCTTCAGCGGTGAATTCATGAGCAGTTACAGAGAAATCGAAAACTTCCTCAATACAACCGGAAGTGCATCTAGTTCGACAAGCTTTAGAATCCATACCTTGCAGCATTCGACGACAACTTTTGATGAAATTATTATCACTTTGTGGACAAATTCGAGCAGATAACGGGACAGTTTCAATTCGAAGCGGAGGTTTAAAAAGTAAACATCTACAATAAAGGAAAGTGTATTCGGTTGAACATCGATTGACACAATCAATTTGCGATTGTGGATAATTGATTGACGATGAATATGATCGACAATAAAGAGGTGCCAATCGTTCAGAGACACTTCGCCAATAGAAAACATCATATTTCCTATTGGGTTCCAAAGAGTATTTATTTGATTTCGCCATTATATCATTCGAAGCATGAATGTACAGAAAACTCGGTAAATTGATATCATAATTTGAATCGAAGGCAACATTCAATCTTAATATCACCGATACTTGGGCTGTGGCCGCTGAACCATCTTCGTCGAATGAGATAACATTATCGATAGAATCAAAGTGTTTATTGTTCTCACTGAAATAAGTGAAACATTTCTCGTTCGTGGTAAATGTAACCATTGGGTGAGAGAAATTCTTACATGGTAATTTTATCTGAGCATCAGATGAATTCATGATCGACAGATCGCAAGAATGAACAAATTTCGACTCTTGGACCGATTTCTCCAAATAACTCGATAGATTAACTGTAACTCGACTCAGGTAATATGATTGTAAATATTTTCTCAGGTAATCAAACTTTTTCGCTTGTCGTTCATCCAGTTTCATTTTCGTATCCGAATCAAATTGACTTAGAACTCGTTTAACTTCAACTCGATCAGTGAAAAGTTTTTCCAATTCACTTGGTGCAATTTGTATCGGTGAACAAATTGTAATCGAAGGTAAAATGACCTTATCGTTATGTTCAACCAGAACATCAACGATTGTTGGATATCGAAAATAGGTTTCGGAAAGTTCTAACGTCTGATAAACTAAACCGATAACACTTAATATCAATAGAACTGTTTTCAATCGGAATAAATATTTTCCGATTCGTTCACATCTTCCCATCTCATGTAATCCAGCGATTGAATAACTTATCGAATCGTTGTCACTATGATGCCGATCGCTTAATGACCAGAATGAAGTTGATCGGCCACTTTTACTCTTAATTGGTTGAGGCAATTTAACGGGAATCATCACCTTACCTGATTTTAAATCGGTCGAAACATTTTCCAATTTAATTGGCTCATCAATCGAGCCTTTAATTGTAGTTTCTCCTTTTTTCTTACCGATTTCATTGGGTTGATTACCGTTAATTGTTGGCATCACGGTTCTCACTGTTGGTTTAGATTTCATATCCGATTTCAAATCAATTGGATCATCATAATTGAAAGGTTCAATTGGTGATATTGATGATTTAAAATTGATAATTTGTCGATCAACCAAATTGTCGTAATGTAATTTACTTGGTTCATTAGGTGGAAGATAATTGTTTCCAGTTGAATTTGATAGTTTATATAATAACTGTTTGTGTTTATCGAGATAATTAATTGAATCGTTTAATTGAGATTCACGAAGTTTCTCATTTAAACGAGTTAACATGATAATTTGAAATGGAAACTAAATTCAGATCAAAATGAAAGTTCAAGTTGAAACATTCACCGAGATCATGATCATTGAGCTTCTCATATCAAATAGAAATCAGATAATAATCAGAATATTATTTTCTTTGCAATTTGATAAAATCAATTTCTTATTATCATTACAATAGATGGTAATTATTGGTTACAATTTGGATAAATTCTGATAAGGATAAATAAAGGACGAATAAAGAAAAGAAATCAACTAATCATTATTGTAACAATTTAGTCTCTGACATTGGTAAATCATTGGAATATCAATAATCATTTCAATTCGGTTAATCAAATGATTTAAGATTAATCGTTTCTGATAAATGGACCAACTTGCTAATGAAAAACGATTTAGAAATTTAAACAAAAAAAGTTCAACAATTAAACTGATTTTGTTAAATTCTTTCCGATATTTAATAGTTAATTTAATTTCTATAAAAGTAGAGAAATTGAGTAAAAATCTTAAACAACAATTAAGCCAAATTTCAATTAAACTGATAATTAATCCTAGTGGACAATTGAAATTAGTTAATTATCCAAAGAGCTGAGAAAGAGAAACAAAATCTCAAATTTCAAATCAGTTAATTATCTTAAAACAAGATTATCGCTATAAGAATAACAATTAACTAAATTTCTATTGACAATTAGTAACAAACTGTCAACAATTAAGAGGACAAAATGTTAACCCAATTAACTGTTTAAATTAACAAGGAAAAGAAAACTAATTCCAGCTCGATGGGAACAATATCATATTCTTGATAACTAATTAGTAACAATTAAGTTAATTGAATTTACGATCCGAAGAAAAATTAGATTGTTACAATTAGAAAGTAAAAGTGAATCTGAAAAAAGCGGTTGAAATGTAAAGATGAGAAAAGAAATCAGCTGATTGAGATTCGATGTGATTGGTTAATAGAAACACTTTATTTTCAAATCATTTTTGTTTTTGTTTTTTTCTATTCTCAAGAATAATTTTCTTTTAATTATATTATTTTATTGAATTATTGTTTCTTTTTTGTCAATAAATTGTCCAACAATTTATCAGCGTGTCTCTCATCATCATGTGCGATGAAAAGATTCAACAATTAAGTCAAACAAGGATCCGTTTTCTATTTAGTAAATTCCGAAGCCGATCATCCAACCCTGAAGGATTTGATTCTAAGCTAAATTGGTGGATCGGAGCAATCAATGAATTGTGCATCCAAGAGCGAAGGTATCACTTTAATATAAGCCAATTGAGTAAAGCTTTTAAAAGTTGCAATGTTATCCCCGATTTAGACTGTTTAAGATTAGTCGCCTCGGAGATGAAGCGTCGGGATAATCTGGTGACTCGGGATTATTTTATCAACAATATTTGTGCCAACAGCGGACAGAGTTGGTTATCATGGGGCCTTGGATCTTTGGCTAAACCTCTTAAATTTGGACTCTCCTGGTTCGGTAGTAAAGAGGACGAGCAAGAAGAATGTGAATTGATGGATCAAAGTATCTCCTACTCAAGTGATTTGGTTAATCTTGAAGCAGTTGTATCGGGATCAAGAGAGCTGATGACTTATGTCAATGAACAACAATTGATTGATAAATGTCTTAAATATGAAGAATTTGAGAAATCACTTGTTACCTTTAACATTAAACCCGATCAATTGGAGATTCTCCTTTTATATTTAACCTCAATTAAGCAAGTTATCACTATGGAGGATAAAGGAACCCGATACATTAAATTTGGTGATGACGTTCAATTTAGTGATTTAGATGTGAGCTTAAGGAGTCTGGAATCAGCTCGAGAGCTGATTGAAGATGACATTGTCAAAATAGAAATGGAGATTGAAAAATGTATGGTAGAAGCCAAATCAGCTATCAGAGCATCCAATAAGATTAAAGCTAAGTCATTATTGAGGAGAAAGAAACGATTGGAAGATGTTCTCAGTAAAAAGGAAGCTCAACTCGATAATATCAACTGTCTCTCTGAACAATTGGTCGATGTTCAATCCAACAAGGCCGTTGTTAGTGCTTATAAAGAGTGTGCTGATGCTTTGAAAGCCGCACAAGTTAAACATGATGAAATTAATTTCACCATCTCTGAGATGGAAGATGCTTTTGAAACTCAGAATGATATTCTCACCGATTTGGGTAAAAATATAACTACATCGATGATCGATGATGATGAATTGGAAGCTGAACTGAAAGAGATTATGCAACTTGATGATACTGAGAAGATAAAAGTACCAAATATGTCACCTAAAGAAAATGATGATAAAATTGATGAATTATACAAACGACTTGAGAATCTTCGTCGGCCCATGAGAACATCATCTCCACATAATGAACCAGCGGCTCGAAAGGTGAAAAAAGTAGCCGATTAAAAGATCATTTTATTTTCACTCTCTCTCGTTATCGAATCGATTTCATCAATATATTTACTATTCTAATGGTTAATCCTTGTTCATGTTATCATCCAATTTAATTCAATGGAATCAAATTCAACATCAAAATTCAACTCTCTTTTCAACACTCTTTATAAACATCGATACATCTTACCTGAGTTTCATCCTCTAATCTACATCTAATCCAATTATTTACGATCGCTGTTCCAAAGGAAATTGAATCATTCAATGCAACTCTCAATTCATTGTCGTGCGATGGACATGAGATTTCAAAGGAAATTCAGAAAAATGAACAACCTGCTTATGGAAATCATCGTTTGTTTACCGATAAAACAACAAGTTAATCAACGTAATTGCAAATTTTTCCAAAAATATCTCGTGAATAATCAACATGGAATTGCATCTGTATATTGGAATCGATACTTTTATAATTCGAAAACGGTTTTCTTTTTATTACCAAGCATTTCTACTTTTCGAGGTTAAAATCGATATAATAACTTTCCAAAAATTCAAGGTAATTTGTTATAAAGATGTTAAATTGTCCTTGAGGATAAAGGAGTTAACTAAATGATTAAAATAATGGGAGAAAAATAAACAATAGCAAATCATCAATACCAACAAGTTAATCATCTTCATCTTAATTATCATCATCATCATCATCATCCAGTATCAGACTCGTTTAAACAAATACAATTCACTTAACCCATTCCTGATTTTCATTATGTTTTTCATCCTCAAGTGAATAGATAAATCATAATAATTACAATTTAATGTATTCTAATCATTTTCCTGTTTTTTCTGTTATTTACTAATCATAATGTCCATTGAATTGAAACCTTTAATGACTTGATTGATTAGGAACAATTTGTCCAACATTAAATCTCTCACCAAATTGTAATTGAATCACTTAAATAATCAAATGATGTTTTAAATGGGGAAATAAAATAATTGATTAAATTATTAAAGTGAGAAGGAAATGTTTTCCTTTAATTCACCATCACAATAATAATAATAATCAACTAATTGTCGATTTCATAATAACAAAGTATAGAACAGGAAAAAAAATGTAATTCTCATTATTAAAGATAGAAAATGACCTTTTGTATATATAATTTAGATTTGATTAATTGGATTTTAAGAGAATTAATTTACTATTGAATAAGTTAATTGTCGTAAATTTAAAAGCGACTGTTTAATTGTTGTCAAGTTCATTTGAGATTCTAAATGATTAAGTGGTTGTTTGTGATTTACTTTTTTTCTGTTATTATTCAAGTGACTAGGAAATTAACTTCTCGAATGTTAATCTAAATGTTCAAACTCGATGCTTTCACCTGAAGACAATTAATTAATCAAGTTTACGAAACAATTAGGCCATAATTTTATATTCTATCATTAATTGTTATTCTTATTTGGAGGTTGAACAATTAATTATTGAATAATTTATGATTAAAACAAAACAAAAGCATAAGAAAACAAATCGTTAATTGTTATCATAATGTTAATCTTGATATTAATTCACGTATAAATCACGACTTAATCATGAATAAATCAATTAAAACATCAACAACAATTGAAGCATTTGATAAGATTCATCTTAACTGATTTAAAAGTGATTTATTCAGTTAATTAGTTGAAGTCAATTAACTGATATTTACCAATGTTATTAAATCACAATAAATTGTTAATCTTAACAATCCCAATGTAATGATAATATTGATGATCAAAAGTAATAATTAAAATGATTAATAAACTTGATATTAATTGTTTCCATTTTGATTTAAATGATAATCTTATTCCGGTCAAAGTTAATCGTGATTAACCAAACCTTATTAATTCAATGATATTACAAGAAACAAGATCAACGATTAAGATTAACGATTAGATAATCGGATTCGTAATACATTAAATCATCAATACAAGATTAAGACGCGTGATTAATAAATTGTATCAACCATCAAATTGGAAATTAATTGTAACAGTTGAGATTTAAGCAAAACATTATAACCAAAGTTAAGGAAACCCGATACTCAAATTAATCTGATTGTTGATCGACTCAATTAAATCACGATTATGTTCAATTAAACAACCAAATTAATAGTAAACGATACAATTAAAAATGTCTAATATTTCAATTGTTTTGTTTCAAAAGTTGATCCAATCAAACTCTTGTCAAGTCTTTTAATTAACTTGATGTCTTTTAAAATTATCACAACAATTAACAGTTAATTTGACCTCAGTCCTAAACACTTAATGAAACAAATTTAAAAGCAAAATGAGACAGTTAATTGTAATTAACTTGCCTCTCAGAAACAATAAGCTTAAACAATTAGCAACAACCTGAAACAATCTCAAGTCTTGATTAACATTCAAGTGTAATAATAACAATTAAATTTGATTGTAATATAATCGATAGAAATATAATCTTAACAATTTTAATCAATTCCTTTTCTAAATCTAATCAATCTAACAAACTTATTAACAATTAATTGACACAATGAATTTGCATGTGTTTGATTATCTTCCGAATCAAAGTGAAATCAAGGCTCGAAGTATAAACTTGAGAGTAATAACAATTAAGGTAAATCAACAACAATCATCTTCGAATTTAATTTCTATTAATTGTTGTTGATGATCTTTCGTAGCGAAACAAACGATGACCTAGAAAAGGCTATTAAAGGATGATGAGGATGATGAGAAGGAGGAAAATGAAGATTCATGAGAGAGAGAGAGAGAACAAGTTGATTGTTGTTGTTATTGAATTTCATTGAGAGAAAGTGACCAGGGCGTGACCACATGATGAGACTCAGAGTTTGGAAGAGTTGAAAACAAAGAAAGTGAGATGATTATGAAGGAGAAAGTTTCGAGATTGAGAGTTTTCATCTTCTCTTATTGGGTTAACATGTAGCGAGAAAAAAATTAGGCCAAGAGGAAGCCAATTATCAATTGGAATATAAAAAAATTACAATTCCAAGAAAAAGAAAAAGTTTTCACTTTCACACGATTTTTATTCTTATCTTTTAGTAAATATTATCATTCAATCATCATCATCATCATCATCAAAATATTAACCATAATCATGATTATTATTATAATAATTATCGATTCTAATATTTCTCAGAAGAAGAACAATTAGAAGAAAAAAGAAAAAACTGAGAATAACTTTTTCCACAATCAAATATATTGACCTGTGTCCATTCAGTTCTAATCTCCTCTCAATGGGCCTCGTTGTGAACGACGAATCATTCCCATTCTTACAGACGCAGTTGTTTTCAACGATCGTTTTCATTTAAGGTCAATTCAAGTAAAACTGGTTCCATTTCAGCGTCAGCTGCCTCTTTCTATTTAGTCTTTCGAATATATTTTCCATCATCTTCTCTCTCACCTTCTCTCTCAGTCTCCCTCATCTTTACATTGACTCAGTTGAAATCAATGAATTGGATTCTCAGGAAAAACTAAGAAAAACAAAAAATTATTCCGTTTCAATTGTGATTAATTGTGATTATTTGATGCTCATTGTAAATCGATATCATCAAAAATCAATTGAATTTGGTTGATTAACCATAATGATAACTAACAATTTAGTATCTTGTGTTCATTCAAATAATCAATTGATTAGTTTACATTGAGAATGTTATCAACATCAGTTTTATCGTTTTCAAATAAACTTCCTTTATCATCATCATCATTGATCAACGATGATGATGATGATGATAATAAAAATTTTCCACTGCGATATCGTTCATCACCCGGAAGTGTCCATCAAAGTCGCGTTTCTCATCCCGTCGCCAAATCTCAACGTGCAAATGGCCGTAAACGTTTCCAAAGTCAAAATGGTAACCATGTAAGTGAAAATTCATCAACTACAAGTGACTCGTTAGGATCAATCATTTCGAGTGTCAAAGTTAAATATCTTGGAGTGATTAGCGCCTCAGGCAGGTCATCAGCTATTCTCAATAAAGGTCTAACAGCAATTCAATCAGAATTAGTTGATTTATACACAATCGCCCAAAGAAAATATGTCACCAGTATTACCAATGGTGTCCATTCATCAAGCTATCAAATGATTGAAGTTTGTAACTATGGTGTTGTCATCGCTGAACCTGATCCATCATCTCGGACAACATTATCGGTCGCTGGTCAATCAAATTTAACTGACCCTAACAGGATTGTTGTAACCAAAGTAATAACACCATTGTCCAATATTGTCCTTTGGGCGGGCATCAGGTTCAATTGTCGACCATTGAAAATAAATGGTCGCCATCGGTCAGGAGCCGCTTTTATCCCGTTATCATGTTCATCGGCGATCATGAAACAATCAGCTTACACTCCATTAACTAATCAACGGTCAAGATTTCTTTCATCGCTCAAACATCCGCCATTATTTCTGTGTGTCCTTCGCAAAGTATCAGCACCTAAAATCTTTGAATGTCACTTGTTTGCATGTTGTAGTGTCGAGGATGCGATCAACTTATCGTCAAATTTATCGGACGTTCAAAATGGTATCTTGAAGGTCGGTAGCCCATCGATCCCAATATCTAGTGATTTACCTTCGTATTCATTTACATCGTTTGATGAAATTGCTTCTCGAACATCATCAAGACAATTGTCATCTTCGGCCACTTCAGGTGATCATCATCATATCGCTTTGAACAATCATCGAACAAGAAATCAATGTCCATCAGTATTAACTGATAGAACTTCTCGTTTAACCGTTAGTACAGATGAACGACCTGCTACTCGATATTCTCGAGGGTCAAATTCATCGAACATCAACAACAATAATAATAATAATCGACATGAAGTGTTCAATTATCGCCGTGAATTAGGAATGAGACCTTGGCCTTCATCGGTTGCACCAAAATTGAGTGAATCGACCGTTAATCAACTAAGATTTAATGGTAAACGAAATGTTCAACCAACTAAATCAACTGATCAACTGTCTCATAATTCATCATCATCGTTTTATTCATTGTGCCAAGCGTGTTCAATTAATGGACAATCAGTAAAAACTGAACAATTAAAATGTGATAGTAGGAAAAATTTAAACCATAAAAATGATATTAATCCAATTGAGACAAACAATTACAATGGATATTTAGTTCATCTTAATTATAATGATAAATCAAATGGTATAAATCATAATTATACCAAGAAAACCCACCAGATTGTACATAACAATTTACCAAATCATAAACAATTAATGAATGGACATCAAATTAGTCCCAAAGTGCCAACATTTAGTGAAGACGAAAGTTCCAGTATTTTGAGTAAATTTGGTCGCAGAGGTGAACGATTAGTTAATTGTCCTGGTGTTAAATTGAAAACTTCACCAACTTTTAGACAATTTCTTCCTAATTCTAATCTCAATGGATTATCAGATGGATTAGATGATGACGATGACGATTTAACTTGCAGTTTTCCATCGAGCGAATTAAATGAGGGAGATGGACTGTTAACTTTCGTTGAAGAGGATTTACTCTCGAATCCAATTAATCCACCAATGGTTCAAATCGACAAACACCAATTACCTCGCTGGTCGACTATTGATCAACCGTTATCCGTTTATCCTCTTAACTTTCATCATCGAACTGATTTTAAATCTCGAATAGCATCATCTTCATCTTCGAACAGTTTATTTAGACGATTAGGACGATGGAAATTACGATCATGGGTTCGAAAAAGTTTCAATCTTAAGTTTAGAAGGAAAAAGAAACGAAATCGAATGGACCTTTTCGTTGATCGTGATCTTCGATATTTATCTTTAGCCGAACCATTGGATTATGTTGGTGGAAATAAATTAGCTCTCGACGGGAATAAACGATTACAATTAAACGAGAATGATGATCAAGGTAAAGGTCATTTCCTCGGAATGGAGACAATTAATAATAATAACGTTAATTACAATTCGAGGGTCACTTTACCAGAGACAATCGGGATAATTGGAACTCAAGAACTTCCCGAGGAGCGAAATGGTTTAGAAACGTTGAAACAGTTAATCGATAGAAGAAAAAATCAATCCAATTATCAAATTGATTCTCTACTTAACACAAATATTAAACGAATTAATAATAATAAAACTAATGGTAAAATTAAATCCGATGGAAGAAAATTAAAGTCCCAATCAAATGGAGATCAAAGTTTATCACAAATCGATCTAATTAATGAGCTTGGTTATCTTCCTTAATTGTAAATTCGCAAACTGTTTAATCATCATAAAGAATAATCTAAATAAATCATATTGATAAATTACCTAAGAGAATCGAAAAAACAACTTGTCAACTTTAATTACTTTAATTTAGAAATCAGATCAGAAAAGTAATAAAAAAAATCGAGTCCAAGGTAAAAGTTTATTTAGAATTGACATTTACACCCAATAGATGGCGTTCATTAATTCCAATGAAAAAAGAATAAGATGAGTGGCGACATCTAGTGGGAAGTTAAATTCTCTTTTGCACTTTTTCATCTTCATCATCTTTTTTCATCCATCTTTTTATCATCTTTCCCATCATCTTGATACTTTTCACCTTTTACACTGTTCGTTATCACTTAATCACTAATGTTTTCACCTATTCTCAGGGTAAACTGAGACAATTTTATCTTATACCTTTTTTCGTACAACAAAGTTGAAAGAAACAAAAAATATAAATAAAAGTCCATTGGATATAAAAAAATATTTACTTTTGAAGAAAAAGGAAAAAAATTTGTTCTAAATAACTTGAAGTACTTTAATCATCTGAACCACGAACATAATTGAACCTTAATGTTTGCGTTTTTAATATTTTATTTTGTTTTGTTTGACATTTCGTTTGTCTTTGCTTTCCTACCTTTCGTAGCCAAAACCCTGGACATGCAGGGAATCAGTTTAACGGATAATCTGATTGACCCGTTAACTGGTTCACTTTCCGTCTCGAAATCGCCCGATTTATTGAGAATCGAGCAAGTTATCATCGAGGATAAATTAAATAAGTTAACATGTGACCAAATGAAAGGTTTATCCAAAGGACAAATGCAATTGTGTCACCTTTACAAAGATCATATGTCACATATTGGCAAAGGTGCGAGATTGGGAGTAACTGAATGCCAATGGCAATTTAAGAATAGCCGATGGAATTGTTCATTCGATGAATCATCTGCATTTGGATCAATTCTTAATAAAGGTAAGTAAAACAATTTCCTTAGAATATTATCCTAAATGATATTCGAAACTCTTTTAAAATATTATCACTTTCGATTAGCAACTCGATTCAACTAAAAATAACAGATAAACTTATCCATAAGTTGATATATTAATAGTAAAGATAAATAATTGAAAGGAAAATAAGATAATACGATAAATATGATAAATTCTCGATAAAATTTTTTTTATATAAAACTCATATCGAAGGAGAAAAATTGGATTAGACTAATATTCCATTGGAAATACATGAGAGATCCTCTTGAATAGAATGAACAAAAAATGAATCTAATGAATGATTCATTCTCAAGTTAATCTCATCATGTTGTTCACATTGATCCTCATTCATATTCTCATCATTTTCCACCATCAAATGCTTGTTTCCAATTCTCTCTCACTCTCTCTCATTCTCTATTCAAATAAATCAACAGTTTCATCACCAACATTGTAAAACAATAAAAATCTATCATGATCCTGAAAAATTCATCATAAAAGTGTTAATTTTCAGCTAACAAAAGGTAATTACCTGGTGAGAGTTTGTTTTTTACTCTCAACTTTTAACTTGTTGACTTAAGATTGAAAAGTAATTTATTTTGAAAACTTGTTTCTCTTTTACAAATAGTAAACAATAGTCAATCCATTAATTTAATCCAGTCAAATGATTAACCAAATAGAAATGTAAATTTAAATCAATTTCAAATGATTAAGTGAAAGTGTGTTTTTGACTCCCAAAGACCAGTAAAGAATAAAAAAAAAGCAAAGAGAACCATTAATTTTAATAAGCTCGATTAAATCGAAGCTCATTATTATCATCATCATGTAATAATATTAATACAAAATGTTAACAATCAATGTGATTTATGGTCAAATGACAACTACACTTGACCACTAAGAATACAACTAATCAAATATGCGAATAACAATTCAGAAAGAGCAGAGAAAAAAAAACTTCTCCATCATCATCATCATCTTTTATCTTATCCTCATCCTCATCCTTATTCCCATTGACTTTGACTTCGCATCTCCATCTCCATCCTCATCTTTTTTTACTATTTACTGAGTTATAATAGTGAAAACAACCTAAGCTATTTAGTGCTTTTTTTATTTCAATCTTTCAAAGTGCTTATAATAAAAAGCCAATATCCTCAATTTCCGGTCCTTAACTTTTTCACTCACTTCCGTTAATCTGATTGAACAATTCATCAAGTGACCTTGCCTAACATATATTATATTTATATATAGAAATATATATAAAAATATAGATTCACTCCCTGTCGAGTTGATTCCCAGTGTTCATTGTGATCAAATGAGTACAATATAATGATCACAATTGAGTTGAACATCAATTCCAACAATCAGTTAATGATGATCACATTTAGTTCACAAATTTCATTATTATTATCAAATTGGAGATTCAATTTTCCATCTTCTCAATGATATATATCTTTTCTGACCTAATTCATTTACTATTTATCATTACCTTTTATAAATATAAAACATTCACTAGAAATGCTGGTTGACATTAACAAAATTTTACGTTTCCATCAATTTGATAAGTTTAATTGTTCATTGAGATGATTTAATTTCTTCTTCTTCTTCTTCTTCTTCCTTAACTAATCAATGGATGGCGATAATATTTAACTTTATTATATTATTAGCGTAATAAAAAAATTAAACTCATCGGCAATTTGGATACTAATTTAATCTTCAACTCTAATTGCATTTACAACTTTTCATCCTCTCATGTTCACAATTAGAGCCAAAACTTGACGCCCATTTAGTTCAAATATAGTTGTAACATAGTAAATGATGAGGATGAAGATGAGGATGAGAATGATGAGAATGATGAGAATCACTTTATTTGAAAATTGTCTTCTCATCCTCATCCTCATCTTTAAAACTTTTTTATCTTCTTTCATTTTGATTTATAGATAATCCATTAATTTATACTACGTTTTTTACCAAAGTACTTTAACAAGGCCACTTAATCTTGTTCACTAAATATCATAATCATCATTATCATCATTTGATTAGTTTCTTTATCTACTCGTAAAATTAAATGATGATGATGATGATGATGAGGATGAGGATGCGAAGGAGGAAAAGGATAAAAAATGATGCGGGATGATGAGGATGAAAGGTGGATCAATTGTCCTGATGATGATCATCATCATCATTCATTTGAAATTATTTCATATTGTAAAGATTAATTAACTTTAATTATTTTATTATTATTAGTTGACTGATCATCTCCACTCACAATTAATCATCATAGAGATGATTAAATCTTTGAGATGTAATTTGTTTTCATATAAACCAAAATTAGTCAACTAAATTTAATGACAAATTGAATTAATTGATAACTTAAATTGTTATAATTTGTAGGAAAGTTATCATGTTTCACTTTAATTGTAATTTGATCATTCAACTGATTTAACCGATTTTCATATGACTTTTCATTGCTTAATTATCAAAGGTAATTTAATAAGGTTATCAAATTAAATGGGAGAATCAATTATAATATAGTTTTGGGTAATTAAGATTTTTAATTAATTCTTCATTGGATTAATTTATATACACTCATACAAAATGAATGAAATGATTACTATTAGTAAATGAAAGTAAATTGTTTCCGTTGTTGTCAACGTAATTAACTTAATTTAATAAGAAATTGAAAGTAATTATGATTATCTTTTTATGTTATGTAATTAGTTTAGCAAATTAAGTGACGATTTGTTAAACAATTTAAACTAATCATTGGATAAATTAATGTTTATCACAATTCGCGATTTGATCATCAATCAAATCAACGTGCACATAAATTAATATAATTTGTAACCACAATTAGCAAAATATTACAGAAAATTAAATATCATTTCAATTGAAAGTTGATGGTTAGATTAGTGGTTTAATTGCATTGATTAACGATTTATCTTTAATCACAATTGTAAACCTTGTTTACCTTGATTTTGATTGAGGATTGGCCTAAACTTTTAGTCTAATCACCTAAGGGCTGAAAAAATTTTAATCCACAAAAATTTAATCATCAACTAATCTTTCAATTTTACTCCATGACAATCACTTGTTATTATTACCTAATGACCATGATTATTTTGATTAGTTTGATTATGTTTATAATGATTAACTTGAATACCTCCCATGTTGGTTAATTGTTGTCTTATTATCAGACAATCAAAATTGATGATTAAACAAATAGATTTAGTTAACAGAAATGATTGAGAAGAAGGAGAAACAAGATTAATCTCGATTAGCAGTAAATCATTTTAATCAAATTTCCGAAACATGATAATTATTTTTGTTAAAATGAAAAAAGAATTTCAAAATTAACACTTATTCGCGCCTAACAAAATTATGATTTGAATATCGGACCAACGCCTTAATTATGTCTTAAAATTTCATCTTAAATTGTGAACATTTAACCTTCACCTTACCTTTGTTACCTTTGAGCTTTGAGCCGCCCTTTAACTAAGGCTTTGGGCTTAACATTTACCTGTACAAAAGGAGGAAACTCAGCCCGCCCAATTCACCATTTAATTTTCGTAATTAAAGCTTAATAAGTATCACTGACTTGCAATAATCTATTGATTAGTTTGCTATTTAAATGATTACTTTGGATATTTGTTAGTCTCTTGTGATTATCATGTCAACTAATCATCATCATCATGTGTCCATTGAAAGTGACCAATTGATGATACAGTTTAAATTACAATTTCCAAGCAATTCTGATAACCATTATTTTCCAATCAGTTTGTTGACTGTTAAATTAAATTGTTATTTAATTTTTTAGCATCTCGTGAATCGGCTTTCGCTCATGCGATATCGACAGCCGGAGTGGTTCATTCAATTGCTCGAGCTTGTAGAGATGGACAATTACCCAATTGTGGCTGCTCCAAAGCGAACAGACCTAAAAATCTGAAAAAAGATTGGCTTTGGGGAGGATGTGGTGACAATATCGACTATGGATACAAATTTTCCGAGACATTTATTGACCTGAAAGAGAAAGAAAAATCAAATTTGAAGTCACTTAAGGACAAAGGTCGACGATTAATGAATCTACATAACAATGAAGTCGGACGAAGGGTAATGAGCATGAGAAAATTTAACAATTTTTTTTTCTTTCAATGACAACAATCAATTTGATTCTCTTTTTTAACTATTCACCTTTCTATTAACCCTCAGGCAGTTATAAAGAAAACACGAGTTACCTGTAAATGTCATGGAGTCTCTGGTTCCTGTTCATTGATAACTTGTTGGCAACAATTATCTTCATTCAGAGAGGTAAGATAAACAAACGAAACGCAAAAAAAACTACAAATTTTGATTTATCCTCATCTTTTGTTACTTTTACAATATTTAACAATCAAATCAATCGATTATCAAATATTGAATCAGAAAAGGGCCTAACCTAAGGTTAAGGTGTATAAATATAATCCTTATTTGGTAAACTTACCTGTAGTAATAATAATATTAACCTTGATCAACAATCAATTTGATTAGAAGCAAATGAAATAAGATGACAAGAAACTGATGAAGGATAATAATGAAGAGAAAAATAGTTAATTATCTTTCAAATTAATTCTGATAATTAGTTGTGATTCGATGATTTGACCAACCGCAATTAAAGGCCTCTCTAAATCTCCTTCATTAGCCACAATTAACTATCGAAATTGTTTCTTAATTTGCTCTCAATTATTTCTCGACCGGTTCGCCCAAACCTATTTACCTTTTCATCTCCAATATCTTCATCTCTCTCTCTCTCTCTCTCTCTCTCTCTCTCTCTCTCTCTCTCTCTCATCACGTTTTCATCAAAAAAGTGATGAAAACTTGTCTACATATTATATAGAAAAGCATCTTCATCCTCATCTCCATCTTCATCACTCTTAATCATCCTCATCATTTATCTTACCACAAAAAGAAATCATTTTTTCACATTTTCTAACAGATATTAGAACAGCTCTTAATTTCTTGTCTATATTTTTAATTGCAGTTAATCATTTTCGGTGAAAGTTGATATTACAAGAGAAAAACACTCACGTTAATTAGTATCAACTCGTAGGTATTTATTTTTTTATTACTATTTGTTAATTGTCTTAAAAGTAATTCTATTCCATTTAATATAACAAGTAAAGAGAAAACGAAAATACAATTTATGCTTTATCGAGTTTAATTGTTTTCTTATTCAAACAGAATCGACGGTTAATTTCAATTCAACTTTTCGTTTTTATTACATTCATATTATTAATTGTTACCTCAGGTCAAAAGATTAGATTAATATGATAATTAGCATCTTAAATTGCCGAATATCCAATTAGCCGAATCGATTAACCAAAAAAAAGATTCTTATTTTGTTTCAATTGGAAATTGAGTATCGCCATCACATGGATTGATATTCACTTACATGATTAGTCTATTATCTTGGATAATATTAATAAGGTAACAATGGAGAGATTAATGAAATTGTCTATTCTTACTCGAGGCTATTAAGCTGAAAGTTAATTAAGTTATCAGAGAGAAGAAAAGAAAATTGTTCGTTAAAGTAAATTAACTAAAGAATAAGAATTTGTTACATTAATCGTGAGCTTTTATTAGAATTAAATGCCAATCAAGTTAATTAATTAATCCATAAGAATCATGCAAATCTAATTGTGACTCTATTGTTCGGATGTTCATTTTTTTTTCTTATTCTTCCAGCCTAAGAATTCAAAATAAGATAATACTAACAATAAGTTCTAATAATTTACCTTGATTGTGATTAACTTATTATTCATTGAGAAAATATCGATAAATGTTAAGAATTTTATTTCTTTCCATTAATATTAAGATTAACATTCTGTTGATTAGATGAAAATTCATGAACATTTAGATGATGAACCGTCGGTGAGGATTATCTCGCCCTCGATGTATAATCGCTTCAAGGGTTTTCCCATCACAGGCCAGGTACTAATCTACAGTAGTCTCTTGATTAGAGTAAAAAGTGGCCTTAGATTTGATGTCAAAATTTACGAACCAATTGGTAAAGTGATAATAATAGTTGTTACTTGTTCTTTTGCAGTGGATTAATTAATCATCTTGAGATGATCATTAAGAAATACGCTGAAAGTAAATTAATAAGTAATGGAAATGTTAAGATGTTCAGTTGGGATTTTGTTTTAGAACAAAATTTTTCTCTTCTAAATTCTCTCTCTCTCTCTCTCTCTAACTTTCGAAAGGCAGAAAGATACGAAGGCCAAAGTAATACGAAGACGACAGCGTTCATGTTACTAGTAAAGCACTTGACTAATAATATCGTGTTGACCTGTAATTACTTATTAGGGTTTGGTAGGGAAAAGCCTTCATCTCAATCATTTATGTCTTTGTAACAACTAATTTAGCCCCAGGGGTTAGTGTGATTTTTATAGGAGAATATTGCTTCTTTTTCCTTTATGCCAACATATTAATCTTTCTTATCATCATCATCATCATTTCACTCAATAGAATACAGTGTCTTCTATTTTTCAAGTGAAATCAATCGATGAAAGAATTCAAACTATCATATATAATGAAAATCTTTCATTTATCCTTCTCTTTTTTAACGAGCTTCGAGAATCTTTTGTAGTTGAAGAAAAGAAAAGGAAAAGCAAAAATTTTCTACTTCTTGGTTAGAACTTTTTGCTTTCGAATTTGTGAACAATACTTTCGAGAAAAAAGTTCCATGTAATATCCCTTGTAATATTACTCCATTAAGAATTAGTTATTGACACAAAAGAAAGAAAGAGAGAAAGAGATTAAGACATTAATCTTCTTAATCTATTGATAATCTGTTCATTATCTTGTTTCAATTTCAACTTGAATTCGATACTTTGGTCAACAATTATCTCTTGATAAGTTTTTTTTACTATTAGAACTTTTCTGTTGTCAATTTCGGTGAGAAAATTTCGCAAGTGTTAAAGTGATCGAATCGCCCAATAGAGTGTGAGGTCATTTAAGGCCAATTCACGGGCAAATTTTGTAATTAGAATATAATATTACGGTAATTGAGTCACGGAATAAAGTCATAATTGTTAGTTACAGTAGTTAATTTCGTGCAATTTTTATCTATCAAGAAAAAGATACACATTCTCAATTCATCAATCATTTATATACATTTTATCTTCAAGCATCTTCATTGATGATAATCGTCATTTCTATCCAAGAAATTGATATTCTTTTCCAATCCATGATCCCTATTGATCATTATCTTTATTATGAGAAATCGAGAGACATAAATTGCAAAAGAAAATAATATATAAAAAAGATGGAGAGAGAGAGAGAAAAAGATGAAATCATGATGATGATTGTTACATGTTCATCTTAATGGTGATGATAAACTTGAAGAAGATGCAATTTTGGGTGTGGAATTGAGTTGAACGTTGTTGTGGCGAATTCATTGGTCATTTAGATACAATGAGAAAAGGACAGAACTCGAGATGATAATGATGATGATGAATAAGAAGTGATTTATAATCAGAAGGTGAATGCTGACCACCCAATCGAAAAGTATTATAATCCCAATGACAAAATCCATTTAGATTAAATGTGTTCATCTAATCTTTTTCTTTTCTTCATGATAACAATTGGTCAGATCTTTGGTTTATGTGAACATGTAGAGAGATGTACATTTATTAATATATTGAATAAGAGATGGAATCAGAATAGTATTAATCTGAAAAGGGAAGAGAATGAGAAAAAAACTATAAGGAGAGTGCAAGTAAATCGGATTAACTGTTAATCCTCTTTGGGTAATAAAAAATAGTGTTTTTTATATTCACAAGAAATCAATATTTTACTAACAAGTAAAAGCTTAAAACCATTTACATCCAAGTTAATCATGATAATCTATCATTATTAGTGAATGATTAGGATAAAGGAGATGAAGATCATGACGAAAAAAACGGAAATTTCAATTCAATTGTTAAGCTTAATTGAACAATTGGACCTTTTGATGGAAATTAAGGATTAATCAGTTAACTAATTGATTTTTTTTCTTTTTCTCTCTTACAAAAGGTTGGCGATTATTTGAAAGAAAAGTATGAGAAATCAACGGAGGTAAAGATCAATAAACGAGGTAAACTTCAGGTTCGAAATAAGCGGCAAAAGTTACCCACGGCGGAAGATTTGGTTCATGTCGATGGTTCACCCGATTTTTGTATGGACAAAACTGGTACATTGGGAACTCAGGGGCGAGTTTGTAATAAAACTTCCCGTGGTTCCGATGGATGTGAATCCATGTGTTGTGGACGAGGTTATGACACTCATTCGGCGATGGTCAGTGAAAGGTGTAGATGTCGATTCCATTGGTGTTGTTATGTCCAATGTGATACTTGTCAAATTGAAAAGGAGATTCAAACGTGTAAATGATGAAGAAAAGAAAAGAAAATGATTTAATCTGATCGCAATTAAATCAATAATATCTCACAATCACTTCACCCTATGGCCTTTTTTACATCTACGAACTAATTAATCAAGTCATAGTCTCTTTTGTCGTCATCTTAATCTGGATTTTCATGTTTTCCCCAAATCCAATCATCCATATTATCACCATCACCATCGCCATTGCCATCGCCATCATCATCTACATTTTATGTTTCAATTATCATGAACGTTTGACTGCCAATATTAACGATGAAAAATAATCATTAACAAATCTGATGGATTAAACTAATCCAACACTTTTAATACTTGTGTTTAGTAAGATTTTCTTGACAAGATTAACTTTCTTTCATAAGGAAGTTTATTAGTTTGAACAAACTTTATTATGTAACAATATATTTCTCTGTGAGGATAAAGTGACATCTCTTAGCACAAAAATTAACGAAAAGCCAAAATAATAAAAACAAAGAAGCTTAAAAAAGTTTTTAAAAGTATTTCATTGATTGTTTATCTTTAATTGACTCATTCAGTTGAGGAAATATCGATAACTGTCCAAGTCTAGATGACGATATTTGCCAAGCGCTCAAATGGATTATTTAGTAATCTTCCGAAAGTTTTGTTTCGAGTTTCCTACAAGTGAACATTTCATTGAGTTCCAACGGGTTTAGATCGTTTAAGCCTCGAATTATGTAAAAGTCCAGTCAGTGATACCGTTTATTTCCGTGAGGTGTCGGTCGTTCAGATCGACCAGATCAAATTTTCGAGCACTTTCAAGGTCAAATTAATGTCATTCGATTAATAAAACTCGTGAGGATTTTAAAATCTCTCAAAATGAAAGTCTCTCAGTTGGGTCGTCTTATAATCCAAATCTTATTTGCGCTTTTCGTGGTCATTTGGACTTTTCAAGTTTTTTCGACGAAAGATTATTCCAGTTACTATGAACCAACTGCTGCCAAACCAAAGGTTTCATTTTGAACTTTGACTTTTTCGACTCGTGTAGCTCGTGGTATTTTCGTGACATGACTGATGAGACAATTGTTCAACCATTGAGGAAATACGTCAACACAATTAATTAATCAACGCTATTTAAGCTTCCATTCTGTTTGCAAGGTTGATTGTTATGAAAAAAATACTATTTCTGTTGTATGACTTTCAAAAGTCTGAGCAAAAAAGTCAACCTAAAAAAAGCTTATTATTAATTAAATCGACTCACGATGTATTGTTAATTATTTTCTTTTAGCTAATTACAATTATATAATTCTCAAAAAAGTCTCAACTAGTTACCAATGAGTTAATTATTGTATTGAAATTGATCCAAGATTAATTAACTTCAATTGAAGTTGTACCATTATTATAGTTCAATGGTGTCGATAAATGATCATCTTAATTCAGAATATTTTTGTTACAATTAAGTTATTGCGTCATTGATGCAGACACAACAATCAACATGATGACATCTAGAGTGTTGATTGAGTATCAAGGCTGAATTAACAAGCAATCAGGACAATTAAACGTTTGAATAGTAGACTATTGTAATTGATGATGAGTTTAATTTCCTTTGGAAGAAATTAAATTGTAACAACTTTTTGATATTATTTATGATTCGCAACAAATTGATCATTTTATGATTTATTAAAGTTCGTGATGAACATTAACATTAATCCAGCATTTTCCAAGAGATACTAACGCCGAGAAGATCATAATAATAAGAAAATACGTTAATTAGATTAAATTGATGACCAATTTAATTGAAAAGAAGACAATTATTACCAACCAACATGAACGAATGGGAATTCATGGTGAAGATTCCGCCGAGGGTGAAACCGATCTGATTGACATTCATTCGTTCACATGTAGCCAATAACTGAGATGAAATTGAAATTGGAAAAGTTAATCATTCTAATTAATTGGTGATGACTTACTTTTAAATTGGCAGATAAATTTAATTTACAATATCTAGCGATCTGATAATTAGTTAAATGGCACGAAGAGACCTGAGGAATCAATTTTAATATTGAGAATGACAAAGTTTCAGTCAAAGTATCTCGATTGATGTGAGTAATTAATTGTTCACCTTTACAACTGTAAGTGCGGCCAGAATATTGACCATTACTATTGCAGAGAAAATTGTTATTCCAACAGCGAAAATAAGGTAATCGAATAGATCACTTCCCGTTCCAATCCAGATACTAACAAACATGGCGAAATCAGCAAGACCTGAAGCGACAATAACACCATGAGAAAAAGTTGATCCTAAATCAACGATTGACCGATTGATCGTATTGTAGATTTTATTTTGCTGAGAAAAATATTCGAATATATCGTTTTGATTAGCTCTAATTCCTGACTTGACCAGTAGCTGACCGAAAAATTGATTGGAATTAAGTGCGAATGCAACAAAAACCATAATCAAAGTATTTTGAATATAAATCCAATAAGAGGGATAAGTGCCCAAAGTGATCGTAATAGAGACGATGACTGTCCAAACACCGATGACCACAAAATTCGTTAAATTGTCGTAGTTGATTGGGTTGGCGATAAATGCAAATCCCAACCAACCTGCAATCGCCAAGCAAGTTAATGGTGTTATGATGAGATAGAAACGGATAAAGAGAAAAAACAACTTTCTAATATGTGAACAATCAGCTGATGTTAACTTGAACTTTTTATGGTCAAACTTTGTTGCCCTAAGGCGATGATAAAGTTGGAACGCTTCAACGGGCCCTCGTTTTTCCGCTGCGAAACAATGATATCTAAGACCACAGGCAAGTATCAATATCCCGTTAACCAGCATGATCTGAATTCCATGAGCTGTTGAGCCAATAAAAGGATCACCTAAGGCAATTCGAACCGGAGCAAAAGGTACAACGATCATCAAGAAACCTCGTAACAAGATAATTGCACCAATAAAGTCGAGAAAAAGCTCGAAAATATATCGACCTTTGGCTATTGGTTTAATCTGTTCGTACCCTCGAACTATACAATACCAACGAACCGCTGATTTCTCAGCGACACCCAACAGGTCACTCACCGCTTCTCTCGTTGTTTTCCGTTCCAAACAACATCTCCAATAAGATTGAATGATTTTCTCTTGTTCGTTGAACTCATGATATTCATATGGAGACATAACTGATCAGACAATCTCGATGTAACTGAATTATGATAATAATATCTTAATTCAGTTCCAAGTATTGATTGTTATTGATGATGAAAGATCATAATGAACTTTTCCCCATTCAAATTAGTCTCTTTACCATCAACACACATAATTAACTCCATCTAAGGTTAAACATGAGACGTCGTCTCATTAATTGAAAAAATCTTTCAATAGAAAAAAATTAACTTCTTAATTAAATCACCTCACGATGGATCATAATTAAAACCTTACAATCATTAAATAAGAATGGGTTGATTATGTAATTATCACTCAAAGGAAATTAATAAAAGTGAAAGATTTTTTTTACTCCTTCACAATTAACTTTCCATGTAATTTATTTCATATTATAATCTAAATTGTTGCAACTATTTGCTGATCAAATGAAAACAATTTGATTAATTTGGTTTCTAATTACAGTTGAGATCGCAATCAGTAGAGGGAGACACTAATTCGAACCGTATTCAAGTTAATTAAGACAAATTAGCAAATCAATTGTTGATTAATAATCAATTTTGATTCACCAGACAAGAATCAAATTATTATCATGATGATTAACTTAAATATCCTGTCGATCTAAAATTAACTGGTTAATTAAGATTAGGAAAAGTTTGAAAATTTTCAGAATTAATTATTACTGGCTGACAATTAGCGTTAATTGTGTTACTCAATGAATATAATGATTACTGATAACAATTAATGAATCATCTTGAAAGACATAATAACCTTCACGTTAAAGTTTAATTATCAAGTTTATTAATCGGAAGTAGTTTGTTATCAATTTTAATTATGTTTGTGGAGGTGTAAAGAAAACGATAGACAACAATTTAATTAACTATTAGAAGGAGAAAAACAAACTAATTAACCAATCAATGATAGTCTAAAAGGTTATTTAATGAGAAACAATCATCTTCCGGTTCTTAATCACTACAATTAACACATAGTTATCAAAACAATTAGTCACGATAATCAAATGATATCAAAAAGTTAATCAAAGTTTTGTTTTCGTTGAAAACAAACAATCAATTAACAATCAAGGTTAACAATCAATAGGTTTGCAAATTATAGCAAATGATTGAGAAAATTGTTCAAACAATCAAGTATAACAATCAGTTAATCAGTCAAATTGATTAGCGCGAGGAAAAAAAAAGTTGAGCTTTAAAAGTTTAATTGTAATGAAAAACAATTAAAACTAATCAAATGATGACAACAATTAGCAAACAATGAAACAATTGGAAACAATTAATAATAAAATAATCACAATTTAGCAAAAATCTGAAAATAAATCAATCAACAGATCAAAATGTTAATCAATTTAATTGTTATGATATAATTTTGGTTTAAATTTCAATCTAAAAATAAAAGTTTCCTTTTTTTGTTGATTAAAAAGATGAGAAATTAAATTAAATTATATTTATATAAATTTAACGATTACAACTTTCACTCTCATTAATTGTTCAACTTGTTTAAATAATTAACTTTAATTATAATCATTCATTTGGGGATGAGGTCAGAAAAGATGATTAAGTTAATCAAGTAAAAGAAAACATGAAATTAAATAATCTCTTCCTTAATCATAAATCTTAAAACAATTTTCAATAACTCTCATCATCTTAATCACAATTAACAATAATCTTAATCAAATTTATCCTGAAAATGGAAAAATTTTCATCTTGATTATTACAATTAACTAATTGCAAATTCAATGCAAACAGATCACAATGATTTAAAGTGTAACAGTTAATTGTCTCAATCAATAGATAATCACAATTAGTTTAATGCTTTAGGCTGTTAATTGTTGTAAATCTAAAGTTAGTTAATCAAATTAATCAATAAAACTTGTTGATTGTCAATTTTTTTTAACCATCATCGTGATTAAATTAAATATTAGTTTACTGACCTTACAATTTGATTGTAATCATTTGATATATTAAATTGTTACATGATCAGAAACTAAATTGTTACAATTTGTTGGAACAATTAATTGCAATTGTTTTCATTTAATTTTCTTTGCAAATGGTTAATTAATTCAATCTTTTTAATTGTAACCTTATTTGCAAATTTTGTTCATCAACAGTCAAAGAAAAACAAATTTGTTTACAATTAAAATCTTTGTTGATTAACATTAATTAGACTGCGAAAATTTGATTCTAACTGATTAACAATTAAGGTGTTGATCATCTTGAAATTATTAATATTAATTTTACAATATAAAAGTAACATTAATTGTAGGAATAGTTTGATTGTTGTTGATTAAATAAGTGTATTGATATAAATAACCATTGATTGAAAGTGATTAAAATTAATCAATAACAAGAAGACAATTTAATCAACTAATAGCCATCATTATCTTTCAAGAGGACTAATCAAACTAAATTAACTTGAGGCATCTAAATTAATTACAGTTGGAAACAATTAAAATCATCATTTACCTTGGAAACTCTTTACTTGCTCCCAGTAATTGATAACAATTAAAACTAATCACAATTAAGAGTGTCTGTAGTTTAGTCAATGTCTCTACTACGTCAATTGATTAAGCTTAATTGTAGGCTTAAAAAGCAACAGCTCTTGACAATTAAAACCAATAATTAGATGTCATTAAATTGCATCTTCATCTTTTGATTGCAAATTGTTTGATTAGCTAATTGTAAACAATTAAAGGATATTAAAATATTATAAACTTTAATCAACACCAATTCATTTAAAGGATTATGATGAGAGAGGAAAATTTTAATTCCTCTTCAAATTGTTACTTAATTGTTTCTGATTATTATGTAATCTCCACTTGATTATTAGATAATTTCAAATTAGTTAGACAATTAAGCTGATTGATGATCGATGATGATTATCAAAAGCAAACAATTAAACAAAATCAAGTTAATCATGAAACAAATTACTGATATTGAATGGAAACAAAAAGTTTAATTTGTTTTTTCAATCTCATTCAATATGATTAACTTGATTAACTTAATTGTGGTCAAATTAAACTGAAAATAAGCTTCAATAATCAAAGTAATTAATGTTAATCAGTTAATCATTGGCTTAGGGTAAATTATGAAATAACTTTGATTAAATTGGTTCACAATCAAAGTAAATCATTAAACCGGAAGAAAGTTTAAAAGTTTTAACCCGAAACCGATTAAATTGTTGAAAAAAAAAATTATGATTAACAATATTAATCTGATCTAATTGTAAAGGTTTGATCAGTTATTCAATTACACTGATTAACAAGTGTACTAATCATTAATTGTAATCATGTTGATTTGTTTGATTTCCAGGGATTTGTTACAAATGTAGTCAAGTTAAGTGAGAAAATCAAGATAATCAACAATTAACTAATTTGATTGATTCAATTATTATTAATTACTTGTTTTTTTTACCAATGATATTGATCTAATAATTATAAGTAATTGAATCCCTGGGAAAGATAACAATTAACTAATTACAACGACTAAACTTACAGCAATTAACTTTAACCATCGATATTGTTTATTACTTTATGATGAAAATCATAAGATTTTCATGTCAATTGATTTGGTTGTTAAATTGTTGGTTAATCATTTTTGACAATTTCAATTTTTTGTTAATCAATCAAGATCAATGATATTTAATTGAATTAAATTATTATTGATAACTTAAATTATCATCATCGGCGATAATTTAATTTAATCAAGTTTAATAACTTTTAATAGCAGAATGGAAAAAATTTTCAGACTTTAATTGTTAACAATTAATTAATTTCCCTGTTTTTTTTTGATTGCGCTCAACAATTTACTCATATCATACAACCATCAACATAATCAATTAATTCAAATCAAAAGTAACAAATAACAATTAACTTTCCATAGCTATTTGCATATGATAATTGTGATGATGATTATGATTAAATAATTAACTTCCTCAATTTGATTAACTTTGTTAATTGTTATAATTTATTTCAATCCTTTTGATTAACAATCAAACTCACAGTTTTGTATCTTGATTCATCATCTCACAAACAATTAGTAAATTGTTACCATTTCAATTGACCAAGTAACTTTATCACAGTTTCTTTGTGATTATCAAATTGTAACAATCAGTTAATTGTCGGTCAACGTTACATCAATCACCGTTAATCATTTCATCATTTAGTTAATTGTTTGAAGCAAATTGTTTACTTATCATTATCATTAAATATCACAATAATATAAACAACATAATATCAACAGTTAGGTGATAATGATTGGATAACAATTTATTAATTGTTGATAGTTAATTGATATTTTTACATGTTTGATTTTTTTTCACTTCTCTCATTAAAAATCAGTAGAGCAAAAGATCATTGAACTGAAGGTTAATTTAATCAAATTGTTATCACAATTTGACATCAATTAGTTAAAAAAGTTGATTGTTGATATTGAATAATAATGAATAATTTCAACAATTAACAATTAACAATAAATGATTAACGGTAACATTTGAATTGAGACATTTCCTTTTCTATTATTAATATTTACATGATAACCTTGGATTTTGTATATTATTTTCAACAATTAACTAATTGTGATGAAAAGGAAGAGAGAGAGAGAGAGAGAAAAGAAATCAATCTAATTGTTGTTTAGGTGAAATATTTACACGTTCGGATTAACAATTAACGAGGATGTAAAATGTTAATTGTTACAATTAGAATAACTTTTCAAATGGTTTACTATTTATCAGCCATTTATTTTTAATAAACCGAATCAGTTTAATATTAATTGGTCAATGAAAATTATGGTTAGTTGATTAATTTTTTTCTCACTTTAAATTGTAGCTGATTAGCTAATTGGATTGTTTAATTTTCATAGAAATTGATTGTTACCAATTCTTAATAGAATGTCCAATATGATATTGAATGGAAAAGTTTTATTAATGGTAACAGTTGATTGTTGATTTCTTATTGTTTAGCTGATTATTTTGTCTTTTGATTGTGATGATCAATGAACTGGATTAAACAATAATACTACCTGTTGATTTAGTTTTACTTGGATAATCAATTGTGTGAATCTCCAAACAAAAGTGTAATAGATATTGAAAGTTAATAAGAAAAGTTGATAATAAGATGATCATGATAAGTTGATGTCTTGTCGTTCATGAAAAGTGAGATGATTCAATGATTGAACTAATTGGTGACAGTTTGAAAAAGACCCTAAAGATGATTAACTCTAAATTGGATAACCACAACAATCAATAAGAATCTAATTCCAATCAGGGTTAATCATTGAAGAGTAAAAAAAAAGTTCCAACCACCAATAAGCTGAAATGAGAACCGCAAGTCATCATAATCATCATCATCTCGATTCTGTGTGTAGGAAGAACTAGATTAATGAAGATGAATCAAGAACCATGATGATCAACATGATGATCAACATGATGATCAACATGATGATGAAAGTGAATGACAATGAATAAGAAAAATAAGAAAACTCTTAAAGGTAAAGAAAAAAGTTTCCATTTCTTTTCATCATGAGATGATTATCATGATGGTTATTCAGCCTTGATAATTGTTGTTGTTATTCAACAATCAATACTTGAGATTAAAATATAATCACCATCATAAGAAAAAGGTAATCAAAAGGTTTAATGAACAGTTAATTGAAAGGGTGAAAAGGTAAATGGTTATAATTAAAATGGTTGTAATTTGGATTAACTTAATTCTAGCATTTGTATTGATAGTTGTTGTTATTTCATCTCAACAATTAAAACAGGAACACAATTGGGTATCCGGGTTTAACCTCGAAATGTTTAAACAACAACTCACTAATTGTAATTAAAGATAAACAATTAATCAGTTAATCATCATCATTAGTTTTTCTCTCTCTCTATCTATCGTTCTTATTCAGGGAAAGTTTATATCAGAATGGAATTGTCATCAACATGATGATCATTATCGTCATCACTTTGATCAATCTCATTGTCATGGTGGTTTATTGGTGTTGGAACAATTAAATTTACATAAGACAAAGATCATCACATTTCACATCATCAAGCTAATCACAATTAAAACCATGATAGTTGTTAATTTATCATCATCAACAATAATCATGTTTGTTTTGGATACTTAAACAAGGAGGATTGGTAAACAATGGAAAAATTTAATTTGCAATTAAATTGTTGACAATAGAAAAGGTAATATAATGGTAGATGTATTAAGTTAATCATCGAGAATCAATTAACCATAATTTGAACAGTTTGCAACAATTAATTGATTCACAATTGATTGTCTATTTCTCTCTCTCTCTTCTCAATCTTTGTCTAGATGATAACAATTTAATTGTAATACATATGAAAATGATTGAAATATTTTCCAAATCATATCTTATTGTCAATTGGGAAAATGTTTCACAATTAAGGCCTGAGGTTATGATAACAATTAACTATTCCTTTTTCATACTCAATCAAATTGTTTCAACATCAGATAAATTCAATTATAATTGGACCTTTTTCCTGGAGCAATTTAAATTGTATCATCACAGTTTTTTTTTGCTGATTTATTTATAAAATCAAATACCAACACCAGCACATTGAATTACATCAAATTCACTTAAGATTAAAGCTTAAATACACATCAAGATATGGAGAGAGTGTTTAAAAAGTGAAAGCAGAATCAAAGTTAATTTAGTTGGAGAAAAATAAATTTCCATCATCAAGAAGGAGGAGGCTCAAGTAAAAGATCATCAGTAATGTAATGTAATATACATAATACATGAAGTAAATCAATTTTGTTCATCATTTACTCTGCAAATCAAAATAAACAACAAAATAAATCAGGACTAATCAACGTACAATCACCAATACATAATTAAAACAAAAAGTTGGTCACAATTAAAATCTTAAAACAAACAAGTAAACAACATGAAGAGAAACCAATTAAATGATCGCCAGTTAATTCCAACAGAAAAAAAGTGAATAATGAGAAAAATTCAACGTTCGAAAAAAAAAAGAAATAAGAACAAAAAAGGAGAAAATTTAAATAACTAATTAACAAGAATAATAATTAATCAAAAAAAAATTGAGAGAACAAAAAATAAAAAGGTAAACAGAAAATTCCAAAAATGAGTTGTTCTTTTAGAAGAATATAGATGGCGCTGGATTGGAGAAAAAAAGGTGAGAAAGAGAAAAGAAAGAAAATTTTTTAAAGGTAAGCGGTTAGTTCTCATCTTCATCATCGTCTCTCTTTTTCTCTTTTTCTCTTGAGTTTTCTTCTTTCTTTCTGTGTTCTCTCTCACCATCTACAAGGTGTTTGCAAATATTTTAACTAAAGGTGGGAGGAGATGACGATGCGTAGAAGAGTAAAGTTGATTTTAATTGATAACAATTGTTGATCTGCTGTTGGTACCAACGGACTGATGATCATTTTCTATCTGCGCCATGTTTGATCCTCTCTTTTTCCCCTTTTCTTTAGCTGCAACTTTTTTCACCCTGTAATCGTTACTATTAGATAACTTGTTTTCATCTCTCTTGTGTGTTTATCATCATCACCCTAATCATCTTCATCACCACCAATTGAATCAACAAGCTCTAAAACTTGGCGTAAATATATTGAACAAATTTTGGTGATTTTCTTTTCTTTTTTGTTCCTTTTTTTCTGTTTACTCCTTTCTGCTTAAATTGGTGTCTTCCTTTCATCGTCTTCATTTTCCATCTTTCTCGGTAAGGTGTTTTTTTTCTCTCTCTCTCTCTCTCTCTTTATTCGTGTTTGTTCCTCTTTCTATTTACCTCTGTCTCTATCTTCATCCTCTTTATCTATCCATCTCTTTCTCTCTCTCAAACACTCTAACTCACTCTCTCATTTATGATTATTAGCACAGGCGGAGTTTATGGTGAAGACTTTTAAACAATTATAATAAAATATTTACATCGGAACTTGGGTTCTAATAGTTACCAAGATGATCCCAATGGATTAACATTTATTTCCAATTCAAGTGTTTTCATCTGTTTTTTTCTACTTTTGTATAGGTAAGTTTACCTTGTTTTTGGTTCCAATCAAACAAAATTGTTTTCAGTGTTTTTCGGTTATGAAAGATTTTTTTTCCTTTTTCTCTTTTTCTTCTTTTTTTGCTGGTACAGTTTTTATTGTGTGTGAGCGTTTGTTGTCCCACTATTAACCTAGAGAATTTTCTGTAAAAGGAAATCGTCTGACGGATTTTCTTTTTGTCTCTCTTTCTTTCATTGTGTTTTTTTTTATTCTCTTCTCCCAACTTTTTAGACTCTTTCAATTTGGGATATTATTTATCGGTCTTTCAAATCTTGCTGAGCTCACCAATTCTTCTTTTTGGATTAATCTTCATCATCACTATCATCATCATCATCTCCATTGTTCAATTTTTTTACCTTCTTTCTCTGTGTGGATGTTATAACATGTTAACCTGTTTATGTGGCTTAGAAGAAAGGTGAAAACGACGGCGGGCAAGAAGGAGAAAGTGGCGGAGGAGGTGGAGGAGGAAAAGCGTCGTAGCTCTTTGTGCTCAAAATTAAAAAAAATGGTTCTTAAATCAAGTGAGAAAAGTTTTGGACTGAATAATGTACAATTAAAATTTTGGTCAACCCGAAAAAGTTTAACCATTACCGATTATGATCCTGTTTATAAAGTGATCTACCTTGGAAATGTGTTAACCCTTTGGGCTAAAGGTGATGGTGCCATAGACAAACCTTTGTCAACCTTATGGAAAAATTATTGTTCCAATGTGAAACATGATATTTTTATGAAGTTAACCATTTGTAATTCTGGATTAAAAGCAATTACCAGAGAACATGGTTTAACTGAATATTGGTCCAATCGAATTACCTATGCTGCCACTCACCCTGATCATCCAAAAGTTTTCTGTTGGATCTATCGTCATGTTGGACGTAAAATGAAACAAGAATTAAGATGCCATGCAGTTCTGTGTAGTAAAGAAAGTAAAGCCAAGGAGATGGCCGAATTTTTAAATAAAAGGTTAATCACCGCTCTACAAGAATTTAGGAGAGAAAAAAAGTATCGACAAAACTTTCGTCTATCCCTCGCCTCATCGTGCCAAGAGATTCCTCTTATTCCTTTAAGGAAGCAACTTTTAATTAAAGGATTAGCTAATTTTAGACAACCATTGGAAAGATCAAAATCGGCTCCAAAATTAACCTCAATTGAAGAAATTCTCGAAGAACCAGAAGATGTCGAAGAAGAAGATGAAACCGAAGAAGAAGGTTCTCTGGAAGGAACTGATTTAGGATCAGAAGAAGATGCAGCCTCAGATACAACAATTAACATTCTCAGAATGATATTTTGATTAATCTATTCATCTATAAATCATCATCAAAACAATACCAACAACAATCATTCAAAACAATCACAACAAAACATGACATCGTCATTATTATTTTTTCGTATAATCGATAATTATTTTCTCTCATTATCAGTTTCACAATCACTTTTACCATTCAAAACCATTACACACACATAAAGACAACACCATCGACATCAATATCATAATCATCATCATCATCATCATCATCATCATCTGTGTATGAGCAAATCTATCAATCAAACAACGACCTGAAAAAAGGATAAAAAGAAACAAAAAATCACCTTCTTTTCTTACAAACAATTACCTCGACATATAAATTAATCCTCACCTAAAAACACACTAAACGTAAATGTTGTTTTCTTTTTCTCAAAGAAAATCATATGAAACTGTGAATTCGCCTTAATTCATTATATATCAAATTAAAAAACAGAAAACGATGATTAAATATCATTATCGTTAATAATGATAATCTAATCATCGAAGATATTTTTTTTTGATTATGCTGATGGTTACTATTCATAATATTTAACCAACCAACTCTAAACTCGGTCCAAGGTTAACATGATGTCTCTCAACTTTAAATCTTAATCATAATCATAATCATTCGGATGATTATCAGGGTTATCCTAATAATAGTTTTCTTCCTTATTACAATTATCATTATCTAATTGTATTGTATTATCAACAATTTAATCCAAATTGTTATTAAGAATTGAAAGAAAAACAGTTTGTCACAGTTAAATGATATTTTCTATTAATGTTTGACAGAATCAGGATTAATTTAAGGTTAATTGTCAAAGAGTTTAACCTTAACCTTAACTCTTATTGTAATAATAATAATTGTTATCTATCAATTGAAAGTAATTAATCATCAAAATGAACAATTAATATCAAATTACCTGAGAATGATCAAGATAAGCAGAAAGAATTGGAAAATATCAACAATTATTACCTTTAATTGTAACCTTTTCTTTTCATGATTAATTGTTTATTTGATTCTCTATCAATCTCTTAAAACAATAGATTAATTAATCAATTTGATCACAATTGATAAATTGTTCCCATTGACTAAGAAAAAGTTGATCAACATGAACAAAATGCTCAATGGAAAATAATTTACCTTTTCAAACTAATTATCAATTCAATTTGTTACAATTAAGTTTTCCCAATGAATTAGTTGAAGGTTAATTTCTCAGTTAATAATTTAATTTGATTAAATCAGTTATGATCATGATCATGAAGAAACAAAACTAACAGCAGTTAAATCATAATTTGAACAGATTTTTTTGCTTCTTTTCTGATTACAATTAATTTAAATTCAATTGCTGTCATTTCAATGGTATTCAACCAAATCCAGTAACATGATTAGATTAACTCTTAATTGTCGTTACACATCACAATTAATCATTCAACTACAACAGACTTGATTAGTATCTAAAACATTGAATGAATTGATGAAGATTATATTGTTGAAGAAAAAGAGTAAAAATTAATCATAATCATGTTAATTAAAATGAAAATTTTTATGTTCTATTTAAATGATTAATCGATTAGCAAATACAATTAGATAATTGTTACCATCGCTTTACTGTCTAAAAAGGACACATTGATGATCATTATCATCTCATACAATTTAAATCATCCAGTTAATCAGCAACTCACTGAGTGAACAATCAATGATTGTGATTGATCAGTTTGTGTGTGGTTTCAATTAATTGTTTTCATCTAATTAGGTAACATAATCAATGTAAATTCAGGTTCAAGTGAACAAGAAAATCAATGATTCGAGTCCGGGTTTAAATCAAGGTGATCAGTTAATTAGTTTGATTATCATTGATTTTTTTTTGGTTTTGGGAATACAAATGATCACAATTAACTGAAAATCTGTCCAGAAATTAAAACTAAACTTTAAATAGTAACAATTGTACAGTAAATTGGTATTCAATCATTTGTAAGTGTTGTTCACTTTTTGATTATAATCAATTAATCAATTTGAAAAAAAACAACTAATTAAATGTGAAGTGAATTAAAATGATTTCATAAACAAAAAGAGGAAATGATTTTTGCTTTTCTTTTTATGACAATTAAAAAAAACTTGATAGTTTTCTGGTTTGATAATAGCAATTACAAAGTGAAAATACATACAGTGTAATCAATGTTTTGTTTACAATTAGTTAATTGTAATTGTTTATGCTCAATTTGGAATGTCCATTAATTGACTGAAACCTGACGATCTGACGAAAGGCAGAAAGCAGAAAGATAATGAGGATGAACAAATGATGACAATTAGTAAATTAGAGAGAGAGAGAGAGGCAAAGAAATAGAAAGTAACTTTTGACCGTAGATCACTTTAAGTGATTTCTACTTGATTTTTTAACAATTAACGGTTAATTATTTGTTAACTGGATGGTTAAAGATTCACCTTTTATGCAAATCGGAGGTGAATGATAATAGAAAATTGAATTTTAAATTTAGGCTTGAGAGAGAGAGAGAGTTGATATAAGATGAGATGGACAGCCTAAAGAGAGATGGAGAGGGAGAAAGTTAAAGAAGGTGAGAAATAGGAAGATAAATGAGAAACTTGGGGAGAATTGAGTTACTTTTGTTATGATTACAATTATAAATTGACCAGTATAACAAGTTAATTAAAGGGCTTGATTGTTGATGAGTGTTTGGTGTTGAAAGAAAGTGGGTGATGGAGTAAAGAGTTTCCTTGTATTGCTTTTTTTTTAACGCCATCCAAATCTGTAGTGTATTTATCCTTCCAATGACCAATGGTCAACGACTTCCTCATTGTCTTGGTTACTTTTAGGTTGTCTCTTCATCTTTAAAAGGCCGCCAGTTAATTGTTATCAAAATGATGATAATCACGTATTGGTGAGGATGATGATGAAATAACAAAAGTTTCCCAATTGGTGATGAAGATGATGATGCTTTTAGTAAAAGATAAATTAATCAAATTTGACCATCATTTGTATTGATTCAAGTTTGAAATAAATTATAACTTTGAGTCTTCTCAAAGATGATAAATAATCAATGATCTAGGAGATTAATTAAGATAAAAATTCAGGTGAGTATAAAGATGGAAGTTAATTAATTGTTGCAATTTTTGTGTTATTTTAATAACAACACTTAGATGGATGATCAAGTTTTTCAGGGAAAAGAGAGTCTTTTAGTTTATGTAATTGCTGGACGATTGTTTCATTCTCGAAGTTTTAATTGTCTTCCATGTTTCCTTTGGTTAAACATTTTCGTATTTTAAGATTTAAGATCATATTGACTATATGGCACTGAAATCGCTCGATAACAACCAGATCTGTCGAATTGTTGAAATTTATCCAAAGTTACTGTCGATCTCAAGTTTTCTATAATTCTCAAGAATCAATTGCTTGTGATACTTTGGATCGTTTATCTTTCATAATCAATTGATTGTTTCCAATGGTTGATTAGATGAGATAATAAAGAGATGTATTCGAATAAAAATAAAACATCTCAGGTGTAAAGGTTGTCCAATTTATGGGAAAAGATGAAGATGATCATCATACAAATCGAAAAGAATTAGAATTGAATCATTTTCTCCACTTCTTATTTGGTTTAAATGACAGTTAGTGACGATATAGAGAGAATCTCCTTCCCTCTCTCATTAGTCATTGAATTTTAAACATAAACTTCATTGAGAATAGTAGAGAGGAGTAAATTTATCGGCTTCTCCTTTTGAATCGAATTCGTTTTTTTCTATTTATTCGAAGGCGTTAAAATGACTTCCGGACTTTTAGACGTAAATCTACTAAATGTAATCCAAGAAAGATGAATGAAAAGAGAGAGAGAAAAAAAAGACTTAATCAAGTGTATGTTGGTTGTAATTCAAGTTATTATCTGGTTAGTGTCTTTGTTTAGCGATGATAGTGTTGAGGTTGTGAAGGTGGTAAATGATGCGATGATGGATGTGGTAATAGTGGTGGAGTGATGGACAGGAGGAAAGGTAGGAATCACATTAGGTCGACGTGGTGGATGTTGTTGATTTGCAATAATCAGGATGGAATTCAATTGAATGAAGAAATTGGTAATTTGAATTTATCCATTTTACCATTAATAGCTGATGAATTGTCGATAAGTTTCAATTTATGTTCCTAGGCGGGGTCGAATTGATGTAAACAGCAATTAAATAACCAATTAACCAATTGAAAAAAAAGAGGATTATTAATTAGTATTTAGTTGGTTTTTTTTAAGCTTTAAATTAAATTAGGTTTCACTATTATAAAAGGGTATCAACTGATGAAAAAGGACACAAGACAATTAACCATCACACAAGCAAATAATTTGTTCAACTATTTAAATTGTCAACTGGTTAATTATAATTGGTCATTAATTATAAGTCTTTGTTGTTTACATCTAATTGTCTCCGCCCAGGAATTGTCAGTTTTCACTTTGAATTGTTGTGATTGTGACGATGAGATTTTACTATCACATTGAGAGGTTCGAGCAATTTTGGGTATGCTTGAGTTAAATCCCAATTCGATTCCGGTTACTGAGAAAATTGAATCAGTATCTTTTAGTTTATGTACTTGAGACCCCAAAGAATTGAAAAAACTGTGCCTCATGGCTCCATCAGCTGTTAACCGAAAAGTTGGTTCATACTATTGAAATAGAGAGAGAGAGAAAGAAGATGAAAGTTTAGATTAATTATATAAATGATTGATTTTCCATTTGTATTTACTTACCTCTAAAAATCTATAAAGTAGATCAAGTCCATCAACATCTAATCGACGGATTCTCTCACTTAAAGATCGTTTATATCGAGAATATTTTGTCCTCATGGAATCAGTTAAATCGATATTAGAATTTAATTTAATATTTTGAGCGAGTGTTGTCCAAGTATCTTCACTTGGTGATCCCATTATTTTGAAGATAAGATTTAATTGATCTTCCACATTTGCTCCCATGAACATTGGCTTATCGGTAACCATCTCATGGAATATACAACCAACACCCCACATATCAATCGAGGTTGTATAATGTGTTGAACCTAAAAGGACATCGGGTGGTCGATACCAAAGAGTAACAACTTCATTTGAATAAGTTTTAGTTGGTACCGATTTTGCTCGAGCCAAACCAAAATCAGCCAATTTAAGTTCACCCTTTTCGTTGATTAACAAATTTTGTGGCTTTAAATCTCGATGTAAAATTTGTCGATGATGAATGTAAGACAAACCTCTCAGCAATTGGAAAAGAAATATTTTCACATTATTCTTACTTAAAAGGTTAGCACAGTTGTTCATATATTGTCTCAAATCTTGTTCCAAATATTCAAATACCAGGGTAAGAGTTTTATCCGTATGAATAATATCATGAAGTGTGACAATATTATTGTGTTTCAATCCTCTCAACAGGGACACCTCTCGTATAGCAGTACAGGGTGTTCCCTCCTCATGGGCAAACCGTATCTCTTTAAGAGCAACCAGAGATTTGTTTAATCGGCTTTGTCCTTTATAAACAGTTGCATAGGTCCCTTCACCTAATTTAGATATTTTCACATAACTTTCCAATTTACCGAATCCTGGATCACTCATTATAAAAAGTAAATCAATTGAATGAACATAAATTTAAAAAAAAAACAATAGACAAACACATAGACAGGAAAAAATAAACAAAACCAAATTAAAATTAAAAACACTTCAAGTCAATAAATCAAAACAGTTTAATAATCGAACGATTGTCTTCAATTAAAAATCGATTTTCGATTTTTCCTAACCTAGTGACATCTATTGGAGAAGAAAAAAGTTGAATTTTTCTCTTTTTTTTCTTAATCACAATAAAAACACAAACAATTAACTAATGATAATTTAGTAAATGAAAAAAAATTAAACTAATCAATTGAAAGAAAACTATATCAAAAAGAGAGATGAAACAATTTACAAATTGTTCCAATCGAAAATGTAACTTTTTCTTTTTCTTTTACTTTTTTTCATTAAACAAAATTTTCCAATTCAATTGAAAGTAGAAAACAATCAAATCAAATTACTTTTCAATATTCAATCATTTAACAATTAACCACCAATAGATCAACAGTAGGTAATTAACTAATTAGATTAAAAAGAAAGCAAAAAAAAGAGTAGAAATGTTTAATTATATTTTCGATTAAACATTTTAACAGAAAAACAACCAAAAGAGTAAATCGTTTTTCGTACAAAGTTTAAAATCGTAAACAACTTACCATTGGCCTGAGATGAATAATCGCCAAGTCAAGTTGATTGTAAATTCTAATTTTTTACCAGTAATTAGAAATTCGTTAATTGTTGTTGGGTTCAAATAGAAGCGCCGAGTTGATGTTACCTGCGTAGACAGCGCCCTTTGTATTGGAGAACCGGCTTGAAGCTTTAAAGGTTCAAGTGGAACAACAATTTAATTGCTGTTAAGCTTTTCCATTTTCTATTAATCCTTTTCTTTTTTTTCTGTCTAAACTGTGGTGTTAATTAACTAATCAGTGGTTACCATCATCTTTAGAAAGGTAAATCACTTTCATCTATTGATTAATCAGCAGAGGTAAAAATTGTTCGCAATTCAAATGGATAGAAAATCTTTTTGAAACCAAAACAATAACAAAACAACAAACGAGTGATTTTTTTTTACATCAGATTAATTTTCTTGTTCCTCAAAGGGATTAATTAAGAAGGTTAATCAATTTTCTTCTTCTTCAATTTAATCTCTAATATTTGGTCATCTTTCAGGTCATCTCAAGGTTAATTGAAATTCTAATCTAATTCTTTGTTTGTTTTCTACTCTTTCTCTTATTATTCCGCATCTATTTTTTTTTCTTCATCATCATCATCTGTTTATTGGGTTTTCTTTTTGTTGTTTTCATGTTTTCTTTTCTTTTCTTCTTGTGATTAACTTTTTATCCTCTCTCTCACTGTCATTTAATTACTTCTCACTCTTAACCCTTTATAAATTGTTCTCTTTTGTCGATGAAAATCATTGACAATTAAGTCTTGTTCAACATTTTCTATTCTCTGTATTCTTTAATCTCTCCTGTGGTTGGTGTTTATGTCTTGTTGAGTATCTTAATCAACATGGAGACTAATGATTGTTACAATTTGGATACTCGCAAATTACTCTCATTAGAAGGTCAAACTTGGTCACATATCGATTTTGGTCTTGACGAGGATTCATCTTCAAGTAAGTTGCTTTTAAATCATATGCCCCTTTTTCTGGTCCATTTTTAACCTTGACCCTTTTGACCCTAACCCATTGTTTACTTTGATTTTTTTTCTAAATTCTAATCTCAATCTTAATCTATTTCCATTTGTCTTTTCATCTAGATGATATTGAAGACAGTAAGAGTGACACATCTTCCACCATAACCACTAATGGTGGGATTACTTATAATTCATTCGGAGTCAGTGACACTATGAAACTCAAAGAAGAAGGTGAATTTTCAAATCGAATTTCATAAAATTCTCCAAATTTAGAATGTAACCATTTTTCCACATTTATACTAATTATTTTCTCTCCTTCTCTCTCTCTCTCGATCCATAGATATGTATTTATTTGGTGTTTGTCCTGCTTATGATCCCTTCTTCTTGGCGGTTTGTGAATATTGCGGTCAAGTTATTAAACCACAGGCCTTGGCTAAACATATCGAATTAAGACATCGGTCATTCCCTTCAGATTCTATTGATGGTAAAAGTGATAATCTTTCACATGACCAATTAGACGACAGTTGTAATGCTCAATCTTCAATCCATCTATTACCTGGGATGAAAGGTATCACCCATAGAATAGGATCAAATGGGGATAATCTGAATACCCATTCCTTAATCTCGGGCAGATCGACTCTATTTTCTAGTGATAATAAAAATGATAGTAATAAACATATACTATTGGAAGCAATACCTCCTGGATCATCATCATCATCACCATTATCTTTTGGTCATCCCAACAATCAAAGCATCACCTCTGGTACAAGTCATTTGAAAAGTTCATCATCTTTACTAAATCAAAGTGGAACCAATTCTCCGTTTAACAATTTACCTGCGTTAAGTTCATGTTCATCAGCTGCTTCCTCACCAAATTCGTCCAATTCATCGCAAACCCTTGTGGCAAATAATAATCAATTAAACAATTCTCGATATGGTTCATCTCAATTAACCGCAAATAAGACTGATCTAGTTGGTGGAAACACTTTAGGTTCCAATGGAGCTAAAACAAAGTCTTCCAATAATCTACTAGTTAAAAAAGCTTCAATTAGAGGTAAATTGTTACCCTGTAAAGATCGTGAATACGATGCTGATAAACACTGTGGAGTTAAAATTGGTGATATGGATAAACCTTGTACCCGAAGTTTAACATGTAAAACACATTCGTTAACCTTACGACGATCAGTTGCCGAGCGGTCGAAAAATTTTGATGACCTTCTAACTGAACATCGAGCTAACAAAGAAGCGGCATTAAGAGCGGCAGGAATAGAGGTAAAACCAACGAAACAGCAGCTTAAACAACGAGAACTTGAAGCAAAACGTTTACTTTTACTTCAACAACAACAGCAAAAAAGTCAACCCCAACAAAAGCAACAGAAACAACAACACGCACCATCATCACAATCAAAATTAGATCAATCAAATTCACATCAACAACAAGCCAAATCTAGCAAACAATATAACTCAACCCATCAACAATCCCAACCACAACAACCACCACACCATCATCTTCGTCACCATTCAAATCATATACAAGATAATATATCTCTGCCAGTCTCATCTCATTCACATCATCAAAATCAACAACAACAACAACAACAACTTAAAGAAATTAACTCTACCGTTTCTCAATGTAATCAAAATTTAATGATCGGTAAACGACTTGATAAACATTCACCAATCCTTGCTAGACAACTAAATGAAACTATTGATAGTAAAAGCGATACGAAAAGCTCAACACCGCCGCCAATCCAACCAACACCAGCAATTATCCCCTCAACATCATCACCAACACCACCAAATTATTCAACTAATCAATTGGATAAACCAAACTTTATCGAGGTCGATGGTTGCCTTTACCTGCCTAATCCTCCTAAACCAATGGCCTTGTGTAACTTTAATGCTCGTCAGATATCAATTGAACCTCTTAACTGTGATCAAGATGATAGTCCCTGTAACCTTTCATCCCGTCTCTTCACACGGAAAAGAGACCTCACTTATTCAGCACTGACTATTTTTAGGACTCAATCAAAGACCGATGGTAGTAATAGTAGACCTAACAATCAAAAACTTCTTTCGCTACTAAATTCAAATTAAATTTTCCTTTTCTACTCTTGTGTCTGTATCTCCACCATCACAACCACCTCATCATCTCCTCTCCCAATCCTTTACCTTAATTTTTCACCCATAAAAAAACATCTCTTATCGTTGTCACTATGAAACATCAAATGTACGTGTAAACCTTTAGTCAATGTGCTTGGTACAATTTAAATTGTGTATGTGCGTGTGTACGTGTTTGCTATTTTAATTGATCAGCTCAACTTACTGTAATACCAAACACAAGCACTTAAATTGAACAAAACAAACACACTTTTTACCTTTGTAAAGCAAATCAAATCACAGGTACATTTACCGATGTAGATTAGTTTCCATCCCCTAATCCTAATCCTAATCCTAATCCACTCTCCATCCTTCCACTTCCTACTCTTGATTTCATTGTAAATCTTTTTTTTTACATTCAAATTGATTATTTTTTGTCTAATTACCAAAATGATGCGAAAAGTATCAACAATCTTTTCCCATACATACTAATTAATAATTTAATGATGAAAATGATCAGATGATTTTTGTTATTGTAAATAATTTCACTGTGATTGATTTGATCACTTTTCAATTAATGTAAATTAATAGATCACAAAAGGTTTTCTTGTAAATTTACCAAACAATTAACTCTCTCCAATCTAATCCCATTATCATCTTAATTTGATTGTGATGATAATAATAATTTTCTTAACAACGATAATCATTAGTTTATAAAGCAAACTACAAATTTTTTGATTAAATCCAATCAATTAATCAAGTGGATCATAAATCCTAAGTAAATCTATATGTATATGAATATATGTTTGTACAATTAACTTTTTCTGTTAGTAAATTATTTTACTTGGTTTATTAATCAACGATTACCATTAACAATTAATCTAAGAAAAAATTAGTGATGAAATTAAGATTAATTTTGATGGTAATCAATTAATTATGGTTGTAAAATTATCATTTTTTATTCAAGAAAAATACTAAACTTAAATAATAATAATCTAATTGCGATTAAATCAATTGTCTTGTTTTGCTTTTTAATTTAAGGTAACAATTAACAGTCACAATTTACAATCATTATTTTGATGATACAAAAAAAGGACAAATATTTACAATTGAAATTGATTATAAAGCTAAATTGTTTTAAAAACGAAACTCTAATTAGAATTGGAATTAAATTAATCTAATTAAGAAATCAAATCAATAATTTAACATTTAAATTGATCAGAAATTATCAAATATTGTAACCAAATTAAAAGGTTATACAAGAAAACAATCAAATAAACAATCTGATCGATTGTTGTAATCAATTAATTGTTGAATGAAAATGTTAATTGTTACATTGATGGAAAAGATTCATCAGCTTAATTAATGATCAATCATTCATCTTATAATCATAATCATCAATCAAGCGTAGATTTATAATTTAACAACAAAGAAATGAAATCATTATAATTTAATTAATGCTCCGTTAATTGTTAACAATCTCGTTAGTTTCTGGTCCCAATCTTGTTAATTTTAAATCTTCAGCAATCAAGTGTTGATGGTTAATTATGTTGATATGATTGTGAGTATAATTTAATTACTCTACTGTTTTCTTTTACTCCAATTGAATTGGTACCAAATTGTGATGAGTGATTAAGATGAAAATTGTTGATTGTTAAGTGTTAATTACAATTTATCGAGTGTAGCAAATAATTTACAGTTGATATTTACATAAAAGGGATGATCGACTTGAACTAATCTCTTTGTTGAATTTGATTTTCCAATTGAATTTTTGAATCTTGTCCAAGGAGAAATTCAGTCCAATTCAATTCAATGGAATCTCTTTCATGGGATAATATTCATTGTACATCTCAGATTGACCTGGGGCAATTCTCTGTTGATGATGATGGTGTTTATACAATGAACCCTGTGGACCAATTGATCTAGAACCAGATGAAGAATTGTCCAAATTGAATCGTATTGGTGACAGATAATCGGTTCATATTCATCACAACTCCAACATGAATTATCTTTACGATCACAAATAGTTTTAAGTATGAACACAACGGAGAGCGGAATCACAGTCATGGCGAGAATGATACAAATTAACCGAGAGATACTTTGAATTGGCTCATAAGCTTCAACATTGGAAACAAAATGAACCATTAGACTGACCAGAAGTAAGAAAACACCGATGGGTAAAATTTTCGCCAGCAAATCAAACACTTGACGAGTACTTTTATTGGTCATCGCTGATCTATTTGATTTAACATCATCAGCCAAATCTTTACGATCGTAAAAACTATCGGTTGTCCAATAATCATAAGTGTAACCCGATGAAGCAACGGCAGCAGATGAAGAAGCGCCAATCGTAGGATCACAATGTTCAATGGTCTCGATGGAAAGAGGAACCACCGAGCCCGATGATTGTTGATTATATGAATCACCAGGAATTGATTGAAATTGTTGCTGACGGAATTGTTGTTTAAATTGCTGCTGTGGCTGTTGGCAAATGATACTTGGCTCATATGATAACATCCCTGGTTCCTTGTGTTTACAATTGTTATCTGATTGTTGATTATCGTGAGGAGGCTTCAACTTGGCCTCTAGAACTTGTTAATTATCATAATCTTTAATCAATTACACTCCAAAAGTATGGAAGATCATAATAGTAAATCAAATGGAGGAAAAAAGTGGAAGATTTTTTTTGGAAAAAAACAATCTGAAGAAACGATTCCTATGGATGTTGGAGGAATTACTCGAATTATTCAATTCATTGGGATAACAAGGATTCCACTTTGGATGCTGAGTGAGAACTCAATCAACAAGGAGACTGAGTAGACAGAAGTGAAGCTCATATAGTTTATCTTCATCATCATTTCTCTTCCAAAGGAGCATCAACATTGATTCTTTCATCACAAATCGATTTCTCAATTTTCTTCTTCCTCTACTTTTCGCCCATTCATTCATCGAGTTCTATTCCTGATAAACTCAGATTCTTTTTCTTGACCACCAAAAGGTCTTGTTTTTTTTTCTTCTTCCTCTTCCTCTTTTTGTTGGCAATTCACATAGTAAGTTGATTCTTTTCTCAAATTCTGACCAAATAAAGTAACAAACGAAAGAATGAGAGAGATAAAAGTATCGATCTTTTCTCATCCTTTTCCCTTCAAGTTTATCTTCTTCTTCATTCCTCAAGAGTTTATCTTTCTTTCTTCTCATTAACCTTTGTCTTATTTAGCTATCTTTATCTTCCATCTATGGTAACATTGAATTGGAATGAAATTGATACGGAAAAACGAGAAAAAGAAACAAACAAATCGAGATGTAAGAAAACAAAAGAAGAGAATAAACTTCATCCTGTTTGGTATTTTCTTCGCAAGTTCATCTTGTTCCATCATAAACCGTTATTTTATCTTTGTTATTAATTCTATCATTTCATCTTTTCCATGGTCATGGTAAATTAGATGTAAACAGAAAATTCATAATATTATATGAAAAAGTTCAGCGGTAGTAAGCACAGAAATAGGGAACAACCAGAATTTTCACTAAATAGTTAATTTTAATTGGACACAAAATATGAATTCCAAGTAAGTCACTTCTAGAAAAATATTTCCAATTTATGAAAATACTGAGAAAAAAACTATCAAATCAAATCTTAATTTGCTCAATTAATTCATTTGTAAATGATAATAATCTGTGAACTTTTTTTGTTGAAAAAAATCAATTGACCATCACAATGAACTTTTTTAATTACTCTTCACCTCTTCACTCTCTCTACCTTTTTAATCATCAGTGATTATGTAAAATGTTGTTGATTCAGTTTCCTTCATGTTTGTGGTTACATTGAGATCTAACAACAACAAAAAGCTGATGTAACTTTCATGTTTACCTTAATGGTGAAAATAAATTATCAACCCACACAAATTTAATCAATTTTTACGATTAAATTTACAACCATTAACAAATTGTGGCCGTTTCAATCCAACGATCAATTACCAACTTTAATCAATCAAATTAATTTTAATTCATCAGATTGAAACTATTGAATTAATAATGAGCATATCTATTGGCAGCAATTAAACTAATTGATATTGGGAATTCATATTACTAATACAAGAACTTCTAATCACTCCAATCAAATTAATTAATTAGTTTCAATCAAAGTGAACTTAATTGATTTAAATGCATATAAATTTCCAAACAGATTATCAAACTTTTCAACTTAATAGCCTTATTTGTTGGGAAAAAATGTTCGAAGTTCAGAAATCAATTAAATTATATTTTGTTTTTACTTTAAAAAATGATTATCGCTGGAAAGAGGGTCATAGGATCAGAAAAGGTAAACGGTCAACAAGGAGTTTACAAGCTTCCAACTAATTATCAATTAAATTAACAGGGCTTAATAGTTGTAATTACATTGTGAGTATATCGCTTACAATTATTTTAAAACTTTTTGGTCTCTCCAGTTTAATCAAATCGTATTTATAAACATTTAGCAATTTATCGACTGTTCATTTGATAGTATTTATAAGTTTTATTTATATTATGTAATGTTTTGCGTTTTTTGATTAATTTAAATAACGTTAATCAATTGGGTATATCCCTAAGACAAACGGCACATCGACTGATCTTGTCTCGAAGTTGACTTTGCTTGAATGTTTTTCCTTGTGGTTTCTCAAACTGTGAGTCCTCACCGATTATCGCTAACCAGAAAGACAATTTATTAGAAAAAACGGCACAAAAGCCTCTGGCACCTTGACACTCAATAAATGGTGCACTTCGGAAATTTTCAAGGCAACTTCCAGGGGATGCAAGGGATTGTCCACCTCCCTCTGCACCGGACGCGGTGTGCATGGCAAATGAATATCCTATCCAAAGTTGACTCCAGCCCGTTGGACATTCGGGATAATAATCGGCCTGGGAATGAACGGCCATAACGTTGGCTGGTGATTCACAGACAGAACAGCGACTTACATGTTTACGAATTTCATCCTCTTGAACGGCTTTCGAAGGAATGGGATCATTGGTCGACAGCCAATAAGATTTATCGTTTCGTGAAGCATATGAACAGGCCTCATTAATGTCACAGAAAAGGAAAGGCATTGTACTAAATCGCCGCAAACAAGACCCTGCAAAACCAAGATCTTGACCATGAGCTCGTTCATTTCCTTCAATATAGAGTAAACTGTAACCATCCCAAAGTTTTTCCATATTGTTTGGACATTGAGGTGGATTAACGTCTTGAGAATGACGAACAAGTAAAATTCCCGTTAAATAATCTGATCCAGGTCGACCAACTGGTCCAGGAGAACCTGTCTGACCAGGATAACCTGGTTGACCTCTTTCTCCATCTATACCGGGTGGTCCTCTCATTCCCTTATCACCTGGATTTCCTGGTGATCCTGGAAGTCCTGGTGGACCTGGCAGTCCACGCGCCCCTTTTTGTCCTGGGAATCCTGGCAGTCCTTGCAATCCCTTGGACCCTAGCAATCCTCTAGGTCCGCTTTCTCCTGGTTCTCCGGGTGATCCTTTATCTCCTTTCAATGAGTCAGATAAAATAAAATCACCAGGAGGACCTTGTGGTCCAAGATCACCTTTGTCTCCCTTATCCCCATAAGGGCCTCGAGGTCCAGGCGGACCTTGCAAGCCCGCTAAACCCTGTACACAAAATTGATTTAAACTTCACAATAACTAGGATTAATCTTTATCAATATACCTTTAATCCAGGAATACCTGGTAATCCATCAATTCCTTTATCACCTTGCGGTCCAGGGAACCCTGGTTCTCCTTTAGGCCCCTTCGGCCCCGGTAAGCCAGGCATTCCGCCAAATCCTGGATTACCCTGTAATCCTTTATCTCCTTTGTCGCCTGATCAAAAGTAAAATATTAAAAAATATTTAGTTTTAGATATTTTAAACAATTGTGGATATATATTGAAACAACTAGTAATTAAATTTTCATTTAAAATACGTTTGGATGTACCAAAAATTCAGTGGTCATAATAAAAATAGATGAATCGCAAACCTTAATCTCCTACCATCCTGATGTACACTTACCATAAACTTATCAGAAATGTTTCAAACCGATATGTACTTAATTAGTCGAAAACCTAAATTGAGGTAGATATTAATACTTAATAAACTTGCCTTTCACTCCAGGGTAGCCTTCGTCACCTTTAATCCCTGGCAATCCAGAAATTCCAGGTTTTCCGGGTACACCAGGGAATCCTAATTCAAAATAATTATGTTATTTAATATTTTCTTCGTCGCTTAACCTCAGTTAGTATTTACCTCTTTCCCCTGTAGCCCCAGGATCACCTTTATCACCTCTCTGAAAAAAATTTATTTGCATCAAATTTACTGATGATTAATACTAGTGATATTGAAAAAACTCACAGAAGCGAAACCAGGAATTCCAGGAGCACCGGGCATTCCCATTGGCCCTACATCTCCTTTTTTACCGGGAGGTCCATCACGACCATTATTCCCATCGAGACCATCTCGACCTGGCTCACCTTTATTTCCCTTTAGTCCAGGTAATCCATCCGATCCCGGATCACCTTTTTGTCCAGGAAATCCAGGCAAGCCCTAGAAAAAAGTTGAAGTCATATTTTATCAGCTATGATTTTGATTGTTGAACTTCTTTACGCACATTATAACCTTGTTTTGAGACATAAACGATCTCACCGGGTGGACCTTGATCTCCTTTGTCTCCTGGTGGGCCCATTGGCCCTATTAAGCCTTCGGCTCCCGGATTACCCTTCATTCCAGGGTAACCCATTCCACCGGGTTCTCCTGGCTCACCTCTTGGTCCTATTTTTCCTTGAGGACCATCAAAACCTGGAGAGCCCGTTATACCGGGTGGACCGTTAGGACCGGGAGATCCAGTCAAGCCAGCGGGACCAGGCCATCCTTTGTCTCCTTTTAATCCTGGCATTCCAGGCAACCCGCTTAATCCTTTCAATCCCGGTGCACCATCACGCCCTGGCTCACCTGGCCTTCCTGGTTTACCTGGTTCACCCATTTCCCCTGGAAAACCTGTGCCAGATTAAGAAATTCCATCAATTGTTCAATCACATCGTTTCAAGTTTCAACTTTTTATTTAAAAGAATCCACATTGACACTTACCAATACCACGAGGTCCAATATCTCCTTTATCTCCTTTATCACCTATCGGACCCATTGGCCCTTGTGGACCAGGAAAGCCTTGAGGTCCGATATTTCCTTTATCTCCTGGCAACCCCTCGAGTCCAGGATCACCTTTTGGACCTGCATTTTGATCAAGTTGAAAAAAGGATGAGAAGCATTTTAACGAGCTTATCGATTATCTTTGTTAAACTAACCTCGTGTTCCAGGATAACCAATATCTCCCTTCTGTCCTGGTGAACCTTGAATCCCTTTCATTCCGGGAGGACCAGGTAAACCACCCGGACCTGGAAGTCCTGGGAGTCCAGAATAACCGTAAGCACCTTTTTCTCCTTTTTCTCCAGGCTGGCCATCAGTTCCATTATTTCCATTGATACCATCAGCTCCTGGGAAACCTGGTGGTCCATCTTTTCCGTCTATTCCAGGAAAACCTTTATCACCCTTTGATCCTTTTATACCAGCATAGCCCATCGAACCTGGTGGACCGAGGTCTCCTTTTGGTCCTCGATCGCCCTTGTCTCCAGGTGTACCAGGTCTTCCGTTTTCTCCTGGAATTCCTGATAGTCCGAATTCTCCTTTATCTCCAGTAAATCCTGGAGGGCCCATAGGTCCAGGGTTGCCGAAATCGCCCTTTTCACCAGGATAACCCATCGGTCCAGGAGGTCCATCAATTCCTGGTAATCCAGGAAAACCTTTATCTCCTTTTACCCCTTGCAAACCAATAAATCCTTGTGCACCAGGAATTCCGTATCCTGGTTCTCCGGGTTCACCTTTAGGTCCAATCGGTCCATTTTCACCAGGGATTCCTCTATCACCTTTGTAACCAGGTACTCCCTGCAATCCTTGTAGACCTGGCTCTCCTTTGTCACCTTTCAGATTAAAAATCCTCGTTATCAAAAAGTAATAAAAAAATGTTAGTTTCGTTACGAACCTCTAGCACCCGGTGGTCCTATTAAATTAAAATAAAAAATTACAAGAAAATTTATTAGAGATCGGAAAGAGTTAATGAGTAATTGAAATGGACGTACCTTGTCCACCAACGTCGCCTGGAACTCCATCAAGGCCGGGCGACCCAGTTAATCCTTGAAGTCCGACATCTCCCTTGATTCCTTCTCTTCCGGCTCTTCCGGGCAAACCATCATCTCCTTTATCTCCTTTGTTGCCCTTTTCACCTGGTGGGCCAGGAGGCATTTGCTTCAGATCTTCAGCAGTGGGATATTTACCAGGTTCACCTTTGAGTCCAGTTCCACCCTTTTGGCCTTCGGGTCCTCGATTACCTTTGTCACCTTTTTCACCGGGAACTCCTCTTTCTCCTCGATCACCTTTTTCACCCATTGTACCTGGAAAACCTTGAGGACCCTGGAAACCTGGAAAGCCAGGTAGACCCTAAAATTTTAATTTAAATCATTTTGTTAAACTTTCAAGGTCAAAATTTTACTAAACTCAAAGTTCGTGTTCAAGTCCAAATTTTACTTACTTTATCACCTTTGAATCCCTGGCTTCCTAAAGTTTATTAAACAGAATTAGATTAAGATTTACATTCCAACTAGTTCGCATCAATTAGTCCGCAATATGAATTACCTATTGATCCTGGAGTTCCATCTTTACCAGGTTCACCATCTCTACCATCTCTTCCTGGCAATCCGCGTGGACCGATCTCTCCTTTAGGCCCAATCGGGATGTCAGCGGCTTCTATCTTAAGTGGCTCACCTTTATCTCCCTTTTCGCCGTCTCTACCGGGTATACCAGCGTCTCCCTTTTAATAAATCAAGATTAATATTCTAGTATATCAATGCTGAATTCAATTAAATTAACAATAGACTTACTTCTAATCCAGGAGAGCCTGGAATGCCTATCGGACCTGGTTCGCCAGGTAGTCCAGCCTCTCCAGTTTTGCCTTTATTTTCGTTTTTTTTTGTTGAATAGAAAAATAAATAAAATGTATATGAATTATACTTAAATAAACTCACCTTCGATTCCATCTCGACCTGGAATTCCGGGGTCACCTGCTGGCCCTATCTCTCCCTTTTCCCCTTTCGAGCCTGGATTGAGTGAAAATTAAAAGACAAAAAATATTTTTAACTATCGAATATAGCCAATTGAAACTAATTTGAAATTACCTGGATAACAGGTTGGACACAAGTTTCCAGAATCTCCCTTGTCTCCTCTTTCGCCATCTCTTCCGGGTTTACCGGGTGTTCCTGCGAATCCTTTATCACCTTTTACCAAAATATCAAATTTTCATTATGTTTAGCCTAAATTCGCTCTTGTAATTTTCCAAAAACCCTAGTTATTGGTCTGGACTCTTTTTATACGCAAACAAACTTACCTTTTGGGCCGACTGGACCTGGTGGGCCTGGAGTGCCTTCAAGTGCGTCTCCTGGGGTACCTCTTTCTCCCTGTTATAGTGAATAGCAATTAGATATTAACAAATAGTAACAATAATCAAATTCGACTACCATTACCTTCGATCCTTTATCTCCTCTACTACCAGGTAGTCCTGGGACTCCATCAGTTCCATCCTTACCTGGTGGGCCCATGATCGATCTTCCAGCATCACCTTTCGGTCCAAGTTCTCCCTTCTGCCCTGGAGGACCTTCAACTCCCCTTTCTCCCTTTCTTCCAGCTTGCCCATCAACTCCTTGAGTACCTTTTTGACCTTTTTGGCCGGGAGTTCCTGGGCTACCCGCAGGTCCTGGTAATCCTGGTCCTCCTTGAGGCCCGGGTAACCCTTTAAGACCTAAAGATCCTCTTAACCCATCCATACCAGGCGATCCAGGAGGACCGGGAGGACCTTGTGGTCCAGGGTCACCCACTGGTCCAGCCCTTCCTTCAATACCACCAGGAGCACCAGGAGCTCCGATACTACCTGGCGGTCCAGTTAATCCTCGGTCTCCCTTCGGACCTCTATCTCCAATCAATCCCTCTAATCCATGTAAGCCAGGAATACCCATGTCACCCTTTAACAATAAACAATTAATAATTAATAAATAGTTAGCTTAGTTTTGACTCAAAGAAGCTAACCAATCAACTTACTTTGTGTCCAGGAACACCAATCGGACCTGGATAACCAACTTTGCCCTGAAATAATTCAATAAAAATATTCAATGAAAATTATAACTTGACAAGACTGTCTTAGAAATTATCATTCCCCGTTGATTATGAAATCAACAATAATCAACATACCGGTGGACCTTGAAGACCCATTGATCCTTTGTCTCCCTTACTTCCGGTCACTCCAGCAGCACCAGGGAAACCCGGTCGTCCTTCAGGACCGATATCTCCTTTTTCACCAGGAGTTCCCTAAAATTTAACAGATAACATAAGTAAATTCATTAAGCCTAAAAATTTACTAATCCTCAACTTACCTTTTGACCTTTATCCCCTTTTTCTCCTTTTGGTCCAGCATAAGCTTCTGGTGCACCGATTAAACCCTCAACTCGACCACAGGCCGGTCCAGGTAAACCTTTTTCTCCTTTTTCACCCTTTAGCATTTTAGAAATAAGATTGAATCATCAGATCGAACCTTAATTTTAATTATTCTAATTTACCGGTGGTCCCATTGATCCAATTATTGAAATACCCCGTTCACCTTGTGGTCCAGGTAAACCTCGATCTCCCTTTGGACCTGGTGGTCCAAAAAGTCCAAGTTCACCTTTAGGCCCTGGTCTTCCTTCCGGTCCTTCCCTTCCTTTATCACCTTGACGACCGTCACGTCCAGGTTCACCCTGCGTAATTAAATCGTCAATAAAAGTTCAATCGTCCATGTGAAAGGGAAACTAAATTTTAATACTCACCTTTATACCTTTCGTCCCAGGTAAGCCATAAGCTGGATCTCCCTTTGGACCAGGATCACCTGTTGGACCAGGAATTCCTCTCGGTCCGGGAGTTCCCATTTCTCCAGGTGGTCCAGGTACACCCTAAATAAATGAAACATCAGATCAGCATAAAATGACCTCACAGAAAATATTGCGATTCTTACATCGGTCCCGTTACATCCATTTGGTCCTTGTAATCCTTTTGGTCCTGGAAATCCTGGTGGTCCCTATTCAATTCAAATACAATTCATTGATTATTGTTATTGATTAATTGATAATCATTTGATTTTATTTGACTAAATCAAATAATTAACTAACATTTTCTCCATCGCGACCAGGAAATCCAGGCATTCCGGTTAAACCCTATAATAAAAATACAATTTAAAATTAAGGCTTAAAATTGATTAAAAATCAGACGGAAATCAAATTCTTACCGGTTCACCTTTAATACCTATTTGTTGTTAGAAAATGAAAAAAGTGATTTAATTAGCCACCTGTTAATTGCGAAAATCAACTGATCAACTTACCTCTGGTCCCAGCGGGTCCAAGGTCACCCTTTTCTCCTTTATCACCTTGAGGTCCAGAATTTCCTGGATAGCCGCGTTCACCTATAGATCCTTTGTCTCCCTGATTTCCCGGTAAACCCTGAGTATCGGAATAAAACACGAAAAAGTTCAATCAGAACAAAACTTTACTTTAAAATGGAAAATTCGAGGGACAAAAACATACCCGACTTCCTTTTGCTCCCACACATCGGCATTTGTCCCCACCTGCCACACACTCAGCGCACCTTCCTTGTGAGCCATTTCTAGTATCGCTAAAAGGAGGGTTTAATTGCTGTAATTAAGCAAAAAGATATTCTAATTAACTGTAACAATCAACGATCAAAATCACAATTAAATTAAAATTGTAGCGTCACCTTTGTGAGTAGAATTAGACTAACAATTTGTTTAGGATTATGTTGAATTGATTAAGTTCATTTAGATTAATTTAATGATTGATTATAATGTAAACTAAAAAACAGCTAATTAGTTAAGTTTGAACATAAATAAAATTGTTTAGGCTGTTTTGTCTGTCTAAATTTAAATTAACGGTAAAATTAGATCAAAAGTTTTCCAATGAATTAGTAGTTTAAATAATTAACAATTATGATTATTATATTTCTCATAATTGTTTACTAATTTACTTGTTTTATGATTAAAATGATTAGTTGTTGAAAAAAACCAAAAAAATGGAAACGAACATAAATGATTAAAAATTTACTCTAATTTCGTATTAGTTGTTGACTTGGCTATCATCCTAATTGTCATTTTCGTCATTATCTTAATCTACAAATTCTAAATTAATTGTGATTAATGAATCTCAATTTAATTCGCTTGTGTCAAGTTTATTAACCAGCAAATCTTGCGAGATAAATTGTGAATAATTAAAGCGTAAGATCTGAAACCATCAAGGTAAAGGTTAATTGACAATTGATTTTAATCTTTTGATCAGATTAAATTGTTAATTGTTAACTGTTGATAGTTATCTGGTTAATCTTCTTATCATATAGTTAGTGTCAACTGATACTCACAGTTGATTGTTGAGATGGATCAACAATTAAGACCTCGTTCTCGACCTACACTAAACTATTAGACTAAGTTAACTAATCGTAGCCTTGACAATTAACTGTAGACTCAATTTTGTCTTACGACGAAGGTTAATCATTGATGATTAATTGATTGTCAAATCAAAACATAAGCTTGGAAACAATTAATAAAAACTGTGAAACTCTCATTATGATACTAACCAGAATCCATTTTGTTTGCTCGTACGAAAAATTTCCTAACTGTTGAAACAGATTAACCTGGTTAATTGTTAAGGGGCAGCAAAGTAAATCAAATGCACCAAAACAATAAAGCAAACAAAAAATAGTTTATAAACAAAATCCAATGTTTATATAAATTGATTGAGAGAAAAAATTGCAAACAATTACGTATTAGTAAATTAATATTGATTACGTTTTTAATATTCAAATTTAGTATTTATGGATTATCTTAATCTTCTTCCTGGATTATTAATTCGGTTGTATTGAAACCCCTTCTTCTTTACTTTCTTTTTTCTCTTTTTAGATTAACATGATTTGTGTTTATTGTTGATTGTAAATGACTTTTAATTATTCCAGAAATGATCAAAGGAAAACAGATCAACTGTAAAATAGCATTTACAATGTTAATTAGGCTTCTATTTGAGAGGAAGACGAAAAAAGGAAAATGAAGTTTGGGTCTAAATATAGTCCATCGTCAGATCGTAATGGTTTCGGTAAATGATCAAAATTTAGAGAGAGAGAGAAGGAAAGAGAGAGAGAGAGAGAGAGAGAGAGAGAGAGAGAGATAAAGGGAAGAAGTGGAGAAGATGAAGGGAGAAGGATAAAGATGAGAATAAAAGAGAGAAAGAGAAACAAGGAAGATGGCGAATTATCATCAATGAGCTCAAGTCGCTTTTCCATCTTCATCTAAAAACATATACACTCAAAGTTTCTTGGAACAAAATCAAAATAAACATTCATATTTGAAGAGAACACGAAGAAGGAAGAAAACGATGATGAAGAAAAACGAATATTGGCTATCTTTTTTTCAGTAAATCAATGATAATATTGAACTAATTTACTGATATTATAAACGTCCATTAGAGTGACCTCAGGTCACAAGAAAACTTTTAATTGACCAAAATATGAAAAATCACTTCTATTTACAATCCAAATGACTTCAACAACATTTCTTTTCTGACAACATCAACTTATTGATTGTCTTATTAATACAATGATGTACAAACAAGTTGTTTGAAAAAACTGTGAATATTAGGAAGTATTAATAATTGTGTTTGGTGTTAATCCAAAGAGAAAAAGATTATCCATCGATGAAATGATATCGAGATAAATATTGTCTATTCTAAACGAATAGTTTTTATGTAAACATAGAACTCGTGATCAAACAATTTAAAAGATGAAATTAAGTGAACTTAAATGTCGGCGAATTTTAAAAATGGTTGTTATGGTAACACAAGATGAAGATAGCTGGAAGATCTCAATGACAAACTATTCTAAATACTATCCTCATCATCATCTCTATCTTTATCTCCATCCTCATCTTTTCCTCTTCCTCTTCCTTTTCTTACAAATCACCAACATCTCCTAATAATTAACATTCCTTGTTGATGTAAACAAACATAATCAATCTGATAATCTAATTGTTTATCTTTTATCTTAATTTCTAAATATTGTTAATTAGTTTGATAAGTAAAAAATAGATTGGTCGCTCAGTTTTATTAATTGTTAACAATTAACTGATTAACTGATTAACTTACCGAGTAGACAACAGTTATTACACATGTTAATATAAACAATTTAAATTGAAGCATTTGCAATGATTTTAATTGGGTGTTAACTGGTTCCAGTTATGGTAACACCACAATTAACAATTAATAATATAAACAATTATAATTTGATTACAAAAGTTAATCAGCTGATCATAGACCGATTTAGTTGGATAATTTTAAAGTTTCAATGTCATTGAAGTGATGAAACAAAAAAAAACAATAATAATAATTGTAATTAAAAAAACAATCACAATACAAAACACAAAGTTGATTAGGTTGACAATTCAAATTGAAGCAAAAAAATAATAATTAACAAATGAAAAACAAGTTGATTTAAACACAAAAGTAAATAATAGTAATAATAAATTATACTAATTAATTAATTATAACAAAGTAAAAATTAATGAACTCGGACAATTAAAGTAAAATGGTCAGAAAGAAATTAAAACAATTTCAATGCTTAATTATCCAATTTAAGATGAAATTATATAATTAAAAGTTACAATTAACTATTGTCATTATGCCCAATGGTTAATCATGATAACTATCAAGTAATCAACATTTCCGATCACAATTTAATGATTAACTTGATTTGATTCTGATTCTAATGAGATGAGACATGAGTAAAAAAATGAATAGGTGTATGTATGATGAAGTGTAAATAAGTTAATTGTTGTACTCTCACCAAAACTATCAAATCTCTGGATACAGAAAATTAAGTTAACTAAAATGATGAGGATGAGGATGAAGATGAAGATGCAGATGGAGAGTGAGAAAGAGAAAGAGATAGATAGACAGAGGAAAAGAAAGAGAAAAAAATGACAGAGGATGAGAAATATTCAATGGGTTTGACATGCTAGTCTTACTTTGGTTTGAAAGGGAGGAGGATAAAAAAGAAAGAGAAATCTTTGTGAAGAAAGATGAAGATAATGATAGAGAGAGAGAGAGAGAGAGAGAGAGAGAGAGAGAGAGAGAGAGAGAGAGATTAAATACTCTTTCTTTTATTATCATTACACCTAAACACCAACATCTATACAATTTTATGGTTAAAAATTAACTCCCTAGATTTTAATCAGCGTTAATTGAATGAAAATTTGATACATTTGATTGCTTATCGAAATCAAAGGATTAATTTACTCAATGATATGAATATGATATTACAAGATGATAACTATTACAATTGGATTTAATCCAATTCTCATAACTATCTTGATTATCATTTCTTTTCAGAAAAAACAATTGAGATGCAAATCAATTTGTATCGAAAATATAATGAGATTTTATCAATAAAATTGTTAACTATTAAAGAAACTTTTTGACAATGATATTGATGAGCAAGTTGAATTTTAATTTCAGTGGATTCGTGTGAGTTAATTTTATTGTTTGAGAATTGATAATTATTATACTGTAATATTATTATAGAACTAAGAATTGTGATGATTATCATGCTGATGAAGATGAAGAAGATGAAAATGATGATGATGATTGGAATCAGGAAGCAAAAGTTGATGTGTAATATTTGTGAAGCTTAATTACTGGAATTGATTAACTAGGAACCAAATTAACTAATAAATCGAGAACGTAAATTGTTTAACCAACCACCAGACACGGTCCTTGAAAACAAGGCCAATAATTTGAATTCCGAGAAACAGAATCAAAGAAAATTAGAGAAAATCAATTTGGCTTAAAACGTAAACATAAATATAAATGGTTGATATTTTTAGCTTAAAAGTGTTGCTTTCTTTTTCTTCTCAAGCATCATCAGCATTATCATCATCATCATTATCTTTCTCATCCCCATCCCCATCCCCATCCGCATCTTCATCTTCATCTTCATCTCTCCATCCTCATCCTCATCCTTATCCTCACCATGTTCTGTATATTCGGTGGTTTGCTGAACCATCGTTTCATCATCTCCATGTTGGCATAGACCAGGAAAAGGGAAACAAGTTGAGTTTTAATTTGGTTGAATTGTGAATCTAAACAAACTATAAATTGAGTCTTAACATTAACAAACTTTCACCTATTTAAATTGTTATTCTAATGGTAATTAGTTAGAAGCTTCATTAATTTCATCCTCAACTCTTTTCCTTTATTTATCTATTAATATTAATACTTATATCTACTAATAGACAACCACATCTTAATCATTTTCCATCTTCAATTTAGATCAATCAGATTAATCATTAATTATCACATATAAAGATAACAAGCCAATAAGTAAAAAGATCGAACGAGTTTGATTAAAATTCAATGTTCTTTAAGTTCAATATTTTCGCTAAGAATTTAGAACAATTTTTTATCAATTCCCTATTGATAGAGATGTGAATTGAATAGACGATCATTCAAACTGCCAAAGTTGTCTAATTAAATTAAATTGTTTATTGTTTGACACACTCAACTCTCATCTCGTTTCGTTAACGAGATTTGCGCGACAACAGGATACGTCAATTTGTCAGGTCAAAATGACGGGAAGAGGCAATGACCACCGACAAATAATGTACAAATACTTGTCAAGTTGAAAAGTTTATTAGGTTAATTTTCAATTATCGAGAAAAATTTCACTTTATTAACATTGTTGTTATAATATGATACAAATTTAGATAAAAGCGCAATCATTTGAATTTAATCACATAAATCAGATAAAACTGGTTCTTATTGAATCATGTGTTTGACAAGTTTAATTGAAATTCCATTAATAATTTATATTTATAGATTCGAAAAGTTGATTAACCCATACTGACAATCGGACTCGAACTAATGCTTGGTCTTCTCTTCTTTGAGATCGGTAATATACTTCGAATACAGACCCTACACCGAGATACTCTCGATCGAACAAGAGATCTCCCAATTGTTTCCGATATCGGTCTCTTAAAATCTCGTTCTAAAGCCATAAGCCAGAAACTCATCGAGGTTTGATAATAGTTACAACGCCCATGTCCATGACATTCGATGAAAGGATAAGCTCGGAAATCTTCCAAACATGAACCAGGCGAATTCAAAGGTTGACCAGCTCCACCAGGTCCAGCATCGGTATTCTGAAAATGCAATTGATACAGAAAGAAAGTTAAAAATATCGCAAAACTAAAAATACTCCAAATAACAATCTTACCATTAAGAAACTGTAACCTTCCCAAAGAGAGTCCCAGTTTCTCGGACATTCTGGTACTGAATTAGTTTGGCTGTGAACCGCAATGACCTGAGTTCGCGCTTCACAAACTGTACACCGAGAGATATATTTTTGAATAGTTGATCCAACAACCGGTGTACCAGAATTGGGTTTGGGTTCAGTGGTACTTAACCAGTAAGAGTAATCGTTCGCTTGAGCATAACTACAAGTATCTTCTTCATTACAGACAATGTAAGGCATTGTATTGAAACGTCTTAAACACGAACCAGGTGAACCCAAATCTTGACCATGAGTACCATCATGACCCATAATGTAAAGTAAAGAGTAACCAGTCCAAAGTTCAGTTGTGCCCGATGGACACTGCGGTATTGTAACTTGCTGAGAGTGTCGCGTAAAATGATAACCTCGTGAAGATGAAAGTCGACCAGTTGGTCCTTCGCCACCAGAAATACCGGGATTCCCTGTGCTTCCAATAGCACCAGGCTTTCCAGGGTATCCAATATCGCCAGATAATCCTCTGATTCCGTCTAACCCATCGAGCCCTTTCAATCCTTGAGGGCCAATATCTCCAGATAGTCCATCAGGTCCTTGATAACCTGGATCACCCGCAGCACCAGCAAAACCTCTGAGGCCATAAAGTCCCGTTAAGCCTGGATAGCCTTTATCTCCCTTTTCCCCCTTGTCAATCGTATCTCTAGCTGGAGCCGCTGCTCCCTTTGGCCCTATGTCCCCTCTAAGACCTTTCTCACCAGCATAGCCTTTATATCCAATTGGACCGGGTATACCAAGATCACCAATCTCTCCATCAGGAGCGGGAGGTGGACTATAACCTGGCTCACCTCGAGGGCCAGGGAATCCAGGTTCACCAAAGTCCCCTTTTTCACCAGTTGAGCCTGAGTATTCAAGAGATGGTATTCCAGGCTCTCCTTTCTCACCAAAATCTCCTTTTGGCCCAGGACGCCCTAGATCACCAGGTAAACCTTTCATTCCTTTCGCTGCTGGAAGTCCGTCCTCACCAGGAAGTCCGGGAGAGCCATAAAGTCCCTGAAAATTTGTTCAAATTTAATTAATAAAACAACTGTAAGCTCTAATCGGCACTATCGCACTCGTTGTCATACTCACCGGCAACCCAGGTAGTCCTTTTAAAGCTGTATAACTGATTCCGGGTTCACCTTGTGGACCAACGGGACCAATTTCACCCTGCATGAAATCAATAAATTTTAAATCAATCTAATCACTTTCCAATTCATTGCAAGCAATCATTACCATTTCTCCTGGAGCTCCTTGCATACCAGGAAATCCACTCCTCCCATCATATCCAGCGTCACCCTTGCTACCTAATAATCCGAAACAGGGAATTCACTGTTCAATCCTAAACTATTGAGATAAAATTCTTACCTGGAGGTCCAGGATAACCTGGTAAACCATCTTCACCTCGTCCTCCTTTCATGCCTTTCGAATAAAAAATTATATCCTCATGAGTATTAAGAAAATTAAACTGATAAATTAGATCATTATACCTATTGGGAAAAAAGTTGGACTAGAATTTGATTTCAACTTATCTCGGAAACGGTGCGATTGATTTATACGGTTTTTTGTCTACTGATAAAAACAGTTTCATCAATGTCAAGACGAATTTTCAAAAGATCAGGTTTATTAGCCATTTTTTAGTGAACATGGGTCAGAAAAGTTTAAGGAAAGTTTGTTCGAATTATTTTTTTCTAATTGTGAATTCAAAAATAATGAAGAAATAATTAAAAAATTTCGGGAATTTGGTGCTAAAAAATCAACATCCTACAATTATTATAAAAAATACCTTCAGATAAAGAAAGTACACTCAACTCTAATATTGCAAGGGTAAAAATCGTCATTTAAGTATCGGAAACTCAAGAAAATATGGAAATGCCTAAAAACAAACATTACAACATTTCTCAATGACTTTCGCGGTAAGTTTTCATTGAGTTTTGTAAGTTCTAAATTCATTTGATTGAGTTCTCGATTAGTTTAGTCATTTAGCCTTTACATTTAGTGAAAAATTAAACTTTTTAAATTCAATTCACTGCTCATTATTTTTCTACCTTTGTGACCAACAGTTGTACGATAAAATAAAAGGATGCCTTGACTATTGAAATGACTTTGCATCGTTATGGACTGTGAATCTTATTTTTACCTTGATGGACACAATTTCTACAGTCATAAATAATTAAACTTTCTTTCTTTCTCATCTCTTTCTTTTTTTCTTTCAAAATCAAAGTGAACTCAGAAAGAGGATGAATAATAAACTATTAATAAATGAATTCGCTGCTTGTTTAAAAACATTGTCCAAAAAGTGACCTAATCTTCCAAAAATGGAATCATGGCTATTATATAAAACTTCAATGTTTAATCTATAGATATATTTTTTTCAATTTAAACTAATTAAAATTGCGAGAAATAAGAAATAATCAACCTTATTTCCCAATAGGTATTGTACATTACTAATTCAAATACATTACCTGGTGGTCCAGGAACTCCCATGTTATCATCATCATAGCGATCAGGGATCGGTTGTGGAAAACCTTTTTCCCCACGATAACCTTTTAGTCCTTTCAATCCGATCGATCCCATAATACCAGGCTCACCTTAGCGTTGTTTAAGTGGCATTGAATCAGTTAATAATCATGATATATATTTCTGATTATTGTAAACTTGTAATTACCTGGTTCCCCGATTATTCCTTGTAGACCGTTGTTTCCTTGATAACCTTTAGGTCCTTTCTCACCTGTTGGACCAGGTTTTCCATCGATTCCAGTTATTCCTGGCTTTCCGGCTAATCCAATCATCCCCGGTAATCCGGGATAACCTGGATCACCGATATCGCCTACTATTCCTTTGGCACCTTAAAAAAGAATATAAAAATTATATTTTCTTTCCAATTGTTTCATGATTAACTTACCTGGTTCACCATTATCTCCGAATTCTCCAAGAATACCCGTTAACCCAAACATTCCTGATAGACCAGGTAATCCTTCTGGTCCAGGAGGACCTCTTGATCCATAACCCATTTGTCCAGCAATTCCCGTATCTCCCTTTTCACCTTTGAATCCCTAAAATAATTATCAATTAATCGATTATCAATCAATTACAAATATTTAATTTACCTGAGGACCTGGAGGACCTGAATATCCATTAGGACCACGTTCACCTGGTTGACCTTTCAGCCCTAAATTACTTGGATCGCCTGGGCTACCTGTTGTTAAAAATAAAAATTTCGATAAATTTGGAAACTTGCAAATCATAAATTATGTACCTTTATCTCCGATTGGTCCAAAATCTCCTCTTTCTCCTGTGAAAATTATAGATATCATCACGAATCACAATTACAATCACATTGGTAAGAAAATTTCTAAATATCAATACCTTTAACACCATCTTCACCCTGTATACCAGGTAATCCAACAAAACCTTGTGGACCCGGAGGGCCCGGTGTTCCATCAGGAGCTGTATCTCCTTCGTCACCAGGAGGACCAGGTAATCCTGGAAGTCCATCAAATCCGTTCATTCCGATTTTTCCAGCGATTCCAGGCCAACCGGGATAACCGTCTCGACCATCGCTTTTTATTGTAATCAGAAAGGTAAAAAATCAATCTGTGAACTGTACGTATATCGAACTTCAGCTAATTCTAACTTACTTTCCAGGATCACCAGTATCACCGAGAATTCCAGGCACTAAGATTAAGAAATCAAGTTATTAGGTAAATCAGTCAAAGATGATAGAGAATAAAATTACCTCCAAGCATCCCATTTGGTCCAGGATCTCCAGGGATTCCTTTATCTCCTGGAAATCCTCTTGAACCATTCCTTCCAGGAAAACCGGAATGACCTTTAATTCCTATTTCTCCTGCTGGCCCTTTGCTACCTTTCGGTCCCATAAGTCCAGAGAATCCATAATCACCTTGCTCTCCTGTTATTTAAAAAATTTGAGGATTTAATTTTATCCTTTTAATCAACTGCTTTGTGCAGCAATTTACCTTTATAGCCTCTTGGCCCTTGAGAACCGATCTCACCAGGTGATCCATAATCACCATATTCGCCTTGAAATCCCTTTATTCCTGGTTCACCCCGCTTACCTTTACAGCAACAATTCAACTATTAATACTTCCGAATACATTCCAAATATTAAATCTTTTTTAAAAAAACCACTTACCAGTTTGACCTTTATAACTTTCGCCGCGATCCCCTGTTGGCCCTGGTAATCCAGGAAATCCAGGAAAACCTAGATATAGATAAAATGATTGGCTGATTAAATTTTCAATCTAAGATCAATGAAACTACCTTTGTCTCCAAGCTCTCCTTTGACACCCATCGGTCCGTCTTCGCCGAAATCTCCTGGTGATCCTTTGAATCCCTTAAATCCTCTAGGGCCTATTGGACTTATTCCAGGCATCCCAGGCTTACCCTGCATTCCGGGGATTCCTGGTGACCCTTGTTCACCTTTTCTTCCTGATAATCCATCCAAACCTGGACTTCCAGAATCTCCCTTTTCACCTGATTCTCCTATTGTTCCCCATTTCATAAGATTCTCTCCTCTTGCGAACCAATCTCCTTTTTCGCCTTGATCTCCAAGTTGACCAGGTAGACCGACATCTCCAGTCTCTCCTTTTTCACCCTGAATAATTCATAATTATAACTATTGTACGAATAAGAATCTTCTGAATATTCTCACCTTGACACCCATTGTTTCAGGATAATAGTAAGCAGGATTACCTTTTGGACCCTTTGTTCCACTAATACCAAGATTCCCTCTTGGTCCTTTTTATGAAGTGGTTCAATAATTGAAAATTAAATGCATCGAGAATTTTCCGTGGTGAAATTAAATAAACTCACCTCTTTCTCCATCTACACCATAATCTCCGGTTTTGCCTTTTATACCTTGCAATCCTGGTAATCCTGGTCGACCTTCAATTCCTGGACTGCCAGTTTTACCAGGTAATCCTGGCAGACCTTGTTCGCCTTTTGGACCTCGTAATGAGCTTCCATCTAAATTAATAATTCAACAATCAATATCATAGACGAGATGGATGATGAAAAAATATACTAACCAAAAAGTGGCATTTCGATCTCTCCGGGATCACCTTTTGGCCCTTTCAATCCGAATATACCAAGTGAACCACGAATTCCTTTTAATCCTGGTGAGCCCTGTTTTCCTGTTTTACCTGGAAATCCTGATATTCCAGGAAGCCCGGGTAATCCTGGCCTCCCAGGCCATCCAGGCATTCCGGAAAGTCCCTTAAATCCTTAAAGATAAACACATAAAATCTCTCAAATATGCATATGAGAACAAGAAGATGACTAACTTACCTGGCTCTCCTTTGCCTCCAGGTCTATTAAATTGTTAAAAGATTCGATTAATGAAAATAATAATGCTAATAGCACTTAATTTACTGCAAGAAATTACTCACCTGCCCGGTGGGCAGCTAATACAATCATCACCCTTCATGCCGAGAAAACCTTTGACTCCTGGTATACCTGGTAAGCCATGATCACCAGGGTCCCCTGGGAAGCCAGGTAAACCGCGAGGCCCTGTAGGACCTTCGTTGGGTATTCCTCTACCTGCTGTACCTTTGTCACCTGGCTCACCAGTTTCACCTCTTTCACCAGGTAGCCCACCCCAGCCAGGCAATCCATAAAGACCTGAAAATCCTGGTGGACCAACAATATCATCACCATAAACACCTTTTTCACCCACCATTCCAGGTCGTCCACTAAGACCTCGTAATCCTGGAGGTCCAGGTAAACCTGGGTAACCTTGATCTCCAGGATCTCCCTGATAGATAAAGTATTATGAATTTTGATCTAATTCTATCAACTAATACTTCAATTTTAGTTCAAGTTTCTTACATTATATGAAAAACCAGGAAGTCCATCCAATCCCGCTGGTCCAAGAGGACCAGGGAGACCTGGCTCACCAGGATAGCCCATCGGTCCGGGTAACCCGTGAACTCCATCACTACCTGTTGATCCTTTTGGACCTGGTGGACCAGATAGCCCAGGGGGACCTTTGGTCGGCTTTGAAAGTTCGATAAATTTACCTTTTGGACCCCTTGGTCCTTGTATACCAGGATCTCCAATATCACCAATAAACCCTTTTAAGCCAATTTTACCTTTAAGTCCATCTTTTCCATCTAGCCCAGGTTGACCTTTTTGACCTTTCAATCCTTGTTCTCCTTCAGGTCCATCCATTCCTCGAATACCTCGAGGACCACCATCACCATGATCCCCATTAATGCCTGGCGCTCCGGGAAATCCTGACAATCCATTCAATCCTAAGCGACAACCAAAGTTATTGGTTTGAACTCTTTCTTATACTGAAATGAACTTACCATGGATTCCTTGATCTCCTCCGATTCCTTTTTCTCCCTTTTCACCATATTCACCGATTCCTCCTCGTTGACCAGCAATTGACGCTGGTGAACTACCTTGTTCGGCTTCTCCTCCTGGATCACCTCTATCACCAATCTCTCCTTTAAATCCTTGCTCACCTGTTGCTCCAATTGTTGTCTCCCCTGATTCGCCCATTGGCCCAATATCGCCACGAGGTCCATAAGGTCCAGCTGGACCAACACCACCTAATAAACCTTGTGGACCGATATCACCGATATCACCCGGTAATCCAGGTAATCCAGGTAATCCAGGCTCTCCCGGATCACCTTTGAATCCTGGTGAGTTAATTCCTCCATCTCCTGGTGCTCCCTATTTTTACGGAAATTGTTCAATAATCTAACTAGTCATGGGAACTTAAAATTTGAACAATCACTTACCGGTGAACCTCGCAATCCTTTATCTCCAACTGGACCGACGAAACCAGGAATTCCTCTGCGTCCCTTAGACCCTGAGAAGCCCGGTGCACCATCACAACCTGGAATTCCTGGTTCACCCTGTTCACCAGGATACCCTCTGAGTCCGTCTAATCCTGTCTTGCCTGATGGACCTCGAGCTCCATCCACACCTCGATAGCCCTTTGGTCCTGGAGGACCCCAGTCCCCAATGTTACCTCGCTCGCCCCTTTCACCTTTGTCCCCAGTTGGCCCTGTTTCACCATGTTCTCCGATGAAACCCTTTCAACAATCAAAACAACCTGTTAACAGATCACTTCAACTCTGAAGTAGAGCGACTGAAAATTGACACATAAATTAAATCGTTGATTTTTCACCAACCAGAGAGTTTTAATTATTGAAATAAACAATGATAGGTAGATCAGATTTTAGGAATTCTAATAACGTCAAATTATAGAAAATACCACAATTAACACAAAATTAATTAACTATTTTGCAACTAATTGTAGAGAATAAATTAACTTTTACAACTCCCTCTATGGGTAAACAACGTTGAGCACGTAACAGAAACATCAACGGATTCAGCACTAACTAATTGTTTCTTTAGATAAAATAAATAGAAAACTAAATAAGTTAACCGATATTATTTTATACCATTTTGTAGATTAGCAAATGAACTTTGATTTTGTATTAAAAAATTTTTAAAATTTTCAAAGAAAAACTTTATTATTCAAATTTAGTGAAAACCAGATTTTCAATATGAATTTGACAATTTAAGTTTGATAAATTGATTTAAATGCTAATAATTTGAAGTCTTTTTCTAATCGATATTTTTTATTGTCATTAGAATCCTCAAAAACTTTTCCATCTTTGGTGTCTATTTCAATAATGAAAACTTTCTGGTTGATGAACAATCAGCATTTAAAATTAGGTGTCAATTTTCAGTTGCACTACCTTGTACACATAAATACCTTTGATCCAGCGTAACCCGGTGCTCCCTGTCAATTGAACAGACAAACAATTAACTTGATTGACTTTCATTCTGAGTTTGCAAACATTAAACGATCTTCACTTACAATGAATCCTTTTTGACCCTCACATAAACATGGCTGCTGGACACACTCTGAACATGGCTGTGATAATTACGAAGCTGTTAGTTAGTAAACAATTAAGTTGACAGCTAATCAATTAGACTTACATTGTAATACCTTTGTCTCTCCCGTCTACTTCTGTCACGTAATTGTTGCTGAGTATTAGTATTCTGGTAAATTTAAAATTAAGGATAAACAAAAATTGAATAATAGCCAGACAATTTATTAATTAAAAATATTATTCGATGGAAGAGAAAGTAAAAAATTAACATTAATCAAACCTAATGAAGCAATTTAGCTCTTCTAAATAAATCATGTTTCGATTTTTATTCTGATTTAGATTATAAACAAGTTTAGATGTAAACAGTTACTCTCAAATCATTTAATCACAATCAAAGAAAAATAATTTCAAACTAATCAGTCTTGTTAGATAATCTCAATGGTTAATAAAAAGACAAGAATTAAAAGTTTTTTTATTAATCTAGAGTTAGATTAAGGATTTTACTATTAGTAACATTTGTTTTGTTGACCAAAAAAACTAATTAGTTGAGAAGAAATTTGAGTAATAAATTAATATTGATTACGTTTTTAGTATACAAATCGGTATTTATGGATTATCTTAATCTTCTTCCTGGATTATTAATTCGGTTGTATTGAAATCCCTTCTTCTTTACTTTCTTTTTTCTCTTTTTAGATTAACATGATTTGTGTTTATTGTTGATTGTAAATGACTTTTAATTACTCCAGAAATGATCAGAGGAAAACAGATCAACTGTAAAATAGCATTTACAATGTTAATTAGGCTTCTATTTGAGAGGAAGACGAAAAAAGGAAAATGAAGTTTGGGTCTAAATATAGTCCATCGTCAGATCGTAATGGTTTCGGTAAATGATCAAAATTTAGAGAGAGAGAGAGAGAGAGAGAGAGAGAGAGAGAGAGAGACAAGGAAGATGGCGAATTATCATCAATGAGCTCAAGTCGCTTTTCCATCTTCATCTAAAAACATATACTCTCAAAGTTTCTTGGAACAAAATCAAAATAAACATTCATATTTGAAGAAAAGACGGAAAAAAGATGATCTTCTTCATGTGTCAATGGATTGAATCTTACACCGACCTTAGAGTTCGCTTAGATTATGGTCATTATTATAATTAGTAAATAGAATCTATGTAAATGACCTCAGGTCAAGAATCAAGTTACAAATTATACTCAATCTGTGTCTCTAATTCAAAAATTTCAACGAAATCTATTGACTCTTAAAACTTTAACTGTTAATATTAATGTTAAAATGACATCAACTTATTTCAAAAGTTTTCTTTTTCTTTTCTAAATGCTGGGTTATCGATAATTGTGCCCATAGTTAATCCAAAGAAAAAAAGATTACCCATCACTTAAATGCTATCGCGACAAATATTATCGCTTCTAAATGAACATCGAAAAAAATGTAAAATTTAATGTCGGCAAATTTTGCAAATGGTTGTTATGGTTACACAAGATGAAGATAAAGATAACTGGAAGATCTCAATGACAAAATATTCTAAATACTATCCTCATCCTCATCTTTTCCTCTTCCTCTTCCTCTTCTTACAAATCGACAAAATCTCCTAATAATTAACATTCCTTGTTGATGTAAACAAACATAATTATTAACAATCAATCTAATCTTATTGTTTATCTTTTAGCTTAATTGTAAATATTGTTGATTATAAATATTAATCAATAGAAGATTTTGATTGACGATTAACTTACCGAGTAGACAAAAGTTAATACACATAATAATATGAACAATTTAAATTGAAGCATTTGCAATGATTTTGAATTTGTGGTCTTTAATTGTAATCCAGTTAATGGAAACACTTTAATTATAATCCTAATAGTTAGATGATCAATGTCATTTAGATTAGAAAATTAAACCATTTGATTAAACACAATACGAAACAAAACAACGGTGATTAAGGTGATAGATTGTAATTAATTAATCAAGAGTAGTTAACAAAACACAAAATGTAAACAATAGTTATATAAATTATAGCAATTAGTTAATTATAAGAAAGTAAAAATGAAAATACTTGGACAATTAAGTTAAATGGTCAAAAAAGTTATGATGATTAACAATAAGTTGATTTGAATTAGTGGTTAAGATAAATTGTTACAATTATTGCATCACATAGTATTGGTCAATATTAATCATGATAACAATTAAGTAATCATTGATTTAATTGTGATTCCAACAAGATGAGACATAAATAGAAAAAAAAATTGTAAACAAGATTAAGATTTAATTGTGTTGAAGTTTCAACGAAAACCAGAGAGATTAAGTTAACCAGAATGAGGATGAGGATGAAAATGAGAAGATGAAGATATGGTAGAAAATAGACAGAGAAAAAGAAAGAGAAAATTGTAACATGTTACTTTTCTTTCATTGGTTAAAAAAGGAGGAGAAAGAAAGAGGAAGATAATCGGAAGAAACCTCTTTCTTTTTCATGATCATCCCACCTTAGAATCATGATTATTATTACTAATTCATTGAGAAGTTGATTCTAATCAGATCTTTACTTTTGATTTTGAGATTTAAACTTTTCTCTTGTTATTAATACATAAAGATTATCACAATTAAATAAATCCTTGTATCATTCATTTCAGCTATGGTACATTTTGAATTGAAAACGCTCGAGACGTTAATAATTTATTGGATTAATAAAACTAATGATGCAACTAAATTTTAGAAAATTACAATTAGAATTAAAAATTTTATCAAATTTGATTGTGACGATCATCAAGTTGTTGGGTTAATTTCATTGTTTGAGAATTGATAGTTATTATACTGTATTATTAATATAGAACTAAGAATTGTGATGATTATCATGCTGATGAAGATGAAGAAGATGAAGAAGATGAAGAAGATGAAAATGATGATGATGATTGGAATCAGGAAGCAAAAGTTGATGTGTAATATTTGTGAAGCTTAATTACTGGAATTGATTAACTAGGAACCAAATTAACTAATAAATCGAGAACGTAAATTGTTTAACCAACCACCAGACACGGTCCTTGAAAACAAGGCCAATAATTTGAATTCCGAGAAACAGAATCAAAGAAAATTAGAGAAAATCAATTTGGCTTAAAACGTAAACATAAATATAAATGGTTGATATTTTTAGCTTAAAAGTGTTGCTTTCTTTTTCTTCTCAAGCATCATCAGCATTATCATCATCATCATTATCTTTCTCATCCCCATCCCCATCCCCATCCGCATCCTCATCTTCATCTTCATCTCTCCATCCTCATCCTCATCCTTATCCTCACCATGTTCTGTATATTCGGTGGTTTGCTGAACCATCGTTTCATCATCTCCATGTTGGCATAGACCAGGAAAAGGGAAACAAGTTGAGTTTTAATTTGGTTGAATTGTGAATCTAAACAAACTATAAATTGAGTCTTAACATTAACAAACTTTCACCTATTTAAATTGTTATTCTAATGGTAATTAGTTAGAAGCTTCATTAATTTCATCCTCAACTCTTTTCCTTTATTTATCTATTAATATTAATACTTATATCTACTAATAGACAAACACCATCTTAATCATTCTCCATCTTCAATTTAGAACAATCAGATTGATCATTAATTATCATATATCAAGATATCGAGTCAATCAGTCACAATCAGTAAATTATGGTTAGAAAATTTTCCATTCTCGTGCTAAACCAATTCATCTTTCATTTGCTTTCTAAGACACTGGTCAGTAGATTGACCTTCCTTGAAAAGAGCTTTTTCAATTTTCGATTTTCAATTTCATCCAACAATACTTATCAACGACTAGTGGACACTCAAGTGTCACTCATTGGACATTCTAATCAATCGAAATGAATGATTGTGATGGATGAACTTTTTCACAGAATTGGTTCAAATTCCAATCCACAGAGAGCACCGCAAGTTCAACTTGATAGGAATTGAATTTGATTACGATAATCAGATTTAGTTTTGAATCATTTTCCACCAATTATTCTGATGGTCACCGAGACCTGATTGGGTCAAGTTCATGCTAAATTCAATAAACCATCAGTTTATTGTGGGGAAAAAGGTAACCAGTTATTATATTTGTTTACAATTCATTTTATTATGAGAATAGTGAACAATTGGTGGAAATTTTTGTCATTAATTACTAACCATTATCATAATAATAGTAATAATAATTAAATATCTATAGATTAACCATCAATTGTAATTGCAATTGTCCCTCTCCAAGACAATCAATTGAATTAAAGGTTTAACAATAATCAACAAAAAAAGATACTAAACAAAAGACATTCCGTTTCTCAATTGATTAATTGTTGTTGTTTGGTTGTTTCTCGCTTTTAGTTGATTAATTAATTGTATCGTTCGTTTCTTCATCTTCTTAATCTGCAATAAATACTAACAATTAAGTGATTGAGTGTGGATGGTGAGTATGTGTGTTTCTGTGATTTTGATTGAATGATTTATTAATTGTTGTCCATTGATTAATAATCAGCGATTCCAAAATTTGACAAAAATTAACCTTCTTTCGCCAATAACAATTAAAATTATAACAGCTCAACAGGTACCACCACTCAGCAGCAATTAAACGATAGTTGTAACAATTTAGCTAATTCATTAAGCAGTGGAAGTTTCCATAATTTTTTTTTTGGTTTAGATTTAATTTGATTTCATCTTTTGATTCAATTAATCTCTTGATGATTATTCCTGGTCTCCAATGATCTAGTTAATTTTAATTTGGTTAATTTTATCATTTCTAAATTGATAAAAATGAATTGATTGATTGATTAATTGCTTATGATCATGTACAAAGTAAGTTAAATATAAACAATTTGCACATCTCTTGAAAATTGATTTTTCTTTCCCATCTTGATTAATTAAGCCTAATGTTTAAACAATTAATCCACTTGATTAATCCAAGGCTATGGTAATTTAACATTCCGAGGATGATAAATGCTTAATTGTAGATCACATAATCAAAAAATTGTCAAGTTGATGATAAAGATGCGATAAAAAATCAAATCAAATATTTGTCGTCCTATTAAATTAATTCTCGAAGGCCAATAATTTGTCCATGATTGATCAGGAATTTGAGCAACTTGATACTAAATCAGTTAATTGTTAACAATGAAGAGAGATTAGATTTAAGATTTCTGTTCATCTAATTTATCATCAGGCTTAAGGATTGGGTGGAGATGATGAAGAAGCTTGTTAAGTAGTTAACAAGTTTGATGAAGATGATGGTGTTGGTGATGGTGATTAAGATTACCAATGAAAGATGATTAAGTTAATTGTCGATTAATTTAAACAAAGAATAAGGAAAAGTAAAATCAACACAACAAAATATTGTCAATGGAAATAAACATTCACTTGAGGAAATGAAACTTTTTTCAATTCTCTTCATAACAATCAATCTATTTTTTTCATAACAATTTAGTCAATTTCCTTCAATCGGTTCATCGTTAATTGTAAGGGTTGGGCCATATTCAATTATTGTGATTATTAATTTGATTGCGTTTCCTTAATATGTGCAGTTGATTTGACAGCAATTATAACAGGTAGATGAATCTAGTTTTGTCACAAATCAAGCAATTTTTGATCTTACTGATTTGGTAACAATTAAAAATGATTGCAATGGATAAGTTTGATTTGCACAATGGACTAGTTAAGGTTAATTTGATACAATTTAAACTTCATATCATTCTGGTTTCATGGATAATTATGATATTACAAAGCAACAGCTCCAGGCAATTACCACCAAATTTGTAAAAACCATTCAGTTGATTGGACAGAATCAAGGAAAATGATAATCTGTTATTACCAAAGGGAAATTGTCGTATCCAAAATTAAGTTTATGATAATTAGATGAAGTGATTTTTGAATGTTAAATGTTGATTTGCTTGTTCACATTGATTTTCGTCTTAATCATGATTGTCCTGATTGCTGAGGGATATTCAAGATTACAATACAGCTTTCAATTTGGTTGTTATCCTATTTTGTTTTGCTTACATTGAGAAAAAAATCAGCAAAACAATCAGGTTAAAGTTTAAATACAATTGAAGCCAATAAGTTTCCTTGATTTAGTTTAATTGTAGTTTCCTTAGGATGCTTGATTTTGTGACCAATTAAAAATGTAAATTATTGATCCAACTCATTGCCAATTGAGATCCTTTTCTTGATTAAGAAAACAACTTTTCAAATGCAAAAAAATGACGTTGTTTTGTTGACGACAATTAAAACCAAAGATAGTCAATAGATAAACAGTTGAACACAGCAATTAATTGGTGATAGCAGATGACGAGGTTGGAATTGAATGAATGTATATATGTTTTATAGACACACAGTAGATTGGAAAGATAGAGTTGATTGTTAATTGTTGTCGACTTTAATTCTTGGTTGTTGATTACTGGAAGATAATAAATCATCGTGGTTTAAATTAAGGTTGGGCTCATTTATATTGTTCGGACAGTTCTGATTGAATAACATCTTCTGGCCAAAGATTTTCAAGGCCAAGACAGGTAAATCCAATTCCATCTCTGAACATCCAGTATTCATCATTTGAAATCCAATTCAATTCATCAACAGGCTCTTGTCTAATTGTGAAAACAAGGAGAGAAAATATCATTAATATAAGAAATTAATAGAAAAGTATTAAAATATATCAGATTAACAAGAATAATAATAATCGTTATCATCATCATAATAATAATGTAATTAACCACGCAAAGGTATTGAATGAAAGAAGAAGAGAAGAAAAATTAAGAATAGAAATTAATCTAATCATTATAATCATATTATGATGATGATGATGACGATGATGATAATGATGATGATGGAATGATAAACTTACTTGAACCATCTCGATTTATGGGCCTCGCCTTTTTCCTCTCTTTCTTTTCGACGTTCTCTTTGTAATTGTTCTAATACCATTTTGATATTCTCAGCTTTTTGTATTTTACCTTCTTCCAGTAACCTAATTAACAATCAAAGGATCGAAATACAATTAATATATGGCTTCGAATTACATTGAAAGTTGATGGTATTTATTGTGTATCAAGTTAACAATACATCTTATCCAATGGTTACACTTGAATGTGTTTCTATTCAATTACCTGGTTTTTTTTTCTCTCTCAACAATTTAACAACAATTTGTTGATTGTATTGTGAGGTTAAATTGTCAAAACAATTGAACAAAAAGGTAGACAATTCTATTATTGTTATGAGAATCAAATGTCAGAATTTAATTGTTACAAAAGAGATTGAAACAATCAAACCTGATGATATGAATGATTTTTTCTTTCTTTTACACCGCTCAAATTAATTTACTATCATTATGTAATTAATTGTTGACAGTTTCATGACAAAATCACTGTTGAAATTGTAAACTTATTAGTCTAACTATGGTGTCATAATTAATAAATCAGGAAACACATATCAGACTTGAGTAACTACGATCAACATTATTGGTATTAATAATTAAAAAATTATTACTAACAATATGATAACAATCAATTTAACAATTTAATAGTACAAATTGTAAATGAAATTTGGGAAACTAAATTAGTTTATAATAATTTAATCAAATCAATTAGATTGTGAAGGTTAGGAAAGTGTATTGATTAGCTGAATATTTGATGATAAATAATGATAACAATCAAATTGTTTATTTGATTGACTAATGTAGCAATTAATAAATTTCTGAAACTATTAAATTGTTAACAGAATAAATTGTCGAAAAAAAATCAGAAGGGAAATTAAGGAAGTAACAATTTAAATGTATAAGTAAACAAAGAATTAACTTAATGGTAAAAAATTAAGTTAACAGTAGTTGACATTGATGAGATTTCCAAGTTACAATTAAATCTAATTAACAGTTGAAAGTGGAAGTTGTGAAAAAATTAAATTAGATTGACACCAATTCAATTTTTTTTACATATTTTCTGGTTAACTAAAATATCTTTAAATTTTAAGCTTAATTGTGATTCCTGGTAAAGATATTTAGTTAAATGGTTAAGGTTGTAACTATTTTTTACTACAACGAAGTGAGAAAAAGCAGAAAATTGATCACAATTTAAGTGACCTTGTTTTAACATTTCCACTCTCAATGTTAACTGTAGTTGATTAACTAACAATTGGAAAATAGTGTTTAATCAACAACCTTGCCAATGATCGGAGAATAAGAAGGATAATATTGATTGTAAGATTGATTAACAATAATAATAAATGACTACAATTAAACTTACCTCTGATCAGGCCGAAACCTTGTATCAGTGATAGGTAATTTATTAACCAAATCAGGCGTTAATTCATTTAACTCCAACGCGAATCTGGTAAAACCATAATATAGCTTATAATCGTCAGGCATAGCACCGGGTCTCCAGATACACCGAGTTTGTGGTGGGCTCCCTGTATACAAGGCCTCAGTCCATTTACCAAAGATGGATTTGATCACTTCACCATTTTTATTCACAATTGTACCAAAAACTTCATGACGCTTATTTGACCAGTAACTTGTCTTTGAAAAGGTTAATTTACACTTTAAATCTCCATTGGTTATTATCATCTCACCATATTGGTCAACATAACGTTGACCTTTGAAAATATTATGGACACAGGTAGTAACCTTATTCCAACGGTATAAGCTCTTGGTTCGTTTGAGCAAAACATTTACATTTCCAAAGGGAATTATTTCCATTGATTTACCCCAGAATTTGGTTTTAATTCTCATTCCTAAAGTGAAAAGCAAAATCAATTCAGTATCATCAGTATTAGATATTAATTTAAAACAAAAAGAATTTTTTTTTACTTCTAAAAATAACCTTCAGTTGTCAAAATAACAACGAAAGTTGTTGGGTGGAGGAGATAAAAACACCGAGAGATGATTTGATTACCTTGCCAGAAGACATAGTTTTCTGATTCTGCATGACAAGCAGAGATTGGTGGATGATGTGAAACTTGTTCAGCAATGAATCTGAATCCTTTATCATTACGAATACATTCATAGGTTTCACCGAGAAGTGGATTAAATGGTTTGTGGCCTGCTCGATAAGCTGAACCAGAATAAGCTGAGACCGCGAAAGCGGCAACGTATAACATTTGTTCACAGGGATCATCAATGGCCGCCGCTTCGTCAAGTAATTCACTGTATTCCAATTCTTCACAGAGACGCTGTAATACGTTAAGAGGTTCATTTAGAGTGACCGGCATACTGATCTTGGATAAATCTTTACCAATATTTTTACACAATAAACTCCATAAACTAATGTCACCAGTTTCCGGTTTTGGACAGGGTAATTTTGATCGTCGACCGGTGACACCTTGGCTTGTCTGCTTAAATCCGCTGGTTTCTTCCTCGCTAAGGTCAGTTGTTACACTTCGATCGTCTTCTTCATCGGTTGATGAAGTACAGGTTGAAAAACGTTCAGCGGCATCATAATACTCAGATAAACTGAGAACTGAGCAACTTTCATAAGATTTAGAATCACCGATTGGTTGATGGACAAGGGTGGGCTCATCTATATCCTCTTCTATCGCTGTTGTGTTTGCAGTTGAACAAGAATTCATGATTAAATTAATTTGAGGAATTGATGAGGTATCAGAATCTTCATGAATACGATTTAATCGCTGACGTAGTTCCCTATTCTGATCCAAGGATTTTTGCAGGGACAGTTTAAGGTTAGAAATGACTGAGGATGGTGTTGATGTAGATGAAACTGTCGTTCCTGAAATAATATTTGTACCAGTAGTCGGCGTTGAATTTACATTGGTTGGTGTTTCCTCTGTAACTGTGGTCGGTACAATGGGTGAATTGTCACGATTACCACGCATTTTACGAAGACAAAGTCGCAATTGATCATGAACTATATTTATAAAAGAAAAAGAGATGATATTATGTTGAAATAAATCAATCAAATTCACAAAACAATCAACTTTTCATTGAAAATTGTCAACTTACTTTCTTCAGCAAGACTTAGATACTCTTCATTTAATGCTGTTGACACATTGGACTTAATTTTATTTACATTAATTACTGGACCATTATTTGCTCCAGGGTTTCCACTTGTAGCACCGGTTTTACCAACTTCCGTTGATGATCTGGTCATAGTGGTTTTTAATCCTTGATTATCAAGATTAGAAGTACTTTCAGATTCATTAAGAGATGGATGGGATGAGCTTAAGTGAGGAACGGTAATGTTTGAAGAAGAAGCGGCATCATCATGAAGTTCAGTTGATTCTTCTGATCCAATAACGGGTATCTCTAGATTGGCTTTTCTCTTATTTACCTTTAATTTAGAGGTAATAGAGGAATGATTTTTTTTCGTTCGACGGAACATAAAATGTCGATACTTTTTCAAACTTCCAGTGTCAATGTCAGGCATTTGCCGCCTCGAACCCATACCTAGTTCAATCTCTTGATAAACTGATGATAAACGAACCAATTTCCGGTGTAATTCATCCAATAATTGACTAACTTCCTCTTGAGTACCATTTGAATCAAGTAACCAATTGGCAACCTTGGATGTTGAAACATTTGATGATGTAGATGATGTTTCACCGATATTCATAAAATTAACCGATGTTTCCAGGCCAGTGACTGATTTTTTAATATCATCTTGATACATTATCTGATGCTGACGGAAATGACGATGATGGCGTAACTGTTGAACCCATTGATCAAAAGATATCTTATTTTTAACCTTTATATGATAGATACATTCATCGGTGTCAATATCAATACGACGAGATGAACTTTTAGTTGAGATCATCGATAAACCAATATCAATTGATCCATGAGATTTACCTTTACTTATATCAACCGGAGTTTTGGCATACTTGAGGATACCCTTTTCTAAATAAAAGTATCGCTTGTGCCAACCCTTGAGAGGCCATTTTCGTCTCTTTAACAAGAAACCTTCAAAATGACTTGGGACACCCTCATAGCGAAGATCACCACGTAATCCTTCAAGTATAATCCAATCACTGTTACGATGTTTACCACTTGCACTGCCGCCAATACCTCCATTACCATAAATGTGTTGACTTGATTTTGTTGATCGATCTGATTCTGAATATTCCTTTTCACCAAGATCACTTATACCACCAATTTCGGGTAAACCATTGATTAACATGGTGGTTGTAGAAGATGAACAAGGTAGAATCAGATTAGATGGACCAGAGAGGTGGAAATTTGAAGGTGATCGCCGAGTGGTTTGGTCCGATCTCTGGGACTCCTGAGAAAGTGAGTAGCTACTGTAACATGTCTCCTGAAGGGTACACAAGAATACGAAATGGAAATAATAATAAGAAAATGATTTCTCTTTGATTTCAAAAAGAACAAGTATCAACAATAATAATAATAACAAACAAAAAAAGAGAGCAAGAGAGATAAATAGAGGAAGAGAGGTTGAGAGAAGAAACAAAAAAGAAAACAAAACAAAAAAACAAAAGAAAAGAGAAACAAAAAGGAAAATGAAGGAGAATCACTTAAACAGAATAAGATATTATGAAGAGATACACATTAGAAAATTATTCATTTCTCATTATTCATATCTTCATCCTTGATACACCAAAAACAGTAGGAGATGAAAAATCAACAAGAGAAAAAAAACCACAAAATTAGAGAGAAAGAAAAAAATTACGACAGGTAGAGAAGAAAAGAATTGAATAAACACATATTGATCCAGCAACACTCAAACAGAATTAAAGAGATACGAATGAGAGAGGTTAACAAGAATGAGATGAAGAGAGGGAGATGGAGAGAGAGAGAGAGAGAGAGACGAAGAAAAAGAGAAAGAGAGAGAAAATGTAAACACAACATAATATAAACACATACAAAGTAAAAGAATATATTAAATGAAGTATCTTACACTTTCGGATATAGAAACAATCTCTTGAGGCTCAGTCAATGCAGAACTATTATTGTTTTGATTACTGTTATTGTTAATATTAATTTGGGTATTCAAGTTACCAGGATCAGTTCCTACCAACCGTAAGGATGACATATTTTTAAATCTAATTACAAAATTGGCAGTAAGGAAGAGAGAGTGAGAGTGAGAGTGAGAGAGATTCAATGAGGATAAATGGGGGAGAATGAGCAAGGTGAAAGATGAAAGATTTTGAAGGAGAAATGAAGAAAAAATAATAATGGATGATGGATAAATGGAAGAATAAGAAAGGAGATGAAAGAGATTTAAAAGTGAAGGTAAAGTGAGATGAAGATGATAATGAAAACGATGAAACCAAAATTCCTGAGGATGGAAATTGTTTTTCTCTCAACTAATCAACAGATAAACAGAGAGACTTTGTTGTTGTTGTTGAATTTTACAGTTATCGTTGAATGTGAAGAAAACAGTAAATGATGAATATAAGGTTACACTCACTGGAACATTTATTTAATCATGATTACTTGAGAAGAGAGAAAGAGAGATAAAATGAAAGAGTTTAACTGTTAATCATCTTTAAGGTGAATCTTCATTCATTGATTCAGAGAAAGAAAAAAATTCCATTAACTAAGTTCTCGTTCCACCGACAGATGGCGCTTTCGTTTGTTTACTTTTAGAAAATTAAATTGAATCAATTTTACAAATTCTCATTTCTAATTACAATTGTGATTTAAGAGTTTTTTTTTCGTTAATTGTTTGTCACTTTCATTATCAACTTTCTCATATGTTCGCCATGTTTAATTCCTTGATCTGTTTATAACATTTTCCTCACATTTACAACCATGGAAACTGTTTCTTTCTGATGAACCATGAGGGTTAATCATTGTTACTATTTTTGGTTGTTTTTTTTTGTTTCATTAATCAACTGATCAACTAATTAGTAACCAATTATCTAGATTATGTTTATAAGTGTTTGTATAAACACCTACAAGTCACTTTACAGGGAAAAATTGAGCTTGTTTTTCATTGTGCTGAGGAAATGACGGAAACATCAACAATCTGATTAGTAATTAAATCAACAAGTGAAAAGAGTTCAGGAAATGGTAAAAATTGATATTCTGATTAACATGAGGATCCATAGTGGAAATTTAACTTAATCAGTGTTGAAAAGAATTAGCTGATTAGTTGATTACTATTATTTTGTTGCTGTTGATGTGATTATCTCAATTTTATGCTCAATCTATTGGGTCATTATTTGGATTAATCGTTTTCATGGTGATTCTAATTTACATCTTAATGATCATTCATCTAGAATAGTGGACAAACTATTGGTCAAGATTAAACTCTTGAAATTTTGCTTCTTAATCAGTCAACAGTCATTTAAATTAATCTAAACAATCAATTGATGTTTACACTTCTCTCAATTGATTGTTTATGCTAGAAACTATTAATACAATGTAATTGATTTTACAGTTAACCCAATCGATGGATTATTGGACTGTAATTAGATTTGATTAAGTTTTTATTTTCTAATTTAAATTCTAATTGTAACAATAAGTTTACTTATCAATTTGTTTCTAAGTTCATAACGTTACATATTCATAATGAAAGACAATACTAGTAGATTAAAGTAAACAATTAATTTCTCATTGATTAATCAACATGTTTTGTACTCTAATTGTTATTGTCTAGCAACTAAATCATCAACCATGATCTTGATTCATTCATTTTATCAATGTCACAGTTTCCTAATCACCTTAAGCTTAATTATTATTAATCTTTCAATTGTTTACTCGATTGTAATTCATTTTTGAAATTCATAATCATCGCAATTTACTTAAATTGTCAACAAAAATCACCAATATGAATTACTTTCATCTAACTACTAATATTAATTGCTAATTGTGATTGATATTTTCACTCATCATGAGATTGAACAATTTACAGATTCGTATGGAAACATTTTTGGAAACATAATCAACTTTTTAAAATTTTGGCAACTTAATTAATTGGTATCACCTTATATCTAATGATTAAGTTAATTATTATTTAGTATCATCATCATCATAACTTAATAATCAACAATTTAGCCCTGGAGACTTGGATTAAGTCCAGATTAAATTGTTGGTGACAATTGACGTAAAATGAACATGAAAATTAGTTAATTAAACCTTCAAATTCAATGGTGAGTAACAATTAACAGCCCTCAGATGATGATTAGTTAATCATATTGTTAGTTTGATAATCATCGATATGATTAAACAACCACTAATTGTATATTTTCAAAGCAATCAACTAAATCACTTAATCGTCACAATTTATCATCAAATAATGAGCAATATCCTTATTTTTTATATAAATGATTAACAATTTGTTAATTAATAACTAAATAATTATTTGTATTCCAGCTTATTAATACCTTAATTAGTCAATTAACTAACCATTTAGGTTTAATTGTTAGTGATTAAAATATTTATGATTACCTTGCCAGTGGATAATTAATTTCAGCTTAATCATTACAACTAAGAATAGTTAATTGTTAACTCATTTGTAGACAATTAATTCCTCTAGATAATTATTTCCACTAATTGTGATAATACAAAGACTAATCAATTAATCTTTAAGTGAACAATTAAAATGATTATTTGATTTCTGTCTCTTCAATTGTGAAATATTTACAACATAAAATAACAATTAACTTAATTGTTAATCTAAAGAAAAAGTAGCCAAACGGATTAACCAACTTAGTAAATAATAATTGATTTATATCAACAACAATTAAGAAAATCATATGAATCAATTAAATTAGAAATCAATCAATTGTGATTGAAATTAATTCCTCTCAGATTTATCATGATTTTTTTTTCCACCACAAAAAAAAACCAAACTAATTGTAGACAATTGATTGAGTTAATTAGCTTAATTATCTATTGTTATTAATTTTAATTCCAAGGAGATGATTAGTTGATTTTTTTTACACTTAATTGTCTCGACTAATTTAATCACAATTAAGAGTTATTGGTGAGCCAAAGTGAATTGATGAAAAACAAGATGATTATTACTCTAAATGATCAGATTATCATTAACCTGAAAAGACAATTAACTTAATTGTTAATTTTTATAATATATTTAAGCTAATAAATAGATAAATCAGCAGAAAAAAACAAATTGCTAATCAATTTAATTGCAATTAAATCCGTTCACTAGCCAATCATTTTGATTTAAAATCGTTTCGACCTTGAATTGTTGTGATTAATAATCAATGAGAAACAATCAATCTTTTGATCAATGATTAGTGTTTAATACAAATATTCAATTAATAGTAAAAATCAATTAATCGATGAGACCATTGAGATCACAATCTCCAATCAATTTTAATCCAGTTTCAATTACATTGGAAAGTAAATTGTAAAAAAAAACAAATGAACATATTAGTTAACCATCACCAATATGTTGATTTACAGTTAATCACAATTAAGGATTATCATCACCCTTATCATTTGATTCTGTTAACCTTAATTATTGTTAACTGGTTTAGTTAATTTGTTTTTTTTTTCTTGATTCCAATTGACATTTTAACCTGATTTAATTGTTAATTTGATTGTGATCTTATAATTTTTTTTCTTGTAACACTTATTAACATTAATATCAACACTTAATCAAGTCAATCAATTTAATCTCATCGTTAAATTAACGATTCAGTTGATTTAGTCAAATTGAAAGTCCAATAAGTCAACAATTAAGAAGGTAAATTAATGAAACTAAATCAAAAGAAAAGCAGATAAAACAAACATGCAATTAACTATCATGAGAATAATTAATTGAAGAAAAAATCAACAATTAAAATCAATTTACACCAGAAAATGAATCAAATTAAATGTAAACAAAAACTGATTGATTAACAAATTACAAAAGTTTCAAGATGAATCAACAATCATGATAATTAATCACCAGAAAATAGATTCCAAATGATTAAGAAAAACAGACTAAATAACAATTAAAATAGACTAACAATTAACCAGAAATTAAACAAAAACTGTAAACAAACAAAGAGAAACCAGAAAAGACTAACCAATGAAAAAGGTAAACAATCAACTAATCATTTGGTAAATTAAGCTTACCTGTGGTGATTTAGACCAAGGGATTAACCTTATTGGTCTTAATAGTCGTGACTGGATAAAGTTGAGATTAACAATTATGATGATTTAATGATAATCCAAGAGGTGGAAAAATTAAACATATGATCCAAAGAGTAACAATCAATCAACACGAAGAGACAATGAAAAACAAATGATGTTGATACTTCATTGAATTGATGTTTTATTTTTTCCCTTGATTAGTGTAACCATAGGAATCATGATAATAGTAATGATTTAGTTGATTTGTATTATCATTTCATATCAAATCGATTGAGTTGTAGCACAATTTAAACACCGAAATTAATGATTACCTTTAATTTTCACTTGATTCGGTTAACAACAATTTCCCTCCTTCTATTTACCTTGCAACCTTTTTCTTATATTGAGTGTACTTTTTTTTTATACTTGTTTTCTGTTAATCATCATTAACGCAATTAGCTAATTGTTATGGTTAAATGAGATGGTTTAATTGTTGATTTATTAATAAACAAAACTACCTTTTAATTGTTATCAGTTATGTTACTTTTTATCCATGTGAGTTTACAGCTGATTGTTGTAGTTACCTTTTAATTGTCGTTTTCTGGTTAATCATTTGTGCTAATCAAATTAATTTAATCATTTAATTGTGATTCTTTTTTAATGTTTATTGTTATGTTGGATTGATTTTTTTTTCTCACCACAAACAATCAATTAATTTGTGCTTTTAATTGTTACATTGTTAATGGAAATACTTTTATTTTTATAATTTCTTGTTTACTTCATAACTTAAATTGGGAAATTAACTCAATTGGTTTGATTGGACTGTACAAATTTCAATTAGTTAATCAGTTATTTTAAGTAATTGATTAGAACAATTAATTTATTGATTCTATTGGTTGTATTTACATGATTTGAAGTAACAGCGATTTTAGTAAACGCGATTCATAAGTAACGGTATTTTTGCCTGGGTGAAGCGTTTCCAGTTCGAGCGGTGGTTCAATTATGGCCTTGATTGTGGTTCCGTGCTCTTCGGTATTGGTTAGGAAAGTTAAACACTCTTGAAGAATTGAATCTTTCATGACGATTATTTGCTTGGCCATGTTTTCCAGCATTGAAAGGAAACATCGTTTCGCATAAAACCAAGTATCGGTGCCGAGTTTTTTGTTGAAAGGTTCGAGGCTTTTGATGACACGGGAAATGCCAAACTCGTAGTTTCCTTTGGCACAATATAAAGTACCAATGACGAGATTGACGATACAAAGGTGGAAAATTTTCCTCTCTGGTTCTGAGTAAGATAATTGCTCCTCTTCTTTTTCAATTTTCCTCATCAGTTCTTCGGCGTTTTCGTTCTGGCCCGTCATGATGTATGAGACGCACAAATTGGCCAAAACTATCGCACTAACGTTCAAAATGTTATCGTAATTTTTTTTCACCAAAGGCTCATAAAATCCAGTCGCTTCTTTGAACTTATTTTCTTGCATGAAAAGTACATGGGCTACATTTAATTTCCAAGTATCATTATCGGCACAAAACTCAACCGATTTACGGAAAACTTTTTCGACCTGAGAATAAGCTTCCATGTCCCAATAGATTCGTGCTTGAGCCATTAGAATGGGCATGAAGCTTTCCAGCGCTTTGTCGTATTCATAGGTAAGCTTTTTGGTGACATTCTCATCGGGGGTTGAGTTATTTCGAGCCTCTTGTATTTGTTTGGACAATTTCCTCAACAGATCACAATGTTTAGCTGACATCTCATCAAACTTCCGATAAGCCTCTTCGGGCGAGGTTTGTTGGGTTATAAGAGCGTCGAGAAACTCGTACAAATATGGAGTTAGATACTTGTAGGTGAAATGAGCGTTTTCGGCCATCACATCGGCCGCTAGATCGTAGTACTCATATTTACAGTAAAGGAGTAAAAGGTTAGCGAAAGTTTCCTGAGGAAATGGATTCTGTTGGATCAGAAATTGTAGCTTCTCAAATCCCTCCGCTGGATCGGTGTCGATTGACATAAGTGCTAAATTGTGAAGAGTGACAGCATCAAGTTCCTCCTCTGAACGTGGTGGCATATCGGTTAGAGCCTCTTGAGCAGCGGCCATATTTTTATTCTGATATTCAATTGCCGCCTTAAGGTTAAACGCTTCAACCAGCGCGGTTTCGTGGAGAGTAATCGTATTACCAACTGATCGAACCTCAATCCCTTCGGTGGTCATTCCAACGCTTAATTCTGGATGGTCTCGAATTCCTCTTTCAATTATATCACCAATAAATCTCATCGATTGTTGGTACTGTTTAAGTTGATAGTAGCATAAGGCCACGTTGTAAGATAGATCGGGCTTATAGCCTTCGATGGTTAGTCCATTAAGAAATTTAGCCAAAGCCTCTTCGTAACGAGATTCTTTGTACAAGACGCACCCTTGATTCACCTCACGATCAGGATCATCGGCTGTCAATTGGTCAATAAGTGATCGAGCTGCAGTTAAATCATCTTGCCCATACTTTATTACCGATTGTAATTTAACCAATTGTCCTTTCTCAATCATCGTACTACGATTGTCTATTGTTAAGGTGACCCTAAGGGCTTCATCAAAGTTGCACAATTGATACAATGAGCGAGCATAATTAAGCTTATAATTGTCATTTTCTGGATAAAGGGAACTCAAGGTTTCATATGTTAAAGCAGCATTGGTGAAATCCTGAATCATGTAGAAACAATAACCAAGAAGAGACAAAGCTTCACGAGAATTGTGATTAATCAATGATTGTTCACTCAAGAAACTAATTGCTTCTTTATATTGTCCTGAAAAAACAACAACAATTAAAGAAAATCATTAACAAGATACGAAATTGTGAGGAAAAAAAAAGTTAAATCTTCAATTGACTAGTCAATATAAATTAGAATAATCAGTTAATCATAATTACCGAATTTAATCCAAGTGTAAACCTGTTTAGTGTAATCGCCCTGTTTAATTCTGCCACTGGATATCCTTATATTCATTTTAGAACAATTAACAATTAAAAGTTCTTTTGATTAGATCATATAAAATAATCAAATGTTTTTGTTTTCTTTTCATACTTTTTGTTAATCATCTCCATGGTGATTTATTAATACTTGAAATAATTGGAAACAATGAAAAGTGTGATAATAGTGTTTTAATTATTAATAGAAAAACTTAACAATCAAGTTTAAGTGAATAATATTTTCTCATTAAATTAATCATCTAAATGGTTGTTGATCAGAATTGCGGTTCCTCTAGTAATCCAATCGTCTTGAGTATTTGCCTTACAGGGAATATCGAACCAGGTAATTAGTAATTCTCTCGATTTTGATCCATAAACAGGTAAAGATACATATTCGTAATCATAGTTAAACTTTGATTTCTATCTCAATAAATTAGAACAATTAGTTAATTATTATGATCAAGTTGTTGTTTTGTTTAATACAAACCTTAGGAACAAAATGAAGCCTCAGTTGAGGTAATCGAGCTCGAAGATCAGAATTGATATTACAATCTCTTAAATAACCAGAATCAAACAAAGCTCCTTCCAATAATAATCCCTCGATGATTAAGCTAAATGATTGACCAATTTTCAGCTGATTAGATGGATACTCAGACCATGAACAGAAAGTTTCAATCTCATCAATAGTTGATCCCAAGAATCGTGATGCTTTTTGTTGAACTGAATTGATAAAAGCCATTGGATGCATAAAAGAACCAAGGTCAAAGGCTAATGTATCTTTATTTGAATTTCCATGTGAATAATTAGTCAATGATCTACTAATATTGACCAATCCTTTGATAAATTCTTCGACCTCATTCGGTCCCGTTGACCATTGAGTTAACCAAGAATCCGGAGTTTCCCCTTGAACTACTGATAGATATGATTCTGAGTCGAAATCGTTTAGATCAAAACTAATTAATTGTACTAATTGTTTAAGGTACAATCTTTCAGATTCGAGGAATCGTAAAATTGAATCTTCTTTGCTAAAACTAATTGATGATCTACGGCGGTGTGAGTGGAATTGATTATCAAATTGTGATGATAAACTGTTAATTGTTTCGAGTAGTTTGTCAATCAAATTACTTTTAGTAGTTTCTTGGGTTAGTTTCAAGTCACTAGTTAGGATTTCGCTTTTCGATCTCAGTAATTTCAGTCCTTTTTCAACGGATTCTTCAAACATTGACACTTTCCAGCGATTAACATTCGGTGCTAATCCAAGTAGATTAAAATCACTCTTCTCATCAAGAGATGATCTGTTAATTGTATCCGATGAGTTGAACCATTTTCTCAATAGAGCTGATAGTATTTCCAAGTCCATTTGTGTGTCCAAACGAGCACCATAAAGTACACAAGACATAATACCACGAATATATTGTAACTGTAATCGACGATCTTGACTTGATTTAATTGTCTCAATTAAATTAGTCGCCATACGATAATCATTGAATCCAAAGTCGTAGATTTTTGTCCAACCAATTGGCACATAATTGCACCTCTCACAAACGATACTATGTAAATAAGTTAACCGAGATATTTGTTGAGTAGATTTAGATTTTGCTTTTCCAGCAATTAGATTAGATTCATTCTCGGATTCAAGATAATCAATTGAATCTCTTAATCCAGGAGAGGAAAGGTAAACAAATTTGACGCATAATTCAAGAAGTGAAACTGGAATACGATCATGAATCTGAGTAACCAGAACAATAAACGATGGTTGAGTTTTATTCTGATCACAATTAACTTTTCGAGATGATAACAGTCGGGATAATGTTGGTAACCAATCAAGGATAACATGGAGATTTGATAAACAAATGATAGATGAAGAAGAAGATGATGAAAGATGAAGATTATCATTTATCAACAAATTCTCGACTATTGGTATCACATCAGCGCCCATCGAGTAAAAATGATGATTCACCTTGGAATCAGTTGATTGTTGGCTTGTAAATAATTCACGAATCTCTCCACTGGGATCAGTACCTTTGGAGGTGATGATCATGACAATGCGACAATTAGATGAAGAATAGCAAGATTTCAAGAAAACACGAAGATTTTGATTGTCATTATCATCAACATGACGAAATTGTGGAATCACCGATTCAAGATATCGATGAAAAATGGCCTTATCCTGAGGGAATAAGGCTTGACCAATATAACTATAAACCGATGATAAAAGTTTCTCTTCTGTAATATTTTTCGTCTCCATTAGAGTTCGAGAATAAAGTGATTCGAACTCATCAATACCAAATGAATAAATTGATCGTAAATTGGACAAATCTTTGATCGTGTGAAATAAAAGTGATCCCATTGATGCTAATGGTTGATATTGTTGACGTTCACGGTCAATGTCAATGGTCAAGTTTCTAGACTCAATTAGTGAGGCTTCAATATCACGAGCCGATGATTTGATGTCCTTTAAACTGGACACTAATTCACCATCGTTTAAAATGTTACCAGTTGATGAATTGAGAGTAATTAACAACTGATCCTCTAATCCTTGTAGTTTGCTCATTAATCCTCGAGATGTTTCATCAACTGATGATTTCCTCTCCTCCAATTCAGGCCTACGAATGGTGATTGTTAAACGGAGTAAATTTAGTTCAGTTGTATCGTTACTTGGCGATAAATCGATGACGTTAACCAAAGGCCATGAGGTTAAATCCTTTTGATTGTTGTGGTCAATTGATCGGGTCAACAAGTAACATCGGAAATTAGAGTTGAAATCTACTCGTTTATCTGCAAGGTAAGTGTAATATCGGGAACCTTCAACTCCAAAAACATCAAATCGCAGCAATGAGATTAGTCCAATCGATGGATCAGATATATTGTCCAGAACGATGCTTTTACCAAATCGAAGGGCCAATTCAACCAATCGGAGCCAATCACTTCGAGTTGTATCGATAAGTTCACTTGATTTACCAATAGAAGTCAAACATTTACGAGAAGGATCAATTAGAACAGGGGTTAATAGGTGAGTTCGAAAAGCATAGAAAACTTCATCTTCTCTTTGGATATCGATAAAATCCTTGATTGAAAATGTTTCCATTCCAAGAGTCGAACATAAAGTTTCTAGAATTGATCTTTTAGCGCTCGATGATACTTGATGTCCGGTGAAGTGAATATAAGCTGAAACAATTAGACTTTTCGAGGAAAGAGTTGAATAAGAATTATTGATTTCGATTAATTGTTTCTTCCATCTTTCATATTCTGAGCTTAATTCACCGATTAACTCTTGACTTTCCGATAAAATGGCGTTCGTTTTGTTCAGGCCAATCTCGATTTGAGCAGCTTCAATGGTCACCTGGTTTAGTTTATCTCTAAGTGAGCCAACCTCTCTCTCGACTCCGGTCAGTTCAGAGGCCAAAGCTTTCATCCGGTTCTGTGCCGATCGCAAGTTTGACTGAAGACGAGACTGTTCATCCTCCAAAGGTTTAATTTTGTGTAACACTTTTGAATAAGACAAATTGGCCTTAACCCAATTTGCTAATGGTGCTGCTGCGACTGACGCCCGTTTGGCCTGTTTCTCATCGAACGAATCGGGCTTGCTTTTAATAGCATTTTCAACTCGTCCCCGAATATCTGGTGTTATTTTTCGAGCATCGAAATTGATAATTTCATCTTTTACTCCGCGACGAGATAGAAATGATTTCATTGAGACCCATGAAGTATCTGAGACTCCCATTAAACGAAGAACTCCTTCCAATATATCACGAATAACTTCAGGTGGAGCTCGAAGTGACCTGATTTCCGATAATGACTCTGATTTGATTCCCCCAACGGCTGCTTTAGCTTCTTGAAGAATTGGTTCAATCTCTTTGAGTTCCAGTTCGATTTCTCCTTTTCTTTTGGTCAATATTGATGATTCTCTTTCGGTTTGTTGTCTAATCTGTTCCAGTTCAACCTTTTGACCTTCATGGTCGTGCATAGAGGTTGTGATCATGTTCAATGCTGCATCGGCCTCTGACCTTTTCGAGGCTAAAACAGCTTGTTGACTTGTCGCCTCAGCTTGAAGCTTTTCCACCTCAGCTGATGCTTCCTCCAATTTACCTAATCCTTTTTCAAGTCTCCCTCTTTGGCCATCTAGTTGTGAGACTTTGTGACTTCGTATCATGTCAAAGGTCAAAATAAATGAAAGGTAACGTCTACAATCACCAGCCACCTCAGGGAAAATATTGTACAACTGAACGAATTGTTTACTAATTGTTTCCAAATCAGATAAATGGGGTAATAAGTATTTCGGTAAATCGGTTAGACTTGATTCAGACCAAGGACGAACAGGGTGAATTGAACTACAGGCACGAGACCAAATACGATCATTTGGCGAAGTTAAATTGTTCATAATCAATAAAACACGAACAATTAATGGACCAGAATAAGTTAACAAAAGGTCAGATAATTTTTCACATAAAAAGGGAAACAAATCAAAGTGAATTTGATCAATTAGAATAATAATCCGATCGTTTTTACCATTTTCAGCCTCACAATCAAGAGTCGATTTTAGATCAGCAATTAACTGTTTCTCTGTTGAAAATTTGGGAAACCAAATTGTTTCATATCCATAAAGATTGGCGATTATCTTACATGACAATTTACGAGATGACCCCGATGGTCCTAATAAGACTAATCCACTGATTCCAATCGTTGGATCGCCAAGAAACACGGAAACTTTTGAGAAAAGAGCAAGAACTTCCGGAATCAGTGCGATTTTAGATAGTCTAATCTCACTCGTTGAAATGTACGATTGAAACGACTGCTCAAAGAAATCAATAGTTTCTTGTGCTTCGATTAGCGTTATATTGTCACCGAAATTCAAACGAATCGAGTATTTAATTGTCGATGAATTAGTTGAACCAAAGATTGAATGACAAGTAGTTTCCAGGGAGTGGATATGATAAATTGGAACGTAATTGATTAATGCTCGTAGAGATTCACGTTTTAATACATCATTGGTAATCGTCTCATAGAAATTGATTAAGTTGATTGCTTGGGTTGCAGCGGAAAGAATGGGAATTGATGAGGAGATCAAGTCAATCGCTGATGAGGCTAAACGATGAAATCCTGAGGCAAATAACGTTGCCCATTGTTTATCTGGACCAATTTTAGATTGGATGATTGTTTGAATCTCTGTGGCTGATAATTGTGGTGATTGAACGCAATTAACTAATGATAAGAATCTATTATCGAGATATTTTATCTCATTAACTGTCGCTACGATTTGAAAGTCTTCCAAGATCATCCAATCCTTGGAATCGGGATCATGAAAACCTTTATAAGTAATTAAAGTTGTAAGAAATGTAATTAAAGTAACACAATTCCAGGAATCGGATTGAATCAACTCTAAATTACGTAAATAGATCACAATTAGTCCTCCATGTTTAGGTTTAAGAAGCTTTCGATTACCAGTCCCTGGGGATTGAGTTTCTTGACAAATTCCCTTGATCAGTTCAATCAACTTGATTGGTGAACTTGTTGGTACACAATTAAGTGAAATCCAAGTCGTCGATTTCAATATAACTTCGTGAACGATTAGATTTTTACCCGAACCATTTGGTCCGATCAGTAAAATATGTTGACGATCTTCATTTAGTTTAGTAATTAAATCGATGGTAGAAGTTAATGAAGATGTAACAATCAACCGACCGATGGAGTAATCGGGTTTAACACTGGTTCTATTTTCGTTGAGCAAATGAAGTATTTCGATCGGTGAAAGTGATCTGCTGGCCGAATATCTCAACAGTTGACATGATGTACAAATCGTTGAGAAAATCTGATTAGACGAATTCGGTAAAATCTTCATCACTTCATCGACTGTAATTGATAATCTAAGAAAATTAATTGTCGATTGTAAAACAAGACTAGAAACGGGAACATTCAAAGAGATTAGGCCAACACGGGAAATTGTCGCCGGAGATGAATGTTGAAGCGATGTTGTTTCAAAAAGAATTGATATTTTGTTCAAATCGAAATCAATTCGTTCACCTGAAGGTAAAGTTAGAACATGATTGTCATCAAGAACGGAATTAAGAGCTTCGACCCAGTCAGGGTCAATTTCCCCGTCGAAAATCAACCAAAAATGATATGGACCTTCATCTCGAGCAATTGATCGAGTCAATTTAGTTAATACTCCATCTTGCCATTCGCGAGTATCCTCATCAATGTATCCCAACAATTGAACTCTAGTCATTGATTTAGGATTGACAATCACTGGAACCACGTTGATCGATTGAGCTTTGCGTTTGTAGACCATCAGGACTCTCCAAATTGTTGATTTACCGACACCCGACGGGCCGATAACGGCAACACCAAGGCGAGAGTCTAATTGTTCATTGAGAACACCAATCGACTCAATTTGTTTATCATCAAAAGTCAATCCTAATTCATTGTAGATTTGTTTCAATACATCAACATCCAAAGTGGTTGTTAATTTTAAACAATCAAGATCAGAATCTTTCAGGCCAAAAACATCAGTTATCAAATCGGTAAAACGTTGTTGATCTTCAGCGATTAATTTTGATCTAACTTGTCTTCCAAGGGATTGGATTATGATTGATTGTTCTTTGTTAATTTCGTTGATCTCTGTTGATTGTGACGGAGATCTAAGGGCTCGACCACATGACGATAAACATGATTTAATTGCTCTCAGTCCCCAATCATAATGTTTCTGGTAAGACATTGAATCTTTAGCCAAATTGAACCAAGCAGTTACCTTACGACCCAATGGTTCAGATTCAGGTAAACTAAATCCTTCAGATAAAAGTAACACTCTGGCAATTAAGGCTGAATCAGGAACCGTCATGGCCACCGGAAGGAACAAGGCCTTAAGATTATCGGGAAGCTCATTACGACCTCTGTATTGTTTACCAGCGGGATTAAGAGTAACAAAAATACCAGAGTTTCGATTAAATTTAATCTCGTGTCCATTGGGTCCATTTAACTGGATTGAATCAGTGGAACCTTTGAAACCCAATTGAATTGAATGAAGAAGCGTCGACAAAGAGGAAAGTACTTCAACTTGTAGACGATTAAATTCATCAAAACAACCCCAAGATCCACATTTAATTAGTCCAATCAATATTCGAGTCATGGCCTTAACATCAATCGCTTCATCGCAATTAAAAACCAACACTTGACGACCCAAATGATGTCCAAGCGCTTTCACAGTCTCAGTTTTTCCCGTTCCCGCTGGACCATAGGGATTACCGCCAAGACCCATAGATAAAGCTAAGAAAATCAAAGAAAACAATTAAATCATCATTATCTCTCATTTATTGATAGCTAATTAATTGTTACCTTGCATCAGCACGAGAAAACATTTATCGGTCAATGGAGTGTGAACCAATTTAGCTGACCCATAACAACCAATGTAATCAAATGAATAATTAACTGTCGACAATCCCATGGCCACGGAAACTGTTTGCCGATCAATATCAGCGTAGTACCTTAATTGTTTCCTCCATCTCCAATCATCAACGTCCGATACATTGGTCGTTAATAGTTGTTCAATTACGTCGATAAAATGAATTACATCTAAGACCATAGATCGAATCTTGATCTTAATAACCAAATCAGTGACCTTGAAAGCTTCTCTAATAAGGTCACTTAATTGTCGAGCTAAATCATTTTGTAATATTTTCAATCTACTTTGCCGAATACAATCTTCGGTAGATGCTGTCCAACGGATCCACTGGACTAAAGAAACGATTTGTGAGGGTGCCGACCAAACGAGATCGTCGCTATTATGACCTCGACCTAAACAGTCAAACAGATCGATTTTCAATGATTTGGAAACTTCGCTTTCAATATTTCGAAGCCAATTTTCAATCTCAATGGATCCTCCTTGGAAATTAACAGTAACTGGACTTCGAAGGCGAATCTGTTCACCTTCGGGCGATTCGACGGCTGTTGAACTGTTCCCGTCAAATATGATCTTATTTATTGTATTGTTGAACAATTTCTTCAATAGTCCTGATTCAGTGATCGAGGTTTTACCCGCAAGAACTAAAAGTAAATCGTCATCGGCAAGAAAATAGAATCGAGGGAAACGATTTCTCGATTCTTCCATGAAAAGGTTCAACTTTTTCTGACAAGAACTCAAGTGTTGATCTATGGATGTTAATCTTTCAGGTAAACTTGGAATTCTCAGTAATCGGATGACATGACAATCGGTTTCAATCGTTTTCATGATGGTAATAAAATCCCTCGAGGCCAAGGTGAAAGAGGAATCATTGAAGATCTCTGGTCCTTGATTTCGACTATATATTGGCTCTAAGTAAGTCCATTTACGTTGGACAGTGTTTAGTGAATTGATCGTTAGATTAAGGCCAGTTAATCGTGATTCCCATTGTGACCCCGATTCAGCAAACGAATGGTCAAAATAATCTGATCCTTTAACTGAATTAAGTGTAACAATTGACTCAGAGATTGAGGTTAAAATTGATCGCCAATTTTTAATTAGTGAAACTTGTTCGCCAGAATCCATCGAATACTTGGTCAGATCAAATTTAGCAGAAGCCGCTAATGATTCCAATTCGGTGAATGTTTGTCTAACTGATTGTTCACCAAGGGCTCGATCATTTAATGCTCTCAATTGATCCTTAATTGTCAGCAAAATTTCACTTTTATCATACAAATGTCGCAACTTGAGGGTTTCAACTGGCATCGATTGATAATCAATCAGAGATAATAATTCATCCCAATGAGATTTAGCAAAAACTTCACCTTTGATTGTTTTCAGAATATTGATTAAGTTTTTCCACTCCTTTATTCGAGATTCGATAACTTCATCAATCTCGTCATCTTGCTCTCGATTGACCTTGGGTTTGACCTTCCAAGAGTCAATGTAATCTTCCAACGCTGACAATTTATTGCGAACGATTATCCAATTAGTTTCGAGAAAAGGTTCTAATCCATCGTCAAATTGTTTCGCCTTCAATAGTTTACCATAAATCTCCGTGACCTCAGTTCGAGCCAAAGTAAACGTTTCAAGCTCTCCCGGAACCGGAAGTTTAAAGTATTTACATCCTTCGATATAATTGTCAACATCACTTGCGATTAATTCAAATTGTGACTTCAACTCTTCAAGTTGTGAAGTATTAGGAAATCCTCGAGACTTAATTGTTTTCCAATTTTTGTTCAACCCATCGAGACTTTTAATTGTTTCCGATGATCGAGTCTCAAGTCTTGATCGAAGCAATTGTTTAAATGAAGCAATTAACGATTCCCGATTATCCATTAGAATTTGAAATTGATCATATTTATCAACTAAATCGGAAAGATTAGGAACTGATTTAGCTGACCATTTACTGAGGAAATTACATCTTCCCGTTAATTCATTATAAGCTGAAGTGATCTGGACAATCGTAGACGATGCTGAGTCCAACCAGAATGATTCCAATTCAATGAGTGATTTAACTTGTTCTGGTGGTGATGTTAATTGTGTCAACAATTGACTGACCTGATTGTTGAGAGACTTCGACATGGCCTCGGTTTCCCGTCGAAGTGAGTCAATCAGTAGTCTATCTACAGCACTATTGATCCAATCAATTGACACTTTAATTGGAATTAAATTGATTGTAATGTTACTCTCAGAACAGTAAAGTTCATTGTCGATAAATTTTTTGTTAAATTCTTGACCTTTCAACTTGATTAGAGTTAAATTGTTAACATAATCATCTAAAGTATTTAAAGGGATCATCGATGATAATGAGAAATCATCTGAATGTGATTCTCGGATAATATTATACAAACAAGTCCATTCGCTAAATTGTTCACTGATTGTTATCAATTCCAACATAATGTTATCAACTTGTCGATATAAACACAATAGATTTTCAATTGATCGAAGGTAAATTGTCGAGAAAATATTTTTCATTCCCTTGGGCGATTCGAAAAGATCAGGATTGATCGAAACGAGGAAGCCCTTAAATTGTGTGAACGTTGATAGGAACAAATTAATTCGTGAATAAAGTTGTAACTGTATCTCCTCGAGCGATGGACGATAAACGATCAGTCCACTCGTAAAGGTCAAGTCAACTCGAAGGCATAAAGATGAATCGTTTGATATTTTATTTCCATTGTAAGGATTTGAATAAAACCCAAGCCAAGTTAGCGATGAGATTAACGCTTTATTAAAATGATAATCCAATATTTTGTATAGCTGATAATCCCAATGCTTTTTCCAGGTCAAGGTATTTGAGTACAAATTGTCAACGGTTATCATTGTTGAGGTCATTTCGTTCATCAAGGGTCGCCATTTATTGAGAGGAAAGTCGAAAAGTTTAATGATCGATTTAAGTAGAGATCGATGGTACCGATGTAATCGTCGATTCTCATCGGAAAATTTACTCGCCAATTCCCTTAATTCAGTTAACCATCCATCTAATTGATTAATGTCACAGTCCCAGGTCATTGTTTTGTTACGAGATTCGAGAAGTGAAGTAAATGTCCTCGCAGCGTCGATGAGAATCGGCTGTTGACAAAGAAGAATCGAATCGCCAATGGTACAATAAAAGTTGACAATTTCCTCCAAATGTCTGGCGATCGAACCATATTTGATTAGGTCACGTTCTTTATCAATTAAATCTCCCGATAATTGGAAACCAAGACACCGAAGAGTCCGACATTCCCGTGCAAATGAAACTAATCGAGGTTCAAAGGTTACCAATGGCACTTGTGAGGTTGGATCGATCACAATACAAGGTCGGTGTGGATCCAATTGCACAGATGACCAAGATGAGCACCATTTACGATAAAGTGTAGTGACCTGAGATGCCAATTCCCGGACAATTTGCTCCATCCCTCTTCGAGCCTCATGATAGCCTGCAATGTCTTTGAACAATGGATCGCACACTTTAATCACTGCTTTTAATTTCCCTTCGCGAGCTTTCATCAGGCAAATTTTCTCAATTAAACTTAATTGCGATCCAGTTTCGATTGTCACTGAATTTTCAGCCCAATTAACAACCTTTTCCAACATTTCACCTCTTTCCGTTCTGAGAGCTTCCAACATATCAGATGATTTAACGTGACTTCGCAATTCACTTAATATTGATAATACACTCGAATGTGTCCCGTCACATTGATTAACGAGCGATTTGAGATTTTCAACAGTTCGAAAATCAGCTTCCTGTAAATTAGTCAATACAATTGGAATTTAATCAATCAATCATAAGCTAATTGTCATTGAACAATATTAGTTACAAATTTACCTGAAATTGTCTATCCATGATTTCTGATTAAATTGAGAGCACAAAACGAATTAGAATTGTTAGAATCCTTGATCATTGGTTCATTGAGAATGAAAATTGTTATAATTAATTAATGATTGTTCACTCAAGAAACTAATTGTTTCCTTAAATTTACCTGAAAGAATATAAACAATTTAAGTAAATCACGGAAAAATTAATGAGAAAATTAAATCTCCAATTGAGGAGTTAACATAATAAATGAGAATGATTAACTAATCATAACTACCTGATTCAATCTTCTTGTTTGATTCTTCCACTGGATATCATTAGATTCATTTTACAACAATTAACAATTAAAAGTAAGCAATTGAAAATTCTATTGATTAGATCATCTGAAATGATCGAATGTTTTTGTTTTGTTTTCATACTTTTTGTTAATCATTTCCATGGTGATGTATTTGTTTGGTATTGACAAATTAATGGATTCATGTTAGGATTTTGTTCATTTTAATTTTGATTTGTAAATAGTACATTGGATGTATTGAGATATTGTCTTGTTTTTGGATACAATAAATGTAGAAGATCAACTGTGACAATTTTAGCAAAACCAATTAAAAACATGAGCCACAATTAAAATTGTAATAGCAATTTGTTTAAGAAAAAAAGTAGCAAAATCAAATGGTAAACTGTTTCTACCATTGAGTTGATTTTTGTTGATTTTAAAAAGTTAAAATCGGTTTCTGTTGTTGGGCTGACAACAGGTCGGACATTATAAAATTAAAGGGAAGAGTAATATAAGTAATGAACAGTTCAAACGTTGGCGAACTGGCTCTTTTGTTTTCTTTCCAAAAGTGAAAGGCTTGATTGAATCCTGGAATATCCCACAATTTATCGTAATCACCTTCCTCCATTTCTATTGAAACAATTAAGAAAATAAGACGAAAAAGAAAGTTTAGTGATAATAATCAAATTTTAGGACCAGAATTAATCTCACCTTCGGTGAAATCGGTTGCTTCAACTTCGTTGATTCCTGATTCCTCTTCTGGATTAAAAACTTGATTAGCTGATCGTGATTTAGATAAAGGTTTTCCTTTCCAAGATTGAAGTTTCTTTTCGAGCTCATTAGATGGGTCGGACATACGTCGCTGGACTAGATCGTGGTGCTGTGCGCGAGAACAACAAGAAAAACAACTAAGTGAATGGGCATTGGATGATTTATCAGGAAGATCAATATCCAAGACCTTAAATTGTAGCCAAGGAGAAAAAATAATGAAACAAATAAAATAAAATGAGCAAAAAATTAATCAAAATAAAACAAATGGCATAACCACAATAAGCAAAATATAAATTATATTAACCAGCTAACAAATGCAATTAGAAATTTAAATCTTGATAAAAGTGAATGGGGAGCATTTGCAGGAGATAAAATAAAATTCTGATTCAGTAAATACCTCGAACATTTCGAAATCGCCCTCATGAAGAGATACACTTGATCCTGATCGACTTAATCCAGTTTCGCTAATCTTTCGATAAGCCATTTCAGATATTCCACGAGATCTTGGACCTTTCATACGAATGAACTCCATTCTTTTATTTCCAAAGTAATGATTTATTGGTCTTTTCCTTCTTGCTCTCACTTTCGAGCCTGATTGAAGCTGTAGAAGGGAAAATAGAGATAAAAAAATTGATCAACTCGAATCAGAACTAATTAATATAAATCTTTTACCTCATGAATATATCTGATGGTTTCATAATTAATGGAACCCGAGAACAGAACGGAAACATGTTCACCATTACGATCGGAAGCAACTAATTCAACACAAACCATTTCCCCACAACGAACAGGAATATTGCTCATCATCTAGAAGATAGAGAACGAAAGATTTGAAAGAAAAGATTCGTTAGATTGCCAAATCTTCGTTAAGGAAACATTGACTCTCACCTCTTCATAATTGTCGAGAGTAAAAAATATATCCGGATAAGTGATCTCTTCGATTTCACCCTTGTTGTGCATCGATCGATGACTTGGAGAGGCAAAAACTTTTTGTGAATGTTTGGCCAGTATTTGAAATTCTTTGGGACTTGTTCGAGTACAAATTGCACAGGTCAACGTATATTCAAAATATTGCATAATAGTATTAATATAAAGTGTCTCTTCCCAGTCGATATGAGCATTGTCCAGAGGCAATTTATTCGAGTCCTTCCGGTAAACATCAAGGTTTATCTGTAAATAGAGAAAGAGAAATCAAGTTAATCATTAAATCAGATGATAAATCACTTCATAGCATTCATAAAGTGAGAATAACATAAAATATGGAAATTTTTTCTTCAACCGATTGTTATCATAATAATGTAATGAAATAAAACACAAATCAATTTAATCATATTCTTGACAGTTACTATAACCTCAAGAGATCGCAGGCAAATTGATCAATAGTCTTTCACAAAGTCAAATTGAATTGTAAATTATTTAAATTAATGCGAGAAGAAAATGAGAAAAAAAAATACTAAACTTATGGATACAAATAACAATGATCAGTAATGGTTAGTCTCGGAAAATAATATAATCAACTGAATGATGATTGATTTAAAATAAGACAATTAGGTTTAAATTCACTTGACTCCTGTGGTGTATAGAGATTCTCAATTTACAAAGGGAAAAGTCAACATGGTAAAGGAAAGTAATTGAAACCTAACAGTTAGTGACTTAGAAAATAGTCGTAGAAATTAATTAAAGTGGAGAACAATTGAAATTAACTTTCTCTAAAGTAAATAACACCTAATGGATTTTGGAAGTTATTAAATAACACACTTGACAATTACCACCCTTGAAGCTATAATATATAACTGTTATTATTTCATCAGTTTGTTGTAACCAACAAGATGAATAAAGAGTCTAAAGGAATCTAAATTGATGACTTTTTTTGTCAATAGCAAAAGGATATTGAGGTTAATCTAACCTTGAGATTAGATCCAAATCGATTGAATAAAGATGCTTGTTTCCGAACGAAAAAAAGTAAATCATCATTAGAGGTACAATCTTGTCCAGTGAAATATTGGAGGAAAAGCTCAATCCATGTGAAACCAGATCGTCGTTGTAAAGAAATGAAACCATCCTCTGTAAATGGAATAGAAAATTATTAAATAAAATATCCATATGATTTATATATAATCCAAGGAGACAAAGAGATTAACAAATATGGTAAGGAGGGAAAAGAATAGGCGTAAATAAAGATTCTCATTACCAACTAGTTGATCTACCAAAGTATCATTTTTAAGCTGATTAATTTGGTTCAGTAGTTGAATTACTTGGTGATTTTTGGTGATATTTTCACTTTGATCACTCATAAAAATGGCCAATTGGTTAGTTGATTAGGATAAAGTGTAAAAAGATTGAATTAACTTGATTAAAATGACAATTGGTGAGAAAATGATGATCACTTTTGATGTTGTTGCTTTTGTTTCATCCAATCTGTTAACTTTGATTGTTATCATATTAGAAACATCCGGTGAATACAAATGAAGAGACTATTGAAAAAGAATCAGGTAAAGACGATAAAGGTTAATAATCATGATTCCACTAATTAGTTAACTAGAAAAACAAAGGTGAAAGAGTAACAGTGAGAGAAAAAACAATCAAGACAAAAAAGATCCATGGGAATGTAAACAAAAAACAGAGAAGACCAAATGTTTGCTTGCGCATGTCAATTGGAAAAAAAGAACAAAATTATTCTATTGGAAATTAATTAATTCCAATTGTTAAATTGTTCTTTTCTCTCAATTAGATTAAGTGACCATTTAATTATTGTTGATGATCTAATTTAAACAAATTAATTATTCCATCAAATTATTCTAACAATTGTGAGTCGTTTTGATGAGTTGTCTTTCCATACGATTCATTGGTTCCAATAAAATGTAAGCCTTTGTTTACTTTTTTGTTAATCTCATTTTCAAAGTGATTTCATCAGAAATTTTAGTTTTTTGCAAATAATTTTCCAATTATTGTTGATTATTGTTAAATTTTTTTTAAATTGTTTAGTAATTGGTTGCGTTATTTTAAGACTATGATCTCCAGTAAGACTTCAAGTGGTTCAGCTCTAAAAGGTGATACCATTGATCAATTTATAAGGCCAATTGTGATCTGTGGACCTTCAGGTTCAGGCAAGAGTTCACTGCTTAGGCGACTCATTAATGATTATAAAGATTATCTTGGATTTACAGTATCTCGTAAGTATTTTTGTCCATTTATCAACCCAAAGATAATCCATCTCTGTGGGTTATATTTTTTTCCGTAGTATTTGTTTGTTTTGATCATTAATTGTTACTCTTCTTTGAATCATCTTAATTTCCCTCCAGATACAACTAGGAAACCTCGTGAAGGGGAAATTAATGGTAGAGGTAATCACTTTAATTCTTTATTTTATTTGTTCGAAATATCAAATTATTCTGTTCTTCTTTTTTTTGTTCTATAAAAAGTGGCTTCATAGCCATTAAAGAGATAATATATTTATCATCTGGTCTAAACAGAATTTTATTTCTTTCAACATCATGACAGAATATCATTTCATCGAAAGAAACTCAATGGAAAAAGCGATAAAGGAAAATGAATTTATAGAATTTACTGAATTTTCTGGAAACCTTTATGGAACCAGGTAATTATTATTACCCATGAGAATGGAATTACATTTAATAATTGAACAAAATTAATCCTAGTAAAAAAGCCATGGAACATGTTCAAAAAAATGGAAAAATTTGTATTCTTGATCTGGAGATTGAAGGAGTTAAGAATATGAAGAAATCCAATTTCAGGCCATTGTTCATTTTCGTGAAACCACCGAGTCTAGAGGCTTTGGAACAACGATTGAGAGACCGAGCAACCGAGTCCGACGAAAACATAGAACGACGTTTGAAAAGAGCCAAAGAAGATCTGAACATGGAAGGAATCGAAAATTATTTCGACCTAATCTTGATCAATGAAGATCTCGATCAAGCTTATGCTGCTCTCAAGAATTTCATTCAACCGGTAATTTAAAATTCATCACAAAAATGAGACAATTTTAATTTAATATTTTCTTTTAAATCAATTTGAAAATAGGTTATTGGAACTCTTCAAGTAAACCAATGATTGTCTCTGCGAGAAAAATACCAAACCTCTTCAATGGTCATTTCGATGAAGGTCAATTGATTTAATTAAACTTTGGTACCTTAAACTTTCAAACTGATTAGTTGTCTCCAAATAAATGTAAGCCTTTATTTACTAAATTTTTGAATAATTTTGTAATCAACTGATTAAATGTTGACTATTTCCTAGAAGACATAAATTATATTCGTAATTGTAGCTAATTGTAAGTTATTTACTTTTATTATTATCTTAATTGATTAGTTGTTTTTTTCTTTATGGTCTTAATTAGGATTAATGTCTTTGTTTATTGAAGACAATCAATCAAATATAAGAAAATCAAGTTCGAGAGTTCAACGATTTGGTAATTTTTCAACTTTTCTAATCAAAATTAAAACGATCTGTATTAATGATTAGAATGAAATTTATATTTACAATCAGATAATCATATTGGTTGACCCAAGAATTGATTTAAAAAGGGAAAATATTCCGGTGAACTTTCTAATTGAAGGTGATTCGTTTTCCTTATTTTAACAGGTCAATTAGTGGTCAACTTTTTCATACGTAACATCCTCTTAATCCCCACCAAGGTCGATAATAATTAGTATTAATAATTCAGTAATGTCCATAAGAGGGAGAAACATTAATCTGCTAATATTACCTCAATAGTGAGAGAGAAAAGTGATTTTGAGAGAGCAATTTGTTTTCTTTTTTTGAAACTTTTTTCTGTCGATTGATTAAAATTTTGATTCGATGAAAAAATAGTCATTCACATTGATTAACACAATTAACATGTTACCTTAATATCTTTTTCTCAAAAAGTTCAATTTAACAAGTAAAATGTTGTTAATTCAACTCTTTTTAATTAGTATCATCTCTTTGGTCTCAGGTAAGAGTTTCATTCCAATTGTTGACAATTTAACTGGATTAACATTCATCTTATTTTGTTTACGATTTTTTGGTTCATCTTTTGTTCCCTCATAGTTTCATCTCTATCTCACCAACGAACCTTAAATCACCATGATGGTCATGGTGTAATTTCATTGTCCAGATCAAGACGATCAACTCTTCCCCCTGGTTGTCAGGAATCTCTTGAAACTGATTTCATGGATTCAAGGAGATTCTCTATGTTGATGTTGAACATTTACCTCGAAATCAACAAGAGATTGATGGATTGTGTAGGTAAATCTAATGTATCCAAAGTCTAATCTTCAAAAAAGTTTCTCAAGTGTCAACAATCAATTAATTTTCTCAACTTGTTTCTTCCACAGTGTAAGTCGTACGATGTACAGTAAACTTCGTAATTATAATCGTAAATGTTTAAAATCATTGGCTCGACAATTATTTTCGATTATGCTTCGAGGTATGAGAAAGCAAATGAAATCGATTTGTACCGATCCAGTTGATCAGAAAAGTAAGTTGTATCTTATTGATGTTTGATTATTTTTGTTTAATTTTTGGTCTCACATTTATATTGATACAGAAGCGATCAAGATTTACAGTTGTACATCAGAGGCCAGTAAGAAGGCTTGGAATGAGTGTTTCCATTCCGCTAATCGTCAATTTGCTTTTGCTGCCGTTAATTCAACTGATCGTCAATTGTTTCCCGATTTGTGTTGTATGTACCCACGAATTGAAAGATGTGTTGTCACTCAAATGAAACCTAAATCCAGTTGTAAATCCGAAGTTGGTTTGGACATTGCTGGTTTCTATCGAGCCACCGTGGAAATATCAATCAAAGATACTCTTGACCTTGCCTGTGGCAATTTCGCTACCGAAGAACAATGTATCAAGGTCAACCCTTCAGGTGTTAAAGCTTTAACCGATGCTGGTGAATCGAAAGTAAAAGTACCTGAGCCATTCTATTTATACCCGTTGCTTAAAGTTCTTAGTCGTCTCGCTGATACCCGATAAAGAAAATCAGTTGATTGACTGTTCTATTTTCCATCAGCATCAGGATTAACTTTTCTCTCTCTCTCTCTTCTAATCTAAATCATCTCATGAATACAGATGATGAAGATTTAACAATTAATTTTGGATTAACTTCGATTCGTGATTATTTTAAATTGTTTTCACTATTGTCAACTCTTTTTTCACAATTAATTTACTTTCTTATCTTCTCATCTTCATCTTTCAACCAATATCTTAATATTATTGAATTGTTACTAATTACTATTAACTATCTCATTAAACTATCAACTTTTCATGAGGAAAAGTTTTCAAAATGTTAAAAACTAATCGTTAATTAGTTTCAAATTGTTTATTTGCTTATTCAGCCTTGAGAATGTTGGTCTTTCCATCTTGAACTATTTTCCTTGAATTACTTTTATCCTAATCACCGATAAAACAGATAAGACTGATAAAATTTAATATTCTAATCAATGATTATCTTCTTTTAATTGATTGGATCAAATCAAATGTTAATGTGAATACTAATCACATACAATTAGTCTTGACAATTTTGATTTACTGGTCAATAAAATCAATATGAATCCATGTGAATGCCTGAGATTGCTCGTCCCGATGGATCAGCTGAATTGGCCCAAGCCTTTTCCCATTCGATTGCCGCTGGAGTTGAACAAGCGATCGATGGTCCACCGGGAATCAGTCCGTCGGTATCACGATGAGGAAAGTGATGCTTGAAAATGGACCGATAAAGATAAGCCTCTTTAGTTAATGGAGGGTTATGAGGGAAGGTCGATGAGGCGCAGTCCATTTGAGCGTCAGTGATCTGAGAGTCTGAATAAGATTTTAATGAATCGATCCATTTGTAACCAACTCCATCGGAAAATTGTTCCTTTTGCCGCCAAAGAATTGAATTTGGAAGATACGGATTATCGGGTGTATCGAAGGCCTTTCGAATTATCCATTTCTCAAGTTTGCCTTCAGGTCGATCGGTGACCATTTTCATTGATGGATCTAAACTCATTACCAAATTGATGAAATCTTTGTCAAGAAACGGAACTCGAGCTTCGAGTCCCCATGCGGATGTTGCCAGATTGGCTCGAAGACAATCATATCGGGACAATAGTTTAATCTTTCGACAAAGTTCAGCATGGAAATCACCTGCTGATGGAGCTTTATGGAAATACAAATAGCCACCGAATATTTCATCAGATCCTTCACCTGAAAGAACCATTTTGAATCCGAAAGCTTTAATTTTTCGAGCCATAAGAAACATTGGAATTGAAGCTCGAATCGTAGTCACATCGTAAGTTTCAATGTGATAAATAACATCGGAAATTGCATCAAGTCCCTCCTGAATTGTATAAGTGAATTCATGATGAACAGTCTTAAGGAAATTAGCAACTTCTCTTGCAGCTTTAAGATCAGGAGAATCAGCTAATCCAACTGTAAATGAATGAACTCGAGGGAACCAAGCATCGGTTTTTACATCACCCTCGATACGTTTAGCAGCATGACGACAAACAATTGATGCAACAAGAGATGAATCCAGTCCACCAGACAAAAGTACACCATATCTATGAAATTGCAAATAGAAATGAAAAGATGATCAATAAAAGAATCAGTAAATCGTACGATTGACAATTGTCAATATAAACTTACGGGACATCACACATTAGCCTTTTAATGACGGCTTTTTCAAACGCATCTCTCAAAACGGTGAAATCAATTTTGTTGGTTGGGATAAGGGATTCATCCCACCAGGGTGGATTGTACCAACGGTGGAATCCCTCCTTGTGGGTCCAGTAATGACCCGGAGGAAACTCACGAATCTCAACACAACTAGTGATCAGAAGTTTCATTTCAGAGGCAAACCACCAAGATCCATCAGAGCCACGACCATAATACAGAGGGAAAACACCAATTGGATCACGAGCAGCAAAATAATCACCTTTACCTGGGGCAGCGACAACGAAGGCGAAAACACCATCCAATTGATTGACCACAGAGGGTCCATGTTTCTTGTAAAGGTGAACAATTGGTTCACAATCACTTTGAGTGGCTAAATCAGCTGGATCAATTGATTGTCGGATTAAACTGTGGTTGTAAATTTCACCGTTAACGGTCAAAATGTATTCTTTTGATGGATCGTACAAAGGTTGGGAACCTTGAAGTAAATCGACAATGGCCAGTCTTTCATGGGCCAAAACGTCAACTAGTTTTTCACCTTTGGGTCCAATATATGGACGAACATCAATACCTATTGAAAAAGAGAATAACAATTAAATTAGAAAATTTCAATTGATTGGAAATCGATTGAGTTGACTTACCACTCCAATCGGGACCTCGATGTCTATGTTTCTTTGACAATTGAAGGGCAAGTTTCCTTAATGAATCAAATTCTGTTGAAGAAAACAGAATAGCAAGAATACCACACATAATTAGAAAAGAGAGAATAACAATTTACAATTAAAACGAAAAAAATATTCTCATAGACAATTAAATCAGAGAAAATGAAAATCAACTCAAGATCAATCAAATGATTTTCTCAACTGAAATTCTGATATTATGGTAATAACATTTTCCTTTTGTATCCCTACTGGTAAGATAACAATTCAATGCTGATTGGTTAAGGTAATCAAATGGTCAGTGGAATAATTAACCATGATTAGAAAACATGATTAACAAATCTAATAAAATCTAATTAATCAAAGAGGCAACTTGATAATCCCTTTTACAATGGATATGAATGTTTACCTTTCAGTGGATCCACTTGATTGTTTAAATCTTTTGTCTAACTTTAATTGTTGCAATTAAATTGGATAGTTGATTAGTGGTTGGAATGCCCTTGAATTGAATCAAGAGATCAGTTTTTTATCACATGAACATCACAATTAATCGTTACCATGATTAACAAATTTATCCAATTAATTATTGAGAAAATGAATTAAACTCATAAGAATGAAAAAACTTTTCATCAACATTGTTGTTACAATGTTGAAGGTTTAGATTTCATTAACAATGGAGATTAATTAACAATTAAATCTTATAACATGACATCATCAGAGATTTTTAGATTATCAGATTTAATTGTTGATAATCAAAATTTACTAAATTTAGAGAGAAAATCAAGAAATTAACTCACATTGATTGTAAGTTTTTCTATGTTCAGAACAAAGGAAACACAATTACTTACCTTTTTTTTTCTTGATTGTTGATTGATCACTTTCCAATTAATTTGATTATCAGGTTTACAAATCTGGTTTTAATCCAGTTTACAATTAATCAATTGAAACTAATCTGAAAACAAGAATTGCAAAAGGAAAACAAAATCAACCTTTAAGAGGGAAAGTCAGTTTTTATTTGGTTTCCATCAGATTGGTTCACTTTTCTTAGTACAATTTTGTCACAATCAACTAATTACAATCTGAATTAAGTTATTTTCAATAATCAAATTGTAATTAAAATAGTATTTTTAATAACAATTTGATTGAAGAGTTAAAATAACCGGTGAAAGTTTCATCAAGTGAAAACCTTATGATTGATGAAAACATCTGATTGAATCTTTGTTGATTGTTACGTTTAAACTGCTGATTGATTATCTTAATTACTTGTCATAAACTTGAATTGATCGTCATCAAAGTTAATTGCTGTTTGTTGATTGTTAATCATAAAAGTAAAATGTCGGTTGTCAATGGTGATTGTTACCTTTTCAATCCAATCGAAATTGAAGATTTGGACTGGACCAATGTCCAAATTGATTGGAAGGACAAACTGGACTCGAATTCATTGATTATTCGACCTCTTAAAATTGATGATTATGGTCGAGGTCACATTAAATTGTTGTCACAATTAACTGTTGTTGGTGATGTTTCTCAACAGGAATATGAAGGTAAGTTTAATTGTAACTCCATCTAAATTGTTACCTTAACCATGAGCTTTATTTTGGTCTTCTCAATTTTCCAGATCGATTCAAATTGATGAAAGAAACCAAACTAATTAAAACTGTGGTAATAGAAGACACTAATTCCAATCTAATTGCTGGCACAGCGACACTTTTATGTGAACCCAAATTCATTCATTCCTGTAGTTGGGTAAGAGTTAAATTGTTTTCTCCAATTGATTAACATTATAATCACTGTTTTTTTCTTTCAAATTTTTCAAATTTAACACAATTAGACTGGTCATGTACAAGATGTTTGCGTTGACAATTCGTACAGGGGAAAAGGATTGGGCAAATTAATTGTTAATTGTCTCAAATTGTTAGCTCAGAAATTAGGAGCTTACAAAGTGGATTTAGATTGTGCTGATGAGAAGATCCGATTTTACAACGGACTAGGATTCAAACAAGAGAGTGGCCGAGCCAATTACCTGGCCCTACGTTTTCCAAATTAAACAAAATCAATTCCATTGCCATTTAATTGTTCACTTTATTTAAATAAATCGGAACAATTGATCACAAATCAAACAAAAAGAATCAAAATTTTCTCTTGTTTTGAATCAAAGTGTTTTCGGTAGACCATAGATGGAGTAACATTCGCAATTCTCTAGAAATGATCTGATTGGTTGATTTATTTTTTCGAAATTGAGTAACCGCCATATGAGTAAGAACGACTTTTATTTCAACAAAGAAAACAAATTTTCACTCATTCTCTTAATTACTGTGAATTATTTTTAATTATTAAGTTTTATTTTTAATCTGTTTGTTATTAACTCTATTCTCAATCATGGAAAATAACAGTTCAATTGAATCATCTTCGGATTCTATTGATGTAACTATTTTTGAAGATTTTTATTGTCTTGATATCACTTTGCCCTTTGTTGCTGAAGATCCTATTCCAACATGTCCAGAGGTCATTTCAACATCAAATCAATTACCATCACCACAATTAAAACCAATGGATTCACCTGTAAAATCAGCTCATGAATTTTTGATGCCTGCTGAACAGACATTTAGTGTATTCTCGTCTAATCAATCGCACCAATTAACCAAGACTCCATCAATTAACAGTAATCCATTGATTGTTTTTTCTCCGGCGGTTGTTTTACAGAAAACTGAATCGGTTGATTTAATTGATTTCAATTTTTCACCGGGAAATGAATCAGTCGAATCAAAAGAGAATCACATAGTAAAACCTAGACCTGAAACTCCAACAGATATGGATAAAACTTTGGTTCTTAAGCAAATATCAGAACGAACAAATCAAAGTCCACTTTATACTCCAGTTACTGCAATGGTTTCCCGATTCAGAAATTTAGCATTAGAAACACCTCTTGCTCTATCAATCAAGAACAAAGCGAAACGCCAACTACTACAACAAACACCGAAAATAAGCAAGGAAACAATACCCATAAATCCAATCGCTGGTCAACATCAAACAAAATTGGAAAAATTGAAACTTGTCTCACCTTTACTCCGTTCCCCGAAATTCAGGCCAGTTTCAACAAGATTTCCCTGCCGAAGTAATTCAAAGGCTACAAATTCGACCATGAAAAAATCTCCCACAGTTTCTCAATATAAAGCGAATCCACCAGTTAATCAAGGTTCTCGAATTCCTGTCTTAAAATTGATTTAATCAAACAACTAACAAGCCAAACGAACGATGAGAAAATTGCAAATGAGGCTAAGAGAATGATTCTATTGTCAACGAGCAATAGAAAAGGATAAAAAAAATCAAAAACAAAAGAATATGAATAATTATTAATGAAGATTGTGGAGAAAAATGAGAGTAATTGTTGACAAATAAAATCCCAAATGAGATTATGCAAAGAATCAACTTCTAAACCGAAGGTCCAGTTAATAATGACCAACATGAAATCTAAACAAAGAAATGGATCAAGTCCTTAATAAGAAGACACTAAATAAAAATAACACAAGTTATTGGATCAAAAAGAGACTATAAAAATAATCGTTTCATCAACTTGCAAACATAAATAACAAGTTAATCAATTGTTCGGATACAATCAACATCACCATCATTGTTCATCAAGTTGCCAACAGAAAAAAAAAGTTAAATGTAATCATTAAAACGATGGCTAATCAAGAAGACCAGTTATATAAATTGAGTGGATCATTTTGACAATCAAGAGGAAGGAAACTTTCAACTAGGAGATTAATCAAGTTGAATCAAATCATCTGATCGTACGAAACGTGTTTAACCGGATTGTCAAATAGCAACACCAAAAGAAGATAATGAAGATGAAAACAGGTGAATAAAGAAAGAGAAAAGGACAATACAAGAAAGAGGATTGGTTGGTTTTCTGATGAACATCATGATGATAATGATGATCTCCTTTTCTTCCGGCATCAAATGTATGAAAAAGGTTAATTTCATCAAGTCAATCTAATTTCAATTGATGGGAACATCAAATCTATTATTCAATATTTTCCATCAATTTTGTTGATTGAACACATAATCAATTTGATTTATCGTTCGTTATTTACTATTACATGTGAAGAAAATGAAAACATCAACAAATTTTGGTAAAATTGATAAAATTATTTTTCTTTACTAATAGTTGTAGATATAATAATATATATTCCAAGGCGAACAATTCGTTGATGGTTCGAAGTTTTCTTTTTCTCTCTCTCTTTTACTTCTTCTCTCTCATCAATAGAATGTAAATATAAATATATTCTTTTGTTTTTCTCATTCCATTCATGTCTTGATTTGTTTGTTCTTTTTTCTTCTCTTCGGAGATTTTATAGATTCTCTTGTCAATTTTTAACGACAGTTATTTTTTTTTTCCTTTTTTTTGAAGATCACAGATAAACTTATTTGTTGTTATTTCATCGGATGATTGGAGAGACACAGAGAGCAAAGATGAAGAAGAAGAAGAAGACAAGAAGAAGAAACAAAAAAAGAGAGAGAAAGACAGAGAAGACAAAGAAACAAAAACAAAAATATAATAGTTAATATATCATTAAAATGACATTGATAATCATTGATTAACTTTCATTTCGTTTGAAATCAACAGCAACTCTATTCAGAATTAATTGGAATATCTGATAAGTAAAATGGTTAATTGTTTCATCAACATCAATTGGTGAGATAATTATTATATAGTTTCGAGGAAATAATAATAATATTGGAAAAAAAACGCTCAAGATGTTTGACCAGAATTTAAAAAGAAAAGAAAGAAAAAGAATAAGGAATTAAGTCTAAATCTTGATTGTTGATGGTTGATGATCAAATTAATACTGTACTTAACATGAAGAGTTAATTGTTGATATCAAATTGTGTAAGTTAATCAAGTGACCAATGAAGTGTATGTGTGTGTGTGTGTTTATATGGTATGTGTCAAGGAAGAGCTTCCGGTTTTGCTCAAAGAAAAACTTTTCCATTTCTCTTTGTCGAGTGTTAGAGATGCAGATGATTTAGTAATTGTTCTTGTTCAGCAGTGATTAGTTGATTTACCATCCAAACAAACAAAAAAAGTGGCCAATTAAATCAAGTTAATAGAGAAGATTGTGATTGTGTGTGTATATTGTTTGAATATTATGTGTGAATCCGAGCGAATAGTGACATTTTCCTCTCAATTTTTGCTTTTTTTCTCTGAAAAATCTTGATAATTTCCACTCATTCCCACCGTCATTTGTTCCTCCTCGTGGCGAATATATACACACACACCCTGATTCATCTTCTTCGTTTTCTTCATCTATCTGCTTATTTCTTTATACAGTCGTGGATAATTTCCTCAGCCTATCAACCTCAATTTCCAATGTGGCCATATTTTTCCGCGCTTCAGCGACTTGATTGATTAAGTCTCTAACTACAGATCCGTAGGACTCCTTTACCGTCTCAACCATGTCTGTCAGTTCATTTACCTAATAAAAAAAAGGAAGATGAAAAAAGTAAAAGAAAAGATTAGTAAATAGTATTAATACAATAATAAGTGTGAGCAAAGGTAAAGGTAAGTGAGTGGGGAAGAAGAAAATACAAGAGTAAATTTTGATCATCTTCTCTAATCAGAAGAAGAAAAAAATCTCAAAAAGTCAAGGAAATTTCTTTGAAAGTTTTTCTACTCAATCAAAGAGTATGAAACCTTTTCCACTTTCTTACTAGAGAAGATGAAAAATCATCAAGATCATCATCTTCGATTGACTATTGGATGAAACACCGATTTAAGATGCTAACTGAAGCCATTGTAATGAGCTGTCAACAAGGTTTACTTTATATTATCTGAAACTCTCTCTCTCTCTCTCAATCTACTTTATCCCCTGATGGATCTTGTTAATTTTTGAAAAGTTGTTGCTCCTCTTTTTTGACAAGACAAAAGGAGCTTAAGTGTTGCTATTGAGCTGAAAAAACACCATCATCATTAACGTCATTCAAGTATTATTAATAATTAGGGATCATGATATATTTGGGAAAAGGTTTAATTATTAGTTTGAGGGAAAAGGCAAACTTTCTGGAAGATATTAAATATGAGAAATTAATTACCTTTTTAACTAGATCCTCGTAGTCTCTTCGAGGTACCATGGATTTTTTCAAATTATTCAATTCTACTTGAATATCGGAAAAATCAGAGACGCCCTTGTTCAATGGAGATAAACTAAAATCACCAGATTTATTACTAATATTAGAGATACTCAGGCTTTTGGGTGGAGTGGAAGATAAAATTGATCCTGAAGAGGAAGAGGAAACTATTGCTGATGATATTGTTGTTGGTATTGTTGTTGTAGTTGCTGTAACGGCAGAGATTGTGGTGGTTACTATACTTGTAGCACTTGGTTTTGCTGCTTTCAAAGGTTTACCAGAAAGTAGTGAGTTTATAGTTGATGGTGATGAAGGTGTTGTTATCGTTGTGGTTGTAGACACTGGAGATGAGTTTGTTTCAGTAATTTCAACTGGAAGTGAAATTGATCGAGATGGATTGGATTTAGTAGGAGATAAAGGTGTCACTTGATTGGCACCCCCGAGGGTTTCCTCTCCGCCGAGGACAGAAGTGGTGTTATCACTGTTTTTGATTCGCCTTTCAGCTTGACTCCTTTTCAACTCCTTCATCCAGGGTGGAATTGCTGGAACCTTCTCTTTCTCTGTCAAATCATTAGTTGACCCTGTTGTAGTTGCTGTTGTTGTGGGTGAAGTTGTTGTTGGATTACTGGCTGGTGTGCTACTTAAGGAGGATAATGTTGCCGAAGAGTGAATCTTGCTCTCTGATTTTGGTTCATCAAAAAGATCCAAATCATTATCGTTATCATCTTCTTTAGTTAAAACAATCATTGAAGGTGGCCTACGATTAGGTCCTTTTACCCGGTTAGCGGTTGGATGATTTAATCTTCTGGTACTGTCTAATGATCCAAGAATTATTTCATTCTCGTTGATTATTGAGCTAATCCTTTCATCAGGCATTGATTTACTTTCTTTGCTACAATTACCACTAGAATCTAATTTATTTGTTGCTGTATCATTAGAAGTTACAACATCAGGTTTGGATCCACCAAGTACACTTGATTTAATCAAACTGGTTACAGGAAGTATCGATATTGAACCAGGAGGAGCTCGAAACTTGGGCTTTTTACTTGGAACAACGGGTGAGATGAAACTCAAATTTTCTTCCTCCATTGAGTTGGTGAGAGAAGATGTCAATGGGTTTATGGCGCTTGTCAGTGTTGAGCTATTACTGTTATTGGTACTACCACAAGTACTATTAGTATTTGTTGTGCTGTTTGTGATGGCGGTGGTGATTGTTGTTGTTGATGGCGTTTGTTGGGTACTTTTAAGATTATTATTGTTCCTCACAACCTCGCTGATGTTTAATTTAGTTTGAGAACCGGTTGGATTGGTTGAACCAATTCCGCCTCCTGGTGATCCAATACAAGAGGGAGGTGGTGGCTTCTCGTTTAATCTTTCAGGTTTTTTTGTCCTCAGTGGTAAAATAACTTCATCCATTGGTGCTGTTTTAATAACCTCAATATAATTGTCCGGAAAAACACCGATTTTACCATTAAGCTCCCCTTTCCACCAGCCTTCGTCTTCCACACCTTTACTTAAAATAATGATAATGTCTCCCTTTCTAATTGTCAGTTCATCATCATTCTGAGCTTTATAATCATAAATAGCTCTTGCTTGCTCCCGTTTAGGTTTAGGTGGTAACCTTGGTGCACTAATATCTCCTCCGGCATCTTGTGTTGAAGGTGCTTGTGGTGGTGGTTTCTTAGGCGGAGGCTTAGATTTATCAACTGGTCGAAGTGAACCTTTCAAATTTGTACCTGTAATTGTTGCAGTTGATTTGGAAAAGGAATAAGAAAATAAAAGAAATACAATTAGAATAAGAATAACATTGAAACAAAGTAATAGAAAAACATTAATAAAGTTCAGATCCATGAAGAAGTAATCAAATCAGCAGGAATTTCAGAAAAAAAGAGGAACCGAAAACATTTAGACAAAAATATAACAATAACAGTAATTGTAACAATTTAAAGGAATTAACAACGTGTTGGAATTAATGATTAAATCGTGTTCAAGTCTTTTTTTCCCATTTAGTTTAATAGGAAAACTCACTTTTCGATTTAGATTTTCTCATCTTGTTTAATCAACACAATTCTGTTATTTGAACTTTTTTTAGAATATTTTTTGTATTTTCTCTTTGTTACTTAATCTTCCACTCAATTACAAACTTTGAATATTAATTGTTAAAGAGAAACTTGAAACATTTAAAGAGACACACTAAAAGTTAACAAAGTGTTAAATTGAGTGAAAAACGAGAAACTAATTAACTATGTGAGTAACGGTAAATTGTAACAATAGAAGGTGATGACGAGGAAATAATCAACAATTAGATGAACAAACTAACTTTGTTTATAATAAAATGGATCCATAACTAGTAATAAATGAGATGATAGAGATCACATGTAAACAATTATATATAAAGTGACTTTTTTAGGCAGTTAAAGGGTTTGATTATAATTAAAACGAGCACAAAGATTAACAGAAAAATAATAAAACAGTTAATTAATTAGATTGATTGGTAATTGAGGTGTGTAATAGATGAAATGGTTAACAAGATAGAGTTGATGGTGATGATAATGAAAGATGAGAGATGAGAGATGATGAGGCTTATTGTCACAGTGGATTCCATGGGTATTTAATCAACATTTAGCAATAGTACTATTAAAAATTGATTAGATAGAATCGAGAGTTAAGTGTGAATCAGAAGAATTAAAAACATAACTAAACTTGATAAATTTAAGTAGATAATAAATAAAAGTGATTCTATTTGATTGGAACAACTATTCAAGTGGCTTTAGTGTTTAACCTTATTTGGAGATTGTGAATGTGTGTGTATTATTGGAATTGGAGAGAGGAGAGAGAGAAGGCAAGGACGATGTAAAAGGATAGAAAGAGAGGAGAGAGAGAGAGAGAGAGAGAGAGAGAGAGAAAGAAGATAAAAGATGAGAGAGGAGAGAAAAGTAGACAAGGGAAAAGAGAGAATAACCAAACACAGAGATGAGAAAATTATGAAATGAGAATGAGAATGAAAACTTGAAAATGAGAGTAGAATGAGAACTGAGAATGATGATGATTATTGAGGCACAAAAGTAAATTAGAACAATTTGATATAAATTATTATTAGGTAAGCATAATAATTATTGAGAGAGTTGTATGAGTTGTGTGAGAATCAAACAATAGTAAACAAATGTAGTGATATATATGAAATAAATGTAATGGTGAGTAGACTTAATCTACACATCAATAAACAAGGGAATCAAATGGTTCATTTCATGGCAACATTAACAATGTATCTACCTGATTGGTCAATACAATCAACAGAACAACTAAAGTTTGTAAACCTTTTTTTTATATTACATTAACAGCATCAGTGTTCATCCTTTTCTGGCTCTCTCCCTCTCTCATTTACTTTTGTTCATCATCATCATCATCATCATTTCCTTTCACAACTGACACTAACCCATTAGATAGGTAAGCATTAGTGATTACTGTGAGTATGTGGTTACCTGAGATAAGATTAACGACTGAGAATGATTAACAAGTATTCAAATGTAATCATCTTTGTTGTTTAAAAACCGATATCAGTAAATAACTTTGTCTCGTTTACCACAATTTACATTGTTGGAATAATGATTTCATCAGCATTTCAGAGGTTAACTTTAGGCTTAACTATCATTCAGCTAAATCAGATATGATAAATATTATCGGTATTTTCTGTGTTGTTCATATTTACACAATAAAAAATATTCACAAGTATTAAAAATATCAAGTCAACATTTTGATGATGTAACATTAATGCTGATTAATTTTAATCAAACGGAAACAGATTTTCATTTTTTTTTCTTTCCTTCTTATATATATATCCTGAGGATGAATTCAACTGGGATGAGCAAACTTGGGACACACATCAAGAAGAAAAAAAACAACAAAACTCTTTAAATGGAAAGAGAATAAAGAGAAAAGATGAGTTTTCCAACTTCTAATGTGAGATTTGGACAAAATTTTCTAGAAGAAGCACAAATAGAATATGAATAATAGACTTACCATTATCTGATCCTTGGACATTGTCCGACATAATGGTTATGTGAATGAGAAAAAGAGACAACCAAGAATAATAAAAAATGAGCAGGTAGTTGAAAGGTAGAGATGAAAAAAAGAGGCTTTTACTTGGTTCTACCTGGAGAGAGAAAAAGAGAGAAAGAGAAAAAGGAAAAAAAGAAAGATGATTGGAATGTTAAAGTTGGTTCTCCGCTGGAAATTGGTTACTTATTTGTTCTATTCGATTTAAGAATATTGGTCTAGATTGTTGTGTAATAGAAGAATTAATTATCTTCTAAATTAATCACAATTAAAGGGAATTAAATAGGGAGAGAGACAAAGATAAACAACAGAATATTTAACATCTTTATCCATCAAGTCGACGCCTCTATCAATAGAAAAATAGAATTTAAGTTTCTCCTTTTTTCGCGAGATGGTGACACTTACGTTTTTACTTTTTTCTAAAATCTCACAATTCAAACTCTTTTATTTATTTTTAAAACGAAATTAATTTAATTGTTTTGATTTGTTCTTTTTTTTAATTCTTTAATTGTTATTCTTTTGATTTCTATTAAATTATGATTATTCTCAGGTTTTACTCATGGGCATCTGACGGTTACAACTAGAAATTGAATATCAATAAGGTAAGATGATTTTTAGTGATTTGTTATTTTCTCTTTGTGTTTTTATTATCAATATGTAATAGTTAATTGTATTGATTGATTGATTGTCACACTTGTTGAGATAATTATGTTTTCTTATTGTAACAATTATGGTTAATATTTACATCTCTTTGTTGATTATACTAGGATTTGGAATCGCCATGAGTCTTGTGGGTATGGTATTTAATCTGATATGACAACAATTATTTTCTTTTCCTTTGTTCATCACAATTTTAAAGGGTAAGTTCATCGTCATTACCAACAATTAGTGTTTCACTTTAAATTGTTACTAATTATTTAGATCCTTTAGTTTTGTACCTTTTTGTTAATTCTCTTTCTTTCTCTCTTTCAGGCTAATGATCTTAAATTCCGTCTAGCCTGTGCCCACACCCAATGGATTTGATTACTCACGACGGGTTGATCACTTTACTAAACTTAGTAATTAGTGGACTCTTCAACTATCACCAATTAACTTAATATGGAGACTATATCAATATCAATCAGTCAATTAAAAGCTTAATGAAAACAGTTTAAGTTTTACATTAAGATCAAATTGTTCATGGTATGAATTTCAACCGATCAAAAACCTGAACTTTAATCCTATGGACTTGATGATCATAATCCTGGTTAATGAAATTGAACAAAATTCAAATCATTACCAGAAAAAAATAAAACAAATCAAGTAATGTGCAAAAAGTTGATTAACTAATTAAAACTCTTATATTTTTTATCAACAGGTTGAACAATTAAATACAGAATAAATCAAATGGCTTAATTGAATTGGTTCCTTATGAAATGATGAGAAAAGTTAATCAGTGAAAGTGGATAGATGTATCATCTTTAACGAACCAAATCAACCCACCAGATATTGACTAAATTGGTTCAATTTCCCACAGTTAATTGTCTCACAAATTCATTTAAATAACTCAAATGATATCATGAAAGTACATCAACATGGTTAAGAGTTCATTGGTCTACAACGGAACAATCAATTAATTACATTTTAAAGTATCAATATCATAAAAGATGATACATAAAAATGGAATCAACAACATGATGATGATGATGATTTAATCATTATCTATCTAATTTAATTCATGTAAATCTATAATAATATCCTAATAGTATTATTGGCATGATAATGAAGTTAAACTCATTGGAATACAAATTTGACTTATAATGAGGAGATCCATAAAATTTTTACGACAATTCAACTTCGTAATGAGGAAAAAGCCTTTGGACTTTTATCGTTTATGGGTTCATGTTACACAGTTTGATTTACATGAAAAGAGAATCGGCTTAGCCCATATTGGCCATCAAAGTCTTAAATTGTATTTTAGTTCATATAAACAATACATTTAAAGGTCAAAAATTAAATTATACAATTTGAGGAAAATATAAATTTGATTGAGCGATTGATCTCATTTCTTGACGATGCATTCGTTTTCGAACCAAGGACTACTACGACTTTCGGTAACCTGCCAGTTCAATGTTTCAGGTCGATAAGTGTGTCGATTGCTCCATTCTTGGCAACTAGTGTCCCAAAACTATCAAATTAGGGAAAGAATAGAAAATAATCAATAATAAATAATTCAATGGATTAAAGGATTAGATTTTAAATTTACCTGGAACCAGGGTTGAACTGAGACATTCATTGGTTGGTGAGCGTTTCGAGCCGTTAAACAAAACCCAGGTTTAGGTCTAAATTGTAGATCTGATTGGTAATTAAAGTCACCACCGATATCGATTCCTCCTCGCAACAGTAAAATCGTTCCTGAGGTCTCTCCAGCGACTCTTAATTGTGCACCAGGTTTAATTAGAAGCTCATCTTCAGTCTCCGTTGATGATTTTTCAGATCGCTTTTTATCATCACTTCGCAAGTCACAATTTGACTTAAAATGGTCAAAAGCCAATTCACCGTTAAATCGTAATCCAAGGCCAAGTCGAACCACCCAAACATTGAAATCATACAATGGCACATAAGCGGTATAACGATAAGGTTCAAGTGGCCTTGGGTCACAAGACTCACGTTGTGAGTCCAAGAGCGTTTGACCAAATAGACTAACATAAGCTCGACTCATGTTCCGCTTTGCATACAAGTACATTCCACCAACGTCGACATTTTTACCAAGCACATGAGAGGATAAACCAAAATTGGCCGTTAATTTATAATCAGGGTTCTCTCTCCCATCTAGAATATCATTGATAATATCTAAGGGAGAAAATATTATTAATAGAAATTTCAAATAATAAGAAAGAAGATAGAATTAGCTAATTACCAGCTCTTAGAATCGCTTGAACTTGTTTAGGCCCAAAAGCTTTAGTAGCTGAACACTTTCGCCGTTGAACATAATTATGAGATGACGATGATTCTGACCTTGATTTCTTTGCCTTTTTATTACCATCAGAGACCATTGGGAAATCTGGTGATTGAGTCGAAGATGAAGTCGGTGAATAGTCAGTGCAAGTAGAATCGTCCCAGAAACCCTTATCAGCTGATCTTCGTTGTCTCAGGATCGGCTGGGTTTCTTCAATTTTTAATATTCTGCTCAACGCCTCTTTGACACAATCGTCAGCTGAATTATTAGAGCTTAAAATTGATTCATTCAAATCGCCAATTTCTGGAATTGTTACTGAAGGATTGGAAAATTTAAATTGCTGCTTTTGTTGAGATCCATTGGTTGTGATGAGTTTCGATGAAAAAAGAGTTGAAATTATCTCCTTACGAATTGAACAATCGACAGATGAATTTTTAACTAATGTTGTTAGAAATTCAATAACTTGAGGTTGATTGGTCATCTTTCGAAGACCATGAATAATTCCGATTGTCGCTGATTCGGATGATGAACATTGTCCAATTGAAAGGTCAATCAAACGCTGGACAAAAGATTCACCACCAAGGTTTCCAATTGCTTCGAGAATGTCCAAAGTGTACAAGGAATCACATTTAATCGAAGTAGTCCCATCGAGCTCTTTCATCAACAATTTAGCGACAGATTTTTTCAATCCAACATTTTCCGACTTGTAAGTTAAACTGCTGATTGTCATTAACATTGATCCTTTAGCTGATTCAGTTGCTGGCGTGGTTGTTGTCTTGAGAAATTGTTTGATTAGACTTTGTATTAGCTCGTCAGATGGATGATCAACTCGGCTTAGAATGGCTGAAGTACCAGCGGGATCGTATAAAAATGATTCGGTGACGATTTGAATTGCAGCCGGTGAACCAGCAATCGTCGAGATTACCAATAAGTCGTGGCATTTGGTTAAATTTAATTCACTTCCAATAGAACCACAATTTGTTTCAAGTTTTTGTCGATTTACGGTTAACCGGATCATGGTGGATAACGAGGATCCATCGGTTTCAGCGAGTTTCAATTTAGATTCAATTTGAAGAGCAGAGATCAATAGATCAAAATCTACAATTAATGTATTAATACAATTAAGAAAAACCAAATTAATCATTCAAAATCTAAGTCAACAAGTTAAAAACTTACCTGGATGCCGATAATCAGAGTCTTTGGTAAAGTCAAGGGACTGTTGGGACAAAGCGATTTGGCTTATTAACCCTTGAAGACGAGCCAATTTATCCTGATTTTCTGTATCTGTAAACAATTAAAATCGAGATGAGAAAATAATTCTAAACGAATAGACAATTTCTTTTTTTAATTCTCAAGTTAATCACTTACCTGGTGATGAAGTAGCAACAAGAGAGTCTGAGACTAGATCAAGATCGGCTTCGGCTTTTCTCAATTTAGAAAATCTCTCATTAATATCTCGTTTATTCCTTTGATTAGGACGTGACTGTGAAAGAAAATTAACAAATCATCATGACAATTAACTCTTATTAACCTCTTTTCGACTCACATTCATTGTATAAGCTGTTAAAACCTTCATGTAACCATCAAGTTCATCATCATTACCATAAGAGGCTCGTTTACGTCTTCGCCTTATACTTGATTAGGAAAATTAGATTAAAGTTGAAGAAAAATTAATTTTTAATCACAATTAAGGTTAAAGCCAAAGAGTAGATTTACACTCTTCGGTTAAAACTGAACTCACTCTGGATCCATTGGTCTTGTTAAATCAACAGAGATTAAACCAGCTGATGAAGATATTAATAGATAGAGATCAACGTTAAATTAAATTCTAATCACTTAAATGTGAATTAAAGAGTGTCAAAAGTGATTAATTACCTGTTTCTGTCAATCGACCTTTGACAATTTCTTGTACTTGACGAATCGATATGTTTACCTGATCAGGATCATGGATTAAAACTGATCCACTTCCGACTTTAATAACATCGTCTCTCGTAATCGCCCTGATGACCTGAACCTTTTTATTGGAACCATTTGATTGTGATTGATCATTTTCATTAATCTCTTCCTTTCCTATTAATCGCGTATAATGTTGGGTAACCGGCGACTGAAAGTGTCTCTTCAATCGGCTGATCGGGTGATACTTCGTGGTACTCGTAATGGGAAATATGTTCACCAATGGGACTTTTTTCAACGCTTGATTTTCTGTTTCTCGATAATTGTGTCGCAAAAGTATCGACTATGTGTTTCTTAAAGTTCTTAACAGCTTCATTCGTTTCCTGTTTACTCAATCGTATCTCAGGAATTTGACCTTCAGGTAATTGAATGAATTCAAATGGTAATTCAATTTTCTCATCCAACAAATGATCAACGCCATTACTGTTTGTTGATCTCTTTGGTCGATTCGTTGAACTTGGGGTCGACGTTGTTGTTGCATCTTTCGAACTAGTGAGTGCACATCCTCGACCTTCCAGGTCAAGTTCTATTTTATCTTCTAATCGTTTCTCCAATGATTTTCGAAGAAATCGAGTGAAAAATGATTTTATCTTCTCCCAAGAGTTCGCAACCCAATCGGACATTTCACTTCGTTTCTCCCGTCTTCGAACGATCTTTCCCATTTCAGATCGATGGCCCAAATTAATTACCTTTCTAATAAATTTATTAATCATAAGTAAATCATATTAATTGAGCATCAAACCAGGAAAAATTATCAATCACTAGGTCCAAGGAACTTAATTGTTGATTCAATGATTGTGCATTGTCAATTATTCAGTTGAAGCCAATGAACTTTTTCAATTAATTAACACAATAATTAGCGAAATCATTTAGTTTATCAATCTATACAACAATCAACTCAAAGGTGAATTAATCATTAAGGTGTGAGAATAACGAGAAACAATTGATTTCAATTGTTAGAGACAAGATAATCAAATCGACTTGTGACAATTTATGTGGGCTTAAATGTGATTTAACCTCGATCAATGACCCAAACTGATTGTATCAACGTGTAACAATTAAATTGCTACTAGATTATGAAACTACACTGTATTATATACACTGTATTAATAATATTAATAATATTAATGCAAATATTATAATATAATAATAAATATTTACATTGACCATTGACATTGATATTCAAGGCTTTCAGACTCATTGAATTTATATGGGTAATTGTTAACAATTATCCTGATATTTATGCTTTTTAGTCAATTGATTAACTTACCCGTCTCTTTTAAGATCAGTTTTAACATTTGAAATTTGAACCATATATTTGAGTGCACCCGTTTTATTATCGCGACCCATACAGTCAATGTCAACCAAGGCCGAAACGGCGATCAGCTCTTCCATAGGTCCCCATAGGTTTGTTTCACTTGAATATTTGAAGCTTTGACTTTCACCTTCCTATGGGAATAAAGCAATTAACTTAATTGTGGTTACCAAATGTTTCCCATTCTCAGCCACAAATCAAATCATCATTGTACTTGAGCGAACCATTAATTTGGATTTGATTCAACATGATCATGAGAGTTCAGGTAAACATGAATTTATCTCTATGGTTGAATCATAATTCCAATGATTTAAATGAACAAATCATAATTATATAGATTATCAATACCTCAAGGTTTTTACATCATTCTAAATTGTGGTGATTCTAATTGCTGGTTAAATTGTTAACCCAGACATCGATTAAATTGTTTTGATTACCTAATCTCTATTGAATCAATAAACTAACTTAATTGTTACTTGAATCTACGTTGATTGTGAAAATTTCCCATTGACATTCAATAAAATTTTAATTATTCAATGACAATTATAATTGTTTTCTAGTAAATTAACTTGATCAGCCCTTAGTAAATTGTTCATGCATTTATATATATGACAATTTAAATTGTAATTAGCAAACAATTAACGACAATAACATCAACTGGGTTTTTTTTCATAGTAAACATTTTTTTTTGTTGAAAACTTATTACAATTAACGGTTGACAATGGACAGATTGTTAATTGTTGTCATCATTATGAAATGATTAAGGTCTAGTTAAAAGTGGATATCTCGGCAATTAAACTAAATTAACTTGATAACCTTGACTTTGGAATTGAATTAACCTTGAAAATTATTGGGTTTACAAATTAAATCAATATTCAATGTTACCTAATGAATTTAAATGACAATTGATTTATAACCAATAATATAAGGCAAAGTTTATTGATTAATAATAATCAAATTGTAGTAACGTTAATATTATTGATTTAAAGACGATTGTGAATCAAATTGGCAACAATTTAAATCGGATCACTGAAAAACTTTTAATTGTAACGATTTATGGTTGATCAAGTATTCAGGTGAAATTGAATTAAAATCAAGCATAAGAAAATCAGTAACAAGTGACAACAATTAACTTACATTCACAAGGTTGTCAACAATGTTACAAGAAAATAATTAAGAAATGAAATTATCAATGAAATTAACAATCAACAAAAAAAAAGTAAATCAACTTACTTGACAATCAAGTTTAGCCAAAGTATTTTGATTAGTATCACAATTAATCAACACTGTTGTTGACAAAAATATGATTAATAAATAACTGAAACTGTTGATTGTATCCATATTGTTGAATATATCGTATTGGCACAATCAGTTAATTGTTGTTAAAAATAAAATGATGTTACTTGGTGGTAATGATTCAGTTCACATAATCAAAGTTTACAAATAATATTTGGGTTAGAAAATTAAATTGTTACTGATTGAAGATTTTGCCCTGAGACCTGGAAACCGGTAAAGATCAAGTTAATTATAATAATTGTAATCAGTCCTGGTAACCTGTTTATGTCAACTGATTAACTAAATTGCTGCCCACTCATAACAATCAATCAATAATTCACATACAAAGGTAACTCTTTTTTTCACAATAGTAAACGTTCAACTCCAATCTTTATATTTATATATTAAATCATTCACGGATCTCACTCTCTCACTCTCTCATCATCTGATTATCATCATTGTCCACTGAATTGAATGGAATTGAATTGAATTTACTCAGTGGGTGATTAAGGTGAGCGAGGGAATTGGGAGTGGAAGTGGAAGTGGGAGGGAAAAGGAAAACGATTACGCCTTTTTACCGATAACTATTAATTTATATTCTTTTACCTGATTGTTGTTTTTTTCTTCTTCTAATTGTAATCAATTTAATCATCTACAATTCTCTGATTGTTACCAATCTTTCCCTCTCAATGGATTAACCATGATAATCATTTAATTCTTGGAATCAGTTTTTTTTTCTCGTTGTGTTTGTTGACATTTCATCTTTTCAAAATTAATTGTTTACATTCAGTTCGAGTCTATTATTGTTATTTTATCATCTCAAAGTTAATTGTTATTATACATGTATTACAATGATAACTTTCCAACTGCATATTTGATTTAGTTGTGATTTTGCTAATTCTTGGAAGTTAACAGTTGATTCAATTTTTCTCATTCAAATTGTTTCGATTTGAGAATTGAAACTTTTGTTTTCTAAATAATGGTTTCGATTACAAGTTAAATTGCTCATCGTACTTACTGTACAATTAGATTTATAATCAAGTTTTAAAATGAATTTGATTTACAGTTAATTAACAATGATAAATAAAATTTGTTTATTTTCATGATAAACTGGATTTAGTTTGAGTTTTCCAGGAATCAAATTTTGAAAGTTCAATCATAAATTAAGGTGGGATGAGTTGATTTAAAAAAAGCAAATCATGATTAGTGAGATGAGAGTTAATTATTGTTGATGATCATGATTTAAATTATACATGAAATGATAACAAGACAATTTGTTATCATCAATGTTATCAATTTAATTTGTACATCGGCTAATTAAATTGTCGCAATTAATTTTGTTTATTATTATTGTTGTTGTCGGAAGTTCTTGGCATTAAAATATCAAATAATTTTTGTGGTTTATCTTTGATGAAACTTGCAAGTAAAGAAACTGTTGAGTTAATTGTTCCTGTTGATTCATTAATTGTGGTACCGTTGTAATTACCGGAAGGAGAATCACCATTATTAACTAAGGGTAAATTGTTGTTGTTGTTGGTGTTAATTGCTTCGGGAGTTAATTCAATACCAGTTGATACTGGTAATTTGTTTGCCTTTGAGATAATTATTTTACTTTTAATTGAGTTCAATGGATTTAACTGTTTTTGACCTTTCATGGGAAACTGTTGACCATTTCCGTTTTCTGTCCCTGTCCGTCGGTGAATATAACCTGCTGGTGGACGAACGGCAACTTGGTGAATTTCAGATGATGAAGTTATCATTGGACCAGGTCCAGTTATCTGATGAGGAGATGATGATGCACCTGAAAGATGATGAGGCTGAGGGTGTTGTTGATGGTGACCAATTGATGGCTGAGATGATCGACCTGGTGGTGGCCAAATTGGATGTTCAGGTGGGAATCGGCCAACGGGTGGATCAGGAAGAGGTGGAACTGGAAGTGGGGAAATTGGTGATTCATAGAAGGCCAACATTACAATCGCACCGACGGCAAGTGATCCCATGTACATGAGAGCGGTAAATGGTGTACTTATCGATCCTCGAAGGGAAGAGAAAGCTTAAGAATAGATTGATTAAAGGAGAGAAAATAAGTTAATATCTTAAGTTGATCATGAGAAATTAGATCATTTTCAAGAAACAAACACTCACTTCGACCAAGATCAACTCCTCGAGCTTTGAAGATGAAATCTTTGATTCCTTGGATAGAGAAAGTATTTGAAGAAATTGAAGTTTCATTAACTTTCGTTGGTGATGAATCGATTACTGAAATTGATTTCGATGATTCTGAAGGTGGTGGAGATGATGATGTTAAATCAGATGAGGAAGATGATGAGGATGTTGTTGAGACGGATAAAACATGGCTTTGGCTTAAAAGAATCACAGTAATCCAGAAAAATGACGTTCTCTTAATTGTCCACAACATTTTGTCCAAATTGTTGATGGATCAATATTACAAACCGTTATAATGTTGATTCCTTTAACTGAACCAGAGTGAAGAAGTTTTTTCAAAAATAAACGATAATCATGAAGTGATTAACCAAATGAACGAAACCAACAAGATTAAGGATGAAAATAGAAATGAAATGAAGAAGAGAAGAAAAAAAGAAGAGAGAGAGAATAGTTAATAGAATGGAAGATGAATGATGAAAAGGAAGACAAAAGGTTGTGTGTCACTTACAATTGTTGATCGACAATAATAATAATCAAATTGGAACTAAATTCAAGGATTGAGATGGTTTGTTGGTCCACAATCAAGCAACCATTACTAACAATCAGCTCTGTGAATCAAGTATATTTAGGAGAGAGGGCCAACTATTAAGATGATCAGCTTTCTCATCATCCTTATCATCTTTCTCTCTCCCCTCTTGCCCATCTCAGAATTAACGGAACCGTTATAACATGAAAACTTGATTCCGGTCTTTAGCTTTGGTCTTCAGATGGACTTGACCTGAATCGCCTCATCAATAAAAAAATAGAATTTAAGTTTCTCCTTCTTTTCGCTAGATGGTGACACTTACGCATTTTCAAAATCTCGTTAAAACAATTCAAACTCTTTTATTTATTTTTAAAACGAAATTAATTTAATTGTTTTGATTTGTTCTTTTTTATTCTTTAATTGTTATTCTTTTGATTTCTGTTAAATTATGGTTCTCAGGTTTTACTTATGGGCATCTGACGGTTACAACTAGAAATTGAATATCAATAAGGTAAGATGATTTTTAGTGATTTGTTATTTTCTCTTTGTGTTTCTATTATCAATATGTAATAGTTAATTGTATTGATTGATTGATTGTCACACTTGTTGAGATAATTATGTTTTCTTATTGTAACAATTATGGTTAATATTTACATCTTTTTGTTGATTATACTAGGATTTGGAATCGCCATGAGTCTTACGGGTATGGTATTTAATCTGATATGACAACAATTATTTTCTTTTCCTTTGTTCATCTCAATTTTAAAGGGTAAGTTCATCGTCATTACCAACAATTAGTGTTTCACTTTAAATTGTTACTAATTATTTAGATCCTTTAGTTTTGTACCTTTTTGTTAATTCTCTTTCTTTCTCTCTTTCAGGCTAATGATCTTAAATTCCGTCTAGCCTGTGCCCACACCCAATGGAGACTATATCAATATCAATTAGTCAATTAAATGCTTAATGAAAACAGTTTAAGTTTTACATTAAGATCAAATTGTTCATGGTATGAATTTCAACCGATCAAAAACCTGAACTTTAATCCTATGGACTTGATGATCATAATCCTGGTTAATGAAATTGAACAGAATTCAAATCGTTACCAGAAAAAAATAAAACAAATCAAGTAATTTGCAAAAAGTGGATTAACTAATTAAAACTCTTATATTTTATATTTATTTTTATCAACAGGTTGAACAATTAAATACAGAATAAATCAAATGGCTTAATTGAATCGGTTCATTATGAAATGATGAGAAAAGTTAATCAGTGAAAGTGGATAGATGTATCATCTTTAACGAACCAAATCAACCCACCAGATATTGACTAAATTGGTTCAATTTCCCACAGTTAATTGTCTCACAAATTCATCTAAATAATTCAAATGATATCATGAAAGTACATCAACATGGTTAAGAGTTCATTGGCCTACAACGGAACAATCAATTAATTACATTTTAAAGTATCAATATCATAAAAGATGATACATAAAAATGGAATCAACAACATGATGATGATGATGATTTAATCATTATCTATCTAATTTAATTCATGTAAATCTATAATAATATCCTAATAATATTATTGGCATGATGAATCAATCGATTTTGTAATAACATTTAATCAACATCAAAGGTCCCAACATTAATTTCAATCAATAATGGTGATGATTGTATTCATTACTTTATTATGATGAAATTTCCTGATAATTTACACAATTTAATGTAAATAAGTTATTATAAGAAAACAGTGAAAATATTATGATTCAGTTAATTGTAATGATGGGGACAAAAAATCTCACGAAACTTTCTAATTGTCACAGTATCAGAATCACAATCAATTAGAATAAGAATCAAAAGCAAAAATAATGTTGACATTTTCTCTTTATTTACAATTAGTTTAATACAATTAACAAATTGTTTTCCTTTTTAATAATGATAACAATTAAAAAGAAAATCAGTAACAAGAGATTAGAAAAACAATTCAATTAACAATTAAAAAGAAAGAAAACTGAATCAATATCATACAAAAGGATAGAAAAAATTTACAAAATTAACCAACAATTAAAAATTTGAATTCGATTACAATTAACTTTTAGATTTAGCTGTTAAATTACTGATCGTCTTCGTAAATGTCGATTGTCAATTAAATCCAGTTCATTGAGAGAATCGTTTTCATTTGAAGTTTCTTCACAAAAGCAAATGAATAAAGTATCAATTGTCATCTAAATTGTTGAGAGAACGAGAAAATTAATCAAGACAATTAGTGAAAGAAAGAAAGGAAATTAAATATATTGATTGTTATGAATTCTGATTAGTGTTAATATTGAAAAAAACGATCATTAAAATTGCCTTTCAAATATCATTGAATTTAGTTTTTTCCGTTTTTCCATTGATTAATTAAATCAATCACAGTTTGATATTAGACTTGTAACAATTAAATGCAACAAAATGATAATTTTATCAATAATTATTTGAAAGTCTTAGTAGCCTAGTTAATTAGATGAATATTAAGTTGATTTATTAATAGAAATTAAAGGAAATGATCTGATTGTGTTTTGTTTTTCATCTAAATTGTTAATGATTATTAGCATTAATTGTAAGCAATTAAATTAATTTAGTCTTACCTCGTACACGGCAAGGAAACAATGAGATATAAAGTAGGCAAAAATGGCAGCAATTATCAAAGGTGACCAAGGATGATTAAGTCTATCAACTTTGTCTTTAGTTAATTCAACACCAACAATTAAAGTTAATGAAATTACAGATAATTTACCAAGTAGAAGGAGAAAATCACCGATTGAGTTAATTGTTGCAATTTTAAGTGTATTAGATGAGAGTATTGAGAAAGCCCTTCTCGCTGAGGTGGAGAATGAACTTCCGTGAATTGCTGTTAATTAATGGAGATGGAAACAAAATTAGAATAAGTGACTAATTAAGGAACAATTAAAACTAACCCATAACAATATAAGCGTTTTTATTAATGTAGATCAAAAGTTTCTCGAATATCCAGAAAAAGAAGCAGCAAAATTTGGACATACAACCGAGCGAATCTTTGGTTCTGTTGGTGCTGATTGGAAAATTAGAACAATTTAGATAGTTTTAAGAATCGAATTCAGTTAATTAGTAACAACTTACAGATTTTCGATCTTTTTGAACAATAATCGAAGTATTTTCATTCCAACAACAAGCAATGATCCGAGAGCAATTGAACCGAGATGATATTTAACTAATTCCATGATACTTCTGAATATTGGATAATTAAGTTTACTTTTGTCTCTGATTGTTGAGTACAAGATTAAAATTAGAAAATAGATTGAATAACAATCAGTTAATTGTGATTATATTACCTTTGGAAAAACCATTTAGCAACTGAACCAGCAATAACATAATGTTGACAAGCAGTTACGAAGTAGATTAGCCAAAGAACCGCGAAAATATTGATCCATTTAACATACTAAAGATATTGGAATATAAATATAAACAGAATTAACATTTACCATGAACAAAATTCTGATAACAATTAACTTGATTAGAATCACGATTGTTAATACTGCATTGAGAAAAGTCTTTGAACCTTAATTATACTTTGAACTTCAACAGAGTGAAAGTTAATTTTCAATATGAAATATTCAAATGATATGAATAGGATTAATTTTGAGATAATCTATTGAAAGATAGAATTGGGATTAGAACTTACTGAATAAAATGTATCAAAACCATAGACCACAAAACCAGAATCAGAATCAACCAGAGGTGAGCGATTAGACAACAGGTAAAGGGTTCCAATGAACCATAAGAATCCAAGACCAGAAAGAATAGTTAAAGTCTAAAGAAAACAATTAACCAATTGGATTAACATTAATTTCGATTAACTAATCACCATTAAACTAACCATAATCGGCTGAAGGAGTAAAAGTGGCATTGAACCGATCGCCTTTCCCGCTTCTTTGAACAATAAGCAAACCAATTGGATGCGTTTTCTCATAACCAAAAGGATAAGTATAAATACAGTCTAAAGGTGATGAGAATTTGAAGGAGAAAAAAAATCAAATTCGAAAATTAAATCATTCTAATTCGATTCAATTGGGTTGTGAACAATCAAGTTGTAGGCAAAGAGTAAAAAAAGAGCAGTGAAGATGAAAAAAGGTGAAGCTCAATGAAAGATTGTCACTAATTTGATATTGATGGTTATACGAATTAACTTTGATTAGATTGTGTTAATCGGTTGGTAATTAATTGAATAGAGTTTTAATTGTTACCGTGAAAATTGTTGCTCCAATTGAGTAGATTAACCATCTTTCCAATTCCTTGTCTGATTCAGATCCCGAGGCGAGAGTTGAATTAGTTGGTGGATTGATTGTCGATCCATTTGATTGTTTCAAGTCTCCCCAGTGAAGCCTAAGAAAATTATACTTGATTAGCTGATTATCTTGTTAACCACTAATCAAATGACACTTACCAAATATTGATTGTTGCCGTAATCGAGGCAAGACTTAACAGAATCAACGTAAACCAGATAATCAAACTCGCCATGAACCGGATTAAAATAACCAAAACCAGAGCAAAAACAAATGAGAGGATGAAAAGGTAAACAAGTTCATTGAAACAAAGAATCACATCCGATGAGATTGAATCAATTAATCCTCTGGTGTAATTAACTGAATTAGCTAATTGTTCCAGGCCCACACGTCGAGGTAAACATCGATTGAATGTTGTTTTACTATGGAACAATTAACAGTTAATTTGATTAGAAGAGAGGGTAAAAAGAATGAGAAAAAAACAGTCAACATGTTAATGATTTTCTTTCAGATTTTGCTAATCAAATTGTTGCGTTTTAATTGTTGCATGTTGATTCTTACATGAATACATCTTCATTACAGTCTTCAACACAGATTCTTCGAGTTGTTCGATTGGTACCAAAGTAAATCAATAGGTAAGGCTTTCGAAACATATCTTGACCTGAGTAAGGGACATTGTCCAATGGTCGATTTCTTTGGCCACAAATATTACCCCAATTATCATAACCATGGAGAATTAAATTTGGATTTGAATGTTTAATTACAATTGCTTCGAATAGTAGATAACCCTATTAGATTGGAAAGGTTAGTTGATTGTTAATCATCTAATTGTTACTTATTACTTACCAAAAATCCAAAGAAAAGGATGAACAATAATAAGAAAAAAATATCGGTCGATTTATGGTCTGAACTTATGGGCTTATTATTATTGGTAAGAGATAATCTTTCTCTTAGAATTGCCTCTCTCAGGTTAATCTGTGATTCTTGTAGATCCTCTGGATTAAAATCCGTTGACGGTGGGTAAAAATAAGCAATCGGTGGGATATAATGTGGACCTAATTTACCGTCAGCAACGGTCAATGGATAATCAGTTGATCGAGTAAGATTAGGTTGCCATTTAGGACTAATTGGTTGATCGATTGGATGTAACGTGAAAACCTAACAATCAGATTTAACCTTTAATCTTAATCTTAATCTTTAATCAACTTTTCAGGTCAAAATGAAATAATGTTAATCCTTACCTTTGGATGTTTCATCGTTAATCTCAGTTAAATAAGTTGGAAATGAAATCACATCACAATTTAGATGATAATTAGAACACACAATTAAACTGATCCATTAATATCCAATAAGTTATGTAAAGTTATGGTCAACTAATTTAACTTAAATTGGAAAGTATTTAAATGATTGAAGATAATTAGAAGCCAACAAATTGAACAATTTAAACAAATTGGCAACAATTAAAAGTTTCAAAGAAAAGTGTTCACGAAATCAATGTAATGAAACTTTCAGATGATCAAGTGAACATTTCGATCAACAACCCGAATGAAGATGATCAACAAAATGAGATGATGATGATGATAAAGAGTGAGAGAGATGACAAAAGGAGGGAAAATCATAATAATAAAAATGAAAGAAAAAAAGATGATGATGATAATCGTATGTTGATATTTCGATGTAACCATAGATATTAATAGAGAATTTCTGTTCGATATCATTTTCTCTTTCTTTTCTTTCTTTTCTCAGGTATCATGCTATCTCTTTGTCGTCTTCATGATCTTCCTTCAGCCCCCCTCCCACCTCCAACCTCCACTACTTTCTCCTCCTCTTCCTCCTCTTCCTACTCTTTTCCCACCTTCTCTCTACTCGATTAACCTTTTCTTATATAACTTTTCACTCCAAATTGGTTACATTGGTTAATCTTGACTAGCAACAATTTACATAATCAAATTGTTTCCACAATCAATAGTACGAATTAATATTTACTCTGACTACTCCAAGGGCAATGACCTTTTCCCTGTAGTAACTGAATCACCCAATGAGTAGATAATCGTGATCAGAATTAACTCTCATTCTCTCTCATTCTTTTCATTCTGTGTCTCTTTATTTTCCTTGACAATCAATTATAATCATTGATTATCTTCCTCGACAATATAAATTTAATCATCTTCATTTTATCTCATGTGTAACCAATTACAATTTACTTCCGTCTTCTGTCACAAATCATCATTAATAAGTTAAACCTACGAAAGGTTAATTATCTAATCAGAACTTTTAATCGATCTGAACAATCAGAGAGAGACACAAAAAAAAACTCGATAATAAACAACCTGAAAGTTTTCAATTCGAAATTGATTTATATTAACTTGGAAAATTAAAAATTCTAACTTCATCTTAATTGGATAACTTTTTTAATCGATAGTTAATTTATCGTAACAATTAAAAAGTATTAGAAATCGAGGGTCGGGTAAATTCTCGGTAAAGATCCGGTTCACTTTCGAATAACCGAATTCGCTTCATCAGGTGATCGGAATTTTGTTTTTCCTTCAACTTTTGTGTTTACTTTTCGTTCAATTTTTAATTATCAATTAATTTGATTTTCTATTTATCTCAATTTAGATTAACAATGTTTAACTATCTAATTAAATGGTTAACTGATTGTGGTTTAACTTGACATTTTCTGTACATTCACTTTAATTGTTAAGTGAATATTGTTGATCTCATTGTTGACTAACTTGACTAACACTTTGGCTGCGAAATCAATTTAAATTGTCAACTAAAGTTTACATGCCAAAGTGAGTTAATCAATATTGGCACTGATTTAATTGTGGAACTAAAAATGGCCGATAAAATTGATTGGTGATTATCATGTGGAATCGTCAAGCACCTTTCATTCTGATCTCATCAGAAAACTGTTGCTGTTGTTTAGTTTCACTTGAAGATTGTCAATCATCTGATACCAATAGAGAATCGGTTAAAAAAGGTAAACATGGTAAAGTTAAATCAGCTGGAAAGGGTCAAGGTAAATCATTCAAATGTCCAGATTGTGATTACCAAAATGTGAAACAATCAAAGATGATTAGACACCTTCGAATGCATTCTGGACATAAACCATTCAAATGTCCATCCTGTCAATACGAATCTAATGATAAGTCAAAGGTTTGTATAGAAATTTATTACAACCAATTAAATCGGTAAATTGTATTGGTAATTTCCAAGTTAAATTAGAAAACTAAACTGGTAATTGTGTCGAGATTATCAATTATTATACTTCATCTCTTTTTTTCAACTTGGTTTTACTCCGATTTGATTGATGTTCTGATCCAATTTGTTTTAATTCTTGTTTTCTTTTCTCTCTCATCTCATCTTCCTCTTTTAATTGTCACCAATGATTTATTAGATTCGCCGTCACTATGTTACTCATACTCGAGAGAAGCCCTTTCAATGTGAACTTTGTGGTTCCAAGTTCACCCAATCCGGTAGCCTGAAAACTCACTTGACCAACGTTCATGGTTTGACCAAAGTTGAATTTCGATGTCCATTTTGTCCTAAACTGGTTACATCAAACATTGGAGAATTAAGGAATCACATTAAATCTTATCATGATTCAACTAATTATCCACTAATTGTTAACAAAGTGAATAACGTTACTTTGTTACCTTTATCATCGAAATCGCAACAACCAGTTAACACGATTTCAGTGGAAGGACAATCAACTTGTTCTCAACTTATTTCCAATGAGATGGAATTTAATTTTTCTCAACAATCTTGCTCTTCAACGTCAACAATCAATTCTGCATTTGAATGAAATTGAAACGATAATTTCTACAAATTAACAACCATTTGTTTGTTCTTTGTTTCGATTATATATATTTACAACTAACTCAATTTTCTATTTTTACAACAAAAAGAAAAAGAGAGAAAGTAGATTAATCTTCGTTTAAATCGAGAGAGAGAGAGAGAGAGAGAAATTGATGATGATGAAAAGAAGGAGAAGAAAAAAAAAGAAACTTGGATGGAAAGGTGAAGAAAGAAAAGAAAGAGGGAGGATGAGAAGATGAAAAAAAGAGAAGAGAAAGTTCCATGGACCATGAAGATGATGATTAACACCAAAGATTAACAGAGAAATGGTTGAACATGAGAAAGTTGGTTTTCCTTGATTTCGGTTTTTCTCAATGAATTGAAATTATAAGAAAACAAAAACTTTTCTTGATGATGAAGGCAGAGAGATGATGGATAATTATTATAATGATAATAATGAGAGAGAATAGGAAATGGGAAGAGGTAAAATACGATTTCTTGAAAAATACATTTGTATTTATCCTTCTCATCTCCGTGGTGGTTTTGTTTTCATTTTGGTGACAGAGGATTTAGAGAGAGAGAGAGAGAGAGAGAGAGAGAGAGAGAGAGAGAGGAGAGTAGGATAAGAGAGAGGAGGTTTGGGTTTGGGTTTACATTTTATATTCGTTCATATTTATATATTTATATAATTTGTTTCCTCTCCATATTTATAGCTTTTCATTGTCTTTCCTGTACAATAATAATAAAAATGTTGTGTCTTTGTTTTTGTCTAATTAGTTAATAAATTAACGGACAAGGCAAGTGATACAAAGTTGATTTGAACCGATACATTCATTGTGACAAAATGCACCACACTTTGTACAGGGAACTAAAGCTTTCAGGTTACAGTCGCAATTGGATCTACTACCCGGTGGGACATTTTGTTGACTTGTTGATGTTGGTATTACTCCTCCACCTCCTCCTCCCACTACCATTGATGCTACTTGACTGTGGTGGTGATGGTGATGATGATGATGATGGTGATGGTGAGAGTTGTTGTTATTAGGTGTTATTGTGGTGAAATTGCAATTTGTTTGAATTCCAAAGGTATGATTAACACTTGTAATTGTTGTGTTACAATTAGTTGATATTGTAAAACTACTGCCACCGCTACCATTGGATGAAGAGCTGATCGGATTTGATCCAGTTAGATGATCAACATTATTGTTAATTGATGTTGTAATTGAAGAACAGTTTGAATCAACTTTGTTGCTTGGATTTGCTATTATTGGTGTTGGATTTGAAAAAATATTCGGTATGTTATTAACTGTTCCCGGGGTCACAGGAGTTACCGTTATATTTGGTGGTAGTTTAGCTAATTCATTACAATATCCAGGGAATTGATTGTTATAATCAACGGGATAATCTTTCTTGCTGTTACTATTATCATCAGAGATTCGATAGTTATTCTTAAGGGTTGAATTATTTGTTAAAAATTTAACTGGACGTTGAGAACTGCTTCCAGGACTAATTGAATTAATTGATGACATAACGGGAACCTCATTGATGTTATTGGTTTGTGAATTACTCGGAAAAGGAATCATTTTTAACGATGTACCATTTGGCAATTTAAAAGGTAAATTCAATCCATTTGACTCTAAATTAACTGAGTTATAAGTCGTTGTCGAGGGTGATGAATATGATGATAGAGAGGGTGAAGGTGATGATGGGGTTGAGGATGAAGATGAGGCTGATGAAGATGAGGCTGAAGAGGCTGATGAGTTGGATGATGATGTGATTGTATTGAGACTACCGAAAGTTACACCTCGGTGATTGTAAGGTGAATTATTTGATGCTGCTGAGGTGGATCTTGTTACCCTCAGGGTTCTTGTTGGTGTCGATGATTTAATATCAGTTATTGGTTCGAGAGAGATGTTCGATCTTTCCAATTTCCTCTTAATTATACTAATAGAGACATCAGTTTGAATGAAAGGTTGTATTGTTACAGCGTTACCATCCGTTGTTTGATTAACTTTGTTATTGGTTATCGGTTTAACATGGTTCTTATTTAATGTTGGATTGTTGGGATTAATTGAATTTATCACACTTGAAAGAGATGATGATTTAGGCAAAAGTGTTGGTGGAGGGGAGACATCACAGTTGAAAGAAACAGTTGAAGTTTCTATTGGTTCTGGTGTTGAAGATTTTATTGACTGGAATTCATTTGGTTGTTCACTCGGTGTAATATTATGATTATCATATGGAGATAATTTTGGTATCCAGTCAAGCTCATTTTCTATTTCTTTCTGAGATTCCAATGCTTCTCCCCAAACTCTTTCGAAATTTTTAACCTTCCATGGATCAAGTTTAGCTGATTCCTTGATGGTCTCATTTTTCCATCTCACTAGAAATTCGGGTGTTAATTTGCCTTCTCTTAACCGATCACTCCAAGATTTGACAGCTCGATTAAAAAATTCATTCCTCAAAGCGGTTGAACTCATTTTGGTCCATCCTTCCGATGTTGTAACTTGGTCACATTTAGGTAACATTTGAACCAATTTATATTGATAAAATAAAGGTAATGAGGTAAAGGTAGATTTGTTAATTATATCTTTAAGATTGGTATTGACAAAAATGGAATCTGGAGTAGTGATATCAACTTTTTCTCGAGATTCGGCAATTTTAGAAGAAGCCGAACATTTTCCTTTTCTTTTCTTCTTTTCACGTCCACCTCTAACCGAATCTAACAGGCCAGTTACATGAGCATCCACAATAGCGATATAATCTTTTCGTATTCTATCATCTTCCATATCTTTAAGAAATTTCTTCACCCTGGATGCATCCATCATTTGATGCATCAGATGATCAACTAACTTTGATCTTAAGATGAAAGATATTAAGGTTTCAGGTATCACTTTGACCAGCAGATGCTGGAGAAATTGATGGTCACTAAAAATGTTGGTAAAAGTATCACAGATTAATCAGATTAATACAATTAATTAGGAGACTTGATAAGAATGTAAATAATGAGTTTTTCTATTGTGATTTTTTTTATTCTCAAAAAATGAAAACACAATAAGCGCCGCTAGTGGCGCCATCTCGTGTTCTCACCAACAACCATCACCAAAACATCTGAGTTTAAATCGGTAAAGTTTTTTTTTTCGTTAATCAATTAATCCTTTTTTCAAATGATAATTTTGAAGTTATATATTTTGTAAACTATTATCATCTACTTAACCTATTTTCGTGAACACTTTTGAAAAGAAAATGGTACCTTCACCTTCGACACGTGTTTTTTGACGATTACCATAGACCACGTTTTTCTTTGACTAGATTTCATCATGAAATGAATTTTATTTAGTAAATTAATTGGATCTGTCAGCATCCTACCCATTGTTTTGTAATTAAAATTATTGCATCTATTGAAATATAATGTTGATTATTTCCAAACTAATCGGTGGATTGAATGACCGATCGAGCACCTGAAGCTGCTCAGTCATTTGACGACTGTAATTAGTCACCCTCAGGGGAGATGATAATAAACATTGAAATGGATTCCAAGTTTTTACTGTGCGAACAATTAACGAATTGTCCCGAATTGTTGTCAATTCTTTTTTGTTAATCACTAATTTATCATTTAACTGGTTGTTCGCGACTTGTAGACATCGAAAAAGACTCTTAATAATCGCGAAAGTCGAATTAGAACCGATTACAACCTTCGACCACGTTTTTTCCTTGAAATGATTCACAAAGATACAATTTAATTCTTGATCCCAATCAATCAAATCTTCCTTGCAAATGGTAACAAATTAGAACAATGTTTTAAGTTTATTCTGAGAAATTGTTGAAATTTTCTCATATTCTTCTCAATCAATCAGTGGCTCATATCGACCCATCGAGAGCATCACCTGAGCAACTCAATCATATGGCGACTACATTCATCTCTTTAAGCAGACTGTAAATGCGAACCTTTTAAACTTAAAAATTTAAATTGATTTTGTTTTCAAATCAATTTTCCATCAAAATCAAAATTCCATTCAAAATTGTTGACAATTAAATTTGAATCAATTTTCCATCTAATAAAATTAATCAAATTCCACGGTAAATAATTGAGACAATCTAATTTAGACCCAAAGTCAAGTTCAATTGGAAAACAATTAATCCGTTTCCCTGAGCAATTATCATGATTGATCAACGAGAGTAAGTGAATCATCAACAGGAAGAGATTAAACTGGAAATAATTAACGATCATGAAATATTACCAATAGATTAGAATTTGTTGTTGATTAAGGTAAACAATTGAATGGAAAAGCACATTGTCAACGGAAACAGTTAATCATCAGGTAGAATCCATGCTGCATGTGAGCACATTTCCCGCTTCTCAGTTGAGACAAAAAAACACGTGTTTTGAAATGAGTGAAATGATTAATTAATTGTAAGGAAAATGGCGAAAGTTGTCTCTTTTTTAATTATTCAATAGTTGATCAGAGGTTTGAAAAAGATAGAGAAAATGGGAAAATAAACAGAGAAAAGAGAGAAAAAAATTTTATGGGGAGAAAAAAAAACAGAAGGAAAAGGAAATGATGATGTTGTTTTTGGTTGAATTTTGAATATAACATAATCAATGTAATTGGAACAAATATTTTCCTTAATTAAATGAGTCTACTTTTTTTGGGCCCATGGTTTTTTACCACCGGGTGAGTTACCTCCAAATTTTTTTCCACCTTGAGGGGTACCTTTTTTACCAGAATTTTGATTATTCTTAAAGTTATTAGGACCTCCTTTAGCTCCTCCTTTACCACCGGACCAGGGTTTACCACCGCCGCCGCTGCCTTGTTGGAAAGGTTTCTTTCCTCCTTGAGGTGTTTGATTTTTTTGACCATCTTGTTTTCCAGGTAAACCTCCTTGTTTACCAGGGGTAGCAGGCTTTTGATTTTGTTTACCTTGAGGTTTTACTGGCTTCTTCACTTCTGGACTTGATTCATCTTCTTCTTCATCTTCGTCGTCATCATCGTCTTCATCATCACTTTCAAAATTGTCTAAAAGATCTTTCATTGCTTCACTATTCAATGAATCATCATCGTCATCATCTTCATCCTCATCTTCATCAACACCAAGATTTACTGGTTTAGCTTTCTGGTTACCTTTAGCTTGGACATCATTCTTAGCTCCTTTGGCTGGTTGTTGCTTGCCTTTTTCTTGTTTCTTATCAGCTTTAGCAACTACAGCGGTGGGCTCATCACCAAATTTAACCTTTTTATTACCATCTTTAGATTCAGCTCCTAACTTTCTCTTTTTCTCAGCTAAATTCATCATTTCAGCTTCAGAATCAGATTCACTCATATCAAACATGTCTTCTGAGTCTTCGATATCTGAATCAGGCATGATGTAACCAGTTAAGTGAACCCTTGAATCTCCATTAACAGAAAAACTAATTGGTTCACCTTCAGTGAAAACGCAATCAAGAGGTTGCTGTAAAGCACGTTGTGGGTCAAGATTACATAGGATAAACTTAGTCTTGTTACTTTCCAAAATAACTGAACAAATTGTTGACTTATTAGGTGTCGGTGTCTTAGTAGAAGGCTCCAAAGCAGCCATTGTCAAGTGGAATGATGATTCAGCTTTCTGTTCATAGATTTGACCAGGTTCCAAGACTAAACCTAAAAAATTAATAAACCAGAAAAAATAAACAATCAATTAAATAAATATAGAAAAAAGAAATCAAATCTTATTAAAGAAGACAAAAGTATAGAAAAAGAACAAGAAAAAAGAAAAGATGAAAAACACGCCGCAATCAAAGATCCATTAAACCAAACAATCAGATTAAATCACTTACCCCAAAACATTTTCATTATAGATGAAGATAAGAAGTTGAAGAACAGAAAATATAATTACAACAATTTGAGAATTTGATGAAAAAAAAGAAAAGAAAAAAAGAAAGAGTTTGATGAAAAAAAAACTAATGATTTCAAATGAAGAGCAAAGATTAACTGAATTTCTTTCGCTTTTAAACTGGAGAAAAGAAAATGGAAACGGAAAAGGAAACCAGAGATTCGCCTGTGGAAAGAAATGCGCCAAATTTGAATTTCGATTCTCCAAATTGTTTGGAAAACTTTCCCAAGCGAGTTAATTAATCTTCAATTCTCATTCTTTCTAATTGTTGATTTAATAAAATTAATCACATTTTAATTGTTAATAATCTTCGATTCTCTTAAGGGATAACTGATTAATTACTCTGATTTAAGATTAAAATCTTGAAACTTTTTCCTTTCAACAGGAAATTAATTTTTTTGATTAGATTAACAAACTAATTAAAAAGTAAATTAAACTCAAGAAGTTTGTTTATTAATAATTAAAAAAAAAATATCGATAAAATCTAAATTGTTACAACTGAATGTTTGGTGTTTGAATTGAATGTTTTTTTTTGCTCTGAATATGAATTTGACATTTAATCAGATGAATAATTTAACCAAAGTGTCAATCAAATTGTTATGAACAAATTTAATTAATCAACTGGGTAAGACACGAGTTTAAATTGTTAATTATTTGACAAAATTATGAGCAAAAAAATAACAACAGGTATCACTTTGACCAGCAGATGCTGGAGAAATTGATGGTCACTAAAAATGTTGGTAAAAGTATCACAGATTAATCAGATTAATACAATTAATTAGGAGACTTGATAAGAATGTAAATAATGAGTTTTTCTATTGTGATTTTTTTTATTCTCAAAAAATGAAAACACAATAAGCGCCGCTAGTGGCGCCATCTCGCGTTCTCACCAACAACCATCACCAAAACATCTGAGTTTAAATCGGTAAAGTTTTTTTTTCGTTAATCAATTAACCCTTTTTACTAATGAGAATTTTGAAATTTATTTACCTTGTAAACTATTATCATCTACTTAACCTATTTTCGTGAACACTTTTGAAAAGAAAATGGTACCTTCACCTTGGACACGTGTTCTTTGACACGATTACCATAGACCACGTTTTTCTTTGACTAGATTTCATCATGAAATGAATTTTATTTATGTAAATTAATTGGATCTGTCAGCATCCTACCCATTGTTTTGTAATTAAAATTATTGCATCTATTGAAATATAATGTTGATTATTTCCAAACTAATCGGTGGATTGAATGACCGATCGAGCACCTGAAGCTGCTCAGTCATTTAACGACTGTAATTAGTTACCCTCAGTGGAGATGATAATAAACATTGAAATGGATTCCAAGTTTTTACTGTGCGAACAATTAACGAATTGTCCCGAATTGTTGTCAATTCTTTTTTGTTAATCACTAATTTATCATTTAGCTGGTTGTTCGCAACTTGTAGACATCAGAAAGAGACTCTTAATAATCTAATAATCGCGAAAGTCGAATTAGAACCGATTACAACCTTCGACCACGTTTTTCCTTGAAATGATTCACAAAGACGCAATTTAATTCTTGATCTCAATCAATCAAATCGTCCTTGCAAATGGTAACAAATTAGAACAATGTTTTAAGTTTATTCTGAGAAATTGTTGAAATTTTCTCATATTCTTCTCAATCAATCGGTGGCTCATATCGACCCATAGAGAGAATCACCTGAGCAACTCAATCATATGGCGACTACAATCATCTCTTTAAGCAGACTGTAAATGCGAACCTTTTAAACTTAAAAAATTTAAATTGATTTTGTTTTCAATTCAATTTTCCATCAAAATCAAAATTCCATTCCAAAATTGTTGACAATTAAATTTGAATCAATTTTCCATCTGATAAAAATTAATTAAATTCCATGGTAAATATTTGAGACAATCTATTAGGATGATCAGAAAGTTCTGCACGAAAAATCAATGTTATATTGGGCACGTAATTAAACGCGAACTATTTGTTCGCAAAAATTAATCTTTTCTAATTATTAAAACTCATAGTTTTCTGATAGAAAATAATTAAATTAGTTAAAATTTAGAAATTTTTTCCTGGCCAAAATAGCGATGAAAATGGCCTTAAATTATTTTTTTATCGTCAATGCTTTCAACCAAGTAAAAAATGGTCTTTGAATAATGATTTCAATATTTTAAAATTATTGAATTAAAATATGATATTTTCGCTTTGATTAGTGAAATTTTCAACAATTAACTAATCACAATTACGGAGAAAATTAAATTCAAAATTTGATCTTTTTTCCTAGCAAAATTGGAAATTCATCACGAGATCATAAAATTGTCCATCTACTCAATGGTAAAAAATTTCATTTTCATGAATTTTCAATTTTGCTAGGAAAAAAGATCAAATTTTGAATTTAATTTTCTCCGTAATTGTGATTAGTTAATTGTTGAAAATTTCACTAATCAAAGTGAAAATATTGAATTTTATGTCAACAATTTTAAAATTATTGAAATCATAATTTTAAGGCCATTTTTAGCTCTGCCAAGAGAAGCATTTAAAAATATTTATTTTAGGTCATATTTGTCGCGATTTTTGACCTGGAAGAAAACTTCCAAAATTTAATTTTTCTAAAAATTTTCAATTAGTGTACTCTTAGTTTTTATTGTTAAAAAAATTACTTCTCTAAGATTTTAGATTTAGGTTTAATTACGTGTTGATTGTTAGTCTTAATTTTCTTGCAAAACTTTCTGATCATCCTAATAATTTAGACCCAAAGTCAAGTTCAATTGGAAAACAATTACAGCCAGACCTCTTTTTATTTCATTATTGAAGGGGGGAGTTTTTCCGCGCAATGCGCAGACTTACAAATGAGTATCTTGGTTACAAATTTCAAATTAAGAAGAAAGATAGAGGATAGAACCAAAGAAAGGAAGAAGAAAGCTCTTCACAACATTAGAGCTAAGTAATAAATTCATCGGCCAAGGGGAGGCGAACCTACCACCTTGAGTATATATGATAATAACATTTTATTTGGACAATTAACTTATTTAATTAAACAGAGAGAGAGAGAGAGAGAGACAATAAAACAATAATGTTTCAAAGGAAAAGTTAATCAATTTAATTGTTTCGATAATTTAAAAATATATTATCTATTTAAATTAATTTCTTGATCAACAATCAATATAGTCTAACCAAACAATTTACGAGAATACAACCTTAATCATCTTGATTTGTTGATTGTTATTTGATTGATTCGCTCTCTTTTTTGTTTCATTATTGATTAAGTTAAATCAATACAATCGGTTATTGATTAAAGTTAATTTGATCATTTCGTTGAAAGTATTAATTGTACAATGAACAATTGGAAAGACAAAAAAAATCAAAGGAAAACTAAATATAAGAGTAAACAATTTGATCCACAATTAAGGTAAATCAATAAATCAGATTTTCAGTCATTTCTTCAATCTCTTGATCATCAAAATGATTTGATGATTAATTTAATTGGAAAACTAAATTTCACTTGGATAATCAAGAGTAAATTGTATTTACCTGTCAAAAGGATTAGGATATTTGGTGATGATAAAGATAAATGATCAACATACTGACCAATACAATCAAACTGACCAATGGTCACAAATAAAGTGTCAAGTTAATCACAATCAAATCAACAATCAGTAAATTCAGTTGCTACTTTTTTATATCACTGATGTTCAATATCTTTCACCACCCACAGTGGGAATCAATTTCCCACCGCCTACACTTTAACATCCAATTGGTCACAATTAACTGACAATATAAATGTAATAATGAATATTAATTAACTTTGATTAACTTTGATCACCATGGTAATTGATTTAATTGGTTACAATAAAAGATCAATCCTGATTAATATGATTACCATATAATTGTTTTGAAACAATTTAGATTAAAGTTAAAATAGTGTTTAGATCAATTTTTACATCTACAATTAACTAATCAGTTTGTTCATTGTGTCTCTGATTAAATGATAAAATTTTCTTACTCCAACAATTAACTTAATTATATTTACTTATGTTAATTATAATTGTTGATCAGAGAGTGGGTGTGATAATGATAAAGGTTAAATCATTTCAACTTTTTTGTTAGTTAATTGTTTCAAATTAACATTGATTAATCATTCATCTTCATTGCTAATTTTTGATTAGGTTTTCTTAAGGCAATTTACTAATTACAATCAAGTTCAATGATTATGATTTAATCTAATTGAGTTATCAGTTTATCATTAATCTTGATTATTCAGAAAGAGTTACAATTTAAATTGTTACAAATTCAAATGATTATTGATTGAGATTAATTAAAGTTTTCAGTTTCTTTTTTAATGATCATTGAACTTTTTTAACTTCACAATTAGTGGACAATTAAGAGAATCCTAATCAATGAGTTAATTTGATTCAAAATTAATGATCATTTACTTGAATTGTAGTACTAATTTAAATTGTTGATTGAATTAATTTACTTTTGCTGCTCAATTGTTTCATCTTTCTAACCAACTGAATTAAATTGATCCTTGATTGATTAAATTCACTTACAATTAAGTAGCCAGCGTAACAACACACCTAAATTAACAATTAACTGCACCTTAATCATAATCTAACCAACTTATCAGAATTAAATAGAGTCTACAATTAGTAAATTGTTTAATAATACGGACAATTTACTGTTTGATTGATTATATTACAATAAAAACAAAATCAATTCGTAACAATAAAAAAAAACTACAATTTGATTGATTGTAAATGCAAATCATTTATTAATCAACAAAAAGCAAATTACAAATTGCAAATATAAATTAACATTAAATCAAACAATCAACCGATACAAATGATTAGCCAACAATTAGTTTAATCGTAACAATTTAAAACTTTCAACTTGCATGACAAATCACAACGACAATTACATCGGTACATAAAACATTTGAACGTTTTTAATGCTTAATTGCGATTAGTTGACAATTAATTTTAAAAATTCTTTGATTAATTTAAGCCTAATCATTCAGTATTTTAATAAATTTTAATTAAATTTTCTTTTGATAAAAATGAAATTAAAGATTTTGTAAAATT